ATACAAAAGAGAAAATATGTGTGCGTTCTATCTCCTTTTTTATGCGAAGGCTCAGGTCGGGTCGCTAGATCCATTGGGCTGATGACCTCAAGTGACATTAGTAACTAAAATCTAGCTACACCAAAACTCATAGAGCTGCTCACAAGGCTCTATCTAATAATGCCTTTAATCGCCGCCGGGTAGCCTGTTAATTATATTAGGGCTGCAATGTATGTGATGTAGCTCTTTATAACTTAGACTTCTTAGGACTTCTATTAGTAGAAATTATGTGTGAATTTAAGTATCTTTTATTTTCTAGTTTTTAATTGGCTGATGATCCCTGCAGATACACCACTAGAGCCTTCGCACTAAAAAAGAGATAAAAAGGGGCGCTCGGGTCTACGATTCGCGTGCGCATTATCCTAATTCCGTTCGATTACGTGGCCAAATGCCCAATTCAGCTAATGGGCATGCCGTAACGTGCGACAATAGGGGACATGAAACCCGACCTTCGACATACCAAAAAAAAGGACATAATTGGCGTACAAAATCGCTGCGAGTGAGAAAGCAATTAACGGTCACATCAAATATGTAGAAATTCTCCAAGTGGAAGAGGGGATATCGAAGGAGAAGTGTGTGTGTGTGTGGCCGATGATTTTGTGACTGACTATAACTACTGCTCAGTGTTAGACTCGAAACCGCCAGCGCTTATGCGTAGGCGACTCACATATGAGTAGGTTCGGGATTCAGGTGCTATGCGGCGTGCGAGAATTCAACTCGAGAGAGTGAAAGCCGAGGCAAGGGTGGGCACTGCAGAGTGGCATTGCGAATTGCATACCCGTATTCAATTCGTCAATCTTCAACGGATGAAAAAACACCAAAAGAGTGCAGTTGCTAACAGTAGCTTCCAGCAATCCGCAGTGGAGCGCAGCACCGAGGAATGCCTACTACGTATTACTGATGCACGGTTGCCGTTGGCAAGACTGCTCCGACACGAGACTTTATCATTTTCCAAGAAACAGCAGGCCCGCCACAGCCAGCAGTCTCCTGTTATCCTAAAGGACAGTCCCATCAACTCAGGCCCCCTTCCTACAAAGATCGACACGACCTTGCTTAATCGGGACACGGCTCACAGTGTGGTGCTAGGTGCCACGGCAAGGACAGTGGATACAGAGATGGGAAACTGGAACTGCTCATCGTGTGGAGGATCTCGTCTCCGTAAAGACGACACAGAGCTCAATACAAACAGATTATGAAAAAATACCACGGCTGGAGAGGCTATTCACAAGTACAAGATCTGATGAAGGGCGGATTTGAGAAGGCCTAGAGCGAGCCCGTGGCGACACAAGATTAGTAGTGGTCAAGTATAGGTCAATGCTTCTTAAGTAGTATTAGTAAACCATGGGCAACCAATCAGAGCCAGTCAGGTATAGCTGCCGAGTCAGCCCGTCTGTCTGTGTTAAGTGGTATCTAGGCACTCCGTAAGTACGTACCTATGGGCACAGAGCCCTACGTGCATAAATATTGACATGTACTTAAGAAGTACGTATATAGACTGGGCCGGGCCCAGGGGGCCCTGGTGGCTGCACTAGGTGGATACTTACTCAAATGTTTCATGTCGCTCTGTTGAAAGTTCCGTGTGGAGGACACTGACACGGCAGAGTTTCCAAAGGAGGCTAGCTCCAGGAACCAGAGTAAAGGCTGTTTGTGATTGTGACCAGCTGGGCACGCTGGCGCTCTGAATGCTGCCTGCACCTAATACTTAAGTACGTACTTAAAGTACTTACTTGAGAAAACGACCTACGTTAAGTACCTAGGTACATTCAAGCTAAGTACCTAGGTAATTAAGCAAGTACTCCTTACTTTAAGTACTTACCTAGGTACTTAAGAAGGGTATTTCACTGCCACTGCTTTTCGACGCCAGTGTCACCACGACTGTACTAAGTACTTCTTAAGTAAGAAGTAAGTATTAACGTGTATTTTCTCCGATGACGGCTGCGCGTCGCAGAGTTGAGCGACGATGCTGACCGTGCACTGCAAGTACGTTCGGACTACAATGCAGTCTGAGATGCCAAGGAAACCAAGTTATGCAGAGTACTAATCGTAAAACGTTCGCGCTCAGGATCCAGCAAATATTCATCCATCCCCTTTCAATGTGTGAAGGTGCTTTGGTCGTCGCGACCCCGATTCTCTGTAATATCTAGGGGTGGCAACGAGTCGTGTCACCTACAATTAACGCACCTTTGCACATTCAAGGGGGGGAAAGATTTTGGAAAAAGGTTGTCGCAGCCATTTTTGTTGCAATTTTAATAAATGTCAAATGCGCCTGAGCGCCCCAGTTAATTCTCCAATACAAAGTTGACCCCCTGGTCAACTCTCCGCACGCCAACCCCTGAACTCATTGGCCACTCGGGATTACATATTAACGGATACTAACAGTTCGTCACATCAACAACGGGTCGAGTGGACCTCCCCTTTTGGCGATGTGTAACTAGTCCAAGTACTAATCGTGCCCGCCCCACTTTATGTGGTTCGGCTAGCAAAAGCCCTCACCACCAAAGGTGGTGCTCGACAGCAAGGCGGGCCGGACACCAAGGCGGGCCAATTTTCAACCTAATAACGCTATTAACCTCTTCGCCTATAATGTACACCCTTCTCGTCCCAAATTTCTAGTAGATCTAGTACAGAATCCAGACGCCATTTACGTGCCTTTTTAGCTGCTTCAAAAAACGTCCTCTTGGCGTGGTTGTGGCGCCTTTTGTCGGCATGCTCTTTATGCTTGCTGTTCGCCTGATGAACTCGAGAAAGGTCTTTGCAAAGGCGTGATTGGAAGGAGAAACGGCGAATGGTTGACGCGACAGGTATGCATTTGTTGGCGGTGACGGGAGGGGAGCCATATGAAGAGGTGCATTATCTGTTGACTGTTTTTCTAGACCGGGAAATAAAAATAGGACATGTATAGAAAACCAGATATTACAGCCCTTTTTAAAAAAAAAATCAAAAAAATCAAAGGTCGTCACTCATTCATTGGAAGCTTCAACGAAGAGTCCCTCCTGAAGATATCTGGAATATAGATGAGACTGGCTTTCGTATTGGAATGGGAAAGGACCATTTAGTTGTTACAAAGCGAAGAAGAGCGCATCTATTTTCAATGCCAGAAAACAGGGAGACTGCAACAGCAATAGAATGCATTTCTGCTGGCGGCAAAGTTATTCCTGCCTTTCTTATCCTTACAGGGCAAAAACACATGGAGTCCTGGTATCGGATAAAGGAGCTTGAAGCTAATACCAAAATAACAGTCTCACCAACCGGCTTTACGAATGACGAAATTGCAGTTGCTTGGATACAGCATTTTCAGGAATTTGCAACGCCAATAGGCAGATATCGCCTTTTAATCCTAGATGGCCACGGATCACACCATACAATTGAATTCGTTGAATACTGCGAACAGCACGATATAATTCCCTTTGCGTTGCCCTCGCACCTTACACACATCCTTCAACCTCTTGATGTTGTGATATTTCAGCCACTAAAGCATTATCATGCAAAGGCGTTGGATATCATTGTTCGAGACGGCGTGTTGAATATTACAAAGATTGAATTCCTTGCTTGCATTCAAGCTGTACGAAAACAAGCTTTCAAGACTACTACTATTCTCACAGCCTTTCGAAAAACTGGAATTTCACCCTACAATCCACAGCCTGTAATTGAGGCCCTTGAACAACGAGCTGCAATTTACACATCAACACCATCGCCGCCGCCGTTATATCACAACAACTCTTCCGACTTTGAGACGCCCACAACACTCAGGCAGATAAATAAGGTTGCCAACAAGCTAGGGGAGGTATTAGAAGACGATACATCCCTTGAGCCTGAGTTTGCACGCAATATCAGTCGTTTTATCCGCGGCTCTCTTATTGCAGCTACTGAGCTTATACAGACGAAGAGAGACCTTGGGCGTACAAAAGCAGCTCAATTACTATCACAGCGACGTAGAGCTCATAAATATCACGCCCTACAAACTGGTGGCGTTCTTTCTGTGGATAACGCGCGTGAGATAGTCAAGCAAAACGAGAATGACCGCCTTAATACTGCTCGTCGGGTTGTTGAGGCAGCCGACAAAAGGCGCCACAACCACGCCAAGAGGACGTTTTTTGAAGCAGCTAAAAAGGCACGTAAATGGCGTCTGGATTCTGTACTAGATCTACTAGAAATTTGGGACGAGAAGGGTGTACATTATAGGCGAAGAGGTTAATAGCGTTATTAGGTTGAAAATTGGCCCGCCTTGGTGTCCGGCCCGCCTTGCTGTCGAGCACCACCTTTGGTGGTGAGGGCTTTTGCTAGCCGAACCACATAAAGTGGGGCGGGCACGATTAGCAGTTGCTCTGTAGCACTCCGTCAAGATAATTACTCCCTCCGCCGTCCCAACCCCCAGTAGCGTGGTGGAGATAAGCAGGGTATGAATACGTCAATCGAAATTGCCACTACGGACGCGTTTAGGGGCTAGCGGTATTTGGACGCTAGGTATTGTGTCTGGTACTTCTTGTATGGCTCGGGGGCCATACGCGACCTAATTTGTAGTTTATGTGGTGGCTCGTGCGACCCGATCCGGGCACCTTTGTTGTTACTGACTGAGGTGCTTCTCTCTCGCCCGAACCTCCCTATCGCTCCTGTCCCCCTCGACTTCCCCTTTCCATCTCGACTCCTGCCTCACCAGCCATCATCACCTTCATCTGCTCCAACGGAGAGTCTCGACTCTCCACCACACTCCTTTATCTCTGGCTCACTGCTTCATCACGCACTTTTGTCCAAATTGAATTGTCACGAGTTTTGTGATTCCAAGAACGGCCAAATATCCACGAGGTTTGTTTCAATCTGCCGCAACAGCGGGATTTCGGTGAAACCAGTGGCCATGCTGCTGCTAGGCTGTCGATTTCCCCGAACAACGCATTCGATAATGTTGGTCAAGACTGACTAGAAAGCATTACAAGATTCGAACGATTCTTTCAATGATACCGGCAATGAGGAATCTAGTCCATCTCGCCATTACGGCCACCTGGGCCATCAGCGTCGCTGCCAATTCGCACCAGCACCAGCACCTGCATCGTCTTGTCAAGAAGGATAATCCATCCGGGGACGAACAGCGGGTGCCCAACGCTAACGTGTTGGCGGTTTACGAGCTCGACGGCAAATTCCTGCCATCTGAAGAAGCAGAAGCTGGCTTGGAGAAAGGTAGTCTCGTCGTCATCGGCGAAACCACGCCCAGCGTACCTCCACCCCCTCCTGCTAAGCCTGCGACCACCAGCGCTCAGAATTCCGGTGCCCAATTCCTTGAAAAACCTAGCAGTATTGCTCCCCCGCCAAAGTCTACGAGTACCTCGCAGCCACTGCCTCCGTCTCCGCCCCCTAAGAGCACGCAGGCCCTCAAACCAAGCACTCCCAGCGGAGGAGGTACAGGGCTGAATTCCGAGTTTCCCAGTGGTAATTTTAGTTGCTCCAACTTTCCCTCTGAATATGGTGCCCGCCCATTGGATTACCTCGGACATCGCGGATGGAGTGGTGTTCAGAATATCGCTGACCCCGCCAACATCAGAACTGCCGTCTCTGGTGAAGGTTGTGAACCTGGATCAGTGTGCTCTTATGCCTGTCCTGCGGGGTACCAGAAGACTCAGTGGCCAGAGGAGCAAGGCAAAAAAGGGGAGTCTTTTGGCGGCCTTCTCTGCAATAGTGACGGAAAACTCGAGTTGACCCGTGAAAGCCATCGACTGCTTTGCACCCCTGGTGCTGGCGACATTTCTGTCCGGAACGAACTGACCGAAGTTGTCTCTACCTGTCGAACCGACTATCCTGGCACTGAAAGCATGACTATTCCCACCGAGGCCGGACCTGGTGAAGAGGTCTTGCTAACCAATCCTATTGCATCACTTTATTACACTTGGGACGGCAAGCCCACCTCAGCTCAGTATTACGTCAACAGAAAGGGCCTTACCGCGAGGGAAGCCTGTCTCTGGAATTGTGCCCTCGATCAGGACAAACCCTCAGCCCAAAAGTCATGCGGCAACTGGGCTCCTATTATCATTGGTGCTGGCCGCGATAACAAGGGCGTCTCGTACATTTCTGTTTTTCAGAACTCGCCAACAAGCAGCGCAAAACTTGATTTCAATGTCAATGTCACTGGCAGTGTCACCTCTGAGTGCGGCTACAAGGATGGAAATTTCATTGGCGGCAGCACTGGTTGCACTGTACGTATTCCTAGCAAGAACTACATGCTGTCATAACTAACTCGTCTCCCAGACTTCATTGGAGCCCGGCGGCAAGGCTGTTATTCTATACTACTAACTCAGTATAGTTTTGACGCCAATAGGCTGATTTCTATGCATTTTTTTGGATTTTCGTGTGCATATAATTTTCATCAAGGCTCCAATGAATGCGGGCGAATTTAAAATATTCCTAAGTCGTCTAGTTGTAGCTGGGACTTGAATTCGTCTGGGATCTGTAGGTATTTTATGGTGGCCCAATCAGGGCGGCAAAACGTGAAAGGCGGCGGGGCTCTTGATGTCAAATTCCCCCAAGGCTACCGGACGCGCCTCCTGGGAAAAGGCATTGGCTCTTTATTGGCTCTTTCATACGATGCTTTTATGTAGTATCTTTCAATGCAGTTGAGTTTGCCCAGCACGCGTTTGAGCCATTTGGCGCAGCAACACCACTATGAACACAACCTTGGCAAGGACCGTGATATCGCCTATACAGAAAACATCTCGTAAACCGGGCGGAGTTCGTGGTTACACATTGAGTAGCTAGTTCAAGTATCGGAGTAATATTATCGCAGACATGTTTCTCCACATAAATTCAGCCAGGGACATTGATGTAGCTGAATGATAGAAGCCACAAGGACACTCATGATGTACATATCTTTAGTTCTCGGCTGAGCTGGTATTCAGACAAGCTGCCTTTGGTTTCAGTACTTGGTTTAGGTTTTCTACAATAGGCTATGTCTTGGACGTATGCTTTGCTACCAAGAATATATCGATTCTATACAGTGCTTCAGAGCACTTGCAGTTCCCTTACGTTCTAATGAAATTGATATATTGGAAGACGCTAACAGTTTATCCAGTAGGTACCTGGGGACCCAAATACCTAGGCACTTCAACACTCGGGCAAGCTGGCGGCATCTCTCATAATCTCCCTTTCCATGGAGAGAATATTTTTATGGTGACGATCAATACCGACCATAACGTACATTGAGCCAGGCACTCGGCACTCGACTCTGGCAGGTTGAACTGTGCCGTTTAGCATTTTCATCTTATCCTGCATACGTTTCAGGCTTTGATCTCGCAACAAAGACCAAAAAAGGAACAACTGCCCTTGTGGCCCCTTCAAGGTTGCGTCCTAACTCATTGTTCTCGCAAGACTGAAAATATGCCGCAAAAAGGGCTGAATATCGTTTGACTTTCAACACCGCCTACCAGCCAGCAAACCTTGGCTGTACCGGGGTACTGATGCCTGTTTATCGACTTACATATCCGGAGCCAAACCTGCGAACGCTTGGTGGAGGCAATTCTCTTTGTCGAATACCGCGTGCGTCATATCCGTCGGACGCTCAGATTTCCATCGGCGTTCCTACTGCTGCTTCTCTGGCTCGCCGTATTTCGTCATTTCGTTCTTCATTCTCTTCCTTTAGTTTCTCCTCGACCTCTTGTCTGATAGCCCCAAGATCAGGAGGGATGACATGCATTTGAACGCTAGGTGCAGCCTGTACGAACCGCAGTTGCTCAGAAATATGCTGCACAATTTCTTGAAGGCGCTTCTGAGGATTGCGATTCTGTCGTGGCTCGCCCAATATTTGCTCGAGTGTAGGAAAGAGAGTGTCCTGCCTAAACTGATCGCGCCAAGGGGTGTGTTGGGGAAGAACTGGGCTGATATTGTCTTGACACCCTACTGCAATACTAGTTTCGTAGGTCCAGGCACGAGCGACATTCCGAGGCGTGTAGCCCCCGCCGCCGAAAAGAATAAGAGGAAGCCCGAATTTCTTGCAAAATTTGACGCATGCACCGTGGCCTTGGACCTGAAGGTTAAAGCGGCCAAGCCTGTCACCGGCAAGAGAATCTGCGCCGCACTGAAGCACAATGGCGCTTGGGCGGAACTTTTCCACAATTCTGCCAATTATTGAATTAAAGAGCATGTCATATTGCTCATCAGTGATGCCGTCATTGAGTGGCACGTTCACAGCGTGATGAGCTCCAGGATTATGCTCGTTCTTAGGGCCGTTGTCATCTAGGGCACCGGTGCCTGGGAAGAAGTTGTGCGGATCATACTTGTGAAATGATACAGTCATAACACGATCAGTAGAGAAGAAAGCCTCCTCTACGCCGTCACCATGATGAACATCGATGTCGATGTACAGAACCCGGGGGTAGAAGCGCAGGAGCTCTAGAATGGCAATAACAATATCGTTGATATAGCAGAATCCAGAGGCCTCTGCCTTTTTTGCGTGATGAAGACCGCCACCCCAGGCAATGGCAATGTCGGACTGCTTGGATGTAATCTTCCTGGCTGCATCAAGAGCGCCACCCGCTGATAGAGAGCAATAGTCGTACAGGCCATCAAATAATGGACAGTCGGAACCGCCGAGGTTGAACTTGAGATCGGGATTCTGGTTTTCCAAGTCTCGGGGAACCGGTTCCGGCAGAACAGTGCCAAGAAAGTCAAGGTAGTCGGTCGAATGAAAGGAGGCCAGCTCCTCGTATGTGGCCGCGCGTGAAATATAGTTGTCCATAGCAAAGGACATGCCGTATGAGTATATCAGACTTTTGGACAAGGTGAGACGCCACGGTTTCATCGGATGGGTCATGCCAAAGTGATGTTTTTCCATGTCAGGATTGCAATGAAATGATACGTTGTATCCTTTTGGGCGGGTTATTGCAGATTCTTCGGCAAGTCGCTTGCACTTATTGTAAAACTTGGCATTGTCCATCTCGCTAGCCAGACCTAGTGGGGTGTTGCTGTACTCCTCGACGATGACACCGTCGTTATCGATATCTAGCTTATGAGGTAAGTAGTTCGGTTTGGGCACACGAAAGCGGTAAGGATTGATATCCATGGTGAGAGTTTATACTGCCAGCCTCCTTGGACAATGCTGTCCGGAGTAGTTTCTTGCACTGCGACACGTTGGCAAGACTTATCTCCGCATCAAACGAAGCATTACCTTAGCGGACGCCTGCGAGACTGGCATACGAGAAAGGTGTGATGGAAGCTAGAACAGCAATTGAAAACTCGTTGAACGGACGATTGGCAGATTGAGCTGTTTGGCTCTAATGTGCTGAGTGTGTGCAGGAGAGGAGAAGGATCAATGAACCAGCAGGGCTTCGTGAGTGCATTACGCTAGGCCTGTTCGGGCAGTGGCGTGCGAGCTCAACTTTTTGCATGCACAGAACCGAAGCCTGGAACCCCGTTCACCGGCCCGAGGCTGAGGGAGCTGAGCTGGGCCAATGATGCATGAGCCATGCGTTCATTGTCAGCCTGGCTCGTGAAGGTTGCGCCGTTAACTCCCACGCTGCAACCCTTTATCAAAACTTCAGACCTCACTCCAACCGGACATATAGAGCCGTCTCGCCTTTCCCCCAGAGGTATGTGCATATGCGACCATCACTAACTGGGGAAGTAGGTTGTGCTATAGTTTTCGGCGACCAGACCTTCCGTCGCAGGCCAGATTAAGGTGAGTCCCAGTCATTCATTCGTGTCTTCGGCCATGCAATGCATTACATGGTCTACACTGTCGCGCGCGTTGCACAGTTTGCCACTGGAATCTCCTTCACTTGTAAGTATGCAGGCAGCTGCACCTTGCCCGTACCTCTATCGCATTCACTAGAGACATGATTCGTGTCCCTAGACGTATGACGCCGCACCTTGCTGCGACTGACGACGTGCGTCTGAGAATATCCGATGTCCATCAATCGTCGCCGCCTCGCCGCTGTCGTCTGGTTGTCGGCCAGGCCCCTGGCAGCAACTTTACTGGTCCTCACTGCTTGACTTCTCATCAAGGTGGGGAGGTGGGGAACAACGTGAGCGAGCCACGTCAATGCTGGATACACACAAGCACACACAACTCTTGTCGCGTCAGTACCAACAAGTCGACGTTCTTGAAGTGGCCGCCACTAGCCGCCGCCAGACTGCCACTGTCTTTCCCCTTCGTCCTACAAGTACCCTTCACATTGTTTGCTTTCATCTATATGCCTCTCTCTGGTCGGCGCAATTACATTCATTGACTGCTTTGGAACCCAACCCCCCCCCCCTTTTGCCCCCTTTCTCTGATTCTTTACCTTTTACTTCTCTATTCATTTCAAACTTGCGCCCACCGCATCGCAGTCTTGCAGGAGTAGCGTGGCTAGTGCCGGGCCTGCAGGGGCTAATTTTCTTTCCCTCTTTTTCTTTGCTTAGCCATTTCGACCGATTTTTGTTTGCTTTTAAATTCTTCTAGAGAGTTTGTCCATGGTTTTTGCTTGTCCCCAGCGTCAGGTATCTCGGGCTTAACATCATGCCTAGAGACGATCTCTCCATTGATTTTGTCAAGAGGATGCCCCAAGCCGAACCTCTGGACCCAGGCTTGATCCTGGACGACTGGATCAACCGCGTCCAGAACCTTCCCGAAGAAATTCGCTTCATGCATGAAGAGATCGCCGACAAAGACCGCCAATACAACGAATGCATCCGTATGATAGAAGACCGCGATGGCAAGATACAAAAATGGATCAAGTCCAACGGCAGCCACGAACCTAATCCGAAAGAGGAGCTGCTACGTTCCCAGATTCGTGACAATTTCGCCAAGGCGGACAGGCTCGCACAGGACAAGATCGCATTGACACAGAAGCTTCAGTTGACCATGGACAAACATCTACGGAGTATCGATATACAAATCAAGCTCTTGTACGACCGCGCTGAACCAGGTTTTACGGACCCCGACGAAGTGCCGTCCCTACTACGCGCCAGCGCTGCAAACCATACTGCGCCGTCGATCCGAGCCATCAACCCTTCCGCAAATATTACTGCCTCCGGCCCCTCGGCTGCTGCAATAACTACAACTCACAGCAACCCCGCGACTACCAGACTCCCTGCGCACCCTCACATTCGACTTGCCCAGCCTCAACCGAATGGACCGCAACACTCTGCATCTGCCCCAGCCACGCCAGCAGCCAGTATCATCCTAAACAGACAACGCGAAAGCTCGGCAGGCCCGGCGACAAAGCGCGGTCCTCGGGCAAATACAGGTCCAGGTAACGCTCCTACCACATCCAGTTGTCTGGCTAGGCATTCATCACTTGGTCCCGGGACGCCAAAAAATGCATCTGCTTCAGGCGCCGCAGGTGTCTTACGGGCTGGCAGTGCAGGACCTCGATCTACCTCTGTCAAGGCCGGCTCAAACGCTGGCAGCCGCCGGGGCACGCCGACTGCGGCGTCACGAAAGAAACCACCCAACAAATCCTCCCTATCACGTGTGAAAAAAGCTTCGGCGCGAAATTCGCCAGCTTCCACCGCAGACAGCGATTTATCTGAAGCAGAAAGCCTGAGCGGCGAAGAAGAGGAAATGGTGGATGGTCGATCAAGGGGAACGCCCATGGGCGATGGCAAGGATGCCGATGGGGACGAACCGATTGGAGATGCTGACGATGATGACGAAGAGGGCGGCGATGACAAGAAGTATTGCCTGTGCCATAATGTAAGCTATGGCGATATGGTCGCTTGTGACAACGATAACTGCCCTTATGAGTGGTTTCATTGGTCTTGTGTCGGACTGAAAAGCGAACCCAATGGTACTTGGTACTGTCCGGTTTGTGCCGAAAAATTTCAGCGCAAAGCAAAATAACTCCGCTGGTCGTCGAGTCCGGATAGACAGGGAAGGGCGTTTTGAGCGTGATTTTACAAAGACGGTTTTCAATGTATCGCCTATTTGATCATGACGCATGAGGGAATTTGGTTTGGCGATTGGGAAGAGCATGTATATGTCCCGTCTTTTATTTTTCCCTTTCAACTCCGTAAATCTCCAACCATTCTCAGAAACAAATCAAACTCCTGGATCTCACATGGGTTTCATGATGTGTCTTGGCAAAAAGCATTCTATGGGGGGCCTGGTACTAGTCAAGGGTTGGATATGAAGGCATTATTATGCCGAAGCCAATATACAGCGAACAATCCCGCGTCTGACCCCATCCGCTTCTTCTCTTATCTTGGTAACTATTGCACCGCCTTCTCGAATCTTGTCTACAAAGTCGTCCAGGGAGCCACCAACCCCAAAGTACAATCTTTTGGCTGCCACCCATGCCGAGGCTTGTGACCCGAAAAGGAGCCTTTCTCGCTCTAGAATAACCAACACTGTCTCCGTGAACAACTGGAGGGCAAACGGCGAATAAATGGTTTCGGCGCCCAATAATATAGAAACGGGAGATAGTTCCGGCGAAGCGGCAGCTACATGACTCGCAGTGGAATAGAGCAACTCGACAAATTCGGCTGACCAACCGCCCGACAGAATCAAAAGTTCCATACCGTGCGTGCGCAGATATGTCTCGAATCCCTCGAGGATGGCTGGTGATAATTCGAGCTCACCATCGACTGAGAAGGCGTCCTGCAGCCCGGCGAGACTCTGCCGGTGGTGTAGTGCCCAAGTAAGAATAAAGTTTGGCAACGTGACAAGCTGTAGCACCGATGGATTGTAGTCGGCGAGAACAAAGCTGTACTGTCGATTTGATGGTGAGGACTGTAGGGACATGGCCCATTGGAACATGGCTAGAGACGGGAGACCAGTCCCGCAGCCGAGCTATGGAATATGGCCACGTCAGTGACTGGTAGGCGCATACTTTCTCCGTTGTGGCAGATAAGTCTCCTCCAAATGAGGGGAAAGTTGGATATCAAACTGCGCAGAGAGGCAGCTATCCGAAAAGACAAATTGGTCGAGAACATACCTCGATGATACGAGCGGATCGCGAATTGGAATAGGATGCCGGATGACTCTGGGTGGCCAGGACCTTGACCAGATCGACGCTGCTCTCCCAGCTTTTAAACCCACCTTCATAAACACCAGTCTTGACGTCTCGATCGCCCAACCCTTCGCCTGGATGTGCTGTGTCATCTTCCTCTTCAGCCATGAGTTGTACCCTGACATCCCATAGCTCTCTTCGAGGAAGCTGTATGGTTTCACCACTGTCAAGCGGTATATCCAGCAGGCTGTAAGCAATCTTGGACGGCATGCTGGACAGCATCCTTCTGAGGTCATGTTTTGTTGGTGGAAGCTGTGGTTTTCCCTGGACGGGGAAAGCGGTCGTCTTTGCTGCAGGCTGCGGACGCTGTTGCTGCACATTTTCCTTCAGTGAGGCCGAACCCTCATCTGTCTTGCCCGCGTCTATGTCATCTCCCGAGAACTCGAACGAAAAGGACATTTTCGATTCTGGAATCAGCATCAATCCGGTCAAAGATCCCTCCCCTCCGTTTATTTTTGGCACAAGTGGTCGCTGACTGGATGTGGGGCGGGTTTTATCTATCGGCTTGGTCAACTTCAGCGTTGACTAGCTGGCTTGCTTTCTCGGTAGCCTCAACCTCTCCGTTCTCCTGCTACCCGCCGCCTCCAGCTTGCGAGGACTTTGTTCCCCCTACAATAAGTTGGCTGGAATAGCGGACAGACCGGCCTCATCGCTCGGGGTGCACAGCACTTCGGTCACAAGTGAGGACCAACTGAGCCCTTTGGAAAGAGTCTTGAGATGAGAGTATTCGTCAAAGATCGAGCTGCGAACACCATCGTCAGCGGTCACATGTTTTTTCGCCGCTGACCTTTTCAGACCTCGCAGTCATGTATTCGTCTATTGCTCGGCGGGCAACTGCGTCGACACAAACCAGCCTGCGACAAACAAACACCGCCCTTCTGCCACCAATTCCTCTGTACAGGCGACTTTTGCGAGCACATAGGAAGCACCTGCCGGCTGATATGCGTGTATTGGGTGATGAGTACATCAAGGCCGAGTTCAGACTCCATCGCAAGGTTGACAACCCGGCTCATCTGGTGAGCACCCTGGCAATCCAAGAAGCCCTTTACAGGCTAGTGGTGCCCCTCAGTCATGGATTGTTGGTGGTTAACGCGGTAGTAGATTGGATTTCTTACTGAATGGCAGACATATGCCCAAAAAATTGAGGGCGATTCTTGGGTTGGTGAAAAAATTGATCAAGGAAGACTCCAAAAAATGAGTGGTGAGTCTAACTTTGTCGGGGGCATCAATCACATCGTCTCAACATCTGAATCTGGTGTTGTGTTGCAAAGACTGATCTCTGAATGACCCTTCAATTATTGTAATTTTATTTCTTCTGCTAACAATCTCATGCTCCACGTCACAGACGAGCAGATTCATCAACTCTACCAATTGATGCAGGCGATACAAAACCGTAGCAACGGTAGTTCGTCGGAAATATGATTTGCACAGGTCAGAAGCCATGTGTAATCTGATAACACCGTGCTTGCTATGTTGTACTGTATATCACGCTAGATGAAGTAATGCAGAGAATCCTTGACAAGTGAACAACGTCAAAATGCACTCGTAAGCTCTTCCATCTGTTGCAGTAAAGTTTCAGCTTATCTCTGCAGTGCTTCCTCGATCCATGTTGCGCGTATTGCACTGACTTTTTTGACATAATTTTTATTGGTGTATACGTGATCCAGAAACATAATTGCCTCCTTTTTCTGTCCATGTAACACGCTTGCCGGGTGGGTAGCTACCACGTGTTTCCCATAAACAGTGACGTAACTAGCATCAGGGGCCAGCATTGCTGTCTTCAAGGCGTATCCTCGAAGGAAGCACCGTAGCACTGCCTCAGCCCTCTCAGGGCTAAGCGGCGTATATAGCTGAGGATCAGGTAAAGGAGACTCGCTCAGTATTCTCTCTTTTAGGCAAATACCCCGTAATTGTCTCCGGATGTTCAAGGCCTGCTTCATGTTCCGCATGTTGATCTTCTTCTGCCTACACCACTCAGTCCTGTTGGCATTTTCAGAACAGTATTGTTGCATAGTCGTCAGGTAAGTAATCAAGTCACCCTCACGTCGTTGTACCTCTTTTCGAGAAATCTCCATCTCTTCCTGGCCTTCCTCCGACTGTACTTGTAGGAATATGTCTTCTCCAGAGGTGATGCAAGATATAATATCGATGACTTCGAGTACGCAGTCAAACTCTGGTTTCTCAGCCGCCAGCAGTACCGCGCCCAGTGCGGGTGGGATTGGCAAGCGCGCCATTTTCTCTCCTGCCGACGTAATACATCCCTCGTCGTCTAAAGCACCAAGGTAGTGCAAATTTAGGAGTGCTTTCTCGAGTGCCTCAGCTTCGGGGGCATCTATCAACGGGAAGGAAAGGACATCTTGAATACCGCGCGCCTTCATCGTCAAAACAGCACCAAGCACATCATTTCGTAGTATCTCCGGAAGATCAGCCTCTTGAAGTGCATCAAACGCTTTTTCCGTGTAGAGCCTGAAGCATTTCCCTGGAGCCTCGCGCCCAGCTCGACCAGTACGCTGAACAGCAGAAGATTTGGAGATGGGTTTCGCCAACAGGGACTCCATGCCTAGTCTTGGTCGGTATTGCTTGATCTTAGCTTTCCCACTGTCGACAACGTATCGAACTCCGGGAACGGTGACTGAAGTTTCTGCGATGTTCGTGGCGAGGACAATCTTTCTCGTAAATTTACTGCGAGCCGGAAGAAACGCCTCTCGTTGACCATCGATGGATAACTGGCCATATAAGGGAAAGACTTTAACTTTGGGCACATTTGAAGCCAAAGTAGACCCATATTCCTCGATCAGCTTCTGGGTGGATTCGATTTCTTCTTGACCTGTCAGAAACGCTAAAATATCTCCTGGCAGAGGCTCCTCCGTGTGTATTTTAAATATTCGCTGAACGAGCGAATCTTGAATGTCGGACACTGGCTGAGCTTCGTAGGCGACTTCCACAGGGAAATGGCGGCCTTCGATGCGAAGGACCTTGACTGCAGTTTTGTCGGAATTCTTTGATGAGTCATTGAAGAATGACTGAATAACATCCACATCCGCTGTGGCGCTCATAATGACAACTTTCAGCGGAACACCACCTCGCATTTTCTGGTCAGAAGAAAGAATCTGTTTCAGAAAGCCTACCAGGAGGTCCACATCCACACTTCTCTCATGAATTTCGTCGATGATAACGGCACTATACCGCCTTAGATAAGGATCTCTGAGAAGCTCTTGAAGAAGTGTTCCCTCTGTGAGAAATTTGATCTTGGTACCCCTCGGGACTTGATGGTCGAATCGAACAGAGTAGCCAACGAGACCCTCTGTTCTCCCTTTCACAAGAGGAGTTCCTGCTTCTTGAGACACTCTGTAAGCCAGAGTAGTAGCAGCCACCCTTCTAGGTTGTGTGATGGCAATACAACCGCCAACATAAATTTCATTTTCGGGACTTGGAACTTTGACTTTGCGACGTTTGCACCAGTACTGTCGGTATAGGAATTGTGGAACTTGTGTGCTTTTACCTGAACCAGTTTCGCCGACTAGAATGAGCACTTCGTTCTTGTGACCAAGTAGAGCCTCCTGAATATGTTGACGATATTGCCATATAGGTAGCTCCCGGCGGGTCTTTAGTAAAGCTGTGTCTTCACTTCCCTGAGCCGAAGACAACTTTGTTTCATGGTGCCTTTTCCGTTTTTCGGTGGGAGAAATGGCTTTTGTTTCGTGATCTGCGATAATCTCGGGCTCGGGTAGCTGTCCAGGCTTTACATCGGCCTTTTTGTTTGACGGCGAGAGATAACCGTCTAGAGGTATGATTTTACCACCGATGCTGAGTGCATCTGAAGACGCCCGGGTTTTCCGCCGCTTGGTCGGCCGCTGCGTAGTATTTTCGGGCGGCATCGTGACAACGGCTTGGGCTGGATTCTTGGGTGCATGCCGTGATCGCTGTTTATGAGAGACGTGCTGGTGTACCTCCTCGATGTCAAATTTTTTCCCCTACGAGGCACGTAGCTTCACCTTTTGTTGTCGCTGGCCCCACTAGGGACATCGAGACCACACAGCCCCGCAAAATCAATTTATCATTTCAGATGCTAGTACGGAGTACTGGGCCTTATTCATAATGCATGCGAAAACCAGACTGGCACCCTCCAGAATGTGCACGTGTTCTCTTCATGTTCACGTTTGCCAGGAATCTAGGGCCGAGCAACTCCATGTCCAGATGGCGGGCATTGGTACCCATGAAAATGACTTAATAGGTAGTGTTTACATGGTGTACATAGAGCCCACGCATCGCAGAACAGCAACACGAATCATCATCTAATGGACGAATGATCTGTTCGCTAAAGCTGCACTGAACAGATGGGGGGGAAACAGGCAAGGCAACTTCAGGTGGAAAATTATACTGAAAGCAATGCTGGACAGTAACTACGTGCATCAAAGTTATGTATTCTATCTGTCCCGAAATCAACTGGTGTACCTTATTCGACAGTTTTACTTTATGCGAGCTAGACGCTCTCGGTTCATCCTTGTAGCATCGTCGACAGCATCGCTCTGCAGACATGGGTTAGTAGAGTCAAAGGCTAGCTGCAGACTTGAGTTGTTGTTCTTACCTTGGACATGATTCTATCGATCTGTTTGTTTTGAGCCTCAACCTCTCTGCCGATGGCTCGTCCAATCAAATTCATATTTGATACCTCCTGACCGAGTTCACCCAGTCTATCCTCGATCTCGTCTTCAGCTCTCATCCCTTGTAATCTGCTCTCTTCGTCCTCTTCATCTAAGACGAACTTGCCATAGTCCTTCTTTCGAGTCTGAGGACGAGCCCGGGATTCAGCTGCGTTGATTTCTTTGAAAGCGGACTCCATTCGCTGGTTAGCGGCATATCCTTCACGACGGGTTGCCTCTTTTTGGTCTCTTTCTGCTCGGTGTCTGTTCAATACCTCCTCGTCCGCTCTCTGTTGTCGTTGCTTAGAGGTGAAAGGATTTCCGACATGAACTGCAAACATGCTTCGATTGAGCGTCTTTAATTCTGCAGCCCTATCCTGGGCGACTTTATTTTGGGTCGCTGCGAGATCGAGATTCCTCTCTGTATTCTGTAGCCGTTCACCTTGGACGCCCAGGCGTGCTAGAGTTGCCTGTCCGAGCTCGTTTGCTCGCCTCGCCGTCTGAACAGAGCGATTCACCGATGAGACACTCTCCTGCTGAATCTGACGCTTCTGAGCCAGGATAGACTGGTACTCTGCTTCCTCCTGCTCCTCAGCCGTAAGCTCTCTCTGCTCGCCATAACCACCACCGTACGTATTGCTCTCTGTGACGGACTGTCCGTAGGAGGTTGCCCCTGAAAGCGGTGGTGGTTGCTGATCCAAAGGTTGATGGCTCGGCGTTCCAGCAAAAGGAGCCTCGCGATTCCCATCGCGCTCATTGTTGGACTGCCCAAACCCACCATTACCGCCAGGGCCGCGGTCGCCACCAGCTGGACTATTGTATCGATCTGATCCATATCCGCCGGCAGATCCGTATCGGTCGGCGCCATAGCCTGTAGATGAAAGAGCGCCGTGAGTGTTGTGTGATACTTGATTTGAATTACCGGAATCATATCTCCCGGTGGGTCGTCCTCCTTGCCCGTTGGAAGAGGGAGTATGCTGCAGACCGGTAGTGAGACCGGCTCGAGCCTGGTGATATGGGGTCATGTTCGCATATTTGGCGCTGTCGGCGTAGGGGTCGTTGGCCTCCTGTTGGGCATAGGGGTTCTCCGACTGGGCGGACTGTGACGAGTTCCTGCGGTCGCCATCGTCTCCCTTCTTTCCGAACCCAAATCTTACCATAGTATGAAGTACTGTGCTGAAAGCGAGAAACAAGAAAAGGTTTCGAATGCGTCGACAGCAGAGGACGTTTGCTTTTGGATGCTCGTAGCGGAATGAGATGTGCTCTGCCGATATAAAGGAGGCCAACCGGGTTCTGGAGCGGGAAGTGTTGGGCCTGGCCTGACTTGACACCCTAAGTAAGTAGGTACCTAACTTAAGTACTTCAGCACTAAAGCTAAAGCGAGAGCTGTTGCAGCTCAGGGCCGCGGGCAGGCCCACAGAGGGGAAGGCAAGAGACAACTAAACACCTACCTAGGTACTTAAGTAGGTAGGTACCTTAAGTACTTAGGTACTTACTTGAGAATAGGTACTTGAGTACTCCGTACCTACTTGAGTACCTAGGTACCTACTTAGGTACTCAAGTAAGTACAGAGGTACTCCGTACTTGTAATTTACAATCTCTAAAACTGTACCTATTATTGAGCGACCTGGGTACTACTTGGAACCTAATCGCGCGCGGTGGTCGATTCTGCTCACTGTCATCAACTCTATCAGCTACGACAACTTGACAAGACGGGCTACAACTATTATATTTATCAGCATATAATTTTTATTCTTATTTTCTATGACAATTTTATCCCGTCTAATGGTGGTTCTGCTGTCCATCGAGATAGGGGCTGTGCGCGAGGTAGTGCTTACTTAAGAAGTAGGTACCTAGATACTTAGTTAAGTAAGAAAGAACTTAAGTACCTAGGTACCTACCTGGTGACCACTTGCGCTGGAAGAAAACAGTCAAAGTACTTACTTAGAAGTAGCAATACCCGGCGCCGACACGGAGCACAGGCTGAACGTTGCAGAAACATTGGCAGTCAAGGACGGTTAAAATTAGGCACGGGGTTACGAAGGCTACACCAGCAGACCCTCCCCGTCTTCAGGCCGGCCTCCAGACATGGATCTTAATCGCTCAGCCCCATTGTGCACGAAAAGTGGCAAGAGGCTCAAATAGCACTGGAGAGTCTGGTCTGCATTGCTGGGCACCACGTACAGTGTACGTGTGAACCTTTCAACGGGCAAAGGCAGCAACCGGTTTGCAGTTCGGTTTCGTGTGCCGCCTGACTTCACCAAGCCGCGGGGTCTCCGCCTCAACGTTTCAGTTTCGATGGGCGGAGGGGCACAAGCCCGGTTATTACCATCTCATATGATAACTAGCACTCGGCGTGACTCGGGCACGCTGCAAGGTCAAACCTGGGCAGCTCTGCTTGCTTATAGGCGCACTGCGCAGCAATCACATCGATGTGGCAACATGAATTGGACATTGATGTGGCTAGTGAGTCACCAGTCGACATGCTTTTACGGCCGGCCTCTCTATTATGATTCCAGCCGTCAATAATCGTCCTGCCCCTGTTTGATTGACTTGGAGCCCCCAGAGTAAGTACCAGGTCAGGTACTCCCCGTACTTGGATCCTACTAGCTCAATCATCGTCATATCGACGTCCATCCAGTCGCGGGCGCATCCCACATGGATATGATATTTTCCCAACTAGTATTCCCTTCGTCATCCACGCGGTCCAATTGCTTTCATTGAACCTGAACCGCTGGCAACGACAAAAACCACACGCCCGACAAGCGAAGCTTGGTGCTTATCCCAAGAAGGTACATCGTTCCAACTTCCACCAACTGGAGGGAACGAATGGCGTCAATATTTACATATGATCCAGACCCCCCACGGGTTTCTTCTCCCTGGCTGTCCCCTGAAGACTCGAATGCACTGAGCAGACCATCGCGGGACTCCGCAGACTTAGGGTCGTTGCCTGAGTACGGCGTCAAAAAGCTGCAAGCTGAGCCTCAGGAAGGGCCGACGGAATATAAGCTTCACCTACTTCTAAGACCTAGGAGAGCGTTCAAGTCCATGAGCACTACCAAGCAACCCGAAAAATTCTCCCAGACTGTTTGCCCTCAAGGCGTACATGGCGCAAATCAACCAATATTCACCGTGCCGGCATCAGGAAACCTACCTCGGCAGGAGAGACTGAAGCATCTTACAACGCAGTTGCTATGGCGTCTCCAACAATCCTCTCCATATCACGCTACTAGCTCCAAAGAATTGTCAATGCCCAGGCTCCCAGATGACAGTATTGACTCGAGCTCGTCCATTAGACTGGAACCACTGATTCCTGGGCTCGAGGAGTCGAGAGGCGCACTGTACGAAATAGGCGTGTCTGATGACGGGACGTTGGTTGGCTTGACAAGGGACGAGGTGGCTGAAAGCATCAGCACACTGCGTGTCATGGCGGCAAGTCTGGGCTGCACAGTAGATGTGGTTCGCATGGTTGTTGTTGGAAATTGTGAGTGGGAGGAGGTCGCGTCTTCTGTGCGTGATGGTGACCAGGAAGCAAATCCCGTTACAAAGGAAGGGAAACTTTGGGTGGCAGAAGCGCTTATTACCCCCTACCTCGGCCTTCTTGACATCTCGGACACAGAATACAGACGATCAGGCCAAAGCATGACAAAAACAAGCGGCACAGATCGTACCACCCCTGGGCCTCAGCAAGTCGCCGTGCCCAGCAGAGGAAGCTCCGCAACTCAGAGTGACCCTTACTGGTCCCACTACGTCAGGCAAATCGAGTTTACTGGGCACCTTGTCGACTGGAACTCTGGATAATGGCCGAGGGAAGAGTCGGCTTAGCTTGCTCAAGCATCGTCATGAGATGATGTCCGGGATGACGAGCTCAGTAGCTCAAGAGCTGATTGGATACAACAAGAACTCGATTTTAAATTTCTCACGGGGAAATACAGGGTCATGGATTGACATTCACGATTGCGCAGAGAATGGCAGGTTGGTGTTTCTGTCCGACTCCGGTGGGCACCCTAGATATCGGCGCACCGTTTTACGTGGCCTTTTGAATTGGGCCCCCCATTGGATTGTCCTTTGTATCGCAGCAGATGCCTCAGAAGATGTTTCTTCAGGTGCAGGCGCCTTTCCTCCACCCAAAGACGTAGCAAGCACTGCTGCCGCCGGCATTGACCTGGTCTTAGCACATTTGAATTTTGCTCTCAAACTCGATGTTCCCATGGTGGTGGTCATTACTAAACTCGACCTTGCTTCCAAACAAATTTTACAGAGAACCATGATCAAAATTCTGGCGACTATTAAAGATGCAAAGCGAATACCAAAGATTCTTCAGCCGGACCAGATCCAACACGATGATTTGCAAGACATTCCTGGAGATGATCTAGCCAAGGCGAATGCAGTTGTAAAGAGCATGGCGGAGTGTGAAAGCCTAACTTCATACGTCCCAATTATTCTCACGAGTGCGGTGAAGGGGATCGGCATTGGCTTGCTGCATGCCTTACTCGCAAATCTGCCGCTGCCTCCGACACCAACGCCGCGAGACTACGTCGGCATAGCTCTGAATCCCGAACAACCACAGTCCCTGTTCCATATTGATGACACATTTAGTTTACCAGGTTCCTATGGCGCGCTGGCAACTGATACCTGTCAATTGAAGAAAAGAGGTGTAGTAGTGTCTGGCTATGTTCGATTCGGAGGTTTTTCAGTAGGTGGCAGAATTGTTCTTGGTCCTTTTCACCCAGAAGAAGAGGAGTCACAAGGATTAGGCTTGGCGGTTGACAATCGACCAGCAGTGAGAGCGTATGGACTATCTATCTCTCACCCGTCGTCTGTGGACTTGGCTCGAATGGCAATGAAGAACGCCGTCTCTGCATCTGCCGTGTCAGGAGAATGGCACAAAGCGCAAATTGTCAGCATTCGGAACTTACGATTGCCTGTGCGAACCCTAGAAGCTGGGCAAGCCGGATCTGTAGGTCTCGTATTTGAGCGGCCGGTAACATCATCGGGCGAGCCCTTGACAGAGCTACCGCGCGTACGCCGGGGCATGGTCCTGGCCGTCCCGTCCACGCACATGCTGGATTCAAATCTGTCCCTTCAAGCAGCCAGTGGGTTTACGGCTTCATTTACTGAACCCGCAGTATGCTCTTTGACCCCGGGCTCCTTTATCAACGTCTATGTAGCGAGTGTAAAAGCTGCTGCTAGAGTCGTGCGAGTTTCACACGATCAATCCCAACTACAACCCAAGGCCACTGCCACTGGCAATGATGACATCGAGGATGTATTCAACCTAAACGCAGACATTGACACCGGAGATGCGACATGGGACTATAAGGCGTCTTGGTCCGGCGCGGTAACGCTGGAATTGCTTCACGGTAGAGAATGGATCGAGCTAGGCTCCAAGGTCATAATCCTAGAAGGCGGGAGCCAAGATCGGTCGGGACTGGAAGGATTTGTGGGGAAGATTGTTGAGATAGTTGATTGACTTGAATCGAGATGGAAAGTAGTGTGTGCCTATTGCATCTGAGTTTTGGCATCAATCAATCACGTCGGGTGGAAAATTGAAAAACTCAACAGATTATGAGGGCCGTTTTGTTGCACAAACACAATTTGTACATACACTCAGATCTTCCATCAAACTCGCACCAAACCATAGAATAGCGTCCATGTCAAGATAAAGCCCGGGAGGCCATTGAAAATTCCACTTGTCCAGAAATCCAAGGCGCTGGTAAAATATCGTTCTGTGCTCAGGAGCGACCGACCCTCTTTCAATGACTCTGGTGCGACCTGGAAACCATAGAACATCAATGAGGTTATGATTGACAAAATGATGTAGACGAGAAAGCCGGTGTAGGATTCGAGACCAAGTATACCGGCGGCAACACCAAACAACGACGCAGTGAGGCTTTGAAGATTGGACAGAGCCTGTGCGGCAAGGCATTAGGACAAAAACTCACAGAAAAGGGTTATACAGGCTGCCAAATGAAGAAATACCTTAGAGTTGTGAACAACCGAATCCGGGACAACCGGATGAATTTGATACTCCTGTTCGGCAGACATGGTGGCTGTGATCTTACGGCTGCAAGTCTTGTCGTCACGTGTCTCCTGACACACTATGAAGCTGAAGACTCCTAAGATAGAGTTCCGCAAGATCGGAATTGGGGCCTGTAATAATTATTAGGGTTGTCGTGGACGCTCTGCTTTGCGGATTGCATTGATTGATACCTACCTGCAAACGTTTGCAAGGATTCGGAGAAGTGGTCGGGCCGAAAGGATCATTGAGAGAGGGACCCGAATGTACGGCAGTCGGGCTCCACGAGCGCCAATCAGCTATCACTCCAGCGAGCTGATTTCCATCTTTCACGTCGTGAATTGCCACTTGCCTGAAGTTTCCGCCGCAATGGACCATTCGTTCGAGCCATTGAAGAACGATCTTTTAATCCGGGCAGCATGGGGTGGGTTATAGATATGGTGTCATGCTGGGAATTTGTTGAGGCAATACTGACGGCTTAACGTGTAGGTCAGCAGGTCGAACGCCCACCCATGTGGGTGATGCGGCAAGGTCAGTCAGTGCCAGCAATCGTTTCGACACCACAATTCGCAGCAAATGATGCCGTGAAATTTGTTCACTGATAAGAGAAATATAGCTGGGCGCTATCTCCCCGAATACCATGAAGCGAAAGGCACTCGCGATTTCTTCGAGTGCTGCCGGGATCCAGAGGTTGCGTCGACGCTTACCCTCCAACCCGTTGAACGTTTTGCCGGATTACTCGATGCCGCAATTATTTTCTCAGACATTCTCGTAATTCCACAGGCAATGGGAATGAAGGTCGAGATGATAGACAAGAAGGGCCCGCACTTTCCTGATCCTCTCAAGGCTCCCACCGATGGCCAGTATGACCAAGTTCTCACCAAACAGGTCAAGGTGGCAGAAGAGCTGGACTATGTCTACAAAGCCGTTACACTTACGAGAAAAAGACTAGCTGGTAAAGTGCCGCTTATTGGTTTCTGTGGCGGCCCGTGGACTCTATTCTGCTACATGGTGGAAGGCGGCGGCACGAAGCTGTTTGCTCAGAGCAAGACCTGGATATACATGTACCCCGAGGAAAGCAAGGCGCTTCTGTCGAAGGTCGCAGATATATGCGTGGATCATCTTGCTCTGCAAGTAAAGGCTGGTGCACAGGTATGATAAACTCGCCACAGTTGAATCCCGCCCTTGAAGACTGAATTGCGCTGAATGGACTAACATGTCGTCCTTTCTTCTGCTCAGGTGGTTATGGTATTTGACTCATGGGCAGGAGAGTTATCTCCGTCGTCATTCCGTGAGTTCTCTGAGCCTTACCTGTCGCGTATTGCACAGAAGCTACCGAGCAAGCTGAAGAGCCTGGGGCTGGATGCCGTCCCTATGATTGTCTTCCCCAAGGGTGCATGGTATGCCTTAGACTCTGTGTGCAATCTTGGATATAACGTTGTGGGCATGGACTGGCTCCAAGATCCTGAGGCTGCTGTCAGGATTCGCGGATCACGCAATGTGGTCTTCCAAGGCAACGCCGATCCTGGTGTCCTGTACGGAACTAAGGAGGCGATAACATTGGCCGTGGAACAAATGGTCCGCGGATTTTGGGTCGGTAAGAAGGGTTGGATTGCCAACTTGGGACACGGTATGTCACAAGTAGAAACTGATTTCTTATCTTGAACGTCGGGCCTGGACATAACTAACCATAACACGTGTATAGGCATTACACCAGGCGTAGACCCTGACAACTTGAAGCACTTTTTTGAGGAAATTCATCGGCTGACAAAAAGTTGAGCATCGGCTTCCGGTCGCTCCATGTCAGGACTTTCAATAAAACTCTGTCAGTCCACTCTATGCACGCAGATGGGGATCAGGAAGCCGGGACGTACACCTATATAACCTACGTTTGCGGTCCCAGTTTCTGAGGACAGCAGAGCTCTCACGAAAATAACTAAAAGAAATGACATATACTCTTGAGGATCATCATACACTGGTAGAAAATTCTCATAGGCTGTCCTGTCATAGCTGATTAGACAAAGCAAAATCACTACAACACGGTTCGGGCGCTACGACATTTGTTTGGGTCAATCTATCGTCGGGTCTGACATGCGACGTAGCCACTCAATCAAATAAACACAAAAACCTTTCCAAATTTCTGGACCTTGCTGAAACCTCGAGTATTTGTTTTCGCATCTGTTGCCAACTCTGGCTTCTATGAGCCCCCCTGTGACATATGTGAATGCATTTTGCATCCGCATTTGCTTTATTGCTGTGGCAAGGACCAAGGTCAACTCCAAAGCACCCTGAACGTTTTTACGTGACCTCAACTCCCCGAAACAACAAAACAAGTCGCACACCAACATCCACAGCTAGCAAGAAGAAATGATGAATGAAAAAGAAAAAAACATCGGGGTCAAGGCGCAAATCCACGCATGTGACTTAACTGCCTTGTGAGCCTTTTGTATCAGAACAGAGAAACTAACCCATCCCAACGAATAACAGCAGAGAGCAGACAAATAATTTTTCACGACAGAGCAAAACGGCCACGTTCTTATGCATCAGTGATGTCATTTCAGAGCGTGAAGTATCCTGGGCATATAAAGCCTATTGCAAGAAAAAAAAATAAAACGGACACACAGTCCTATGCCTTTTTCACGAATAGCCAATTCTTGCGTTTATGGGAAGTCGTATCGGGATCCGGACTCGTAGCGGCGTCGCGTTTGGGAGCATCATCTGCCACGGCTTGTTCCCTGCTAATTTTACGAGCTAGCTCGCTCTCGCTTTCGTTTTCACGAAAAACGTTGCCTGCACCACCACGACCGGAGTGCTGGGCACCCGCACTGAATCGTCTTGGAACCCTGTCGAAAGATTGCTTGTGTAAGCTGACATGGTCGACGTTGGTCTGCAAAGGGAGCATGTCGCATGCTGTCTACTTACGCTCCAACATCCTGTCGCAGGCGAGTCTCACAGGGGTCGTCATTTTTGGCCATGTTTCCTGTGCCACCGCGACCTGTGGTGACGACTGGCTTCCTTAGCACTGGCGTCTCGAGGTCCGATGCACTCAGTTTCGGTGACCGAGAAGAGTCGAGCATGTTGCCGGCGCCACCACGACCGTGAGATGACAGCTGTGATGCCGTTGGCGATCTGCTGGCTTCATTTTTCTGTGCCATGCTTTCGCTTCTTGTAGGCAAAAAATTCTAGCAGCCAAGGGAGGAACTGAAGCTTGAGAGCGTTAGATTGTCGGTCTAATTGATTACGGTCATCAGGCTCTACAAGGTCCGATTTGGATGGGTAGGAAAACTTTCTTCTTGGAACAAGGAAATAAGGTTCGAAAGAGAGGACCAGTAGACCGATCCAGATATATGGCAATGATACTGCAGGTCGGGTCTGTTGCCAGGAACCGGATTTGGCCGCAGGAGGGGAGGGTGACAGGGTTCAGGAAAACAACCGATGCGCGCGAGTCGCGGCGTTTGATGCAGACAGTTTCAAAGTTGGTTGGAGAATGCCCTGCGCGTGCTCTGCTCTGCTCTCTTCATCGGTTTGGTGGTTGCTTTGGCCGATTCAGCTATTTGCCACAGTGTTCTTTGGGACTAGCGCTGTGAGTTGTCATTGTAAGTACCAGGCTTAATTAAGTACGTGAGCTCCTAAACACTGAACCCACTCGACCTCGACTCACCTATACTTTGAACATGTAACTGGTGTGTTCCTTGGTTGTTGAAATCATGGGAACAAGATAAAGTTCGAGGCTCTGTGGATGCCACAAAAGGCGGCTGAGGAGCACTATCGGAGCTATGGACTTGGTGTTTTACCTGCTGTTTTTAGATCGGATCGGGCGAGACCCCTACGTCCCCGTATTACCTGGAATTGAACGAGCTTGATAGCCTATCCACGTACCGACGTGTCTGGAATTATCGAACGGTCGTCTACTCATTTCATGCGGATTGTCCCATGTGAAATAAAAATGTTTCACCCGTGAATCTAGGAATGTACCTTGGCAGGTCGCGAGGAGGCGAGGCCTGCCCATCTGTTGTGGACTTGAGTGCCCGCGAGGTAGACTATACTTTTTTTGGCCTTTCGAGCAGAGATAGCCCGACGGTCTACCATTTGCTTTCGGGATATCTTACACCACTTATGTCAACCAACCCACCGATGAATGGAAGTGAAGACGCTGGGGAACAGTCCGGTTGATAATATTTTCCCTGCGCCGTAGGACAGAAATGAATAGTGAAACGATCAAGTCCGCACACACCTTCTCTTCCAGCAGCATTTGTTTATTTGATAGCCCTCGCGCAACTTACAATTCCAATGAATAAACATATAGGCTTAAGCTGGAACACTCCGTAGCCGGCTTACTTGTGTCCCTAGCTCGCTTTGCATGTCTATTACCCTGGAATATCCGCCTCCCCGAAGGTCTCCAAGCGGCCATAGGTGCCTGTAAGAACCACCTACAGCACAAGATGAGCAGCTCAACTTGTGGACTCTCTGTGGTATGTTTTCTCCATTCGTCTCTCCTCGCGAGTTGTGGAGAAGGGTACTAGTCACCATAATCGTCGTCGTCACCGCCTTTAATATTCGAGTCCTTTCGGATTGGTATTTTGATTCCTTGAGTGGCAAATGTCTTGCTCAACGCTGTACTTTCACACACGCCGGGGAACTTCTTGGCCGAGTAGACATTGAAAACATCGCTAAAACAGCACGCCAAAATTGGCGCCCTGTTTTTGTTGATCTTTGGTGCACCGGTATCCCGAGGGGTGCCGTCCGGCGGCCCGACATTGACAAAGGAGAACCGCAAGCTGTGGCCGTACAGTTAGGATTGGTGCCTTGATAACAATGCATAGATCAGGTTTTCGTACCGGAAGGGGCCTTCTGTCCTGACACTGAGATCTTGAAGAACAAACCATATTCCGATACGGTCATGAGTGTCACTGAGGCGGAATGCGCTAGCTGCCAAGCTGCCGATAAGATTTCGAGTAAACATGCCTTGTGGCTGTCCGCCAACCATTGCCATCCTCGCTAGGGAGTTGTGGTCTTGGACATAACCGGATAGACCGGTAGAACCATTCCGCGTATATGGAGAAATATTCGACTGCGAAGGCAGTGGTGCGACACTGCCCTCAGGGCGGTATGACTGATGGTGAGGAAAATATTGCTGCGGTGGGCCGTACGTGCCGTTTGAAGGATAAGATGGGGCTGTGAACGAAAAGAAAATGCATTCAGATGTATCTACTTCCACGCTGTCATTTGGTAGGGGCAAGACAAGAAAAAAATACGTACCTTGGCCATATCCACTTTGTATCTGATAATCCTGACCGTAACCGACACTGGGGGACGCATTGTACGCTTGGTCGCGATTAGATGGAAGGACAAGTTGCATGTATGGCGCCGTCCCGGTATCACCAGCGTTCAATGTGGTATAAGAATAAGGTGTTGTAGAAGAGATCGAAGGACTGCCCGTGGAAGAGCGAACAAGGTTGACCTCTTTGGTGCCGTCTTCATTCCAAAGATCAACGTTGAGGACAAACATGGAGTGGTCAATGTCACTAACCAAAGGAAGTGTGAGTTTGGCGACATCTTGGGGGAAGCTAGCTCACGACAGGAGAGACGCACTTGCAATCAATTTCTTTGCCCGTGGCAATATCTGTGATGATGAGACGGACGCACGGGGGTGGAGTGATTGGTCGTCGGTCCTATATCTAGTTAGAGGGCCAACAAGCCAAGGAGAAGGGCAACATGATGTCTATACCTTATCGCCGAACCCGCACATTCGCGCTCGCCGAGGCTGTTGAACAACGTCAAGTCTGTGAGCACATATCAGTATCTTCCATTATATTAGAACTCAAGCAAGATCGACCTAGTATAGCACGTACTGGTATTTGCGACCGGTAGCTTCATCAATCTTTGAGAACGGGCTCAACATCTGCTGGGAATTTCCAAGCGGTTTCCCCACGGCTGCAGATGTTACAGCACCCGCCGAAGCTTGCTGTGTGTCATCTTGCCTCGAAAGTGAGGGAGGTTGCATTTGCGCCGGAGAAAGTTGGTGTTGAGAGAGCTGCGGATGAGACGACACATGGTGGGAGAGCTGATGAGGTTGTGTGTTTGGGTGCGAATGCTGAGGCGGCTGATTTTGTGGCTCGCTGCATGGTCGTTGATGATGCACATCGTGAGGACTGCGCTGTGGAGGATGAGGCTGCGGCGGCGGTAGTTGTTGATGCTGCTGCTGCTGCTGCTGCTGGTTGTGGTGACCGTGATAACCATACATCGCATGGCCAGTGGTCTGGTGGCTAGAGGCACCAGTTGAACCTGGGGGCGGGTACGAGCCGCCTGGAAGAGGCAACTGCTGCGACATGTCTGAGGGAGGAGGGTACGTCGACCCCATTTCGCCTAGGAGAGGCTGTATTCACACGAAGCGTTGCAATATTGAGCAGGAGGGTGACAGAATTAGACAGTCTTGAAGCCGTGTGCGCAGCCGCGAGTTGGAGGTTTGTGATGTCACGGGACAAGCGCCGCCGTCCAGATATTGGTGAGCTTGGTGAGTGATTGATAGTTGAAGGGAATTTGCCGCCTTGGCGGGGCAGACCGATCAGGCTTCGACCTGGGCAAGGTAAATGGGAAAGACCTCGTAACTTGGGTCCCGTGTCGCGAGAAAAGGCGACAAGAAGGCGACTTGCGTGGAAGGAAACGAAATATAGGGTCTTGATATCATAAATGGTTTGATTCTGGGCAAATCCGGCCGAGTCGACACATGCAAGTTGAACAGGACCCTCAAGGAGAGTGTCCACAGCACGCCAAGGCCAGCCGACTGAACAGGGGGCAGCAGGTGCTGTCAACGTGTGGAGGAGCGAGACCTGTAGTTACTACGTACCTAGTTACTAGCTGGCTTCGGGAGCAACCATGTCTTGTCGGAGGTGGCTGTCCACAGAATGACGGAGCCGCCGAGTGTGTGCGTTTGGTCCCGCACTTTTGGAACTTTGAAAAGATCAATAATGTCAGGTCGAGTTTTCGACTTCTGAAGGATCTGTAATAAGAGACTGAGCCCGCCCGACGTCTCCGAGTCTGGTGCAATCGGAGCACTCAAGCTCTGGAATGGTACTGATTGGACTGACTCTGGAGCCAAGAACGGACATCAATGGATATGCCGTGATCGCCCAGGCTGTCAAACCCGACCTATATTACATATATAGAGTACTCCGTACGTCTGCGCTCTTTGACATCGCACACTTCCCCTGAGCCCTGAGAACTAAATAATTGGGCGGACTGACAAGTAGCGTTAGTTAATCCATACAGTATGCTCATAAGTATTCCATCTTCTTCAAGCCTCTCGACGTTTGGCGGAGTGGTCGAAACGCCTTGACTGTAGTCTGGTATTGCTACCTCCACTGCATGCGCCAACCCTCATTGTTCCTTCAGTGTCGACGGGCGGTGGTTTCTGGCTGGTCGTGCTGACATTACCCGAGTCCCCACCAAATACTTAAGTACCTAGGTGGGTTACAGCTTCTTACGAGTCGCTACCAGGCCTATCCTTGAAATGATTGGATCCAGTCACCCCGTCTAGTCATTCTTCTGCGCCGACCCGCATTCGGGTCGGCTGTAATATTGGGGTGCCGCAAAGGAAGGGGAAAAAGAAACTGCCAGGCTGCCCGTCCCTGCGCTGGCTGGGTCGATTCCCGCTCCACGACTCGTCAACATCTTGCGCGACTTGGGCTGCTGGTGCGCTTCCATCTGCAACAGAATATGGATCTAGTCAATAGGTACGTACGTACGCAAAGTCATTGAACTCTAACTTGGTGCGGCTTTTACGCTTTGCTGCCCATCTTCAATCAAGCACCTGTCTGTCTTGCTTGCGGAGAAGGCCGCGTCCACTGTGATGCCTTTGCTTAATGAGTCTTGTGACACTGACCTTTCCTCAACACAGCCTCGAGGGTCGCCTACTGTTCGCCGTGCCAAAGAGTGAGTGTAGCTGTACTTAAAGATTTGCGTCCGTCCCTAGCATAGTGATCTTATATTCTTGAGTGGCTGACTCCCATGGATGTAGAGGGCCGGTTGAACCAAGCTGCGTTGAATTTGCTGGAAGGTGCCGACATCCAATTCCGTCGCGAAAACCGACTTGATATCGCTCTCGTCAAAAACCTGCCAATCGCCCTCATATTCTTGCCTGCAGCGGACATTCCAACCTTTGTCGGCCAGGGCCGTGTTGATTTGGGCATCACGGGATGGGACCAGGTCAAAGACCATGATGCATCTGTGCGTGCCGTCACAAGTAGCGGTGTGGATACTGACGGGACGCCGGACTGCGAAATGGTCATGGAACTGGGCTTCGGCGCATGCAAGCTTCAAGTGCAAGTCCCAGAGAAGGGCAAGTACATCACCGGCCAGGACCTTATTGGCAAAACCATTGGCACCAGCTTTGTGCACCTAGCTACCGAATATTTCGCACGACTGGAGGCGAAGGATGCCGGCCACGATGCCCTATCCGATTCTACGCAAAAGCTGCAGACCAAGATCGTTGAGCTGAGCGGCAGCGTCGAAGCTGCCTGTGCCTTGGGAGTCGCTGACGGAATTGTTGACCTCGTTGGTAAGTTTGGGATGCGAAGTGCCTGATAAACATCACCAGCAAAAACGTCCTTGGATGTCTTTTGTGGCCATCCTTGTGCCATGTGATTTCATACAAAGAATAGCGTTGACATGCGGCCTGCAGAATCCGGCGAAACCATGCGTGCTGCTGGCCTGAAGGCTGTAGATACTGTTTTGGAATCGACAGCTGTGCTTGTCAAGTCTCGGGCACCGTCAAACGCAGACATGGTTGACCTGATTGCTTCGAGAATCCGGGGGGTCATTACTGCGCAACAGTACGTATTGTGTCAGTACAATATTGAAAGACGGCGGCTTCCCGATGCAAGTAAAATCACCCCCGGGAAACGAGCGCCGACCATTACCACTCTTGACGCTGAGGGATGGGTTGCAGTCAGCTCTATGGTAGAAAAAAAGAGGATTGCCCTCGTAATGGACGACCTGACCCGGGTTGGCGCCCAAGATATCCTCGTCCTGGACATCCACAACACGCGATGACACTGCGCCGTTTGGCCTGGCAATGATTGCTATCAAACCGCCTTTCGTTCTTGGCCAAGTTTGTCGGTAGTTGTGTCAATAGATGAAGAACCCAAGACTAGCCGCCTAGCTGTAATCGTATCATACCTGGGCTGGCAAGAGTCGGGGAAGCAGCGCTGGACAGACCGTGGGACCCTAAACTGCATTCCTGTCCCAGAATTTCACATGCTGGAGCCGGGCCTGACCATCTAATTGACGCATATGACCACTGAATTCTACCTATCATCTAGTCATCTGGAGAGTGATGAGGACTACGTGTCTACCGAGCATACATACCTGTAGGGAAACAGCCGCTTCGTAATGACGAAAGTCATCTCATCTGCCATCTGTTGCCACAAGGTAGGCATGTAACGAGCTAGATCCCTACCGACTTAGGTATGTACTCGGGTAGATGTTATCATATATGTAGGCTTCCGGGCACACGGCTGGTACCATGACCGCGAAGACTCCGCATCGAGTCCTCTTTGCCGTGGAGAAATGGCCAGTCCAATTGCGAGGTGAACAGCAGTCGGCCTGTCCATAACACGTTGCGGTAGACTGCACCATCTACAAAGCTTGAGAGCAGAATTGAACTGCAATTAATGCCCTCTGGGGATCACGAGCACCATAGGGTCGGCAAGCTTTTGACATCAGTTGACGTCCTTCGCATCAATCGATTCAGTGCCGCCAGCAAGGCTTTGCCTACTGACGTACCTAACTGAAGGGACCATGTGAGCACGAACTTGGATTTGACGGCCAACTGAAGACCTAATCACCTTCCTTGTAGCAATTTTCGGAACAGACACAAGCACAGCAGTGGAGACTTTGCTCGGCACTCGCATTCTTGGCCGGCATGTCTCTTTTCATTTTCTGGTATATCACGAGAGTAAGAAGAATGTAGCTGCAACAAATTAAGTTGGAGACGATATCAAACAGGCTTTTGTTTTATCGTTCCGTTGATTATATTTACATACCGATCAAGTATTGGTGCGTACTTGACTCTGACAATGTCGTAATTGTATCTTGCGGGGGCAACTGAGAAAGAAAAGAAAAAAAGGAATCGGCGCCCGGACAAGAACAGGACTCTCGCAAACGCGTCAATGAAACAATGCCTCCCAATGAAACGGAGATCGTGGACCACTCCCGTCAACGGCCGCCAACCAGGCAGCTCCCATGTGAGGAGGCTAAGCCTATGTTGCATTAGAATATTGCAGTATTGGCCTCTCCAATTTCCATCCGTCCCCAGCCGTACGGAACAAAGCTTCAAACAGCGTTTGGTTGAATTCTTTCCTCTAAGCTGCTCCAATATACCAAGGGACGGGGTTCCAAAACGCTTAGCCCTGTAGAAAAGCATCTCCTCTCTTCTTCAAGTATGGAAACAGATGATTGTCGAGACAGGATACGGTTTAAAGTGGTTCCTGCCGAAGCTAGAGCTTTCGAGAGACTCGGCTTGTTTGTGTTGTCTTGGGAGGAAGCTCTTGACTGGCGTGACCGGCTTGAAAGCCTGCGACTTCGAAGTTGAACATCCGAAGTGGAAGGTTGACATCGAGGTGTAGACGTCATGATAATTAGAGAATCAAGGGCTTTGTTGAAAAAATACAAAGAATAATGTCGCCAGTGACAATTAGAAGCGATATTGGAGCTATAACCTGCTCCTTGGTAAAGGTCCAGTAGGGCTGGTCCCGCTATACAGTACGCCGCGTCGCTCTCCGTTTCCGGTTTCCGGTATGGGACGAGTTTTTTTTTTTTTTTTTTTGATAGCTAGGCGTTGCTTCGAAAATTCGGAAGCTAGTTGCGCAGAGTGTCAAATTCGTCTGTGTTTCGTCAATTATCGTTCTCGAGATGGTCCAGCAAGAATTGGGACAATTGGAAGATCGCAACGACTAGTGGTGGATGAAGAAGAAAGAGCCCGCAGCAGCAGGGGTTTGTTGAATAGCTCGTGGTTGGTCTTTATGCTCCTGTCCATCTAGACGAAATTTATTGAATTGAAAAAGGGTCTTACCGCCGCCTAAGGGAGGGAGGGAGGAATCTTTTATTAACCGCCCAAGCGTGAGACGGCTTCCCCAAGCACAGTACACACAATGCAATGCCCAGTGAGCATATCCTTCCCTTGACCATCATAAAATTTGGGCTATTGGCAGGAGCTCGAATAGTCCGACGTCTAATGCCAGAGGAATACCCTGCTCGCCAAGGGGAGCATGAATGGATGTGCACCACATATTTGATGTCCATTTTGGTTTTAAAAGCCGCGAGACTCCCGTCACCACTGCAAGATAAAATCACAAAAAGCGTAAAGGTCGTATCCCTGTACGAAGCACGTTAACTAAGCCCTCCACACACTTTTACATGTGAGCATTATGGGCTGAGCGGCATAGGGCATTCAAACACGTTATCATCCCCTGGTCGGTTTCAGGGTTGCCCTACAATCAGGAGACGCGAAAACCCTGGCCTGGCCCCTGCGATCACCAAAAGCTGAAACCAGCATCGCTTCTGTGTCGCATCAATGGCATCAAAGGGCACCCAGTGGTCGCGCACTAACTAGGAATTGATATGCACGGCGAACCATGTAAAAAAGAGTCATTCCCCATGTGAACGCATTACAAAATGAAGACACGTTGAAGATGGGCATAGTTGAAGACCTCGCATAGCCGAATCTTGTCCGAGGACATAAAGTGCGCCTCGATCTGGTGTCACTGTTGCTCCCATTTCGATGAGGTTACCTCGTGTGAACGTCACACTTTGCATGAAATTCATGTGTCCAGGCATGAAGTTACATGACATATCAATAATTTATGGCTCCACTATGGTCCGTCAAGACGCCGCGCTTTGTCTACAAGATTGGAATGGTAAGAGAATAAAACTAAAATAAAGTAAAAAATGTTTGTCTTCATGCATCTACGGAGTACTACGTACTTATTGCCTGCCAGTGTTCTGTCAGGCACAAACCCCCCCTTCACAAGTCATATTGCGGCTGGACTTTCGCTTACCTAAGATCCCCAAAGCGGTATGCTCCCCTGTTAGGTCGTCGTAGCGTCGCACTCCTCCTAATACTTTCCATCCAAATGGAATCATCAAGTATATCGCGAGCTTCCACTGGGCTGGTTGCGCTTCCACCACGGCTTGCTTGGGGCACATCTTGGATCTGAAATTCGGACTCGTAAAGTTCAAAACTAAACCCGGAGCCGGTGTCTTCACGCGGAGCAGAGGTTCGAGATGTCCGAGGTTGGCTGAGAGGGTGCTCGTATGCCGTGTCGTGAAGGCTAAGGTCAGTTGACTCCAGAGTGACTTGCTGGCCAGCTCCTTCTTCTCGGCTCAGCTTTGTCGACCGAGGCTGCTGTGTGAAGGTCATAGTCCCTCCCTCGTTCGACTCGCCACCAGGCTCGTCATCCACGAGGATGTGCGGTATCGTGAGCTGGGGAATCGCCGACATCCGAGACGCACGCTTCTCCTCCATGTGCTTTTTGAATCTTCTTGACCAGTAGCTGGAATGGACAGAGTTAGCTCATGCACGCTGTTGGGTTCTGCTTTCGGCGAGTTCCCTTATTTCGTAGGTTTTGGGCGAGCTGTCTGTCACTTACAGTGTATCAAAAAAGCCTTGGACCACCTTGCGCCGAATTTCTTCATCGACACGTTGCAACCGAGCTCGGCGTCGTAAAAATTCCTCGAGTCTATGCAACCCGTCAGCGCAGCTTCAAATACATTAGGCCTGCGAGTAGCGTCCTACTTTAAGCTCTTACTGTCATTGATAATATTGTAATGGGCAAGAATCAAGAGGACATCCGTAAAAGCAATGCCCCTGTCTGGATCCGCGGATACCAACACTTCCCCAAAGAAAACCTTGAATCGGCGGCGACGCTCGCGAATCCTTTGTACGTCAAGTCTAGCCAGTCTCTGATTAAGCTTGGCTATGTCAACGTCGTTGTAAAAGTTTGCCGTCGCAATAGACATGTGACGGGCTGGTTTGGATTCGTCGCGCACATCCTCCAATATTTGTCCGATGGAGTCCTCCGGCTGGTAGATTCGCATTTGAAATACGCCTGAGAGCTCTGCGAGCAGGCGTGGAAAGAGTTCTTTGGAGATGAATCCAGTTCCCGCAGGGTCCACGCTGCGCCACGCTTCTTTGAATCGTCGTATCTCGTCTCGGTCAACAACCGCCATACCGCTAGAGCGTTGATAGACGTAGCTGAAGCTTTCATAGATCAGAGACACGAATAGGTTCACAAATATATACATGCTGATGATATTCCAGGCAACGAACAGAAAGCGAGCCCACCCTTTACTGCCGCAGTCGCTGTCGAAGAATTTGTTCTCCTCTACACAAAGAGGTGGTCGAATTTCAGCGTAATCCTCCATAATTTGGTTCCAACCCTCTCCCAAACTCATCCTGAACAAGAGTATCAAGGCTTTCGGGACACTGCGGAAGTTGATGTCGCCAGTCTCTTGGTCACCAAATCTGGTAAGGCTAAATGCTTGCGTCATTGCGATGGCAAACACGAGAAAACATACCAGCCAGGTGGCCAACAAATTGCTTATAATCGGCAGGCTGGCTGCGGCAGTCTTAAATAATTGATCCAGGGCGTCGTTTCTTGGTATCAAGAGCAATACAATCGCCACAAGAAAGAATTTGTGTAATTGGGCCGACGCATCAGCTGTAGCGTCGGCAATCATCAATGCCAATGTAGACACAAATGCTCCTGAAACTGCGATGAGTGAATAAAGGTCCCAGGAGCTTTTTCGAAAACGGGCCCATCCAAGACCAATGACTCGAATGGCAATGTTGCTAATGTACGTTAGAATAAAGAGAAGGAATACAATTTCTCTCACTTTTGTCCACCAGAATGGCTCTGAGCTGAACTCGGTCATCAGCAAGCCAAGATGAAACACTAGCACGACGGTAATGGCTTGATACCATTTACCGCGTTTTTCAATGGCCCGTTTATGGCACCATTTCTTCCAGCTCTTCTCACTTTCCCTGTATGAACTTTTGGACGGCGATATCTGTCGAAGAAGTTTGCGAAGCTCAAGCCAAGACCGCTGTTCTGCAGTCAGAAAGGCGACACCTGTTTGTTCGGTATAATTCCTCATAAAAACAGAAATAAACAGCGTTAGGACAAAGACTGTGGCCATCAGGTTGAAGATGACGAAGAAGAGCGCGTTGCCCTGGGCGACAAAGGGTTGAGGCTGCATTCCTTTGCCCACGATGGCTTGGGCAGCAAACGACACATCAATCCAACCTTCCTGACTGACAATTTGAAATAAAGTGAAGAGAGAAGATCCAAAGTCGTCAAACTTAAAATAGGGATTGGCCGCAACACGGGGGGCTAGCATATTCCATTGCGGGTTGAAAGGAGTGCTGTCAAACTCGCCAAAACACCCATCAAGAGTAGTGCTGGCGCTGGAGTCATTGCACGTAATCATTAGACCGTTGAAAAGGTTCAAACCATATATGGCAAATGGTATCAGCAATGAAAGCGATATGAGGGCAGCCTAAGTCGAGACATTAGTGCTGCTTTACTCTCCAAGACTAAAGGGGCAATACGAGCGCAGACTAAAAGACCAATGGAACCTACTCCTATTAATTTCCACCAACCAACGATAATGAGCGAATGGAATGTATCCCTAGCGCTGTCGCTGACGTTGAGAAGTCGGAGTGCTCGCAAAGCCTTGAACGCGCCAACAGCTCTCGATATCGCTCCATCATTAATTAGAAGCGTGATGACATTGATCCATAGTGTCACAAGAACAATGCCATCAATCATACCCCAGGAGCTGCGCATATATGCGTTCGGTGTCCAGAATAAACCATCCGCAATCGCCTTGATAGCCGCCTCAACGGTGAAAACCGAGGTAAAGGCGAGATCAGTCCAGACGTACCAATTCCATGTGTTTGTACTGTGATTTTCTCTGTACTCTTTCTGGTAAAGCGGTGTTGTAACACAAGCCAAAATTACCATTGCGACGACGACGGCGTATACAAATGCTGAGAAAACATACCAGGCTACTTTGTTGGGCTGCACGCCGTCAAACCGCTCAGGTCCTCTCGCAGGTCCAACTAATTTCTGGCAAAGCCGTCGAAGGGTATGTTTCGGCTTGAAAATATACAGCGAATCGTTGTATCTCGGATGCCGAAAGAGATATTCTCGTTGGGCCTTTCTTCTTGCGGATGTTGCTGAGACGGCTTGCCGGGCCATTTGACGTGGATCAAGAGCATCGTTTGGACCATCGAAGCGGATATTGGCGTAAAACGGGTTTGGCTCTTTATTCTTTAACTTGCTCAGAAGGCGCTTCCAGTACTGAGCAATCATGCCCGGGTTGGCATGATTACTAAACAATGCCGTCGTGCTTCTCTGTGATGGTACGGAGACTGCGTTTTCATGCATTGGGTCTGGAGACTCGTCGTTTAGGAAGTCTCGCACCACGGCATCTTTCAGGAGCATTTCCATCATTGCTGGCCCATAGTCCAAAGGATCCCGACGACGACGAGATTTCCCTAGGCTAAATATTGTTGAGAGTGCCAGGTTGCTGGGGTTGTGTCCGAGTTCCTTTCTCTGTAGAAATGCTTTGACTTGTTCGAGCCGTTTCTCGTCTTCTGAGACATCAAAATTTTCTTGAATGACGGCGATGAACATATTGATCAGAATGAAAAAGGAGAGAATGAACCAGCCTATGAGAAACATCGCGCCGATCCAGGCAGTGTGAAACCTCTTCGAGTAGGACGTGACGTTGTACAAAATTTCGGTCCAATTCTCGCTTGAAAGAATCTGATACATACCCAGAAATGAATTGTATATTGTAAAGAATGATATTCTGTTCAGTTGACCATCCTCTGTGTACTGAGGAATCTCGCCACGGAAAAGTTGTGAGGCAAAGATGGCAACTAGGAATGTCATCAAGAATACAAATAGCATCAAATTGGCAATACCAGCAGCATTCCCAAGCACAAGTAGAATCAGTTTCCGAGTGACGGGGATCGCCAATACAATTCTGTAGACTCGAAGAATTTGGAACACGGTAAGCCATAAATATGCCCTAGTGTTTGGAATCGGCGGTACAAGTATGATCGTCGTTACAACCGCCAAGAACAGATCAAAAATGTTGCGCCAACTCCGGTAGAATCCACGCCAGTCCGCAGCAAATCTGATTGAGACTTCAATATCGAGAAAGAGGGTTGCAATAACCTCCGCTGTGTGAATGAATTTCTCTCGAGAATTTGACATTCTAAAGCTGCGCAAAGACTGGCAAAGTAATGCGAAGGTAATGAGTAGTACCCAGAAAGCCTTGGTTTGGTCATAAATTCGATGTAATCGGGATTTCCGGACCCGTTCCTCTGGTCGAGTGGTCAAAGCTGGCTCACTGTCCGCAGTGAAAGCACTCGACTTGCTCTCTTCACGGATGACTTGGAATGATGAAGTGATGACTGCAATGAGCAAGTTTGTCAGCCACAGCAGCATGATCATGATCCCAGCTCCAAAAAACAAAGCGGCTTGTAAGTAATCAGATGCCATGGTCTGGTACATCAAGTCGGAGAATGTGTTCGCGCTCATTATTACAAAAACAAGCTCCAGGGAGTTGGCAATGTTATCAAAATTAACAGTACCCTTATGTGGGTTGTTTTGCTGGAGGCAAAGGGACCCTCGAGGGCAAATGAATCCCTTGCCATCTCGAGCCCCATTAACCAAGCTTGCCAGCGATTCGGTGCTTCCGAACTTCACCCAAGGCGATATTTTGCCAGTTTGATTATCCAAATGGCCTCCGCAGAACTGGTTCCCATTGGTAAATGCTGCCGTCAGATTTTGAGGGTCGGACGGGTCCAACCAAACACATTGGCGCTTCAAACTAGACTTGAAGCTCTGAATACCAATGATTGCGAATAGTAGCCAGAAAAATACGACCAAGAACGCAATTCGAACGAGAAGAGGAGCGGCTTTCTTTAAACTTCTCAAGATAATCTACATTGTAAGCAAACTTAGAAAGCTGGCTCACATAGGGAGAGCATGGAAAGACTCTTACCGCAGTACCATGGGTCAGTGCCAAGAGTCTCAATATTCGGAGGCAACCGAGCATTCTGAACAAATATATGCGGTGCTGACTTTCAATTCCTGTTATGCCAAGTAGAAATGCAACCCAAAACGAGACAACTGCCACAAAGTCCAGGCGGTTGAAGGAGTGTCGCAAGAAGGCACGTCGAGCCAGTTGATACCGCTGTTGCTCTTCAATTGTTGAAGGAAGCGTTTGCATTATGGTGGTGAAGGAGCGGGAGAAAATAGAATGTTGTAGCTCCGTCTGTGAGCTGCCTATGACGGACTTCTGTCGTTGGGGCCGAAAAGCGGTTCTGTATTGTTCCACAATGGCTGCTCGAATGCCCTTTTGGCGGTCTATTGTGCTATACTCTGGAGCATTAAGCAAGAGCCCTGACACAACAATTCGGGCAGCAAGTTCTAGGGTGAAGGTGACGAAGAGTCCAAGCATAATCCAATCAATGGCATGTCTCCCCCATCGGTCTGGACGCTCATTTCCCGCAACAAAGACACTTGGGGCAGCTTCCACTGCCAAAAGAATGGCCTGAAGAACGATGAGCGCGAGAATGAAAGGCTCAGTGTATGGGTTGACCAGTACGCCACACAGCCAGAGCCTGACTCGGCTTTGCGGAGAGAATATGCCCAAGGAGCGGCCTTTAAGAGGATTTGGCCGAGGGCCACGGGAGGGCGAGGGGTGGTACTGGTTGACCGCGTCCATCTTCTCTGGCACAAGCTGCGTTGTCTGTAGTCGATACGTCGTATCGCCAAGCATAGAGGCTCCTGGACTCCGCTCACGGCCAAATCTAGATGCCACTGGCGACCGCGACCGCGGCCTTGATGCCCTGTGATCTGGCAGCTCACTCTCTCCACTGATGTTGACCACTCGCTGAGACATTGCTCGAACAATCGAGCCTGCGCGGAGAAGAGCGCCTGACGGCGACGTAGATCGAGAAACTCTGTACTGGCCGGGGTCCAAGTTGCCACCATTGCTGGCATGTCTGCCTCGTGAAGTTTCACAAGAAGATTGGCCACGGTGTCCAAGGTTGTTTGACTGACGACTCATAGCTGAATTACAATCGAAGTCGGACACAGTTTGAAAACTGCTTCGAATGTTGGCGTCGTGACTATCAACTGGCATAGATCCCGATATTGGCTGTGCCCCAGCAGTGAGGGGCACCCGGTCGGAATCATCGTACTCGGTGCTCGGCGGTTCTTCGATATAGGGCGACCCTGAAAAGATACTGGCAGAATGGGACACATGAATGCCATGTTCTTCTGGGGGAGATGTATGAAAGTCTGGCGGAAGGGCGGCTTGCAGAACAGTTGGGTTTATAGGTGAGCTGGAACCTGCCCCATCGTCGGATCGGCTTTGCGAGGTATACCAATGTGTCGGGTTTGTAGGAGTACTACTGGGAACTGCGGGCGAACATCCATCATCGGCTCGATGATATGTATGCTCATCCTGATGACTGGGTGGTAGCCAGTCTGCTGTACCGCCTAGGGGGGCTGAGAGGAAGTCCTGTAGGGGAATAGAGTGACGACGGCGCGCCTGGCTGCCGTCTGAGCGGTTCGAGGACATGGACTGCGTAACTGATGGTGGCTCGAAATCGACGTAGATGGTGTAGTCAAAAAGTCGAACATCATAATCAAAGGACTGCGCGTGTCGAACTTCCGGGGGACGCTAGAAGCATCATCAATAGTTATCGTAGCCTTGATAAAACGGCAATGAGAGGAAGCAGCGTTGCGGTACCACAATTTCAACAGTCGCTTTCTTCGCTTTTCCAATGGTGCTGGGGTTGCAAAGTTGTGCGGAGCGGAGAATAGTGGAAGTGAGAATTGACGAAAGCTAGCTTCGGATAGACGGTGTTAACTTGTGATGTCGCTGTTGCCCTCCACAACGCACTGCGGTTAATAACGTATGTGCCTATGCAGAAGACTCTCCGACATGTAGAAAGATTTTGCAGGCTAAATGCTAAAACGCCTACAGCGCGGGTGATGAGACAGTCTCGTACGAGCTCTCTGCCCCTTGGGACGTGCAGTTCTGGCTCACGACTGGACAGGTTGGCATTTGATCGTGGCACTTGGCACCACATTTCTTCCTGCAGGGCATGCTGGTTTGGCGCAGCCAACGTCAAACCATTTTCTATTTATCTAGCAACTAGTTACCTCGCAAGCTCTCTAGTCACACCAATATGTCTGCCCACATATGTATGTACCTACCTAAGCACGCAGTTTATGTCCATCTACGAGAATACTGTTACGCGTTGACATCGCTTTCAGCATTTGAACGTACCAAAACTTCACTAATTGTGCTCAGTAAGCTTTGTGGGGCGTAAGCCTTTGGAGCTTTGCCTCTGTACGTTATTAATGACTACCAGTTGGCGGAGCCCAGCCCACTCGATGGTGACCCCTGTCCATTTTTTTCACGATTCGCATCCATAACAGACTGACCTATCCAGCAACTGCAACTATTATCATCCAGTTCGTTCAGCTTATTTGGCCCTGTCGCTACGTGGCAGAACATTCGCTATGCCGTCGAAAAAACGGGCAACGCATAGCAATAGCGGTGATGAGCCGCCATCCACCTTGCATCGTATTCGCAACATGTGGCAGTTCGCCAACTTGTGTCAGTGGATATACATGTTTGGCAAGGCTGCGAAGATTGATGACGCGGTCGATATCGAGGTACGAGCCTATGTACGCGACAAAGTTGCCACGGGATAGTATCTAACCAACCACGAACTCTCGAGTATTAGGAAGTCGAAGCAGATTGCTTAAAACCACAACCGACCCTGCTCCCAGATCTTGCACTGGCTTTGCTCAAGCTGGTGTCCACGCATCGTGGACTGACGTGAGCTCTGAAACATTCAGGCTGCCGTAAAGCTTTCAATATGCTAATTTGTTCCGTCAAGTCCAGATGTCATGGATGATCACCTTCGAAGGCAATATTTAGCTAAAGCACCGAGACAGAACCCGTTTGGCAGCGAGACCGATCCTGTTTCTTTTACCAGCCTGGACGTCTTTACCAAGGTAAGAAGAATTAGATTAGCTGTATTTTGACACTGGAATCTCGGCATTAACTAGCGTTACGAGCAGATCAACGTTCTGCAAAAACTGACGCAATGGACGATGGTACATCCGGAGCGCCTGCGGGAGAAAATGGCAGAGCACAAGGATACTGAGCAGTCTAATTGGGTACTGAACCTCACTCAATTAAAGAATTATGGCATTCATTAATTGACTCTAGCGCATCGAACCATATGGATGGGACAAACACGACCGAGTGTATTATGTGTTGGACGACAACAGAATATACCGATTTACAGAACCACAAAGCCCTGGCCCGCAACTGAAGCCCAAAAAGATGAAGCAGTACCGGATTGGTCGCCGAGCGAGCAAAAGACGACACACGGCATCACCCAGTGAAGGCGGCGGCGAGGATTTGAGTGACAGGCAATATGATTCACAGCTTCCTGAAGATGACCTTGGTGGAGGGACTTGGGAATGCATTGCCATCACTTTGCAGGAAGCAAGGGCCTTTGTAGAAACATTGGCAAAAACTCGTGATGGAAACGAGAAAACACTTCGAAGACAACTCGAAACACATTTATTACCAATCCTTGAAAAACAGGAGGAAGTAACGAAACGGAGAGAACTACAGCGAGAACGCGAGTTGCTAAGCCTGGCAAAGATGGCAAACGCCAAAAGATCAAGCCGAATTGCCGACAAAGCAGAAAAAAAGAAAAGAGATGTCGAGGAAAAAGAGGAACAACGCCAGAAATTGGAAGCTGAGAGGGCTGAGCACCGTGAGAAGATTGCCCGGCTCAAGCTTGAGAAAGAGCGCGATTTTCGCATGTATGCTCGCCAGCGTCGCCTAAAGGAGAGAAGCCCGTCGTGTGCGCCATGAAGAAGAGCTAGCGCAATTGTCCGAGGATAGCAAGCATGCTCCGCAGACAGCACGTATCTCCGAGCGACGCCTTCATGCCGAAATCCAGCGAAATCAACAAGCCCTACAGGACATTGGGCAAGAGGATGATGATTGGGTCTTCGATTGCGTTTGTGGATTATATGGCCAGGTCGACGATGGCACTCATAGCGTTGCCTGTGAATCCTGCAACGTTTGGCAGCATAGCAAGTGCCTGGGGATCTCTCAGGATGAAGCAGATCAACGCGAATTCCGCTTCATTTGCTTGTCTTGCAGGCGTCGAGAAGATGACAAAAATAATTCGCCGAAGACTATAATCAAAATCAAAGTTCGACCCTCAAAGATCATTTCGATCGCTCCAGTAGGAGTGGATGCATCGAAAGAGTCAAACGGGAAGCGAAATTCGATCATCCAGTCTGTTCAGGACCAGTCAACGGAGATCTCACCATCTTTGGCGTCTCAAAGAGAAGCCCAGCGCGGCGAGCTGGGCATAGTCTCCAATCAAACACCATCTCAAGCGATGGCATCCAGATCTCCTTCTATGAGAGATAGTGAGCCCAACAGGTACCTACATTCTTCGAACAAGGCCCCCCTCGATATTTCAGACTTTACGGCGCCATCTGAAAATCAATCTTCCGCTACTTATGGTTCTTCTTCTGCAAAGCAGGACATTACCAGGCACGCACAGGTTGGAGGATGGTCGCAGGCCAGTTTGCCCATTGTGGACACAAAGGGTCCAATAAATGCGGCTGAAACCCTTTCTTCAGCACCTTGTTTGGCATCGACAGAGAACGAAGACTCGGCCCTATATCTCAATCAAACTGATGACTCTTCTTTACCACAACAATCACCAACAATCCTCACCCCAGTAAGACACACAAAAAAGAACAATCTCGGTTCATGTAAGGAGGCACACGTGGAAAGAAATTCCCTATCTGCGCCTGATTCACTACCGGACTCTATTACATCATTTTCAGCCACACCAGGCTTTGTATCAAAGCCAATAATGCCCAACGAAGAACATGAGGCCGGTTAGATGTCACAATATACAGTGGGCTTGAAAGCAAGTTTCAACTGCTGTGACTATCTGCATACTCGTCAAATGTACTTAGTGCAGAGGCCGATGTGCCTCTGTGAGGTTGCAGACAAATTGGCTAGCTAAGATGTCAACACCGATTTCACTTTTTCTCGACCTGTTTCGCGTTATCACGGCCCTATGTTCTTCATCAGCATATCATCAGTCATGAAGAGAAGAGGAGTCGATGCAGGAATACGAGCTCTCGCAAATTCGATTCGTCCAATAAGCGAGTCCTCCTGCATCTGCTCATACATCGCTTTTTGTCTCGATCAGTGAAAATTCCTAAATTTCGCCTTTTATATCGACCGGTTCTCATCATGCGTGAAGCCATGTGACTCGGTTTACAATTTTAGTAATACTCGTGCTATAAGGTGTGTCCGCTCCGTCTCAGGCTATTCTGATGCTTAATGCTTGACAATAATCTGTCTCGACTCTTCATACCTTCGAAGTGAACTTCGTTATCTCAAAGACTATTATTTAGGATGGCAAAGCCGGATAAATTGGGATGTTTCACATGCTCTGCGCAACTTGCGGTCAGAGGGTCTCAGTGAAGCAATTGTGACTTCATATTCTGACCACATGCTATTCGCGCAAAATACATCGCGCTTTGATACTCTCCAGACCCCGATGGTTGACTCCAAACAAGGGGGCGCCTTGTCGAGGCCACGAGCTGGCACTTGGTCGAGCTGGATTGTCCGCATGGTGGTCCGTTTCACAGCGCACAGTCCACAACGGTGTGTTCTTTGTGGCCGCATGCGGCAGAATTGTATTTTTGAACATGAAATGTTTCTTCTGCATAGAACTATCGAGCAAAGGCGAGGATGGTGTCGTTGGTGTTCCGGTAGCCGAAAAAGCTTGTGAAGGCCAACAATACAATGTCGCAGAAAGGCTGACCCGTCAGGGCTATATTTTCCTGTTTCTTTCCTGGTTTCAACGGAGGTAAATATATAAAATGAACGGAACCTCCTGATCCTCTTTTTATTTTCTTGTGCCTACTGTGTAACTTATTTAACCAGCTTCTCGGCCAGCTAGCTACTGCTGGCAAAACCCGTCCTCTCCCACGAGGTTTGAGCCGAGGTGCCGTGGCTACGAAGCCGAGAATTTTCTCAGATCTCACGCGTCTGAGTTAACAATACCTGTTGGGACAGGTGCTTCAAATATTAAGCCGACTTCATTATCCTTGGTGGCTCTGGACTGCCAACCTGCTAGACACTTTCCAAAAGAGTTTATAATACCAGAAGCGAGTTTTGGCAAGATCCGCCGAGGGGTTTCGTACAGCGAGCGCACACTCACCATATGTAGGTCTATTATATGTCATTTTTGGATTAGATTTGTTATTAACAGACGTCAGATACTTACTTCTAGTCCAGAAAAGGTGGTAGGGAATCCTTCCGTTCGTGTCCAAGCATGAACTGTCAGCCGCAACAGGTCGGTAGCGTAGATTTTGTCGAGATGTTTATACTTATACTTACTAATTCTCAGATTCACGATAGTGGACATAATCTCGAAATGCCATCGATGACAAGCCCTGAAGTTGATATCGCAAGAGATAGAAACAACATGAGGACTGGGAGGGCCACGCCAGCAGGAGTCTCTGAGCGCGCCAATCTTTCACGTGCTTCAATGACGACCCGAAACGAACCCACATCGTCAAAGTCACTTACGACCGGCCGCGATTCATTAATTACAGTGCCATTATCGTCAGTCGCCAAGGCTCACCCCCACGATTACATCGACCCTGAAGAGTATGCAAAGCGTCCAGTTGAAGAGCGCCAACGGAAAGCAAAGGAGGAAGGGAAGGTGTCGAGACCATTGAACTCGTATATGCTGTATCGAAAAGCCTTCCAGCAAATTGCACGGCGAGTGCTCAGCAATGACCAGCAGCAATTTGCTTCCCAGATTGTTGGTATATCATGGAACAATTATGAGTCGAAGGACATCAAGGACCAATTCAAGGCTCTGGCGAAGATCGATAACCAAATGCATCGTAAAGCATTCCCCACTTATAAATACACTCCTACTCAGGGAAGGAAGCCAAGGAGCGGCGCACCAGACTCAAAGAAACTGTCAACTGCAATCGAGCGCCGGGTATGCCGACGATTTGGTAACAAAGACGCCTATTCTCATGGAGCTTCAGGGAAGAAACTTGTCCGACCAAATCATGTCGAAGCGCTAGGACAGCATCAATCTAGCGAGGGAAACATGGACATTAAGTGGTGGACTCAGGAACCCCCCAGTTTCGCAAATCCTTTGATGCACCACGGTAGACATGATGATCGCTTTGAACAGCACTTTACTACGGACTCGATGTACTTTGAGCCTCAATATCCCGATGTCCTCGATGAGGCTCCTTTCAGTCAACTGCCAAGTCAATCAGAGCCATTGGCTGCTAGCCCGTGTGCCCGTGTCGGGGCCGGTTACATGGACCCCAATCTCTTCAAGCTCGAAAACATGAGCATGGCCCAGAACCCTGGTTCATATATGGAATGGGGGCAACCTCAAGAGGCGCAAGTAGTTCATGACTACCCTCCTCTTACACCTGACATAAATGCTGGCCAGGCTAACGACCCCGGATATGAAGGGCCGGAAGAGTGGTCAGTTCAGCATCTTGATGAAGGACAGAATGCCTTCGGCTGGCATACAACCAGTGAGCAGAGAAGCAGATAAAGACAGCCGTGGCATAATGATGAGTATTATAAATGCCTATGTATTCAATTTAAAATATTCTTCTTCAGTTCTAGTTGTCCACGTGTATTTAGGAATTGATTTATTCATTGTGATACCAATTGCTGTATCAGCCTCATCAGTTTTTCTTGAACAGCGCACTCAACCTCCCTGCAGTATGTATACCTACTGAATTTGGACGTCTGTATGTTAGGTCAGGCGCCACCATTCGTCTACTTACCTACATTTAGGTACCTAGGGTATTATGAGCTATAATTAGTACGCCGGCGCAGCGCCCTTTCTCATGTCATAACTTCGAATAATCCCCGGGCTCTTAAACACGGCATGCCATGAGACCAGAGAGCTCATTTGTCAGTTTATGCTTCTGTCGCTTTTGGTTAGGCCATGAATTAGTAAGCCGCATGGGTAACACTTGTTCCTGTGGGGACCGGCCGTCGCTGAGCAGGTCAGCAGATCGTCCCTTGACACACGGACAACCCTCTGATGTCGCCAAAAAAAAAATGGCATGGACTTCGAGAATAGTAACTTTCGCCGGGCTACTCCTGCTGATACATGCGTATGTACCCATTGAATTATTAAGCCTAGATATCTCGGCTAACGCCCCCAATCACAGTTGCTACTCGGCACAAGAGCACGCGGCCATCTCGTCGACATCTAAAGCCCAATCCCTAGCCCAGCAGCAGGGAAGAAAGACACTACCGATTGATATTCGTGTAGAGACAGTTGTAGCAACTTTGATTGTATGCCTTGGTATCGTCACTGGGTCGGAGAGGCTACACCCTATACGGTGGCGGGTATGGGCCGGGAAAATCGAATGTGTTGGGAGAACAGGCTATCTCGATGGCAACGGGCAGGTGGACAGAGATTTCCGAGGAAGCCCGTTCAGCATGCTAGAACATCGCCCCAGCTTTCTCGATATTCGCAGGCAGCGTCTCGCCTTTTCCAGGTGGGCAAAGGCTAGGGATCAACACTAACGCAAGGCTTTGTTTGATGGTTAATGCTTCACTGTGGAGTCATCTATGTTTCGAACATACTCGAAGCATAAGCAGCTTCACGACCAAATATCCTTCTCTCCTCCACATGGGTGAACCTGCCGGCGGCAAGTGTTGGAGTGCTATTGTGATACTTTCCCTACTTTTTTCTTTTGGAGTCATGCATACATTACAACATCTTTGCTCCTAGATACAAACAAAGCGGTTCATATCTTTCAGCATGACTAGTCTGAACTTCTGGGTCAATCCCTCCAATATTATACAACCTGAGTGATTCTATCTACGTAACGCTTATGCCGTCGTGAACCCTCGATGCTAGCTTCTTTTTACCCGGTTGTGTTCGCGAGGAGTTTATGGTTCATGTGTCCCCTAGCTGTGCAATTCGAAAATACTGAAGGTATAGCTTGTCCTAGTAGCGTCTTTATCCGGCCTCAATGTCTCTAAGGTGCTTGTCACTGCATGATGTTACTTGACGGCTGTGTCAATACTAGGAAGGGGGTCCAGGAAGTTGCTGCCTCTTGCCGTTTATCAGCGTGACTCAGCTCCAATCTTTAGTCATCCGTCGTACCTGCCAAGCCGGCCTATGATGACCACTTCGTTTGACTTTATGCCAGGGGCCTTTCTCGGAAGTATGCTGTTCGTCTCATCCCCAGAGGACTCATATTATCTGGAACCTCCAATTCTTCCACATCGCCAGTTCATATTCCACTATGGAGGGAGCGGCCTGTCCTGATAGGTCGCAAATGGAGAATGACGAATCTGATTATGAGCTTCAACAAAGCCTGGAGGTCATTATGGCACTCGATGTTTGCGATAATGGGACCATGGGTTGTGCATTCTTGGACGGTATGGATGGCTCCCTGCATTTGGCAGAAGATGTTCATCAATCGACTGTTGATATGTCAGAGAATTTTGCAACTCTTGCATGTCCGACATTTCTTTTGCTCTGCAGCAGAGCTCCGCGAGAGTTTTTGGATCACGTTCAAAGGAGTATGGCAACTCAAGATTGACCACACATTTACCTCCCGCTCCTTCCTTTCCGTACATCGACCCCTCTTTGCGCACAGCGGTCATTCTAACAGTTTATAGGTGTTCTTCCTTACAAGACATGCGTCCGGATACTATCATCATCAGAGTTTTCTGTAGAGGCAGCCGTCGACATGCTGTCAGGTTGGAAGAATAATAAGTCTTCAACAATTCTACCAAATTCTGTAGCTCCAGACGATACTGGTCTCCTTTGCGGCTTCCCTGATGGCGGGAGGGAAGACAGGCTAGATCACTGTAGCATCAGTATTGAGGAGGTTATCTCCAACGCAATTACTGGAGAATTCAAAGACCCTCTGTCTGTAAGTTATGTCTCTAAAGCAGAATCAATTCACAGCTGACGGCTTTAGCTCGGTTGTGTCGGTGCCGTCCTTTCTGAGCTTCGTTGCCGAGGCAGCTCGAATGCGAGTCCGCTTTCCGGGCCTTCATCAAATCAACCGATATCTATTAAGACTTTTAATTTGGCAAATTATGTCTCTTTGGGCTCAGAAACATTACAGGCCCTGCAAATCATTCGGCCTAAGCTTCATCATAATAGCCAGTACTGGGGCGAGAGAACGCATAATCGAGATCAGAAAGAGGGACTTTCCATATATGGCCTCTTTCGGGATCACATCCATACCCCTCAAGGCAGAGCTAAGCTGCGTAGGCTTGTAGTACGTCCAGTGTCAAAGGTGTCGACGATTGAGGAACGTCAACAGGCTATATCTTTATTTCTTCTGCCACGAAATGCATACAAAACACAGCAGATTGTTGGAGTACTTAGGAAGATTCGTAATGCAAGGATTTATGTGGAGTACCTTCAGAAGGGTACTGGATATTCTCTGACCAGACAAGCCTTCAAAGGGAGCGTTTAGGCGATGCTCTGTGCATTTGTTTCCCAAACCTTGAAACTGCGAGAGTTGTTAAATGATTTGACGGACGACACGAATCATCATTTTACTCGAACTGTATGTGGAACAAATGATCACGCCTTTCAGTGGCTGCCTGCAGAACTAATTCTTACATAGACAGTTCCCAAGTTTGATCAGCGTTCCTTGATGGCTGTTGGCGAGCTGATCACTAATGCTGTGGATTTCGAACAATCCGAATACCGAGGCCGTACCACAGTGAGGCTGGGACTTGACCAGAATCTCGATAAATTAAGACGACATTATGACGGTATGGACAGCTTCCTGGCAGAAGTTGTTGACTCTACGCTACGGACAGTGCCTGAATGGGCCGCTTCCTACGTCAAATCATGCATCTTTCTCCCGCAGCTTGGATTTCTCATTGTCACTGAACTTGATCCAAAAACTGGTCAAGGGAAATATCACGGTAAATGGCCCGACGAGGATCACTGGGAACAGGTTTTTGTGGCAGGTGATTCAGCTCATTACAAAAACGACAATATGCGTCACCTTGACGATCAATTCGGCGACATTTATTGCGAAATAGCAGGTGGGTCCAAAAGAGCCAAAATATTTTTTTGTCTTACTAAAATCTCCACAGACAGAGAAGTTGAAATTCTTCATGATCTTTCCCAAGAAGTTTTAAAATGCAGCGAGTCTCTGTCGTCAGCTTCTGACACATGTGGAGATGTTGATGCTATTCTTGCCTTGGCTTTGACCGCAGAGAAGTACAAATGGACTGTCCCGAAATTAACAACTGGAATCGGCGTTCTCGAAATTAAAAAGGGGAGACATCCTTTGCAAGAGTTGGTTGTACCAAGCTTCGTTCCAAATGATTGTCATCTCGGAGGTTATGACCATTCATGTGAAGACCAATTCCCGTGCATGATCCTCACAGGGCCGAACCACTCAGGCAAGAGCGTGTTCTTGAAGCAAGTAGGCCTTCTTGTATATCTCGCCCATATCGGAAGTTTCGTCCCTGCAGAAATGGCGGTAATTAGTGTCACTGACCGGATACTGACCCGTATATCAACCCTGGAGAGTGTTTGCAAAGAAGAAAGTGCCTTTGCCATCGACTTAAAGCAGTTGCTCAGCGCGATAAAGCAGTCGACCTCGAGAAGTCTTTTGATTATCGATGAGTTCGGCAAGGGGACCAATTCAGATGATGGTGCTGGGCTCCTCGCATCTTTCTTGGAACACTTATTATCGCTTGCCGCTGAAGCTCCAAGAAGTCTGCTCGCAACACACATGCACGACCTCTTTGACTGTCACCACCAGCTGCTTCCGACCAGTAGACTACGCTTGAATCACATGGAAATACTCAAAGCTCAATGTGGGGTGGCCAATTCTGACTACATAACATACTTATTCAAGCTTCGTGATGGGTATAGCTCAGATCGCTTTGGAGGTTACTGTGCGACTTTGAATGGGGTCCCCCGTTTAGTCGTTGAACGAGCTCATATCCTATCATTGCTACTCAGTCGTAATGAGGACATCACAGTTCCCTGCGCTAAGCTTTCGCCCCAGGAAGAGCTCAAGCTGCAGTTGGCCGAGACCGTGTCGCGGAAATTTTTAAAGCAGAACTTTCAGCACTTGGCTAGCGAAAAGAATTGTTCATTGCAGGACGCTCGACAGGTGTTGCAAAATATACTATCCACGTAGGTAGGTCTGAGCTGAAACGACATATCTCCCTTTCTTTTGGGATTTCAAAAATTCGACAAACAGGAATACGGGAAAGGCCAGCCTAAAACTTGAGACGTTAGGGTACTCGAAAATACAGCACCAGGAAAATGAGGGTTCGCCATTCACCAGATCTTCAAAAGCCGCGTACCTTGGTTTCAAGATGTAGTAGATATCTAGGATTCCTTTCGGTAGCAACCGAGGATATAGCTATGTAGCTGAAACAGGAGTGAGAGTTTGCGAATGCAAAGTACGGGGCTATCGGATGTACCGCTATCCAAACATGCACAGAGCTTAGTGCCCTTGCCATTGTAAGTATGTTGCAGCGGTATCGGCGATATATGCGCGAGCTGAAATCCGAATCGCTGATCCCTCGAGTGGACCAGGTTATCGTCATCACTCACTTACTCGTCCCTCGGTTCAACGTCATCCGAAATATCCCAGTGAGTAGCAAGTCCCTGATCTGTATGCGGATGGGAGACGCGGCCATGAATCGATGCCGGGCTCAAACATCAATCGTTCTCGATGAGGCCATCCTCTCATGTGCAAAGTTCGGGCTCGAACATACTCTCAATAGAGCGTTTGCAGAGACTAGGCCCAGGAAGACAATGATTATACGAACTCCATGCATCGCACATTTGATGTGTTATGACAAGCCAATTCTGTCAGGCACCTTATCGAGACATGGCTCAATTTTTCCTGACACTCTTTTCGCTTTCTGGGGACCACACGCCACTAGCGCTCCTAACATATGCTAGTGTAAGCAGCATTTGTTCAAGGATCAAAGAATTTAGGGAGGAGATCCCTCCATGACACAAGCGCAGCAGACCGCCGAGAGCCGCCGGAACATACAAGCATTGTTATCGGCGATGCGGCTGTTAGTTGAGTAGAGAAATGACGGCAAGACATCCTGCTATGGCAGCTAGAGAAAGCGGCGCGACTAGGTTTCTCGCCCCCGCCGCTGAATCTTGACCAAAGGATTCGCATTTGGTGGCTTGGGCATTCAAGCACGCTTGGCTACTCAAACTCGCGCAAATTGATGTAGCGGACGCGCCCAGATTCCTCCCATCCCCATTGACAGTTGTACCTCCTCCTCCAGGAACTTTGACTGTCACTGTATAACCATTGCCGCCCAGGTTGGTCAAGCAAGCGTTGTAGTTTTGGGAGCAAGCTTTCGTAGCGGATGCGCACGACGCGCTGTTCGGAAATGACGTAGGCGCATATGGGAAGGGAAAATACGAATTCGTTATGTAGGATGGAGTAGTAGTGGTATGGATGTTTCCTGAAGCAGTGGCTGGAGCTGTGCCAGTACACACGAGCCTGTGTCGAATAAGATTCGTTAGATTTTTGGTGATCCCCTTCATTTGATGGAAGCCGACATCTGCACACTTACCCAGATGGACAACATGCAGCGTTGTTGTTATCATCAAGAGTACAACGTTGACCGTTCTGGCAGCAAACTCCATCGAAGACGGCACCCAGGGATGTTGGGCAAATGATGGTATTTCCTGGGCATTGCGCTCTGCCGAACAATACTTGTGTACTTGCTGCGCTATACGTTGGCGACGCCAGATCGCCTGATGCCTGGACTGAGGTCGTGCTCGGCAAGATGCAGCCAAAAGCGAGCCCCAGCCGTCTCATCGAATGCACCAGGAGTCTCATACCTCGCTGGATATTTGCCTATATCTCTTCCTGTCGGCAAGTTGGCAAGGCGGTGAAAATTAGCGGAGGTAAGTGCAAGATCCCGCTCCGGTCCAGATGAAAACCAAGTGCAGACACCTCAAGACACCCTGAGGCCCTTCGTCTCAAGACACCCTGAGGGCATTCGTTACATATATATAGTCGAGTCCGTTTCGCGTTCTCGCGGCAGTAAATTTGAAGTATGTTGAGAGGAATACCGCGTGTCATCAACATAGGGTAGGTGGTCGAGTGGGTAAGGCGAGGATGATGTCACTTATCTGGTTGGCTCAGCAACCAATCAAGCAGTAGCCAACCCGGCGTCACTTGCAGGCAGACGATGACTCATTATCACGCCTTTCATCACATGTTATGTACATGGCCAGTCCTGTCAGCGGGATAATTTTTGTTTTCTCTTCGAAGAGTACATCAATGACCACGGACATGGGTCAAGATGAGCCTGAGCCGATTTAATGCCAAAGATTGCTGGGTGTGCCGATTTTGCTCCAATTCCCCCTTCGCCTCTGCTGCGAGTGGTCCTAGATCCCCCCATACCTCGTCGGTATAGGAGGAAAGAACATCATTCCAGTGTCTCAGCCATGTGCTTCGAGCAAGTTCCGCATCTGATGTGCCCATGTAGATGTCCGCCTCCCTCCGGGAACCATCTGCTCTCACCACAAAATCGGGGTTGAAGTTGAGGAGTTGGTCCCAGAATGGCCAGGAGCTCCCAGATTCGAATAGAGCTTCTCGTAATCTGGATGCCTCAGAGGGGGTCAGCTCCTCAGGCTCCTCAGGCTCCTCAGAAATCACCGAATCCCCAACCTCGGACCGTGAAATGAACGCCACCACGTCAGAGCCATCCAAAGCTTCCTGCTCCATTACAGATCTGTCTTTTCTGGGTGAGTCGAATATGCCAGGCGTGTACAAGTCGAGCTTCAGCTTTTCACCAGCTTCGAAAGCCTCGAATGCATCAGAAATCCCTTGTGAGCGACGGTCCGATTTAAACGACTGCTGGGCCGTATTGTCAGGCGCCTGTCTATTCCTCTGTTGCTCCGTTCCGGAAATCGATTGATGCGCTGTAAAATGCGCCGATGCACTCGATTCCCCCCCTCCCTTCTGGCTCGAAGAGAACGCCGTCATGCGCTTGTCGGTTATTGTCCCTTGAATAATACCTCTTCCAGATGACTGAAGCCTGTCGATCATCGAGCCGGCACTCTTCCCCTTTCCCTTGTCACTAGACAAATTGAAGTTTTCGTCATTTGCACCAGTACAATCTTCTTCCGGCCAGTCGCCTGAGGACTCGTGTTGGGAACACATCTCGCCTTCTTTCGTTTGCATATTTCCCTCATTTTCGGCCATTGCTTACGTGGACTGGGTGTAGAATTTAATTTCTGGTGCCTTTTTGGGACCGGTATCCGTTCCGGGTAGTGAGTATCTTGCCGTACGTGTAACATCCAGCTTTGTCTGGCACAGATGGGAAGTATATATAGGCTGAGTACCTTTTCACCACAGAGATCGGACTGTTCCTGGGTGCATTTTCCGTAATTGACCCCAAAATCCCATGAACGAGGTTCTTGGGGAACGGTGCGTAAGTCGTAGAGAAGCGTAGCCCCACTCTTTTACGGAACATTGCATGGGCGGTCTCACATGCCGCGCTAGTTTGCATTATCATGCTACTCCTCCAAGGGCATGAACGGCCACCTCAGCAATCACTCCGTAGCATTTGGCTATGAGGAAATCTGCCGTCCACGCAATTCGTACTAGGTCCAAAATTTTGGAGAAGCCCAGTTCGTCGCAGGAATTTTCTCGTTCAGTTTGGGATAGTGACTGTAGCCAAGAAGTCGCCAGCCAAGCTATCGATCAGGTCAAACTTGTTGATTTCAATCACGAAAGCATCATACTCCCCTCATAGATGTCCACTCTGTCACGCCTTTGTCCCGTCATGATCCGTATCACATATTTACAATAGTCTCTGTTGCCGAGTGGGGTAGATAATAGAACACGAGAATATCCTTGCCATATCTTGGAATGCCGATTTTTGATGTCTTCATGACTATGATACAGCACTGTGTGTCCTGGACCTGGACTCCTGGTAGACATGGTAAGTTTTAGTGGAAAGAAGCATGAGCATGCAACGCGTTACGTACTTAAGTAAGTACCTGTAACGCCTATTAGGTACTTAAGGAGGCAGGTATAATCGGGTTTCCCAAGAGGCACCAGCTACGATCTCTTGATGTTGAAAGCAAGCACATGGCTGGGAGCCTAGGTGGACGACCAGGTGGGGTTGGGCTCCAACCGTCGGTTGTACGAGACCAATGATGCCACCCCCGCCTCTCGAGCTCTCCACGCCTGACTATTGTCAACAAAAGAAGCTTTGGACTTGGGGACGAGAGGGACTGGTACGTCGCTGACGGCCCACGGGTACAACAGTCAAGAATCTCTTGCTACTCTGCAGGGCATAGTTAGAAAGCAAGTCCACTAGCCTAAACACGATCGCACTGGGGCCGCCCGCGACAGAAGGCCGGAACTGCCAGCCGATCCCAGAATAGTAGTTGGGTTTTGGTGAATTAATATCGCCAGCAGTATCAATTATCTATCTGATAGATCTCGTTTGATTATTTTCTCCGTATTTTTGACGGCTGACGCCAATTCGGTCCTCACTATTTCTCGTCGAAGCGTTTTCAACCGCCAGGTGCCAGCTTGCAGTCTTTTGCTGCCTTGCTAAAAGCTAGTCCAACCATTGACCATTGACGTCTTGTGGGAGCAGTACTCTGGACCGCAGCTTGGAGCGAGCGAGCTGCTGTGGGAGCTGCCCTCAGTCAGGCCCACTGCCGCCGCCACCCACAGTCGTCAAACGACATCATCCACCGCCCGCCTGCTTTCGCCGCATTGATTATCAACACAACTGGCCCGCGTGCCACGAATCCAGTCTCATCATCTCAGACGAATGCCATCTCTCGCACAATCAACGACCTTCGCACGATCCTGGGACGCCTTAATAGCTTCCACGACCTATATTGCTGTCGCTTTCGTCGTCAACATACTACCTACCGCCTGGTCTCGCTAGCCTGCCACGACCTTGATCTCCAATCATCTGCGCTGCCGTTGCCACTTCCAGCAAAGATGGTAGACAGCGAAGTGAATTCCCCCACGTGGAAGTTCACGCAGTATGTTGCTTTCAAGGATGACGCTCAACGCGCATGCTAAACAAATCACCGCAGGTGCTTCGGCGATAAAGGCGATGTTGAGGACATAACCGAAGGTGAGCAAGTCCTACCACGAGCCCCCTTCCTAGCTTTTCGTCCCTCATGTCCATCTCACCATCTTGCCAGCTGATATAATTTCGACTGTCGAGTTTGATCATACTGGAAACTATCTTGCCACGGGCGACAAAGGCGGCCGAGTAGTCTTATTCGAGCGGAACGAAACGGTATGTCTTCTCGAATACCCAAGGACGCTGAACATTGTCCCTTGTTCAGCTCAGAAAATAGGTCATGCTTTGTCCGTTGACACAACATCTCAGAAGAAATCCTGCGAGTACAAGTTCCACACCGAGTTTCAATCACATGAACCAGAGTTTGACTATCTGAAGTCTCTCGAGATCGAGGAGAAGATCAACAAAATAAAATGGTGCCGCCGTCAAAACGCGTCTCACTACCTCCTCTCCACGAATGACAAGACTATAAAGCTTTGGAAAGTATTTGAGAAGTCACTCAAGGTTGTGGCGGAAAATAACCTGTCGCATGACCTTACACCCGGTAGCGTGCCTGGCGGAGGTGCGTCACGCCCGATGGCAACCACTCAGAATTTCCGAAACGCAGCAGACCTAAAGCTGCCGCGCCTGACACATCACGATACTGTTGTCGCTGCGGTCCCCCGCCGCACTTATGCGAACGCTCACGCCTACCACATTAATAGCATATCAGTTAACAGCGACGGGGAAACCTTCATCAGCAGCGATGATTTGAGAATCAACCTTTGGAATCTCAAAATACAAGACCAGAGCTTCAATATTGTTGATATCAAACCTGCCAACATGGAGGAGCTTACTGAAGTTATCACAGCTGCAGAGTTTCATCCGCAGAGCTGTAACTGGTTTATGTATGCCAGCTCCAAAGGCACCATCAAACTGGCCGACATGCGAGAGAGTGCACTGTGCGATCAGCATGCCAAACGTAAGGAGCTGGCAACTTTTATGTCCGCCAACCACTTGGAATTCATTAAACTGACCAGCCGCAGTCTTCGAACAGGATGAGGACCCTTCATCCAGATCATTCTTTTCCGAGATTATCTCATCTATTTCTGATGTCCGATTCTCTTATGACGGCCGATATATCTTGTCACGCGACTATCTCACCGTGAAGATTTGGGACATCAACATGGAACGCCAGCCTGTCAAAACAATACCTATTCACGAACACCTAAGGCCGAAACTATGCGACACGTATGAAAACGATAGCATCTTTGACAAGTTCGAGGTGGTATTTTCAGGTGATGCGAAGAATGTTATGACAGGAAGTTACAACAACAATTTCATGATATACCCGTCAAATCCTGATAAGGAAGTTGAGGTTGTTCTGCAGGCAGATAAGTCCGCCTTCAAGGCCAAAAAAGTTGGCGTTCCCACACCCATCAATTCCTCGACTAGCCCAACGACGAATGGGGGCAAAAAGAATGGATCTAGAGCCGGTAGTCCTGCGGGTGGCGCTCAGCGCATGAGAAAAGAAACGGACGCAGACCAGATTGATTTCAACAAGAAGATCTTGCACATGAGTTGGCATCCTTTTGAAGACAGTATTGCTATTGCAGCAACGAACAATGTATGACAAGATCCTTCCACCGCCCTGTCCTATTCCAGATGCTAACACCTTCTCTTCCCAGTTGTTCGTATTCTCAGCCTTATAATTGCAAGTTGTAGCCTATATTGTTGTCGGGAATGCTGAAGTAATCGACAACGGACCGGAAGAAAGACAATTAGAGGGTTGGGCTACCAGCGTTTGAATCCAAGTATCAGGTTGACGGGTGTTCTCTAGAGCTCAGATCATCAGCTAGGGGAGGAACGTGCAGGGGCGTTATACCATAGGTCTGGCTTGACAGAAATCATCATTCGGCATTGCATTGCCCACGTTGAATCACCGTCCTGGTACACACGCTTTGCAAACCCCTCCATTGTTCGAGGTTGACATTTGGCAGAGAGGCCGTAGGTGGTGAGTATCTGCGTCGGCTTACACAACTCAGATAACATAAAGCTAAGAGACTGGGCGCCATGGATCCCGCCAGACATGACATTCTCTATGCGTGACATACAACATGATTGTCATCTGTCCTAATGGGAACATTGTACGAAGAAGCAATTAAAGAGAGCAAGAGAAGAGGAACAATGTATTCATTGATTATGTCTTGGTCTATTCTTTCAGGTCTAAACTTTTACGTCCCTCCGCGTTTCATTATGACAGGGCCAAACTTGAGCCACTTGGTTGTTCGGTCAAAATAAGGAAACAAAAAGAGCCGCTGAATGGTGCACTGACAGCTCCACTGATCAAATTATAGTCAAAACGTGAGGCCCTGATCTTTTTCTTTTGCCAAGGAGAGTCCAGTCGCTCTGTTGCGCATGACGGATGACTAAGGAATAATGCGTGTCGTTCAGTGTTGCCATTGGGGGCAAGTCAATCAGACCCACTTCAGTTGTCGTGTACCCAGGTGGTTTTTACATGGAGCGATTCAGGAGTTGGATGTTCGTCGCACACATGATTCAATTTCAGAATCTGTTGCAAGGCGACTGCTAATGAGCTATCTACTTGCTGTGTCCGGTGCAAATTATTGACGTCCAAACCGCAAATTGAGTGAATTGAGGATACCCTCCCATGTGAGTAAATAGATCATGTCAATCAATTTCCAACTAGGCTCACGTCGAAAAATTTAGAGAAGATTGGTTCATTCCTCACGACACCCTACCTCGCCAAAGTTAACATTGATGGGCCAATCTTTGAAACAGAAGATGAACGCACAAAATCAAACTGAGAACGGGAATCGTTCGAAACATGGCGAAGCGATTCACTCATCCACGAGGGCCACCGAGGTCGCGCCGATTCTGGTCGTGGCCGCAATGCTCAGTCTCATTTTCGGGGGTTGTTGTTCCAATGTATGATATCTCCTCTCCTCTCCAACAAGATTTCCACCAATTATAATATCGATTGTGCTCTAGGTTTACGCTCTAGAAGCGATCATCAAGTAAGGGTTGTCTCTCCCGTGTGGTCATTCAACTTGACGAAATATAGCTAATTTGCTGCAACAAAGCTTTGAGCCAGGAAGCGGTATGATCTCATATATGCAATCGCAATCATTGTCTCTTCCAGTTGACGCCCTTTTCGGCAGGCACGCTCCTAACGTTTGTACAATTCTGTTTCGTCGCGCTGACGGGATACATTGTTCAACTGGACAAGAATAGGCCGCCGTTCTTTATAGCACCTGCCAAGGTTCCTCTACGACGGTGGCTTATTAACATCGTGCTTTTTTTTAGTATTAACGTGCTTAACAATCACGCATTCAGCTACGACATTTCGGTTCCAGTACACATCATACTGAGGTCAGGAGGTAGCATTACTACAATGATTGCAGGATACTTGTATGGGAAAAGATATGCTCGGCTACAAGCTATTGCCGTCATATTTCTGAGTGTAGGCGTTATTGTGGCAGCGTGGTCGGATGGTCAAGAAAAGGTTAGTCAACCTTGGTTTTCCATGATTCCGCCGGCGAAATGCTGATACGGGATGTACGGCAGGTTGTTCTACAGCGAGACTCTCGTCGTCCAGCTTTCAACTCTGGGCTCGTGATCTTGATAGTGGCCCAAGTCCTCTCGGCCATCATGGGGCTGTACACGGAGGCAACTTACCGACAATACGGGCCCCATTGGAGAGAAAACCTATTTTACTCGCATGTGCTCTCGTTGCCTCTCTTTCTCCCGTTTGCGCCATCGATGTCACGACATTTCTGGAACATGATGCACAGCGACGTGCTGACACTATCAATACCTTGGGTAAACTCTTCAATCGCGACACCATTTCCAAGCCAACTTGCATATCTGGCCATCAACGTGCTCACTCAGTATGCTTGCATTCGTGGCGTAAATGTGCTTGCGGCGAAGTCTTCAGCACTTACAGTCACGATCGTGTTGAATATAAGAAAGCTTGTAAGCCTATTGCTCAGCATTTGGCTTTTCGGCAACTCCCTTGCCCGTGGCACGCTTTTCGGGGCGATGATAGTTTTCGGGGCAGGGGCGTTATACTCGCTTGCATCGGCACCAAACCAAGACCACAGCGACAAAAAGGCGGTGGGTGTTGCAAAGAAAGAATAGTCCAACCGAGAGCGGCCGATAAAGATCATTAATTAGAAATGGGAACGTGAGATCGGAGGTTCCAATTATGTACAATCTTACATGAACCAAAACGTAGCGAGCCTGAAGCATCCCAAGGGACTGAAGACCTTTCTCTGATTTTAGATGTGCCTCCCTACATTCCTCCAGTTGCCGTGCCGTTCTTCAAATAGCTGGCCTTCTTCGGCCATTGATGGATGGCTAGGACCCCCTGTTTCAATTGATGGATACTCTGAATAGGCACCTTCCGAAAGCCAACTCCTCGGACCCCGCCAATGGCCCGCTGGAGCAATGCCTGTGGTGTCTGCTCTGGTGAGTCGGAGAGTCCACTTTGGCTTCACCGGGCCGGGCCCGTCTTTGGAACTTCAGCCTTTCACACATCACCAGGTTTCCTATTTTAATAAATAGACCTCAAGTCTTGTCCAATAACAGTGTCGCAGCCCTCGATAGCACCAAAGTGGTGGCATACTCGCAGCCTCTTCCGAGCATTCGGTCCCATTGCCATCTGCGAAGAGTCGAATAGATAGGTTCCAGGCAGCCAGTGTCGACTTGTCACCTGGACTGAACATGGCTGGTAAGTTAACGATACATGTCGCGAAGTTTAAATGCAAACTCCTTTCACGATCTTCACTCTCCTATTCTCGATGTCTTGCGGGGTATTTCCTTACATCTAATCTAGTCATCAAAGCTTGGCTAATAGGCAACACTGTGCATGTGCAGACAACGCCCACGATTCTCGAGCGCGAAAACCTCAGCGAGAAGCTGCTGAGCGAAGCGACGCAAATTTTGAAAATGGCAAAAGCGTCGAGGCAATGGGAAACGGCGAGGAGAGCTTCTCTTCTGACCGTGTAGACGAGCAAGCTGGACTGCAGGATGGCATGTTGTTGCGAGATGTTCCCAAGCGCACAACCTTCTATGATCCTGTCGCGGAACGACAAATGTCGCAAACGGACGCAAAACTCTTCTATCAGCGAAGCAAGATTGATCTTCGCAGCGGAAATATAGGTACCGGCAGTTGGGCCCCCTCAAGTCCCAACAGCCCGACACTGGCTTCGGGGTCCCGACCTGGTACAGAGTATGGAGCCGACTCTTTGATTCTTGAACAAGCTGGAGGTCGGTTTGTAACCAAAACGATCTCGTAATGCCCACCAAGTAGCTAACGCATTTCCCAGTTGATGATGCTGAAATTTCCTCCACGCCTCGCGTCTTTGCTTACAATCATACCACCACTAGCGCCGGTGCCATTCTCAACCCTAGAAATAGTCAGAGGGAGGTAGTTGTAAATAATACTGGGCTTGCTGCGGAGGGAAACATGAGTGAATTCCCTGACAACTCTCTTTTCGACACCGAGCCTCATGTCACGGCCGAACTGACTGCCATCTCTAAAAACATCCAGAAGGTGTTGGACATGAGACGCAAGTACATTGCATTGTCATCTCAAGGGCCAGATGACAACCCTAGGGATCAATCCAGCTGGGATATATATCCGCCGCCACCTGAACCAGCCTGGGCTCAAACCAAGGGTGGTCGTACCGACTTCCCTGATGTGCTGTCCTCTTGCCAAGCAGGGCATAGTGAAATCCCTTCTTCCAGCGGGCGAAGGAAACCAGATCTCGACGTTGGCGAGGATTTCAACATGGACGACTTACTACCGTTGCCTGTGGATGACGGTATGACCTTCAAACTTGACGACAGTGGCGTTTATCAAGTGTTCGACAATGAAAACGCCACGCTGCCGGCAATCAAGGTCCCAACCATCAGAGAGTTTTACATGGACCTCGACAGTATTCTCACAATTTCATCAGATGGGCCCACCAAGAGCTTTGCGTTCCGCAGGCTACAGTACCTAGAAGCAAAGTTCAATTTATACGCCCTTCTCAATGAGTACCAAGAAACCGCGGATAGCAAAAAAGTGCCACACCGAGACTTCTACAACGTTCGCAAAGTTGACACTCACGTTCATCACTCTGCTTGTATGAATCAAAAGCACCTGTTACGATTCATCAAGTCCAAGATGAAGAAATACCCAAGCGAAATAGTATTGTTCCGAGATGGTAAACATTTAACCCTCGCAGAAGTATTTGCAAGTATCAATCTTACAGCCTACGATCTGAGCATTGATACACTCGATATGCATGTAAGGCTTTCGTTGGCACAGTTCCTGAAATGTGCACCGTACCTGCAGACACTAACAATCCATTACATTAGGCCCATACAGACTCATTTCATAGATTTGACAAGTTCAATCTAAAGTATAATCCAATCGGAGAGTCTCGTTTACGAACAATATTCCTTAAGACGGACAATTTCATTCACGGACGGTACCTGGCAGAAATCACCAAAGAGGTCATATCGGATCTGGAATCAAGCAAATATCAAATGGTCGAATGGCGTATTTCCATTTACGGCAAGTCCATAGACGAGTGGGACAAGCTGGCCGCATGGGTGGTAGACAACAAGCTTTTCTCGCACAACGTGCGATGGCTCATTCAGATTCCCCGACTTTATGACGTCTACAAAGCAAGCGGTCTCATGGATACGTTCGAGAGAATAGTCAAGAATGTCTTCCAGCCACTTTTCGAAGTAACGAAAGATCCTTCCAGTCACCCTAAATTACATATCCTTCTGCAGCGGGTCATTGGTTTTGACAGCGTAGATGACGAAAGCAAGGTCGAACGACGTTTATTCCGGAAATTTCCAGTTCCGAAAGTATGGGACTCTAAGCAAAACCCGCCTTACAGCTATTGGATCTACTATTTATTCGTCAATATGGCCTCTCTAAACCATTGGCGCAAGAAACGCGGCTTCAACACCCTCGTCATGCGCCCACACTGTGGCGAGGCGGGCGACAGTGAGCACCTCGCGGTGGCCCTTCTGTCATGTCATAGTATTAGCCACGGGCTATTACTTCGCAAGGTTCCCCTGCTGCAGTACGCGTTTTACTTGGAGCAAATAGGAATAGCTATGTCGCCTCTCAGCAATAATGCCCTTTTCCTGGCATATGAGCGAAACCCCTTTCACCAGTACTTCAAACGTGGGTTGAATGTTTCACTCTCGACAGACGACCCATTGCAGTTTGCGTTTACCAAAGAGCCACTCATAGAAGAGTACGCAGTTGCAGCGCAAATCTATAAGCTTAGCTCTGTGGACATGTGCGAACTTGCAAAGAATTCGGTCAAGCAAAGCGGATACGAGGCATCCATTAAAAGAATGTGGCTTGGGGATAATTACGAGAAACCTGGCAAGGACGGCAATATGATGGCCAAGACCAACGTCCCGGATCGTCGGGAAGAATTCCGATACCACACTTTGCTTCAAGAAAAAGACGTGTAAGTGAACTTGCGCCAAGGCCAAGGCACAGGGTGAACTACCAGGAAGACAGACTGACCTTGTCCCAGGCTGCGGCGATATGTGGCCTATGACGGAAGTAAAGAGCCGAGCTCGGCAGTGGCATCGACCGACATGTCGGCCCCGGGGGGAGACTCGAAGACGAACGAGCCATGGAAAGTAACAAACATCGGTGAGAATACTCCTCGGGCTACAAGCGTGGGTGCCAAATCTGCCCTCAACGGTGAAGTCAGCCGCGACTCCGGAAAGGGTCCAGATGCCATGGTAGATGTACACTTGTCTGGAAGTGACCCTAGATTATTTCCAGGAATATTCACCCGGGATCATCGAACAGAGAGTCTACGAAGCTTGCAACAGGCCGGTGAATGGGTCGTCGATTCAAGTGAGGTTCCCGGGGACGATGATGAGAACGAGTTATAAAAGTTTCCTGAATCCATACGAAGCGTCAGTAGTACTTACTGGTCAGTCCTGTCCGCTAGTGCAAATGCGGCTACCTTCTGCTCATAGAAGTATTTTCCGAAAACAGAATGCCACACCACGGAGAAAGACGTGCAAACACTGCGAATGATTTAGACTGCTGGGATTGATACAAGCTGGTGCGAGCTAGGAGGTTCACTATTTCGCTCTAGAGATAGCCTGCCGACGACAAAATGTACTGTTAGGTTCTGATTCTAATTTTGAGCAGTCAAGGCGGAAATTGCGTCCGTAGGTACTTACGATTCCTGCAGCCACTTATGAACTGTGGCAAAGTGAAAACTGCTCAAGCGGTTGGTATCATGTTGAGCAGTGAAGCTTAGCAAGAAAATCTCAATATCATATAGTCAACGGTAATCATCAAAACCTCAGGATCGAGTGCCCAATTTTGTGAGTCGCCCTAGACTACTCCGTTAACATCGTGCATTACGAGAGTAAGCATGGACTCCCATTTTGGCCGTAATCCGATATCAACATCTCGTTTCCCGTTCTTGAATCACCAAGGCAGCATGAGAACCAGTAAGTAGGTCACATGGAGGCATTTCTATGCTTCACCCACCCAAAGGACCGTCAGTGGGAAACACTGGCGGCCCACCAAGCCGGAACCACACGCCCCTTCCTTCTTGCAAGTCGGGAGCGAGCTTACCTAACCTGCACTCCAACGTCGTCACCACCAACCTTAACCCTTTGCACCACACATCAGCACACACCAGCAACCTGCTTACATGGGCTCTTTGCCTTCGCCCACCTCTCTTACCCTGCCGACTCCGCGCCATTGGAACGCGGCAAATAAAAATACCACGAAACCTCGGTGGTGCGTAGTACACGCGTGCCACCCCCCTAGCCGACGCCAACATGGGATTTCTTGGTGTTTACACAACGGTCTACGATTATGAGCCACGTGCCGAGGGCGAGTTAGCCATCACAGAAGGCGATGTGCTCTATGTCTTGGAGAAGGGTGAAGATGACGGATGGTGGAAAGCCAAGAAAAAGGCGAGCGCGGAGGATGAGGATGAGCCAGTTGGGTTAGTACCGAAAAATTACGTTGAGGAGGTAGGTTCGCACCGAAGTATCTCAACTTGAGTTAAACTATCTCATGTTAATCTAACATTGCCGCCTCAGGCTCCGGTCGTTAGCCATGCTCGCGCCATTTACGAGTACACCCGCCAGACAGATGAAGAACTATCATTCCCTGAAGAAGCCGTACTGCAAGTGTACGACACGTCCGACCATGACTGGATACTTGTTGGTCTCGACGGCGAGTATGGGTTCGTTCCATCAAATTATATTGAAATGCGAGAAGAAGGCACAATCCTAGACGCTCCGAGCTTATCTGCGCCGCCCGCATTGCCAGTCAGACCACGCTCGGTTGCCGCGCCAAAAGAATCACCGCCCAACATAACCTCATCCTCTTCCACATCGGCGGCTGCATTAGCAAGTGTCATCCAAGGAAAGGCCAGGACGTCAACTCAAGTCCCACCTTCGCCGTCTTTCAAACAGCCGACAGGATACCAGACACAACATGATGATTCTCATCCATCAGAGGATCGTGAAGAGAGCCCCGAATCACGCTCTCCAGCGTTGCCGTCCCGTCCCCGACCGGAAAACACAATTGATCACGCCCCTAATCGTGTATCTTCTAGACCCGAGGCACGCGAGGCTCAGCTGACAGAGGAACCATATCGAACACTTGGAGGATTCCACATGTACAATATCAATGAAATGGTGTCTGTGATGGGCAAACGGAAGAAAATGCCCACAACCTTGGGCATTAATTTGGGCACAGGTACCATTCTCATTGCCCCTGAACGTGGTGATGACGACCCTCCACAAGAATGGTCTGCAGATAAGATGACCCATTATTCCAGAGAGGGCAAGCATGTCTTCATGGAACTCGTCCGTCCGAGCAGGAGTATTGACTTTCATGCCGGCGCCAAGGATACAGCAGAAGAAATTGTGGCAGCTCTAGGAGAACTCTCAGGCGCTGTGCGTGCTGAAGGATTACGGGAGGTTATGATGGCTAGCTCGCAACGCAAACAGCGCAAAGGTCATATTCTATACGACTTCATGGCACAAGGGGATGATGAAGTCACTGTTGCGGCCGAAGATGATGTTGTAATCATTGATGATTCCAAGAGCGAAGATTGGTGGCAGGTTCGACGAGTGAAAAACGGCAAAGAGGGTGTCGTACCCAGAAGCTATATTGAAATATCCGGAACGATAAATCCGCCGCCTTCGAGCAGTTCTGGAATCGACTCTGCCAGGGCAACTGTCGAACAAAATCGACTGGAGGAGATCAGGTTAACCAAAGAGGCGATAAGAGCAAGCAAGGTGCCTCAGCAGGTAGGACTTGGGACACTTCTCCCCGCGAGGGGCAGCAGCCTCATAGCCGGAGAAAATGGTAATAATTCGAGGCAACAGCGAAGCCGGCGCGAAAACGGACGCAACGAAACCGGCAACCATCACAAATTAAAGTCAAGTGCGTTATTCTCCAAATGATTCCTCGAACCGGTGAACATACACAATTAACTAACCTTGAGTAATAGAGCCCGACTCTTCCAAGCTAAGGACGTGGACCGATAGATCAGGTTCCTTCAGTGTTGAGGCACAGTTCCTCGGGCTCAAAGACGGGAAGATTCACTTGCATAAAATGAACGGCGTCAAAATTGCGGTTCCGATTGCCAAGATGTCTCGTGAAGACTTGGAATACGTTGAAAACGTAACTGGAATTTCTTTAGATGATGACAAACCGTTGGCGGATGTGAAAAGAGCAAAATCTTTGGACAGGCAGCCTGTCGAGGTCGGCGCATCAGTCAGCAGGAATCCCAAACCTGAATATGACTGGTTCCAATTTTTTCTTTCGTGCGACGTTCCAGTTGGATTATGCGAACGATACGCTCAAGCCTTTACAAAAGACTCCATGGATGAGAGTGTTCTTCCTGATGTCAACGCAACGATTCTCCGAACACTTGGTCTGAGGGAAGGGGACATAATCAAAGTTATGCGCACATTAGACACAAAGTTTGGCCGCGAGCGCAACAATCAAGATTCCGAAGGCAATGTGGGAGGACTCTTCTCTGGCCCGGGGGGAGCTCTTCGAAACAATACGAGAAAAGGACGGCCTGCTCCGGCAATCCAAACAAGTGACGTGGTAGATGCAGCTGCTTTCTCCAAAGACGACGTGGGAACGTCTGGTCCGAGTTCTAAGGAAGCTACATCTCCATCCGAGGCTACCGCCAACAAAAGCGGCTTTGATGATGATGCATGGGATGTGAAACCTCACAGTATTTCAGCAAGCGCCACGGAAAAATCAGCAAAGCCTATTCCAGCAGCAGCACCTGGAGCACAGCTAACAACAGCCCCAAACTCGGGCGCTGCGCTCACTGGCTCAATGAAGGAGTTGTCTCTATTGACAGAGCCCCTTCAGCCAAGCAAGGTGGAAGCGATATCTGCCACAGAGCCACGCCAACTAGCAGAGCAACAGGAGCAACCACCAGTCCAGAATCTTTCTGGCGCCAGTCCAGCATTCTTCTCCGTCATGCCCAACTCTGACAGAACGGGCCCCATCTCCTCGCAAGTTATTGCTGGGACCTCCCCAAAGCCTGTTGCGAGACAGCGACCTGCACCACCTTCGATATCACAAAGCCAGAACTCTCTGGTGTCGCCGCCACCCCAAAGGCCGTTATCAGCACCTCATTCGGCCCAGCCAACGATTTTCTCGCCTCCAGCCCTAGCACCTCAAATGACTGGCTCTGTTCAAGGCCAAGTTGCACCTCCCGGCCAAAGCCTCGGGGATATCGCCCAAGCCAGATTGCAACAACAGTATACTTCCCAATTTCAACCGTTGCAGCCTGCCTTGAGTGGTCATGTCAGCGTCCAGCCGCCGGGTGTGACATCTTTCCCCGGTGGCATTCCAGGGCAGCAACAATTTATCCGTCCTGTGATGACGGGCTTCTCTGGGAATAGCGCTTTCACTGACCTCAGTAGGCAAGCTCAATTTGCGCCAATTCGAACTCAACCAACAGGTTATCAAGCATCGTTCCCCCCGTCTACGGTTTCAGGATTTCCTCAAGGGATGACGATGACTGGCAACATTAACAATTTCTTACCCCAAGCATTGGAGCCACAACGTCCAGGTGTTCAAGACATGCAGCCTCCGCAAGTTGGTATCGTCGGTGACAGTAGCTTTGCACAACCATTACAGCCTCAAAAAACAGGGCCTCCACCTCCAGTTCGTTTCGGGATTTCTTCAGACCCGAAAAAGCTCACTTCGCAACAACCTGGTAGGCGAGCAAATTTATCCCAAGCAAGTAAGTGCAGAACACCTTATATGAAATACCTTTTAGTGCGCCATCTAATTCTCTAATTCTCGAAGCACCCGACAATCCTTTCGGTTTTTAGTGCATAACTTGCTAGGTGCTGGTTCTGGAGCAGCTCATGTGTTGCGGCCGTAATTTGTTGACTCGGCATCCTACCATTTAATTGCGGTTGCATGATTCCCTATTTGCCTCTGTTGGGCACCACTTGAATTACACATCATTTGTCGTACAATAGGATGGTCTACAATGACTTTATTTCTTGTGCTCGCATCTAAACATGGTGGCTATTCAGGCATTATAGACAGCGTAGGACTTTCTTTTCGTTCTTATTTTGTTGTCCAAGGCCTGGATGAGGTAGTGTTCAGGTATTTCAAATCTTTCTTCACTTGACTGTCAACCTATATGGCCTCATATTTTTTTTTAAGCCAGTGCAGCGTTTTGCCGGCGGCACATGCCCTTCTTCCATTGGTCGACGCGGAATCGTTTCAATACCGTTTGTACATATCATGCGATCGCAGTGTGGAGATTTAATGATTCCTTTCGCCCCTATATATAAGTACGCAGTCGGAGAGACATTTTTCTTTCATGGCAACTGGCCTTGGTGTTGTGTGAGAGTGAATTGATCAGCATTCAGCTATCCGAGCTACACATAGATACTACGCGTGTTTAATTACCAGATATAGTTGGAGCAGTCAAAATTGTATGAGCCAGCTTCCATTCTAACAAAAGAGTTGCCGAGACGAAATGGTTGTTTCGTTTTTTTGTCTAAACTGCCTAATGAGACTGTATTTCCCTCTCTGCCGTGGACCAGAATTGACATTATACTGAGGGGATCAGGAACATCAAAGCCTGCTCATGCAGGCTTTATATATGTTCTGAGGGCTCCCGAGGCGGAAAGCATGATGAAACGGCGCTTAGCTTCTTGAATGCTCTACTCATCTAGGCCTTCCGTCGATGTAGCCCTGCGGGTCTGCTAGAAACAGCAGATGCAACAGAGGACATGTCAACTTCCACCTCAGTCTGTGGTTGCTGGCCGGGTTCGAAACGCTTGCGGACGGCCTTAATCATCATCACGAACCAATAGAAGTTGAGACTATTGAGAGTCAGGTTGCTTGCCAGGTAGACAGCTCCGAGCCACAACGGTACAGTGGAGGTATCAGTTGCAAACTGCATAGCCATCGAGTGTAGTGATGCGGGGGAAGGGTGTCTGTTTATCGCGCTCCAGATATCCCGGAATACCATGACGGACTGGTGTGTACCGTATACCAACCGACATGAGAAGAAGCTAAACAAGAGAAGAAATCCGTTGTACAGTTGTGCTTTCGATCCCGTCATGCCAAGCTTGTCCATGAACCAATGGATGTTCAAAAAAGGTGTCGACAGCTCCCAGAGGATAAATATGCATCCATAATAGTTGACAAATGGCCGCTGTAAGAAGTTAGCAGATCCGTCATCCTCGGAGGACTGTACTTTCTATTCCCCGTCATTGGATACGAGTCGGGGTATTCTTACAAAACCGAGCGAGAAGACAAGCAGGGCCGCAATCGCATGTGCTAGAGTCCCAAGTCCGAACACATCTAGGTTCATGCTTGTGACGATGAGGTCCCATACAAAATATCCTGCGGCAAGAGCCTGTATCATGCTTGTTGCCCCAGTGTATCCCCATATGCGCTCCTCCCATGGCATTGCCCTCCTCTCGCCATCCGTGACCATGACCCAGATAGCAAGTCCGTTGATGAGGGTAGCTTGGATCATGGATACAACATGTGCATCCCAGTTAAGGCGTCTCTTCCGAGGGAGCGTCGTATAGTACTTCGGCGCTAGGATCCGCGATGCAATTGGCGAAATTGGGTAGAAAATCACAGAGTAGAATAATGCACTGATGACGATTTCGTGAATGTGCAGCGACAACGTTGGCAAGCTAAGCCAGTCGCACAAGGGCTGTACCAGTCTAACCAACCATGGCAGTGGTTCGATGAAGAAGGGGTCCTTCATGTTATAGCGATTGCCTCGGGCCTTCTCTACACTCGCGGAGACCCGTTGTCCTGGCTATATTCTGGAGCGTATGTTTGATGCGGGAGAGGTGGGCTTGATAGATAGCGGTCCGAGAGTTTGGCCAGAATACCTAGGTACCTAGGCAGATACGATCCAGTAGTGAATGCCGTCACAGGGCAAGGCACAGGGAGAAGATGGTCTTGTGCGCGACCTTGCTCGCAGTAGTGTCGTCTTGCCGAGTAATACCAGTCGACATATATTGTTTCTCGCCTTGGGCTACTCGGGCCTGCTAGGCCATCGAGTCAGTCCATAAGTACATGCCGTCCGGGTGGCAGTGCGTTTTTTAGGGGTGCTCCTTGGGGCCAGATTTGTTGGGGGAGGCCTACACGTGTGCACTGTGCACGTGAGATCTCCCCCTGGGGGTCGTGTCAAAAATCCCAGTAGTAGCTCCACAGAACGCACGGGGCCATGCTGTCTGGCAAGCCACTTCGGCACTGGTCGTCGCTATCTGTTTTTCTGTAGTTGATCAACATGGGAAACCAGTTCTATTCCTTTTTTTTGAGGCCCTCGCCCCTGGTGCACAGGTGATGATGCTTCCTCGTGCCTTTGTCATGACACCCACCTCACTGCGAGTCACCGAACAGCTTTGCCGCCTAAGGGCATACAATAATACATGCCTGCCCTCTGGTGTCGTGACTACGTCCGCCGGCATCCTGCTAATTCGATGTACGACCGATGCCAAGGCCGGGTCACTCCTAGGGCAAACTTTGGCCCATACGGGTCTTTGTTGGGATATCCAATCTATCCCTTGCTTTGCCCGCTGTCCCGATGCTATGGCCTCATACGTGACTTTTCCTTGTGCTGTGTTGCTCTCTTCCCTGGCCATGCGAGCATGAAAAACACTGCTCACAGCATGCCACCGCACCAAGCGATCGTACACTATCGCCAGTGATGTGGGTCAAAAACGGAACCACCGCAAAGCACCGGTCAGGGTTGTGGTTACTACAGGGTATGCCTTAGCTGTGCCGGACTACCTCGCAGGCAGCTGTATGGTTGTTCACCTGTGCTTCACAAGTTTGTTGTTCCATTCACCAACCCACCCGCTTGGAACACCAGTACTGGCTGACTGAGAATTCCGAGTCTGACATTAGAGGATCGGAGAATTGTTCTCCTTATAACCACAAAGTCACGGCTGCACTCGGATGTCACGGCTGCCTGAGCGTACAGGCAATTGCGATAGAAACAACCCAGGCAAACGATGTGGTCAATGGACTAAGCAGACCCTCAGCCAGGAGAGAGATCCCGGATACATACAGGGAGGAAATTCGAACAGAGTCACGGCACGACGGAAAAGAAAAGCACCACGCAGGCTGTCTACTCAACATGGCAGAGACCCTGAGCGAGCGCCTCCGCGGACAGGGAAAGGCACCAGACGCGACCACACTGTCTTATCTGACCTACCTGGCGGGACAATCGGTCGAGTCCATACGAACTACAGAGCCACAGCGACTATCACAAACATCAAATTCCCTGCTATTATCCATTCAGTCGCTGTCCAAAAAATCTCATCGACCCATTGTCCAATCAGCAGCGAGTCACACAGCACTGCGCCAGCTGCTTCCCTCGCTGGCAAAAAGAGCGGGCGAATTGGCGCACACAGTCCCAAGGCTTGACCAGGCGGCAGAACTATTCTCTTCCGGTGTTGGGAAATCCAGCGAGAAGAGCAGTCTCATCGCAGAGAGGAAGAAGGCACTCCGTCTCCTACACAACGGGGAGAGACTGGTCGATATGATGGAGCTCCCACAGCTTCTCAACTCCGCTATCGCATCCAGCCCTATCAGCTACTCATCCAGTCTCGACCTTTATGCACATGTCCGCCGTCTTGCGTCCCTATATCCATACTCAACTCTTGCCACATCTGTGCTGGACGAAGCAAACTCAGTCATTAGGCGAATGGCCATCGACCTAATAGCTACACTACAAACCCCCAACCTGAAACTCGCCCCAAGCCTCCGTACGGTGGGCTGGCTCAAACGAATCATCCCCGAGCTTGTTGCCACCTCCCAAACAGGGGAATCACTATCTGCGATATTCCTTGTGTGTCGACTTCGCACATTAATTGCCACACTAGACGCACTGGAGCCTTTGAAACAGTTGGCGGAAGAAGAGCGCGTACGGAAAGTAAAGGTATCCCAGGCTTGGTCTCGGGGCCAGCACACAGAGCGGTATATCAAGCGGTTCATCGAAGTATTTCGCGAACACAGTTTCGGCATGGTATCGGTTTCCAAAAGTGTGGATGCTAGCTTTCCCCAGACAGATGGCACAGCCGCTGACCCAGTGTTTCCGCTGCCTTCCGTCCTTGCCAGCTTCCCGCTGCACCTGACAGGCCTTCTGATGGACACCTTGCGAACATACCTGCCCGTCGTCAAAGATCAAGCCGCAAGGGAAAGCATCATAACGCAGGTGTTGTACTGTGCTGGAAGTCTGGGTCGACTAGGCGCTGATTTTGGTATGTTTCTGTCAGTTCATGGAATAGTGGAATGGATGGAATTGGTCAAACGACACAGACTGTTAGCAGGCCGACTTGAGTCCGTCATTGGCGAACACAGGACCAGCCAGACTTCGTCCATCTCGCGAGGCGTGTTTTGAGATACATATGCATTAAACGGGGTGGTATCGTATGCTGGCTGAAGTACCTTGGTAGTTAGTTCCCGCCCATTTTTGGTTAGGGTAATGATAAAGCATGACAGGACTTTTCATGTTCTAGGATTAGCCTCGGTCGACTTTCTCTCCCAGCATCCTGAAGCTCCCACGGGCAACCGGACGCCGATATTGTGATTGTATCCCATTCCAATCCGGGAGATCTGGTGAGCCTGAATAGGTTTGGTTGATATTGATCTACTATTGACACCACATGGCCCCATCGGGCTGGTACGCCACACTGTAAGGTCTCCGTGATGTATTCATATTCATCCATTGACCTTACATGTAGAGCTTACGATACAATGGAAGACCCGATTTCAGTGCAATGAAAGAAAACAACACGTCCGTGGGAGCTAAATCAGGTACGAAAACACCAGCATCATCATCTAGGTAATGCTGGTCTTGAAGACTTACAAAGTCGTCTGTAGCACGCCACTTCGCTTCTGGGCTTGGTTCCGGATTAGCATCTGCGGTTTTGCTGCAGCCTCTAGACCTACTTAAAACGCGGGTACAGCAGTCTGGTACCTCATCTCTTTCTGCCTGCTGGAAAGATATACGCCATTCCCGTCACGTCGCGCGCAGTCTCTGGCGAGGAACCGTGCCTTCCGCCATCCGAACAGGGTTTGGTTCAGCCTTGTATTTTACCTCACTCAATGCCATCCGTCAACACGCACAGCATACAAATGCACCAGAACGGCCCCATCACAAAGAAAATGCCTCTCCTACTCCCACTATCTGGGTAAATCTAGCCTCTGGTGCCGGAGCCAGGACGTTCGCGGGCCTTGTTCTTATGCCCCTGACTGTCATCAAGGTTCGATTCGAGTCCAACCTCTATTCATACACCTCGATTTTCTCTGCTGCTGCCGATATCCGGCGTCGAGACGGGATTCGGGGCTTTTTCTCAGGGTTTGGCGCAACGGCCATCCGAGATGCGCCGTATGCAGGGCTGTATGTGTTATTATATGAAGTGCTAAAAAATCAACTCGGCTCCATAGCCACCACATCTGCAGCTCGCGAAGACAAACAATACAGAATGACGTCATCCATGGCCAGTACTGTTAATTTCTCATCTGGGATCCTGGCCGGTGCCGCCTGCTCTGTCATATCAAACCCTTTTGACGCCGTCAAGACTAGGATACAACTACAACCCCGGCAATATCGAAATGCTTGTCAGGCAGCGTATAGAATGGTCACTGAAGATGGCCTGCGATCTCTTTTGGACGGTTTGGCCTTGAGGATGAGCCGCAAAGCGCTCAGCTCTGCACTGGCCTGGACGGTATATGAGGAGCTTGTTCGCAGGTTTAGTGCGTCATGAATGTTTAATATGAAACGCATCACATGCGTGTGAAATGAGAACAACTTCTGGATCGCAGCTTAGTGCTTAGTTTATGATGAGATATTTCGTAACAAAAGTGAAGACAAGGAACAAAGTGAGGACAAACTGTAGCTTTTTTTTTTTTTAAAACAGGCCCCCCCATCTCCGGGCTCCCTCTTGGTGCTCATCCTTGCTAGGCAGGCCTAGCTCCGGCTAGATACATCAAAAGTCCGCCAGGCGACTTGCTCCTTTTACGATCACCCTTCTTGCGAACCCACTCAAACTGGGGATCTTGGCGGTGTGATTTCTTCTCCTCAATCAGCAAAGTGCTGTTCCGTTTCTCACGGATGTATTTCGTGTGCCTCCAGAATTGATCCTGTTCCCACTCTGGAACCCACCTCTTGATCAAGAGATACTCAGGGTCCTTATTTATCTCAGGTTAGAAACAAAATCAAAACATCTCCCCACTATTGTTGGATGGAAAAGATGTACTCACACTATCAATGTCAAACTCGACACAGAAGGTTCTTAAGGTCTCAATGGACAAATGCCTACGGGCCATTCGTGTGTGCATAGGCCGTTGGCCTGGTTGGAGTGCATCGGGTATCTTTCTCTTCCCAAGAATGGCTGAAATGGCTTTCTCGTCTAGGCCGGATTTCAGCAGGTCTTCCTGCATGCGGCGTCTGTATTCCCTTTCCTCCTCTTCCTTACGCAGTTTTTCCGCAGCCATGCGATCCGCCTCGAGTTTCTTATAGCGCTCTACTGCCTCGGCAGCCTCCTGGTCGCGGCGCTTCTTTTGTTCCACCGCTTTCTCCTCTTCTTGCAGCCGTTTCAGCTCCATCTCTCCCTTGATGCGCTTCTCCTCCTCGGCCCGGGCTTCACGCCGTTTAATCTCGTCCAATTCCCGCTTGGCACGTTTTAGTTCAGCCTCATCTCTAGCCTCCTTGGTTACGCGACGTTCCTCCCTATCTCGTGAATTCTCAAGGCGAAGTCGTTCGAGTTCACGGCGGGCGAGTTCAGCTTCCCACTCTTCCCTAGTAAGCCGTGACCTCGACCTCGATCCTGAGCTGCGACGACGACGATGAGCGACTTGCCGACGTCGTCGATAGTCGTCATCATCATCTGAGGAATGCTCGCCGTAGAACCGATTATTAATAATCACCGGCTGCGCTCGGACCGGCACAGGGCCGGGCGGACTGGCTCTTCGATCACGGCATCTGTCGTGTGAACGAGAACGTGCAACAACCGTTGTGTGCTGTTCCGGGACTAGGTAGCTAGGACCAGCAGGTGAGCCATAGTAATCCCGTGGCCGCTCGACATATCTGACAGGTCGCGGGGAGTGACCCTGGTGACGGATGCGAACGTTTATGTCCTCGTCGTCGGAATAGTAACTCATGATTAAATTGTCACGTTATATATGCCACAAGATGTTGAATGAAAAGTATCCGACTCTCAGCCAGCCAAATTCACGTGAAAAATCTTGGAGGGAGGTTTGAGAGAAACACAGACAACGTGGAAAATTTGAAATCGGGTTTTGTCTCGGTTATTCATGCATATAAGACGCACGAGAAAAGGGCTGAGGGGTCCCAAGGCCAAGGCCCTCTCTCCCTCGTTATCCCTCGTAGGGCTGGAGCGGGGAGGTAGGGTCCCGGAGGGTGGCGGGCGCGAACCACATAGACTAACTGAGTGGGGGATAGATAGTTGACCAGCGTTTCTCAGCTCCGGCGGTCGACGGCGTGGGGTGATTGGCTGGCGCCGGGCTGCCATTTTAGAGAATGGTGTTTGACAGCACATCAGGCGACATGTATTGAGTACTGGAGGCATCACACAGTGCACTTACTGTATCAACAGGCTGGATTTTGTACCGGCAAGGTCAGGGGTAACCTACTCGCTAACTAGGTACTCTTGAAAACCGTGTTTTGTACTTAAGTGTACACATCTCCTGGAAGACTCTCTCTCTACCGCGTGTTATCTTGGCAGGTAAACTTCCTGCCCTTGGTGCTTTGTTGATCAAATAGCAACAGGCCGCGCCTGTTGAATGGCAAAGACAAAAAAAAGGCCGATGGGCGGCGTGTTGGATCGCGATTATGAAGATCAGCTTCTACTAGGTCTCTGATCTGTTTCGCTTGTTGAGGCACTACGTCAAGCACGGCCGGCTAAGCAGTGCTGTTTGTTGACCCGAAAGTCTTCAGCGACCACGAAGCATCTGTTCAATATGCTCGCGGCTATTCTTGTGCGTGGTTTCGAGATATAGGAGGCGTTGGTTAAGCCTGTCGAGGTCAGAATCCAGATCCTTCGTTTGACTTTCCAGCTTCTTTCGTAAGTCCGGCAGGGGAAGCGACGCGAACCTAGGAAACGATGAGGATTCCTGTTAGCGCGAAATATAACTAGGTCGTAGTGTATTGAGAAAAGCTTGAGCTCACATCTTGCCAAGGCCTTCGTAAACGACTGCGTCCTTAGGAAGGCTCGACAATTCGCTGAGTGTCAGGCGAACCAAGCGTTGTTCTCGCTGCTTTGCAGTCATCTGAGTACGTGCAAGGCCAATTTGTTGCTGTGCAGCAACTGCCTGGGTCTCGATGTCGCGAGCAAGCTGGGGGGGGGGGGGGGAAACAGACAGACCTTGTGAAGAGCCTCACTTGAAATCGACATAATGTTGGTGGGTGATAGGTAAGTCGCGGTATGTAGATGGACTCGGATGCTGAAAGGAAAGAGGGAGAGAGGATAGATGCTGGAGGAGGAGGCATCAGTTGACATCACCGTAAGTACCCACGTCGTGAATTAGTGACAAGCTTGGTGGATAGAGGTAAATTTTGTCAACGAATGACTTAGTTAAGTAGTTTCTATATAGAAATAGATGCTAGAGGAGGGTTGACATCACCATAACTACGTCGTGAATTGAGTGACAAGCTTGGTGGATAGAGGTACTTAGTTTCTATCTCCTTAGTTATAGAATTACAAAGTTATAGTTGTACGCAAACTAAACATAAATTCAGGATATCATTGGGTTAAAACGGAGATTATGTATATTTTGAGCTGGATTTTCTGTTCAAGTCGTTTTAATGTGCAAGAAGTTCCAGTATTTTACTTTTAATGTGCAATGTCATTGTTGTCCCAAGTCAGCTATTTTTATTTTACTTTCAATGTGTGTTGTCCCAGGCCAGCTATTTTTATTTTACTTTTAATGTGCAAGGAGTTCCAGTTAAATGTCATTTTTGTCCCATGTTAGCTATTTTTATTCTACTTCATGACACTAAATAATGCTTTTCTGGAGCACTGATTTATAAAAAAATTTTTTTTTTAAAAGAGTAGCTGTATTTTGACACAGAAAAAAAAATTTAGTGCAAGAAAAGCCGCCAATTTATATTTATTTAGTGCACTTAAAAAAAAACACAGCAAAAAAAAAAAAGCATTCATTTGATTTTTAGTACTTAATTTTAAGAGGAAAAAAAAAAGTGCATGGCAAATGAAAACCTTAGGGGCGTATATACTTTTACTTGAAATTTTTGAGCTGTAAATTGCTTCTCCTGAGGTCCCCACTTCGCCAATACGATAAGATAAGATAAAAAAAAATACTAATCCGAGAGCGCAACCGCAAAGGAGAGAGGCGGCGATCCAAGCAACAAAGGTCCTTGAACCAGTATTCGACTACAGTGCTCAATGGCTCTTCGTGAGAACCGCAAGAGGAAAGATCTCCAGGTACCTGATGAGACGTCTGACTCAGAGTTTGATGATGGCATGCTGGACGGAGTCTTGTCACAGAGCGACGATGAGTCGAGGGACGAAAGCACCGACTTGGAAGACTTCGACTCAGAACCGGATGAAAGCCAAAGCGATGTCGAAGGCGACTCTGTCGACAACGACCTTAGGCTAGATGATGCAGAAACGGTCGACGCTGTTCTCGACTCGGAAGTGAAAGGAGAAGGTCGTCAAACCCTTCCTCTCTACCAATTCAGGATCAAAGCCAACAACGGGGAGCACTCGGAGTATGATGAGATCGACCCCGTCTATGATAGCGACGATACGGACGCCCAAGGGCCAGCAAACACCATCGGTAACGTTCCACTGTCCTTCTACGACTCCTACCCACACATTGGCTATGACATCAATGGGAAGAAGATCATGCGCCCTGCCACGGGGGAGGCCCTCGATGCTTTGTTGGACAGTATAGAACTTCCGAAGGGTTGGACTGGCTTGATGGATCCCGAGACAGGCAAGCCGTTGAATCTCAGCCAGGATGAGCTGGAACTCCTTCGCCGACTGCAGCTGGGCGAGGTTCCTGAAGAAGGCTATGACCCTTACCCGGTAAGCTTCTTTGAGCCCAAGCACGTCCTGCTCCACAGACTGACAGTGACTCGCAGGACCTGATCCCATATTTCACCAGCATCGAAGAGAAAATGCCTCTCAGCGCGGCTCCTGAACCAAAAAGAAGATTCATCCCTTCCAAGCACGAAGCTAAGCGAGTTGCCCAGCTCGTTCGGGCCATCAAAGACGGTCGTGTTCTCCCCTATAAGCCGCATGATGCCAAAGCGAAAGATGAGGAGGGTGAGGAAGGAGAGTTACATTATGACATCTGGGCCAACGAGGAGTCCAGAGACCACCACGTCATGAACATACCCGCTCCCAAGCTGCCTCCCCCCGGACACGATTCAAGCTACAACCCACCACAGGAATATCTGCCCACTGCCGAGGAGAGAAAGGCTTGGGAAGGCACGGATCCTGAGGAAAGAGAAAAGGAGTACCTTCCCGCCAGATTTGACGCCTTGCGAAAAGTTCCCGCTTATGCCCAGTTAGTCAAGGAACGGTTCGAGAGGTGTCTGGACCTTTACTTGGCGCCAAGGGTTCGCAAGAACAGGCTGAATATCGATCCCAACTCACTGCTCCCTAAACTCCCGCGATCAGAAGAGCTTAAACCTTTTCCGACCATGTGCCAAGCCATCTTCAAGGGCCATGAAGGCCGTGTGCGGTCGGTGGCCTTGAGTCCAGACGGCGAGTGGCTTGCATCGGGTGGTGACGATGGTACAGTGCGCCTCTGGGCTATCAATGGCCACCAAGAGTGGATAGCCAGGCTGAGTTCCGAGGACGCGGTCGACTGTATTCGATGGCGTCCAAGCAGAGAAACCTTTATTATTGCTGCGGCAGCAGGGGAGAGCTTGTTCTTCATGGTGCCCCCCGTCTGCGGCGATACCATGGAGCAGGCGAGCCGGGCGGTTCTTGATACGGGATTTGGGTACGCGGCATCCTTCGGAGCCGGTTCCGGAGTCGACAGCAGGGCCAGGGAGTCTTCTGCAAAATGGTCAAGGCCTGGGTCCAAGCTCGAGGACGCGGGCGTCTTGCTCCAGGCTACTGTCAAGGCAGCTGTCAAGACGCTGAACTGGCACAGGCGTGGCGACTTCCTCTGTTCCGTCTCCACAGCGGGAGAAAGAAGCTCCGTGGCCATTCACACTCTCTCGAGACATTTGAGCCAGATTCCCTTTCGTCGACTGCCTGGCCTTGCGCAAACCGCTCAGTTCCATCCCTCGCGACCCTTGTTTTTCGTTGCGACACAGAGAATGATCCGGTGCTACGATCTTCGGAGGCAGGAACTTGTGAAAGTAGTGCAACCCGGAGCCCGGTGGATCTCCTCATTTGATATACATCCTGGGGGCGATAATCTCATAGTGGGTTCATACGATCGCAGGCTGCTGTGGCATGATTTGGATCTCTCGAGCCGGCCATACAAGACGATGAGATTTCACAGCGAAGCTATTCGCGCAGTCAAGTATCACCGTAACCTGCCGCTGTTTGCAGATGCTAGTGACGATGGGTCTCTTCAGATCTTTCACGGCAAGGTTGTTAGCGATCTGATGGAGAACTCGACCATTGTTCCGGTCAAGATGCTCAAGGGCCATGTAGTCGTTAGTAAGCTGGGCGTCATCGATATTGACTGGCACCCACGACATCCGTGGTGCTTAAGTGCTGGAGCAGATGGCACTTGTAGATTATGGACGTGATTAAATTCCATTGGCATAGAACTATCGCGCAAAAGGAGAATCGCATACCAGGAAATTACAAGGCATTGTCTGTTGATATGCGGCATGATCCACAATATGATGGGGAGAGATAGTCCTCGTTTTGCTTTGTGACCGGAATGTAGTCAGTCGTTGGCTCAGAAGGTCAATGGCTAAAAAATACATGTGTCAGAGCTTATCACACCATGCTCAAGCTCCATAAAAACGAGTAATTTTCCTGCAGAGAGAGAGTCCATCGTGCATTACGTTACATCCACAATGACTTACTACCAATCAATAATTCCCCTGTACAATCAGCCAACCACACAATCCACTGGGTGCCCTATCTACATTTACAATTCTCCTTTCGCGTCCTGTACCTTTTCCTGTGCTGCTTCGCTCCCTAATCTAAGCTGGTCCAGTGTCCATTTCCACGCTTGCGCTGCAGCATCTCCTATTTTTGCGAATACAGTACCGGACGGCGACGACGTACCAAACTTGAAATACGTTGACTGTTGACGAGCCAATGCCTTAAGCTCTTCCAACCCGGAGCCTTGTGGCACCGGGACACCACAGCTGTCTAGGTATGCCTTCAGCTCTGAGCGAGTCCAAGAGTCGAAAGCGGCCTTCTCAACGGACGCGGTAGCCGAGGAGAGGTAGCTGGTAACCGAGGCAAACCGACTTCCGCCAGCTGACGAGGCCGATGAATAAGCAGAAGCCGCAGCGCTGATAAGCTCTTCCCGCGTAGCATCTTTCTTCTGGGCAGCCCGTTTGGCGACAGCGTCACCATTCTCCGCCAGATATTGCTTTAGGTTTGCGAAACTGAAGTCGTCGAATGACCATGCCTGCCAGCCCGATGCCGCTTTGTGGGCATGCTTTCGAACAAGAGCTCGTAAATGATCTACGTCAGAAGTCTGAGGCACCGGGACCCCACGAGCATCCAAATACGCCTTCAGGCGACTTTCCGACCACTTGGCCGTTGCTTGGTTAAAGGCGTCCGCGGCCGCGAGAGAGGCACTGTCAGTGGCTCGGGCATACTCGTTTCGCGCATTAGAAGTGGCAGCTCCGAACTGGGAGCTCGCCTTTGCTCGAACATTGTCCCCTAAAATATCGGCTCGGTGCTTGCGAACCAAGGCACGGAGCTCGTTCTCTTTCGTGCCTTGCGGAACGGGGATGTTATTCTTGTCGCAAAATTCCTTCAGTTGAGATTCACCCCAGGCATCGATTATCATGTCTGTCAGGGTGGCGTACGCTGCTCGTGCGCTTGCACTTGCACTCGCAGCCTCCTGCTGGGCTTTTAAGTATGCCAGCCTAGAATTTCGGCGGACGGCAGCAACAAGTTTGTCGCGAGTTGAGGGCTGGGGAGCCGGAATGCCGTATTTATCAAGCCATGCCTTGAAATCGGATTCGCTCCAGGCTCCGTAGAGCCAGTCACCAGGGTATGCGGCCGTTTCGCCCATCTTCTTGGCCACCGTCTCATACCCAAGCCGAGCTTTTTGCAGAAGAGTATCCCTGTGACGTGGTTGCGGCACTTTACAACCCCACGTCGCATGCGTTAGTTCAATGTCGATTAAAAAAAGTGGGATGAGAATGTGTGGCCTCCTTACCTGGAATACCATGCTCGTCGCAAAACGCTTTCAGTTGACTCTCCGACCAGCTATCTAGAATCCATTCTTTGGTGTTGGCCCACGCCTGTCGCGCGACCTCCTCGGATTCGTACCAGTTCACTTTGACTTGCGAAATGAGGCTGTCCTTGGATTCCTCGGCAGCCGCATGAAGGTCTTGTCCCCTTTCGCGCAAGTAGGTGCTCAGTCGGGCAGCATCCCAGCTTTGATATGGTTGCACAATGACGTTGTTCCAGTGTTTTTGAACTAGCGTCTCCAAGTCTTTTCGGTCTGATGCCTTTGGATAGGGAATATCATTGTCAGACAGCCAACGCTCAAGTTCCGTCTGGTGCCATTTGTTATATACTGTGCGACGAGGCAAAATATTAGTTTGAATTCAGACTCGTGTAGACGCACAGAACGATAAGCGACAATGTGAGGGGAAAAGCCCAGCGAACGTCAACGTGGGTGCATTCAAGCATACTCGTTGTGCCTACCTGCTTTGGAACCTGGAAACCAGCTGCTGCTTGCAGTGGCCCCTAAAAAACCCAAGGCAGCTGTGAGGAGGACCTCGGAAATCTTCATTATACCAACGTTGTGTCGTGGAGAAACCGAATGAAATTGTAGCAAGCGTCTGTCTTGCGGTGGTATGCAAGAGAAAAGAGGAAGAGTGTCGTTTCGGTGTAACGATGGAGGTGGCCTGGGCAACATTACGAAGTCATGGCACTTATATACCGGGGGTGGGGAAAGAGTTACCCTTGCAAACTGGATGACGACGTGGGGAGTTGTTCTAGTGGGTGCAACAAGCTGCAGGCATAAGGCATGGATGAGCAGGGCTGGCGTATCCATCACGTCACTACTTTCGGCTTCTGATCTACATGCCGACTGCACAATCCTGCTTGGACCTCGTAGCAGCAACACCTGGCTACGTCAACGGACACCCGAATTAGCACAACGACCTTCGAAATGTTTACAAGGGAATGATGTAGTTACTCGGTAGCTATCAGAACCATTCCCGGGCAAACTTTTGCTTGGAGAACCACCAGACACTTTTAATGCGCGTTACATTGCGGCTAGTACTTGACACAAGGCAGTTCCCATATTGGCACCAATTAGTTATTCGATGCCTCTGCCCGAAGAGGAGCTGTGTGACCACCTTACCATGACACTTGTTTTTATCTACTTTTGCCTGGCTTTATGCGACCTGCAGAATTCCACCTGGTAAGTTGCGGACGGGAAGGGGAAGTTCCTGCCACAGTGACGTAGTAGATTGGAGGCTCCACCCTCTTTCTTTCAGCCTTAGGCATGACGAGGTGGCCTCGCATACGTTGGATATTGAGATCATCCAAGACATGTGAATTAAAAACTTGGCACCTGTACCGACCCGGAATCGATTCATCCATTTGGGTTTGGTGAGTAGAAGATGCAGCCATACCTTAGAAGAGGCGGGGGAAGGGGGCACGTCGTAGCAGAGGACGCCGAGTACCATGCAGGCAGTATCAGTGAGAGATGCATTGACGCATTAGCTAAACCGCCCCACGTGAGGCATCGCACAAGCGTTACCGGAGACGATCAGCAACGCATTATACCTTGACGGTTGGGCGGCAAGTAACGGGATGGAAATGCATGACCACGGGAGTCTTCAGTCATAGCACTTTTATGGGCACACCCCAACACAACGAATACAAAGTCAAATATTATGCATGGAGAATTCCCTGTATAGGCTTTTGAACGAGCTGCCATTAACAGCAGTACTAGTGATACAAGATACCCAATAATATATCCGTCCTCACTGTCTGCCAAGTTATATATCGCGGCATCTAGAGTTTCGGTGCGTTTCCGGGAGACCCAGCTTGCCGTTCCCTTTTGTGAGCGAGGGCGCGGCACTTAGGCGTAAAAGTTGACAGTCTACCATATTATTAGCCATGTGTCTCTCAGTAATGGCGATGCCGGATTGAAACTCACGTCTTTTTTTTTGGCTTGCACTTCAGCGATGGCATCAACATAGTGCTCATGGCCAATCTTGTTCTTTCCTGACCGCAAGGCTATCATGCCAGCCTCTACACACACAGCTTTAAGCATTGCTCCTCCAAACTCGTCGGTGCTCCTCGCAAGCTCACCCCAGTTGACACCAGGGTCCACCTTCATCTTTCGGGAGTGGATTTTGAGAATTTGGGCTCTGGCCTCTTCGTTGGGCAGCGGAAACTCGATTTTTCGGTCGAGACGCCCGGATCGAAGCAAAGCTGGATCAAGCACATCAACACGATTTGTTGCTGCCAGAACTTTGATGCGGTCATCCGACGCGAAGCCATCCAATTGGTTTAGAAGCTCGAGCATAGTCCTTTGGACTTCACGGTCACCGCTCTTCTCGCTGTCAAATCTCTTTGTGCCGACAGCATCAAGTTCATCGATGAATATGATGGCTGGGGCCTTCTCTTTTGCCAAGGCAAAGCAATCTCGAACTAGCTTGGCGCCATCACCGATGAACATCTGGACGAGCTGTGGTCCCGCCAATTTTAAAAACGTAGCATCGGTTTGCGCCGCACATGCTCTTGCCAACAACGTCTTTCCAGTACCAGGAGGGCCGTACATCAGAGCACCTGGAAAAATAAATATGTTAGTTGAGCTTCTGCTAGACGCGTAGACGTGTAGACTCGATCGTCGTACAACCCTGAACTGGAAGCGGGAAAAGCTGACGGCAGGCCCAGGAAAGCAAGTAACTATAATGGGCTTCTCACCTTTAGGAGCTTTGATGCCAATCTTTTTGAATCTGTCGGCTTCCTTCATGGGCCACACAATCGCCTCGACCAACTCCTCAATCTGCTTGTCGAGACCGCCAACATCCGTGTATTGCTCTGTGGGCTTTTCATCTACTTCCATCGCCTTCACTCTACTATCATACTCGGCAGGTAGGGTGTCGAGAATAAGGTATGAGTCCTTATTTATTCCTATCAGGTCTCCAGGTTTCAACTGTTCAGAATCCACCAGTCCAATGAGTGGCAGGAAAATTGTTTGTCGGGTAGACGTCTTGATGACGGCCGACTTGCCTACTCGCGTTGCGTCCAGGTCTATATTCGCACCCTCTTCCGAGGATTCAGCCGTGGGATCGAGGTCTAGCAACTCCACAACGTTGCCTACAAGATATGGAAGCTGTCTGCGAAATGAGTTAGAGAGAGGAGTTGTTGATGATGCTAATTTTTTCGCAGCCCTTTGTGCCAAGCGTACCTGTTGTTGGCAATCTTGTCCACGTTGTCTTTGATCTTCTCCCCCATTGCCGCCTTCTCATGTGACAGTCGGGAAAGCTCGCCCTTCATGATTCTGGAATCGTTTTCCAGTAGTCGCTTTCGTGTCAAAACGTCTTGTGTGCTGAGGCCAAGTACCTCGTGGTCCAAGATATCGTCGACATCATCTGCTTTGTCTTTCATCTCCTCGTCTCCGGTCGCCGCCCCCTCCTTGCCTGCATCGGGGTCTCCATTTTTTTTCTTGTCATCTTTGTCTCTGCGATCGAGGTCGTCAAGCTCCTCGAGGGTGGACATGATAGACGTCGTGAACGAACGCGGTCTCACAAGGAGTAGCTCCAAATACTCCCGCTAGCTAACAGTTTCGGCGGGCCTATGGTGGCAACAGAGAATACAGTCCGCAATTCGGGTCAAGTACTAGATAAAGCTTGCGAGAAGTTCTGCGAGCTGGGTTGAGCTGCCAGGTCGGTGAGCCTCGTACACAATGTCAGACGGGGGATGCAAACAGTCCTAGGCAGTCAGTGGAGCGACGCAATCAAAGGCAGCTTCCCAGTAACAAATATAGTTCTACAAGTTAGCACCCTTAGTCAGCAGGCGGCATTTCTGGCAAGTACTGCAAGAGGCAAAGGTCAAAAGTTTATCCGACCCGACTGAATATTTGAAGCTTCGGGCATGAATGTTGTTGAAACGCCAGTTTAGCAGGAAACATTGTATCAACGGAAAAGTAAGTACACATATCCAAAAATGGAGAGATTCCGTAGTGGCCTTTGCTAATACTTTCAGAATGATTTGTGGATTTATTAAAGCAATAAGACCATGCATTAGACTACTGTCCTCAAAACAGAAGCTTTCTAGCCAACGAGCTGAACTATTCAAATCATTCTCAACAACTCCATTTGCAGCGGGAAGTCAAGCGACGATTGATACAGCAAAATTCCGCTCTGGAGACTATGACCCTGTTTCAGCAACAAAACCCGCTAGTGCGAGGCCGATCGAAACGAGAAAGAGTCAATTGATCCGAAGTTATACTTCTCTACTGCGGACGGCGCCATTAATACTGTTCTTCCAGCACAGTAATTTGACGGCCATTGAATGGGCAGCTGTGAGGAGAGAGCTTAAAAGGGCGATTGATGCGGTGCCGAGGCCTAGCCAAGCTCCTGGCCGAGTCTTCACAGAGCTTTCTTCACGGATGCAGTTACAGGTCGTGCGAACAAACATGTTCAGTGTTGCATTAAGGATTTTCGAGTTTCACGACCCGCAAGCTTCCAAAAACGCAGTCTCTGTGCAGGTGGCAAGCCACGGACATCCAGCACATGATCTCTCGGAAATGGCATACAAGGCAATTCGTGAAGCCACTGTTCCAGCTGACTCTGTCTTTGCGCAACTCCAGCCGCTCATGGTTGGCCCTATTGCTGCACTTGTTTTACCAGCAGTTTCACCGGCACATCTTGCAGCTGCATTAACTGTACTATCGCCTGTTCCTGGGGTATTTCCCGCACCGACTCGAAAAAAGAGCCCCGGGTATCACGATCCTATTTGCCAGAGTGGCCTTGCGAAGCTTATGTTGGTAGGGGGTCGTATCGAAGGCAAAGTGTTTGATCAGGCCGGGGTCAATTGGGTGGGCGGTATTGCAGATGGAGTGGATGGCTTGCGAGCACAGCTTGTCAACATTTTGCACGGAGCTGGCCTTGGTGTTACGGCCGCCCTCGATGGCAGCAGTCGGAATATATGGCTTGCTCTTCAGAGCAGGAGGCTACAATTGGATTGCGGCGGCGACAATTCGCAACAGTGAATGCGCTCCTCTGACACCAGCGCTGCTAAAGTCCTAGGTACTAAATTAAGTACCTAGGTAAGTACTTAAGGTACTTAGGTATCTACTGTTGGTACGTGCCTCCATTAGGTACTTCAGTAGGTGCCTAGCCGGGCATGTATTGAAATGACAAGTGTTTTACCGGTTGGCTGGTAGAAATCTTTGTACTGGTACTAACATTCATATCTGCATTTATACATGACTCCCTCGCGAAAATGGAGTGATGTGTTATTGCCTTGGACCATTAATTGTGAGATAAGCCAAAAACGAGGCGCTGTCTTGCCTGCGGTCGATAATATCAAGTACTTTAGCTGCTGCGTTGTTATAGTCTGAGTAATGCTCGACCTACACCTCTTTGTTGACTACCTACTTACTTAAGTACTTAAGTATATAGTGCCAGATGAGCGAGCTTAGGGCAGCTTGTTCATTCCGTACCCTTTTGGCTCAATGGTCGAGGCCAGAGGGCCGTCCGGCACACCACCGGGGATGACTGCGGCTGGCACCTGCTATGGCTCCTTGAGCTAAGTCCATCACATGCGTCGAAAGTGTGCCGAGAAGTCGGTAGCCTGATAGGCCCCATAATGGAGTGACGAAGTTGAGTGTATTCCTCCGTATCTGGGCCCCACCACATAGCTGCGACCAGCACCAGACCATTTACTTACATGGGTAAGTACTTACTTAAGTACTTACCTAGGGCAATACCTGACAGTGCGGAGACGTATCTGTGAGGTACCTAAATGCCACCTACCAGAAGAACTCGTAGAGCGTTTTCAGGAGACATCCGCGAAACACCTGCCAGCACACGGCTTTCCAGGAGCCGTAACGCAGTTGAACACCATTCCAGTGATACAGCACTGTAAGAGAAGAGCCAGTTCTGACCCTCTTCCGTCACATATGTGCACTTGGGCGAACTTCTTGAAGCGGGTGAAGTTGCCGGTACTTGTAAGTCTTGCGTGCCTAAGTTAAGCATAGATCAAGTTCAAGTTGGGACTCACTTGCGGGTATGAGCATCTAATTTATCCGTGTTAGCAGTTTAGATCAATTTGATACATCCGAGACGTCGTTAGGTATTTGAGGAAAACGCCCTTCAAGTGGTGATCAGATTCACAACAAGCTCTCTCCTCGCCGAGGAACAATCCTCGGGCCACGTGGCCACGATGGATTTCGCTCCATATCAATCCTCTCCGCCTGAACACTCTCGTGTTGCCTCGCCTGAATTTAATTCATCCTCCCCTCGGCAATCACAGGATGCTGCCTCAAGACGCCCCTTCTCGCCGGGCAGTACTCGAAGCCCTCCACCGCTCCAACATCCCCAACCACAACGGACTTGGGCAAGTCCTGAAGGACAAGCTGGCGGGTGGTCAGGCAGTGCCGACGCGGGAACAAATGCGCCTGGCGCGTTTCTTGCTGCCGAAATCAGCGAATTCGACACCAGCATGGGGCTCCGTCTTGATTACGAGGCCTGCTTGGCTTATTTGGCACTTCCTCCTCTTGGTGCTGTCGCCCTACTTATTTTGGAGCGCAACAGCGACTATGTTCGGTAAGCTTCCACAAATGAAGCGGGCATATCAGCACACATGGCAAGAGAGGATTTGACAGTAGAACCTAGATTCCATGCATGGCAATCAGCCTTGTTATTCACTGCAATACTGGTGCTCCATCTGTTGTTCTCCTGGTCTCTGTTCTTCACTTGGGTATTCTTGATGTGCGATGTTGCTCTTATTGCTCTACTATCTTTAAGGGCATATCGAGATGCTGAGACTCTGGACAGGTATTGAATCGAGTCCTAGCATATCTCGAACGTCTCATTGTTCCCCCAACTAACATTCTTGCAGATATGAAGTGCCATTTTTTGGGCGCATTGCAAGCCGAATACTGGATGATGAGTAATGGAAAGTAATGGTGCCAGCGAATAAAAGTCTGAATTTTCGAGACTTTCAGTACAATTTGACGGGTTTTCGCGTGAGGCCGTTGATATATGCTTACTGTACCAGATAAGAGCGAGCCGAATATGTAGATGACGAGTAATTCTTTGTTTGATTAACTAAATCTGTCGTGTAAGTGGGTCTAGCTAAGCATGTTCAATTGTAATCGAGAAGAACATATACTTATACATCCTTATGGCAAGACAACCAAATGGGGAGGAGGTGATATTACGGCATACAACTTCAGCTTTTGAGGTTCAATCTTTGACCCTTTGAAATGCCACGACGGTTCTATCTCGAGAGCACACTCCTCACGGTACCTTTCAAGACCGGCTTTTCGCCTAGAATTACCTCGAAAATGTGTTCGCCATCAGCCCCGGCCTCGATCCATTTATCCAGAAGATCATTGCTTTCCCTCGGCTTGACCGCGTTATCCCTAGTTCCCACAGTGATGTGAGCGACTCGGTTCACACACTCCCAGTTGCCTGTATCGTCTAACAAGCGCACTACGACGGCCATGATCCGTTCATCAAAGACAATCTAGTAACAGCAAGAATCAGCTCGGACACAATTCACGGATCAAAATTAGAGCGAGCGTAGACAGAATTTCCGTACCCTTTCCAATAACAGATCACACTCTCCAAGCTGTGATTCCAAGCCGCCTGCTGCTTCCCATACCTCAACATAGCGTTGCCACAGATCGGGGAATTCATTCATGCTTGCCCTGTGCATCAGCGTAACATGAAATCTATTCGGTATCCTCCTGGTCTGTTTCAGTTGCCTGTAGAACCGGGACGCATGTGGGGGAGCACTGCTGAACGCTTGTTCCAGGACGCGATTGACTTTGTCGTTGACAACATCCACAGACATGTACTCTAACCTCCGATTCTTTTTGGAATCATTCTCCGTTGCTCTTGCTTGTGTTCTGCGACTGATATCGGGTCGGTAACCAAGTGCAGTTTGGATTGCTGCATCATATTCCTCAGAGGACGGGATTGCTTTGATAAGATTGGGAAAGTGTTGCTTCAATCGGCTCACAGTGGTCTCTAGGTTTTGCCGGCTACCTACTACAGGGTCTAGGTCAATAACAACGTCAAACCCGTCGTCTGGACGGGCATATGGTATGCAAGGCTCAAATCTTTTGATGAAGCCATCCATTACTCCTATGAACTTTTCTTTGTCGCTCGCGGCATGTATTGTCTGATGGTTGTCGCCACGTGCCAAGACTCGGGCCCGGGTGACACTCCGAATCTTCTCCATCGACTCGATATCGTGTCTAAAGTTGAGGCAGACCAGCTTGGCTTCAGTATGCTGCAGCTTCACATCCGTTATAAGTTGCTTCCTCTCGATCTTCGTTGCGTTGTTTCGGTCAGCAAATACAACGGAATGGCCTTCCAGCTGATCCAGGACGGCTTTCGTAAATCGAGGGGGGCGGCCCTTGCCAGTTATGTTGTCGTTCTGGATGTGACCCCATCCCAAGAGATGCGACATGGCCAAGGCTATCGTGGTCTTGCCGCAGCCTATGGTGGCGACTGGGCATAGAATAACGTTTCTCGTAACTTCCGGCATAACAATAGGCTCTGAGTCGTCCAAGAATGCCGCTTCATGGCCATTGATATTTTTGAACTTGAGGAAATCTTCACGCAGGGCAATAATACCATGGTTTTGGTTATACAACTTTCCAAGGTTCGGATCAGCAGCCAGACGCTTGCGAGCATACAGCAGGTACTCCTCGGTGATCTTGTGGTGTTTCTTGAACTTTGGTGGTTTTCCCGCGATCAGTGCTTTTGTGCATTCCCTCCATTGCCGATACATCAAGTATGGCTCTTCAAACTTGCATTTGAAAAACCAATCTTGGTAGGGTCTCGTGGCTGGATCAGTGCTCATTTTGCATCGAATAACAAATCCTTCTATCTCTCTTCCGTCGTGCGATCCTGACTGTGCAATGTCATCCAGGAATGTCTTTACTTCCTGAACATCTTCCATTGCCGTGAATCCCGTTTTGATAAAACCCCAGTCATCTGCAAATTTCTGCACGGCCGTGCTAGGGTATGTAACGAATTCAGGGAGATTGAGATTGATCCCGTGGAGATACAGACCAGCCTTATCAGAGTTATATGCCAAAACATGTTCCTCAAACGAATCATCACAGAGTTCGGCAACTGCGGTCACGTTGCGGCTTCGAAGCTCTCTAGCTAGATCTTCTTTGGTTCTGCCAATAGCTGAGAGTTGTTTCTCTATGCGTCGCTCGCCTGCGGTGGCATGGCTGACTTGAATATCATCTCGGTCACCTGTCGAGTGTTTGCTGCAGACCAAGAGTCTATCATTGTCAAGTCCGGATACAAATATAATGCACCCATTTTCCTTCAGCGTGAGCTCATACGGGGGAATTGTCTTGGCAATAATGTTTTCCCATTGCGTTTCTGGCACTTCATTGATATTAAAAAACTTATCGTAGCCTCTGACGGCAATTTCAGGACGCTGCCGCGCTGTTTGGGGAGTGGTGAAGAGGCCTCTGGCGTACGTGGGAAGATCTGGTCGCTTATAATCCCAATCCTGTAATTTCCATGAATCAATTTTGATCCCGTTTGATGAACCTTTGACCTGGAAACTTGTCTTCTTGATAGCAAAACCGCCGCGTCGCTTCTCTTTTCGTGCCAATTCTAGGGCATCGAGCATGCGGGAGACATCATCGGTATCTTGAGGTATGTATGGCGCAGCTGACGCCATATTTCCTGAACTTGTGGAAGCGATGTCAAAGCCCTATTAGTGTCGCATAAAATAGTCTTCCACTGAGTGAGAGGACAAGAGCTAGCACGAGGAATCTTAGAATGTAGAAACCAGATCGACCAGAGACAAATGAAACGTGGGAAGCCAATATGACTCGCAGCCTTGACTTATTCTGCTTTGTTGCTGCGTTTTGGCCTTTTGCAGCCTCACAAAACTTGAGGAAGGAATGACTGGGTGCATGGGAACATCAATCTGACAACGGAAGCAGACTTGCGCCGATAACCAGAACTTGCTGCTGAAAATGGGTCATCGCTGCGAAGCCCTCGACTGGGTGGGTCCATAGCACCTAAGTTGACCTCACAGATTTGGCCTTAGGCTCGCCGCGCGCAGCAAGGCCGCCAGGCGTCCGTGTCCCAGGACAAGCTCAGCAGGGGATGCCAGTGCCTAGGAAAAGAGTCACGAATCATTAATCACACATTTAGGCAATCAATTCCAACGAATCAGTACGGATGACTAGAGGACTTGTGCCACCAGATGGCGATCAGATTCAATGTGAAGCCGTCGAGTTAAGTCGATCGGGGCCTCTTCTAAAAGAGAGCCGATGAGTCAAGTTGTGTAAGGAGGTGTGCTGTCCGTCTGACATAATCTGCCTAGCCAATTTCGCAGGGATCAGCCTGATTATGAGTCGCAGCCCTAAGCCATCCTAATAAGTCGTTCACACAACCTAACCACTATCACTATGACACCAAATACATTCCTCCTTGCTGCGGACAACAGTCCTGCATTGCTTTCGCTTCTCCGTGAAAATCCAACCCTAGCAGCTGCGCAAGATGAGCACGGTTATTCTCTCGTTCACGCAGCAGCCAGTTACAATCACCTCGATTTGCTACGAGCTTTGGTTCTCGAATTTCATGTCGATGTTGATGTGAAAGATGAGGATAATGAAACAGCACTTTTCGTTGTCGAAACACTGGAAGCCGCAAAGGTTCTAGTGGAAGAATTGGGGGTTGATACCCGTCACAAAGGAGCTGATGGCTTGACAGCTAGGGAGAAGATTGAATTGGAGGGAGAATTTCCTACGATAGCCGCATATCTGGCGAGCATCGACATCAACCAGCCGAGAAAACAAGTAGAAGCTACTGCCAAGGACTTTGTGGCAGAGGCCAACCGACCTCCACCGCGAGGAATGAAACTCGTTGTCAGCACGATGGATGCAGAGGAGCAGGTCCCTTCCGATATCGACCCAGGCTTCCGTCGTCGCATGGAAGAGTTGGCACAGCGAGATGATTTTTCTGCCCCGTCTGGACAGGCTGATTTGCGGAAACTAGTGGAGGATGCCATTTCAGATCGATATCTAGCGATAGACAGAAATGTGAGACCAAGGCAGACTCAGTAAACTGCCTACCTACTACGTCGTTCAATCTGCCACATGAGATATTGTTCCTCCCGTCCAGGTGGTCGTAGCAAAGCTGATTCGGCATTGGCGCCAACCTGGACGCAGTAAGAGCTGGTCGCGATGATGGATAGCCAACTCTGCTGAGGGCAATCTGCTAGTACATCGCGAGCTAGATCGCGTAACCAATTGCTACCAATAAATCCTTGCCACGTCACTTTGCAGACATTCAGTCGATCAGAAAAGTCACCCGGAACATGGTACCTGGACAGGTAAGAGTCTGTATGGTCTTCCGGCTCAAGTTGCGGGCTGTCAAGTCTGACCATTGACAGCCACTCATATAGGTCAATATCTCGCTCCTCGAAACCCGCATGGTCAACCGCTATCGACGAGGGACTAGTGAGCATTTCAGGCAGGACAAGGGTCTTGCACGAGACTTTCGAAGCGACGCTGCACTGCTGTGTCTGGGTTTGTTGGATGAAATTCTCGTTGAGGGCTGCGGTATATCATGTCAGTACTTGTACTCGATTTCGATAAGACGAAACTAGCGGATTTTTGTAAGGGAACATAGCAGGACAAATGATCAATACGGAGCGGAACTGAGTGTGGTCTTACCCGATCCTGTTTTGAGGCAGAACAGCCATACTAATCGCTCGGTGAAGACAGCGGAACAGGCGTTTAGCAGGCCATTGCCTTTTCTTCCGCAAGGAGACGAGGTTGAGCTGTTTAGATCTACTGATATGACTGTTTTACTTAGCAACATAATACAGCTGGGATGTAGTATTGGACGTCTGCAAAACTCCCTACCGAATTTTGGTTGGCCGTTGCCTCCCCTCTTGTCGATTAACGGCTTGCCCGGGACGCCGGCCCTTTCAAACGTCTCTTTATCCGTGTGAATGGTAAGGATTCCTGTGACATTTCGTTTAGCATGCACTGGTGTTACCATGTTGTTTCGTCATCGTTGCCAACCATTTTTAATAGCATAGCTGCTCGCAAACATCGAGTTTGCCTCACAAAACATTGTTAACTCTTCTGTACTCTCGGTCAATCGACTTACATCCTTTCCGGAGCTGAAGCTTCTACGTACCGTCTCGAATGAGCTGAATGTGTTGTTCCGAGTCCAGCAGTTCGCCAAGGGAAATGGTGGTTCGGTAGAAAATGGGCTGCGTCCCATGCTGTAATATCCTTTCTTGTATGGACTTATACACTTCAACAGGTGCAATTAAGTCAACCTGTGGATTGGTCAGGGTGGTGTAAAATGGTGAGGTTTCGCTCGATCCCTACATTAAATTACCTTTGATATAAAATTTTGAGCCTCAATCGAGATCCATGGATCGATTCGCTGTGACAATTTACCATTCTCAGTTTCTTCGATGTGGCTTATCATGCCCGATGTCATAAGACAAGTGGCCGGTCGGTGCGTGAAGGGACAAGACTGGGCCATTCTGTATGTATCTCTGGTGTTTTCACTGCTTGCTGGCAAGGTCTTCGAGGCGTGGTTTTGTACTGTGTTTGGCTAGTTGAAATCGGACAGAATAAGGACGCGGTGCCAGCGGATGTTGGGGCTTGTATGCCGAATGTGTAGTTACAAGCAACCTTAAGGGTTCAGATGCTCTGGTGTTGGGTCTCTTGCTTTTTTTCAGCCAGGAGCTTCGTGGAGCCTTGTGGTGGTTGACCTGAACCCCTAGATAACACTCTTCGGTGTTCGTTGACTCCCGATGATGGCCGTTGGGTGGCACAAATGTTGGGGAGGCCCCGTCCGTGTTCGATCTCGATTGGTGACGAGCCGTCGCGGCTAGTCCACTTACACAAGGCACCCTGGTGCATCCCCGGGGCAAAAAAAAAACCGACAACCCTAGACTAACCCGTTTGGCGATGTCAAATAGTTTCCAACATCTTTTTGGGAGGCGAGGAAGGAAAGCGATGGTGAGTGAGGTGGACTGCTTGTGTTACTTTTTCGTATTGTGTCATCCAAATACTCGCGCGCTCTGTGGTCGTTTCACTCGCTGCCAGTGGGTTGTTAGTCAAGCGGTCAACAGAAAACGACCAAATCCCGACCTCTGTTCACAAGAGCCGCAGCACACACGTCCAACGATTTGATTCTCCACGACCCAACATGGATTTCCTTATAAAATTCGCACAGGCCCATGAGACTTTCCGAGTGGCAGAGATACAAGCTCTTGCTGTGATTGAAGGTGTCAACTTGGAAATTCTCGACTACAATGGCGATGTCTGTCATGCCACACCTTAATTCCAACCCCATCCCAACCAATGCTGACGCTGCCATAGTCTCCCTTCTGCATTATACGTCTCCATTCATCAAGAGATGCCAGAAAACTGATCAGAAGGTCCATTCTTGCCCAGTCCGCACATGAACTATGGGGAACAGGTGCCACACTTGACGCACTACACCAGTCCGTGAAGCAACGGACTAGCAAACGTTGGACAGAGTACAAATCTGTATCTTTCAAGTTCGACATAGATTCATACCAGGGAGCACACTCGAACAACGAGAGACTATCCACCATCAACACCTTCGACTACCTTCCATTCGAAGGGCCAATTCGCATGTCACAACCTGACGAAACGTTTACAGTGTTCGAACTGTGGCCATTCAACAGTGTTCCCCTAGGAATAGAAAAACCCACCAGGATATACCTGGGGCGTCTTGTTGGAAAGTCGTCGCGGGAAACTGTCCTAAAATTCGACCTGAAGAAGCGAAGCTACGTGTCCACTACTAGCATGGATTCAGAACTCTCGCTCATAACTGCAAATATTGCCCTGGCGGGGCCTGGAAAACTTTTTTACGACCCTTTTGTTGGCACGGGCTCATTCCCAATCGCCTGCGCTTACTTTGGCGCAATGGGATGGGGCAGTGATATAAATGGTAGAAGCATTCGCGGCGAAGGAGGGCCAAAGAGCTTGAAGGGTAACTTCCAGCAGTACGACATTGAAGCGCGACTAGGGGATGTTTTCGCTGCTGATCTCATAAATTCGCCAATCAAGAAAAACAGACAAATATGGGACGGGATAGTCTGTGATCCGCCGTACGGCGTCAGGGAAGGGTTGAGGGTTCTCGGGCTCAAGGATCCTGAAAAGACGCCATGGCTTATTGAACAGGGCAAACAGAATGCTGCGTATGTCCACCACAATTACGCGACGTTCACCCCTGCCGAGTGACACCCGGACTATACGAAGAAAAACCATGCTGACCGTCCCAGCTCGCCTGATTTCGTGCCACCCAAAAAACCATACAGCTTCTTGGTGATGCTGGATGATATCCTTGCTTTTGCAGCAGCCACTCTGGTTGACAATGGGAGATTATCGTTCTGGATGCCCACGGCGAACGATGAGGACCAAGAAATACCCGTGCCCACACACCCGTCGCTTGAAGTGGTGGTAATCTGTGTCCAGAAGTTTAACAAGTGTGAGTCTTTATCTCATCAACCCGTAGGCTCAGTTTACCCCAGTCTATCACAGGCTTGCTTGAACGTTATATTGCTTTTGTGTGTTCCTGGACCAGGATCCATGAATCAAGATTTGATCCATTTTCTGATATGGGCTTTAGGGTCAAGACGACTGATTACTTATAGTCGACTTTCAGACGAAAGAATTTCTGCGGCGGCAGTGGCTGAGTACAAGGCCCGAAAAACAGTCGGTTCAGTCGGCACAACTGTTGACGACCTTAACCCATTTCGGCGCGGATATTTCAGAAAGTTCGAGCCTTGAACATAGAAAAAAGAAGAAAAGAAAGGTAAGAAAGGAGGAAAGAAAACTCAGAAGGCATATTTCCATACCATTTTGGCATTCCTATATGTCAAGTTATCGTCCTTACGCCCCATCCCCAAAACCGCTTATCAATGTACGCTATCCAAGACCCCCGCATATGTTAATGCTTAAAAAAGCCTATAGACTATGAAAAGGAGTGCGTAATTCGTCCCGCAATTGAAGTATAAACCCAGCGAGCCTGGACAAATCCGTGATACAAGGGACTGTACCGAAATGAAAGGTCACCGTCGAGTTGCAGGATCGTACTTCTGACCTTAGGCCCCCATCAGAAACGCGTCGCGACCAACTTGTTCGAATTAACTGTATTCAGTCATTATCGAAACTCCGTGGCGCTAAAGCATCCTCGATTTGGGACGTGTTTCAGCTCCAGCTGCTGGAATCTGGAACGTAGTCAGAACCAACCTTTAACCTGACGAAATGCGGCTGAACTTACTTTTCACTTTTCGAATGAAAATAGATCCCGCTAACCTCCCCCTTGAGCTGATTAAAACAAATGTAGTAGAAGCCCTCAAAACTGGCGCCGGTAATGGTCCGAACCCGATGATCTGGCACTAGGAAATGCTCCTTCCATCGCATAAATATGGTCTCTCTTTGTGTCACATCAGGAATCGTCACCGGACCTTTGCGTGCATGCTTTGAAAACGGCCGAAAAGCGCTGAACTTGGCCCAGTGGTTAAGATCAACCTTCGTGTTTGCACCCCAGTCCTCATGCTGGGTGAAGAAACTGTATTTGGATCCTATAATTTCTCCTTCGAAATAAGTTGTTAAAGTTGGATGGTCTTCCGTGAGACCTATGTAACAACAACCAGTTAGCACTTTGTCGTACGTTTCTCCAGAGTAGCAGCGGCGAAGCGGATGGGGGAAATTTGTCTCGAACCTTGGATTCGCAAGTAACCGCACAGAAAGGACTCGCGCATATCAACATGCTTGATTTCCACCTGGACATCATATACTTGGCGCTCTGATTGTTGCGTTCCGTGAAACCTGCTACCTGGCTGCAAGAAAGACAACGGTGCAAACGGTATGGCCTAAAGAAGTTAGCAGGAAATAATATGCCAGTCATAGTCAATTCGCGCGTACCCGAACGCTTGAATAGTCGGAGCCCATGGACGGTGGGGTACACGCAGCGTCTTCTTCCTCAAAGATTGGCAAGTCTGGTCCTCGCAGATCTCTTGAAGCCTGCCCGAGCACTTGACCAGGACTTGCACTGGCAGTGTGCGGAGTTGGGCCGTCCGGACCCAACGCTTGGTTCTTCATTGAGTTTCCAGCATCTATTCCGTGAGATTCTGGTGATGTAACAGCGGTAGTATGAGATTGTGGCGCTGGGGAGATGGTAGGATCTCTTGAGGATGGTGACGCTGATATGCGATTGTCAGAGGCGGTTTCCCCTGTGATGTGCATTTCCCTTTGCGATTCCAACCCCATCTCCGCCCTTGTTGGTCTATCAAAAGATGGGTCCAAAGGAGGATCTATTCCATGGCGTAGTGTATAAAGAATGTCGTCGGGACAGGTTGAGAAAGGGTAAGGAGAGGCTGATGATGGTTGATCCGGGGGTTCGTTTGGCGAAGGGGTTGGCATTGTTGCCTGCATAACCATATACCAGTGTTTTGCAACGTATATTTTCTTATCGCGTAGGGCACGACAAGCAGGTCGTCCGCTACTTATTGCCTCCTGATGTAGTTGGAGGGTCGATCAATCGAGGAGCGCGCACGAGGGGATGGATCGGTTCGGGAAGGGGGTGCTGTAACGGCAACTTGACAGAAGGGCAAAATGGAGCCGTAATGTGCGCCGTTTCAAGCACGAGCTCTCCCTTTGAATGTAGTTGTAGCGAGACTCAGTGTGGTAAAGTTGCAATATGGAAGGCGTAGTGATAAAAGTCCGTCTGGAGCGGTTGTGGTGTGTGGCGGTCGAAGGCATTAGTTGGGGAGAGATCGTTTCTCATGAAGTTGCCAAGCACATGACAGATCCTGAGTTGGATGTCCCTCTGGCGAAGCATATGTCAGAAATCATCGGAGGGTGGATCGGCTGAAGCGCTGAGCTATTCGAAAAGAGTCGCAGAGATCGTGTTATAGTTGAATGAGTTGAATCGGCGATATGGATGTGGAGGTGTTTCAAGGTGGACGAGCAGTTGACCTTCCTTCTGAACTCAAGTTTTACAGTGCGCTGTAGTGCCCAGTTACCGCTGCGAGCCTTATTGGTACCTTAATCTTCCGAATGCGTGGGTCGCCATACTGGCTGGAAACCCTGAGAGAGGTGTGTATACTTAAACTTGCGTGGAGACTTAGTTCGGATCTAGGTAGCTCATAGTATCCACATGTACTTATAAGTGCCTCAAGTATTCATCTCGCCACTCAATCCACGCGGATATTGAAGGTTCTGTTACTTCAGCGCCAAGACGGACAGCAGAAAGAAGAGAGTATTAGGCTACTATTAGCTAAAGGAATTAGTATGGAGTACGAAGTAGTTATCAAGTGATAATATCCAACCAACATGCTGAACACCCAGTGCAACCAGACAGTCTTGAAAGTCAATTTTCTAGCCCGTCGCAAGGCCAATCACCGACTGATGATGCCTGGTATAAGTCGTTAGCAAAATGGATTTACCTGTCGCCAAGCACACGCTGACATATGAATACTCGACACGTAGGACCGTCCGAAGTCGAAACTCTTGCCTCCCATTCCGGTATACAGCACTTAACATAAAGGAACAGAGTGCCAGAGAACAATGCTAGAGTTAGAATGCATTCGGGTCTTGGCGAAGGCCTTGAATAATAATAATGGAGGGCACAGTAGAGCCAATTAAGTAATAGTGAAGATTTAAAACTAGGATGTATTCACGACGATGGCTGGAGGCAATGCGATATTATCTCGTAATTGTAATGTAATTTATAGCGTTCCCTGTATTTTGCGTCTTGATTTTTTTTTTTGGTTGGAGATAATTGCTTCAAGAAAAAAAACAAATCAAGCTTGAGCTAAAGCTGGATTCAATCAGCTGGGCCAAAGTACCTGATGGAGCGACAAAGTGCTAAATGCGCCAGCCATCGCCATAAACCGTTTGGACACTGCCGTAGCCTTGCAAGATCTTCCAGTAGCACTAAGAGCAGCTATGCCGACCCATGCGAGCTTTTTGACTGCATATTGATATTTCCCTATTTCATCGGGCAACACCTCGCCTTGTCTTCTCCACGTATTGACTCAGACTTAAATAGGCTTGATTTTGAAGTGAAGTGCAATTAGACTGAATACGAGTGCTTTAAGGTCTTGGACAAGATAATAGAAAACCCGTAGGCCTTCGGGGTCGGCGGACTCGGTCACGTCGACCAATGATCCTATCTTGGCAGTCTAGTGACACGGCCAACTTAGTATGAAGCATAGCTGCTCGGCAATGATCATGTTGTACTAACCTCAAACGAAATATGATCACTTCCGAGTCTTATTTCCAATTCTTGGCGGCCGTCTTTGTTCTTTTGAGGCCACTTGGAGTCGTCCTCTCTGAGGTATTCTCAGTATGCATGCTTACAACGCATATTTCCAGATCGCAACCTCACTTGATAATTTCGCTCTCTTTGATAATTCTCTTCATCACCTCCACAGTAGACGAGCTAACACACACTGGAATCATCGTTAGAGACTGCATTAACTTTGGGCAATGACAAAGGGGCAGCACCATACTTTCTTTGCGAATGAGACTATCGTTCCTGTAGTTGGAGTTGTTCGCGTATCTCGCCACGGCGCTTCTTCCGTCTCCCACAACTCTGAAATCAAACTCTGCCCACGAGTTAATATCTAAAAATACGGCTACAAGACCTAGGATGCGACGCTGCAGACTTACCAAGGAATTCATGCCCGAACCTGCCCATATGACCAGAGCTATTTTGAGAATCAGCAAGTCAACTCTTCACATGCGTATGGTACAGTATCTTGCCCTCACTAGTATCGGAGATAAAAAGGTTCACTCGTCGCAGACATATTGCCGATGGTAATGTCAGGTTTGCGCTATGTACGGCCCTCGAAGGAGAAATATCAGGTCTCTGGATTGATGAGGAATGTTTTCAAGGCTACTCCAAGTGTTAGCTAAGCGCGTTGTGGCATTTAAGCTTGGCCCGACGTGGCGCAAGATCCAGAAAGGGACCCCCCTCGCACGTGACAATAGACTCGTAACTGCCACCTGTTTCCAGGATGGATTCTTCAGGGAGTGCCAAGTATCATCTGGTGGCCGAAGGAGAGCTGCTTAGACAACTCTCAGCGACCCTGGCGACTCCAGCCTCGGAATTGAATTTCGCTGCCTTTTGTCTTGTTTTTTTTTTCAGGAAGAACTTCCAGCATATGGAACAGCTCAATTACCTCGATCCTCGACTTTCCTGAAGCTAGCCACGAGAAAACAAAACCCCTCCTAGTTGCATCCCAATTCAGTCCCCACGATTACCGAGAGTTGCGTCCGTATTCGTTGCGACATCAAATTTGCCCAAGTCCATACCGGATTGCGATTTGCAACGTGCACCTCAATATGTCTGGGTTTCTGGAAAACGCCTACAGCCTGGTTCACCAGGACAATGCGGCTGACGTGCCAACTGTGTCGGATTTGCGTGTGCAGCTGGAGAAAGGCACTGACGAGACAAAAGTCGAAACTATGAAGCGAATTCTTACAATCATGCTGAATGGAGACCCAATGCCAACGTTGCTCATGCATATCATACGATTTGTCATGCCTTCGAAGCATAAACCTCTCAAAAAGCTCTTGTACTTTTACTACGAGATCTGCCCGAAACTCGATTCGAGCGGCAAACTGAAGCAGGAAATGATTTTGGTTTGGTATTTCTCTCTGATGCAAACGTTGCAAGATTTATTGGGAGATAATTTAACTAATACAATGTGTTTGTGTAGCAACGGCATTCGTAATGACCTTCAGCACCCGAACGAGTATATTCGAGGGAACACATTGCGTTTTCTCTGCAAGCTGCGTGAGCCGGAACTTATCGAACCTCTACTCTCATCAGCGCGCTCCTGTCTGGAACACCGTCATGCATATGTCCGCAAGAACGCTGTCTTCGCCGTGGCCTCTATATTTGCACATTCCCCGTCGTTAATTCCAGATGCATCGGAGCTCCTTGCTACCTTTATCGAGGGCGAGACTGATGCGACATGTAAAAGGAATGCGTTCGCTGCTCTTGCCAGCATAAATCACGATGCAGCCCTCCTTTACCTAAGCTCTGTCTTTGATGGCATACCGAACGCCGAAGAGTTGCTGCAGTTGGTTGAACTTGAGTTTATTCGGAAGGATGCGTTCCAGAATCCCCAGAATAAGGTATGCGTGTTGTCATATAATGCGATTTGAGTATCTAACATTCACAGGCTCGATATCTTAGACTCATTTTCGACTTGCTGGAAGCCGGCGCCTCAACCGTGGTGTATGAAGCAGCCTCCTCTCTAACAGCGTTGACGACTAATCCAGTAGCTGTTAAAGCTGCTGCGACCAAGTTCATTGAACTCAGCATTAAAGAAGCCGACAACAACGTAAAGCTCATCGTCTTGGATCGCGTAGATCAGCTGCGCAAAAATAACGAAGGAATTCTCGATGACTTGGTTATGGAGATATTGAGAGTTCTTTCCAGCACAGATATTGATGTCCGGAGGAAGACCCTCGGCATTGCCTTGGACATGGTATCAAGCAAGAATGTTGAGGAGGTCGTTCTTCTGCTGAAGAAGGAATTATCTAAAACCGTCGACCTGCAGTATGAGAAGAATTCCGAGTATCGATCGCTTCTCATTCACTCGATTCACCAATGTGCGATCAAGTTTTCGGAAGTCGCCGCTAGTGTGGTAGATCTGCTCATGGATTTCATAGCCGACTTCAATAATGCTTCAGCAGTGGACGTCATTAATTTTGTGAAGGAAGTTGTAGAAAAGTTTCCAACTCTCCGGAAGACGATCGTTGAACGGCTCGTCTCTACACTAGGCGAGGTTCGTGCCGGCAAAGTCTACAGAGGTATTTTGTGGATCATTGGCGAATACTCGTTGGAAGAGAAAGATATTCGAGACGCGTGGAAGCGGATGCGGGCTAGCTTGGGCGAGATTCCTATTCTTGCCTCGGAGCAGCGGCTTCTGGAGGAACAAGACGGCGGCGAATCAAGCCAGGATCAAGTCAACGGCAATTCAAAGCCGGCACCGCCGAGCGGCTCACGTAAAGTCTTGGCCGACGGGACGTATGCCACGGAGACAGCTCTGACTAGCCAATCTTCGGCAGCCGCCAAGCTCGAGGCTGTTAAGGCAGCACAAAAGCCCCCCCTGCGTCAACTCATCTTAGATGGCGACTACTACCTTGCTACAGTTCTATCTTCCACGCTTGTGAAGTTGGTCTTGCGTCACTCTGAAATTTCGGCCGATAACGCACGAACGAATGCCTTGAGAGCTGAAGCTATGCTCATTATGATTTCTATTCTCCGTATTGGGCAATCGCAGTTTGTGAAGGCTCCCATTGACGAAGACTCCGTGGATCGCATCATGTCATGTGTGCGGTCTCTCGCCGACATCAGCTCTAAGAAGGAACTCGAGGATGTCTGGCTCAACGATACCAGAAAGGCATTCCGCGCAATGGTACAAGTGGAAGAGAAGAAGCGGGAAGCCAAAGAAGCACATGAGCGAGCAAAATTGGCGGTACAAGTTGACGACGTCGTCCAGATCCGTCAACTCTCGAAGCGGAATGCTGCAGATGGAATGGAGGGAATCGAATTAGACCTGGAAAGAGCAACTGGTGGCGAAGCAACTGCGGAAGATCTATCCTCTAAACTCAGTCGTGTTGTGCAGCTGACGGGTTTCTCGGATCCTGTCTATGCGGAGGCATACGTGAAGGTGCATCAGTTTGACATCGTCCTGGACGTGCTGCTTGTCAACCAGACAACAGAAACGCTTCAAAACTTGTCCGTGGAATTTGCTACACTCGGTGACTTGAAGGTCGTGGAGAGACCTACGACTCAGAATCTTGGTCCTCACGACTTCTACAATGTGCAGTGCACTGTTAAGGTCTCATCTACAGACACTGGCGTCATATTTGGCAATGTCGTATACGATGGAGCTCACTCTACCGACACAAACGTGGTCATTCTAAATGATTTGCATGTGGATATTATGGACTACATCCAGCCTGCCACATGCACCGAGACTCAGTTTCGAACAATGTGGACTGAATTTGAATGGGAGAACAAGGTCAATATCAACTCAAAAGCGAAGTCGTTACGAGGCTTCCTGGATCAACTGATGGCTTGTACCAATATGAACTGCTTGACGCCCGAGGCTAGTCTTAAGGGAGACTGCCAGTTTTTGAGCGCCAACCTTTACGCTCGTTCCGTATTCGGTAAGTTGTGCCAGTATTTGAAAAAATTGCTGCCTTGAGGCAATATGCCAAAGGATACGAGCTCTAATCGGGATCTAGGTGAGGATGCTCTGGCCAATCTCAGCATTGAAAAGGAGGGAGAAGATGGCCCTATTACCGGATTTGTTCGCATAAGAAGCAGATCTCAAGGCCTCGCTCTAAGTTTAGGATCCTTGAAAGGATTAAACAAGATCGGGTCCTCAGCATAAACTCTCTGGAATAAGTCCAATGCGGATTCGCGCCGTGTGGGTAGTAGAGGGGATCTGCCAGTCCTGAGCGGGGAGCGGGAGCGAGGCAGGGATAAAAGCGAAGCCCAGACGATGATTTTTGATAATGGGAGCATGAGTAGCTGACAATCACCAAGAAAAACCATCCATAGATTAGTGCACATTGTGTACATCTCACCAAGGACGCCCGGTGTTGGAAGTTGCCTTAGAAGAGTCACATGGATGCAATAGGAACTACTGAATTTTGACGCGTGTGATGAATCTTCTCTTTGGCAGTGAATAACGGTAATTCCAGTGCCGACACAAGTTTTATCCCAAAGTTTCAGTAAGTTTTGTACAATTGTCGGGGGTATATAAATGTAAAACCGCACTCGCTGGTACAAAACCCGCTTGCAAACAGGGAAGAAAAGAAAACCGGCTCGCAATTGGGAATTGGGCGTCATGACAAGTCTAAGGGGTAGTGATGTGAATAATTAGAGCTTTGATCGCTGTACCGTCGCCACTGATAAAGATGGTGGCTGGCAAGCTCGCGTGGTAGTCAGTCTCTGTTGAAGACGAGCGCATTAACCACATGGCCAGTTTGCCAGCCCTGTATTTCAAGAGACTGGTTATCGTTCAGCATCTTGCCCATGTAGGCAATTCTGATTTTCTTTCCGGTGGGAAGCTGCAGACAGGCGGCATTAGCTTATGGCTGGCTATAGTGACTGGGACTCGAAACATCCCTGAGAAAGAAGGCATCTCACCACACAACAAAGGGAAGCGAGAGACGACAAAGGACACTTACCGATGCTTGGCAAGCAAGTTTCCTGGTTATATTTCGTACGGTATCCAATTTGCTGATGCGGACATCAAAATCCCTGCCATTCTCACTAAGACGTGCACGTAAAGTAATCTGGTCACGACCGTCGATAACTTCTTTGCCCTTTTCCTGCCTTCGTCTTTCGGAATCAGCTACGAGATAACTAATTTCATTTTCCGTGGTGCCGTCATCTCCAGTCATTGACATTTCGGGCACCTCATCCCCTTCGTTTGGAGTAGAAATATTGCTCGGATCGGAAACAACCCACTGTGGGAGCTGGTAATAGTTGCCAAGCGAATCGTAGACGCCGTTCGCAAGATCGCCTGTCGGCAGCGAGATCTCTGCAGCAGATAGAATTGACTGTGCAGTTCCCAAGGCGTCACAGCCTTCACCTCCAGGTTCTTGCAACACAGTCACGGCAGCGTGAATCGTTTGCCAAATTTCCGAGCGTCCAGATACTCGTGTATCGAAGAATTCGGCTCTCTCGTCGTCAAGTTGCTGTTTCGTCCACTGGCGATCTGCTGACTTCCACACATGTCGACGTAAGGGCTTGTTGATATGCTCGTCCAGTGGATCTTGATCTCGACGTCGCGGGTGAGGGAAGGCCCGAGAGCCCGTTTGCACGCTTTCTGGAAGCGAAACTGGAGGGGGGTTGATGTGGCGAGCGGACGCATTGGGCGCGCCGCCAGGGTAAGGCGAATTCGGGCCGGCAGACCTGGAGAAACAGCATCCCTTGACGTGGTTGAGCTCCTCTCTACGTTAGGATCTGGCTGGGAATGCTGACGGCTTACCATTGTCAAGCTGGTTGAGTGTTTGCCAACTGCTAGGGAACCTTGATAACGGGCACCAGAAGAGTTGCGGCGATGAGGAGAGCCGAAATCATCAATCTAGGCCGAGAGGACTAGGCAGTCGTCAGAAGAAGGCACGACGAGTAGTACTTCTAAATTGCCACGGCCCACGGCCATGCCAACAATGAAGCGGGCGAGGCAATTTGCAGGACGGACCAAATTTGAAGCTGGGTGGACGTGTTTCGGGTGGATAATTCGGCTGCTCTGTGCGAGAGAGGGGAAACATGAAAGAAGCGGGCCGGCGCAGGTCTGGCTAGAAACCGGTAAGAGTGAATAGGAATTACAAGGCAATGGGATCAGTTGATTGTAGCGACATCAGCTCATCGGGATCGCATGTGGCTGCAGGGCGCTATGTTTATAGGGGTGCAAGTGCTTCGCTACTTTGACCTTTTCCTTGATACCGTCAATGCACCAACCAGCCTTGGGGGTCAACTGCTTCGTATCAAGTTGATCCATCATCACTCAAGCCGGCAAGCGTGAGGAGCCCCACGCACCTTATCCATTATACAACTTTGGAACCACACATCATTCAGCCCTCAAACAAAACAGAAAACGGGTTGGTACTTGTCAGTAAACACTACACACTCCGCGATGGAAGATGCCACGAGGCGGCATTTCTTCCACCATGGCCAAGACGTAAGTTTGATGCCTCTATTTATCGACTTTTCGACAGAAAGCAAGATACACCCGAAGGTTGCGCTTCGCTCGACAAAGACTTCCGGGAACTGATTTCTGCCAAACAGGGCAACGAAGATGAGAAGGAAGACTGTCATTGGTGCCAATTACGGTCCTTCACAACACACAAAGCGGCACCCATCACCGTCGTAAATGAAATAGACGGCCAAACTTTACCCCAAAATTTTCGTTTCATTAACGGCGTCGTACTCGGTGCTGGCGTCTCAGCAGCTGATCTCAGCTTTCGAAGCGGCTGCACTTGTGGTCAGGACGAAGACTGTCAATACTCGGGCTGTCTATGTCTCGCGGATCTCGATCAAGACGAAGCCAGTGACGATTCAGCTGATGACTACAGTGAATTTGATACCGCCGCCGCGGCGGCGCCATTACTGGCACGCAAGAAGGCATATGCCTACCACATTCACGGAAGCAAAGCTGGTTTACTACGGTCAAAACTCTATACGTCCAAGCTGCCACTATATGAATGCCACCAAGGCTGTGCCTGCTCCTCGGACTGTCCGAACCGAGTAGTCGAACGTGGCCGCACCGTGCCGCTACAGATCTTTCGTACGCAAGATCGTGGGTGGGGTAAGTCGAACCCAACCCACGCAGTTAAATTGACTTGCTGACGGACATGCTCAGGCGTACGGACTCAAGAGTCAATCAAAAAGGGTCAGTTTGTGGACCGTTATCTCGGCGAGGTCATCACGTCCGCCGAAGCTGATCGACGTCGAGCTGCCTCAGTAGTATATCGCAGGAAAGATGTATATCTCTTCGCCCTGGACAAATTCACGGATCCTCGGTCGTTGGATGGCCGACTAAAGGGACCTCCGCTTGAAGTGGACGGGGAATTCATGTCGGGGCCAACCCGATTCATAAATCACTCCTGCGACCCAAATCTGCGGATTTTTGCCCGTGTTGGGGATCACGCAGACAAGCATATACATGATTTGGCCCTCTTTGCTATAAAAGACATTCAAAAAGGCGAGGAGTTGACATTTGATTACGTAGACGGGGCAAGTGGAGACTCTGAAGATCTGGATGGCAAAATGGAAGACATGACAAAGTGTCTGTGTGGCAGCTCGAAATGTAGGAGGTTCTTGTGGTAGGGGGCTTGAAGTCGATGACTCTACTACGTTCATCCTCGGTGCCCCAAGCTAAGGCCGAGCCTCGATTGGATTGCTGGATAGTGGCACGATACCCACGATCTCTTTTCCAGGAAGTCGTGGTTTCCATAGTCTGTCAGGTATTACGCCGTACATTCAGAGCGTGGCCGAGTGTCCAATAATACTCTACACGATATGCATGTTCATTTCTCTTTTTGTGCTTTGCTCTGCCTGACAAGCTGCCGGGCAGGCGAGAAGTGGCATGATAAATGCGATCTTGTCTCGACCATAGATTGCGTCATGTCCGAACTAGGCCGAGATCAAAGCCGGGCCCAGCCGAGATGCCCTCCCTCCGTCCCACCTCCACCTGGCAGGTGCAACCACTCGTGATTCGTTCCCCATGGGGCAAAGCAGGGATTCGAGATCCCGTCGATACAAGTAAATTGCCTCGGTCACAAGCGACTGTTTTGTGTTCGTACACACAATAACTATTGATGGTCTAGTCTTTCCAAGTGTGCTGTTTTCCACTCCATGGGATGCCAAGATATGTGTTGCCTGAAAGACTGCGAAAGTTGGCTGGCGGATGGATATGAGCTCTCCAGTAGAAGCGACGCAGCAGTGTCATGCAGATGCAGATGCTTCTGGAGGCATGAATGATATGCCGGGGGGGCTGCATCCTACAGCGTCCAAAGTGTCTGGTTTTCTTGCGTCAAAAGACCTGTCATGTCAACTCTTGAATTGCCCAGCATCCAGCATGAGACACACAACGATTCTCTGCAGCAGGCAGCTTTATACGCCTGCAAAGGCGCACCGGGACATGCGCCCTCACCGGCGGCAAACCCCTTTTCGATGGTAAGTAATTGCCATCCAGTGGGGAAGGTGAGGAGTAGTTGACCGGGTCGCGTGCGATGCCATAAAATGATGTAGTAACGGGTGTATGCTTAGGCGATGGGCAGAAAAATGCTCACCAGATAACAGCTTCCTCACTCAAGGAGCCACGGCTAATCTATTTCTCATGCCCGTGCGGCAATCACTAGGTTTAAAGCTGCTCTCATTTTGTGTGGCGCGGGATATACTGCCAAAGTTTGCACAGACGGCGTGCGGGCACGTCGGATTGCGAATATTGCTGTAGCGGAAAGAAACGCCATGGAACTGCAACATCGAAACAATGCCCTCCTAGATATATACGGAGACAGATCTAGCCTGGAAGAATTGGAAAAGGCCGTTAAATTTTATGAAAAGAAGTAACCTAGATGCGTCTCGCCGGCATATCTCGAATTCCGGACGCGGCGCTGTTCAACGCCATTTGGCAAAAGCTTTGACATACCAACACGCCTGATCTACTGGGGGTTGCCGGCGAATGTCGAAGCCATAGTTCAGGTGCGGACATGCGAGGGGACATGTTGAGGGACAGAGGAAGTTTGTGCACTGAGAGCGCCGTCAAAAGCCACTAACTAAACCTCACGTGGTTGGGCTGCGCAGAAAACGGCGAGACGATTGTTCAAGAGCGTTCACCAAAGGCAAACAATCCATCGAGCGTACCTGGGCCCCGGCATTTTTGGAGCTGAATCGCCTACCAGTACCTGCAGGTTGGAACACAGACTAGGTGTTACGCTGAGGCTTATGGGGGAGACGTGCTGAAAGGACTTGGGAGACAAAGACATGAGGCTCTACTTGTCTGCTGATCGACGTCTCTCAGCCTTCAATATTGTACTGTGCCCTACAGCTTCATGGTGGAACAATCCACAGCAATAGCTCGACAAGAGACATACCTAGAAGTGGCGAGGTAGTTGTGACGACCGGGAGGCTAACGTTCGCATAGCTCTAAGTGGTCTTGGCCTTAAATGTAATCCTTGGCTTGTGTCCAGACTAAATATTTCCCAGGTGCTCAAGCTGAAAACTGTGAAACCAGCAGAGCCGGGCTATATGTAGCAAGGGCAGAGTTCTCCTAGCGAAAACATCTTACCGAGCCCTGACTTTTCGAATGACGACTCTTTGTTCATCCAGCTCCCATCCTACGCCATCATTATTTGTCAGATCTTCCCAGTTTGACGCTGTCATCTCTTCTAGAAACTGCAAATCCACAGAAAAGTATGTCCTCCCGAAACACTTGAGAGTATGTATTCTTATGTCTCTTTCTACCCACTCCATCAACCGAGCCTTATGCCCGTCCACATTTTTCTGGATTTGCCTGAAAAGCACATAATTATCATGTATCAAGGCTTGCAGAACCGCATTTACTTTGTCGTCATGCAGTTTGAATTGATGGCGAATCGCGATAGCCTCTGCGACCTGTCGTCTGCGACACGCCGTGTCCAGCACAAGATATCCGACAACCTCTTGGAGTTCCAATGATGTAAGGGGGTGTCTGGCATGGATTGTACGCAGTAGGTGCAATATAGCAGCATGGTATGATTCTGGCTGCTTGGCCAAAACAGAGAGGCGTATACAAAATAGGTATACCTGTGCCGCGAAGTTGTCGGTACGTTTTGAAGCGACAATGCCTTCTCTGAGTTTTCGTAGAGCTGCCAGAATGCCGGAGAGCTCGTTGGCGCTTGACGTATCATCGCAAGGAGTGAAACGCGAGGTTCCAGAACTGCTGTTAGAATATTTATGCATTTGCATATGACTATCAGAAGTAGGCATCGCATCAATATGAAGTGAAGATAACCTGCGAAGAAGCTCGTCTCGTTGCCCAGCATCGGAGCAGAATGCCATGTACTTGTCGACAATAATGGTGTAGAACTTCTCTTGGATTTTCAAGTCAAGTAATCTATACCTAGGAGTTAGTCGTAGTTGCAGTTTCTTCCACACCTAGCCTAATTGCGAAGGCTCACCGAGTATCTCCTTTTGATGGCAATCCCATGCTCTGCAAAGGATCTTGTTCCACCGGCTTCAGCCGCCCCCATGAACTTGATAAAGAGCCTTTGTTGCCCAGGCCAGGCATGATGAGACAACTTGAGTATAGTTGACTTCGGATGAGATGCCAGTCGTTTGTTTGTTCCGCTAAATGGTGACGTGCGCAGACACGTTTGCTTTCATCCTTGAGTAGAGGATCAAGGAGAGTCGCAAGTGCCAAGTGGAAATAACTAGCTTGCCCCTCCACAGATATACTATCTTATCAGTCAACGGCAGGAAGTTGGAGAGCCAGCTTGAATCACGCACAAATGAGAAGATGGCTTTTTTCGGTCCACGTCGCAAGTTTTGGCTGAAGCTCTTTTCATATAACTTATTAGGTTTGAAGGAGGTAAGCACAAGTACCACACGCTCCACTCCTCAGGAGGCGCTCGCTCAACAAAGGCAGCCTCGTGTAATATTTTGGTTTGTTTAGCGTACGTTGAATCTATGTGGCCACGACTATTTTTTTCAGCCTAAGTTGTCATCTCTAGATATCTACTAGCCAAATAGGCGCACAAAAAAACGAGAACTGTTTTGCACACAAATGTTTACTCATCGCGGCGTGGTACAATCGGGTATCAAATCTCTTCCATCGCATCCTTCGACAAACTTTTCGCGAAACATAATATTATCGCCGACGCATGATTCTAGTGACATCTGTGCCTAAGCGTTCATACGGTCCGCCAGTGTCACTTTATCCCAATTCCTTGGGCCGGCCGCCTCGAATGTCCCTCTCTTGGAAATGACCCTTCCTAAACCTTGATGTATTTCGGCCTGAAAAGGTTCAAACGGTATACGCTCGCCATCAATACTAATAAAGCCATCTTTTTGGTTCTTAGGTATGATGCGGTACGCAGATATTTTCTTATATTTTACGTGTGTGTTGTCGAAGAATTTCCCAGACTCGACTGAATACAAGAGCTTAGTGGCTGTAATAGGAGAGAGGTCTCCGTTGACTGTGACAAGGTCCATACAACCGTCGCTGGCCATTGCCGCGGAGAAAAAGTTTGCATCCGGTGCCATATAGGCCATCTGCACTGGGGGTCAGTCACAAATTATACCAGTGAGAAAGAAGCGTCTTGGGGGACCAGCTTACATTTCCGCAGTAAAAGTTGCCAATTTTATCATACTGTACAAGCTCCCAATCCTCTGGGAGCTGATCTTGAACGGTGCCGTATTTAAGTTGCGGGAGGCCCATTCTACCGTTTTGACCCGTAGTAGCGTCCAGAGATGGCTGTTTGGCCCTCGCATCATTGGTATGCCGTTTATAGTGAGCTTTGATATCGCTTTTATCACCAACTTCGACCTTGACAGCGACATCACATGGGTAGCAACGACGTCGAAAAATTCTCATCAAAACACCAACCTCGAATCTAGAACCGCCCATCCAGCGAAGATGTTCAGTCCCAAGGTCACTCTCTGCAACGATCCCAAGAGACTGGGAGAGAAATGACAGAAAGCGACTATTCCCTTGGGTAATGGAGACGAGGTCGAGGGACGTGGTGATACCCTTAATGATTGCCAATGCCGCAAATGAAGGCCGGTTTGAACCATAGAGGTTGCAGGACATGGCGTTGCCTGACCCGCAAGGGATATGGCTGACAGCAATCTTGGCCAAGGCACGGGCAGCGTCAGGACGCTTTGCAAGCCCATTAAAGATCTCATGGGCAGTGCCGTCGCCAGAACAGGCCACAATGGTGTCGTATTTATCAATATCGACTTGTTCTGCGAGATTTGTGGCCTCTCCGCCCCTCTTCAATGTGACGACGTCCAGTTCCATACGGGCAGCATCGAAAAGTGGCTTGACCTCGATGCTCCATTTGCGCAGAGCGCCTCCTGGGCCGGCATGGGGATTGATGAGCACATATGCTCTTTTCCGAATTTGAGCATCCCCATATGCCTGTTCAAGAACACGGGCTGCAAATTCTCCTGCCTGAGCGCTACTCGGAGATGCCTTGCCTTTCGCTGGCGCAAATGTCCACTTCTCAAGCTTGATGCACGTCTTTGAAGACTGTGCTGCGTAGTCAATGACAAGACTACCATTGACGGTTTCTATCCATATGATGTTGTAAAGTGGCACCTGTCGCTTGCCGGAGGAATCTACCATTGACGATGTTAGCTTGCCCGTCTTCCATTCAAGGTGCGACTGTGTCTTGGCGGTGCCAACCTGTCACGATAGACCTGCAGACCGAGCGAAGCCTGCTCTTAGGAATTGGCTCTGTCAAATGTCAATACACTCGAGATTGTAGGGTTGAGTGGTTTGAAGGCATTACCGAAAAGCGTGAGGGAATCCCTGCCGACAGATAGAGACAACATCTTCTTCTCGTCCAGACTTATGTACAAGGCGTCCGTGACGAAGGGAGGTTTCCCGTTCCCCATTGCTCCTTGCCCAGGGGAAGGCGTCTGGCGGTATTTGCATAAAAGATGTTAAAAGCACAGGCAAGACAAGGTCTGGTGCAGTTGTGTCTCGTGCCAGTGCTCACAAAATATTGCGCAACTTTGATAGACGAAGCAAGTAAATGAAACGATGGTTCTAAAAAGGGGAGGAGGGTGGGTAAGTACGGACTCGCAACAAACTTACAAACTACAGACTATTGGGCTGCGTGGTAAGGGCACACCTCGTTCATGGAAAAGCGAAGCAAGAAGGATCAACTCGACAACGAGGTGAGAAGTGTTGTACTCGGTCGGCCTACAAGATTGACAGCCCTCAATGTACCGAAGTACCTATCTGAGGAGTACCTCAATACCTCGGCACCTATAGTGCCCTACTAGGTACCTAGGAAATTTTAGAACTGGCTACCAGCGTTGATCTGGCCAAGTGATGCCTAAACTCATCTCGGAACTGTTAGGGTACAAATTATTTGAGCTGACAGAAGACCCCAGCTATCCCGCGTTAGGCTATCATATTCTGCGATTTTCCTTTCCTGTTTTATCATGAACTTGGGGTAGGGATACGTCTTCCCAGGTACTCCGCGCCGGAGTCCTGTCCTCATCGGACTAACTACTTTAAGTAAGTGGATCTGTGAGCTGGCGGGCAATCTGGTTGAATGACGTGACGACACCAAATTTGGGCTCTGGGACCTCATGCGGCTCCTTCCGTTGAAGTCCTCGGCCTGCGTGGCCTCCGTTGGTTCTTACCGTCTCTATGGGCTAAGAACACGGATATTCAAGTCTGGATTATAGAAGACTGAGCCACAGCTCATGACTCACAAGGCTTTCCGACCTCTGCTCATAAGTCGTGCTTTTTGTTAATGTTTGCCACGGTTTTTCCGTTTCGACTGCCGATGTAGCTACACTTCATACATGTACTTATCCTGTAAGTCGTACGAGATCTCTGCGGCCTGTCCGGTAGCACCGGACCTGCAGCCCGAGTGAACATGAGCGTACCCAGAATCTCCCTCGAAAGGCATTCGACGCATGTGGCGTAATATGTTTTCATAGCCAGACCACATGCATTCTGACCCACCAGTCATGCCTGGCTGAATTGTGAGCCTGACGACTCGTGGAACACCCAAGGTCAAGAATGTACTAAGTTGCCTTGTTTTATAGAATCGTCTGTGCATCAGGTTGGTGCTTTTGCCCAATCACAAAAATCTGCCCAGTTCTATTCGTGAAGAGGATGACCAGAAACTGTATAGGTCGTCCTGTTACGAGATATCAGTACTCTTACCGCCTCCTTGTTTTGTGTGTGACACAACTCAATAAAATGGCTTTCCGTACTCAGGAAGATGACCATCTTTATTTACCTGTGACGCTTCTAGCTCTGAAGCCCAAAATCTTGAGTGATATAAATGGCATGCGTAATATTACCGATCCGTTGCTGTATAAAAAAAAACAAGTGCAGCTCTGCCTCACAGCGACTAGGCCATATTGGAGCCCGAGTGCTTGCTACACAAGGCGCCATGCCATTATATTCAGCTGTAGATGAATAGGTAACTGCTTTTCCTTTTCACGACGACTGCTATCAAAAACGGCGAGAACTCCCATCCATGCTGTTCGATCTTCTGTTTTGTCAATTGACTTTGAAGCGCTTGACCGTAATTAGGTAATTATGAAGCTATCTCATTCCACAATATTTCGCCATGAATGCGGGTTGAATGGCAATCCCATTCGGGTCCTGTAGACTGGATCAAAGTGCTTTAAATTCGGCATCGAGGGCTTCTGACACCTTTTGTGGCAGATCGGTGGCAGACTTCAGAATAGACTCAAATATGGAAAGTTGTGTCTTTGTCCGAGGATTGGAGCGATCTATTGCCAGTGCAGAGTGAAGGCATCGAAGCGCCGGGACGAGTTTTCCTGCCACCTGTTAGATATAATTTGGAAATAATGGCCAATTTCTTGGGCCCTCATCACTCACGTCGGCGGGTATAAACATCGAAGCCTGCGTGCTGAGCATCGATACTTCTGGGGCAAGCCTGGAGTAGTGGACTTAAAAATTTCATAGCCTCGCCGAGAGGGTCAGTGGTAGAAGCAAGCTTCAAACCTAACGGATCATCATCCTGTTTCTTAGCTTCACCACTCAAAGTGCTCTTGTTTGGGTCCTTCTTGGCCTGCTTTTCGATCGCATCTCTCTCTAAACGCTGAAGTTCTTTCTTCGCCTTTTTTGCTGCCTTCTTCTTCGCCAGTACGTCATCTCCATTTTCACCGGTGGCTCCATTGACCCGCTTTGTAGACGCCTTGTCTGCCATTTCCACATATAAGCTGATGGCATCGAGTGCAGCGCGTGAATAGAACGGATGGTCGCGGACGTGGTCTTCCCATTGAATCATCTCAACATACGCTCGAATCTGACCTTTCCTCAGGGAGAAGGTGTGGAAATCGAATTGATCTTCTTGCCAAACATCGAATATGTTAGCCACCGCATGAAAGCGTTTAAGAGCGAGGCCTATGTTCCCTTGTCTAGCATAAGCTTCTCCGTCTTCCGTCAGGTACCAGACACATTGCATATCCAAAAGATCTGCCAGTGGCCCCCCAACGGTGTCTGCCCGCGTGAATAAGCCGACTGTCTTGATCGCTCGGTCGTTCTCGTTATTTCGAAGTTGATACTTTGCCGCCTTGCTATTGATATAACGGTCTTTGAGGTCGAGTTTTCGCGCCATGTCCATGATTTCCATGGCTTTCTGAGTCTCACCGCTGTGCTTCAGGATTCTTGCTTTTGTCATATGAAAATCAACGCTCTTGGGATCCTTCTCAAGAGCTTTTTCGATGTAGCTCATAGCCTTGGCCAAGTCTCTGCTGAGGTAGTAGTTGTAGTGCTGAGCCAAGAAGAAGAGTGCTGCAGCTTCTCCCTTGTCCTTACTGGTTGACGGCGTGAACTCTGACTGGAGGTACTTTTCTGCAAGGGAAGCTAGCGCGATCTTTTTAGCCGAATTAGAGTACAGATGCTTCAAGTTTGCGAATGTAGAAGGCACTCCTTTATTCAGCATTAGGGTGAGGTACGTTTCCGCTGCTTGGTTGAACTCGTCACCTATCTCATGTAAGCCATTATATCGAGAAAGCGAACAGGTGATGACAAGTTGCACCTACCGAAGAGAAAGTCTAGAGGAATTCGTTTGGCCGCGTCACACCGTGGGAACTTCTCTGCATATTCGTCATACAGCGCCTTTCGTGCCTTGGAACTGTTTTGGGGAATTTTCAACGCGGACGCCAGCTTCTCGTAGTACATTGGATGATCAGGGTTTCGATCGAGTAGCGCTCGATAAGCTATAGCGGCTTCTTCATTCCGCCCTAGTTTGACCAAGTATTCCGCTCTGCTCTCCATTACGGCCAGCCGGTCCAGGTTGTGCTTGCAAGCAGTATTCAAATGTTCCAAGGCACGCTCATAATCTCCTTGTGCAGCAATCAGCGAGTTTTTATACATGACTGCCTCAGAATGCTCGACATCGCTACGTGACGGTGTGGTCTTGAGGGTGCCTTCATAGGTTGTCAAGACCTTTTCGGCCTCAAGCAGATTACCGGCGAAATGATGCGCAATGGCGAGAGCAGTCCAGCTCTGGCGTAGCTGCGGCCGAGCTTGGAGCATCGAGTTGCGACTGTGAATATATCCTTGATAATCCCGCATTTGAATTTGGAGAATGGCCAGATCCCTCTGGATCTGCGCTGACTCAGGTTCCAACTTGAGGGCAAACTTATACGCTTTGATTGCTTCTTCGAAATTCTTATTCGATCGATAGAGTAAGCCGTAGACGTGCCAACAAATATGTGACTTCATATCGGCTGTCAATGCTTCCTTGGCGAGAGCGAATGCTTCCTCGGTTTTGCCCTGACTGTTGAGGATCAGGGCTTTCATGGCCATTGTGTCTCCGTGCTTCGGGTTCTTCTTCAAGATAAGGTCTGCGGTCTTAAGCCCGCGCTTATATTGTTTATCTTCATAGCTGCGGATGACCTGTCGAAACTGCGCCGCTTCTTTCGGCGCAAGTTGCTGCGGCATCGTGACGGGGGATGTTATTCGGGCGTTGGGAGCTCCTGCACTGACGAGACAAAATGCGCCGCTGTTCAGGTATAAACTCGATCTTCAAAGTAAAGATTGATTTGACTGCGATTTCGTTCCAAGAATGATCACTGGGTTTGTCGCTGATCTGGTTGAAGAGCGTTGCGCAGGATGGTAGTCGATGGCAAAGGACCAAAAGTATTACACTTTGTTCTCGCACCGTAACGAGGAAAAGGAATGAGCCCTCGTGATACGCGAGTGTTATCAGACGGTGCAATACTGGACAGGCAGACGTGTTGGGGTAGTTAGAAGAACAAGCTTTTTGGTATACTATAATCGGCGGATCCTCGGATTGGTGCATCAAAAGCTGTCTGGTCGTGTTGCAAGTTGTGTGTGCCAGCGAGATTGAAGCGGGCGAAGGGTGGGGTTTTTAACCACCAAAACGGAGTAAAAAGGGCTTCGGGGGTCTGGTCGGGTCGCCGGCAGTGCACGCTATTCCAGCCCCAGGCAAGATGGTAACTAGTACTTAACTCTTGAAGACCTAGCACGTCAAGGGGTATTTCGGTGAAGGTCACTTCACTTGCCTTGTTGGCTACTAGTATAAGATGGCTTAAGAATTTTCTACCAGCGTATCATTTATTTTCAGCCCTCTGATGAGGGCTCTGCTATCCTTAACAGTCCCAAGTAGGAGTGGTAGTATACCGGCTGGCATATTCGCCTCCATTCGAGGAAGTACCGACCTTGGAAGGCGCTTAATCCTCGTACACGCGTCAATGAGCTTGATACCGTGACTTTTATTTGGCAAAGAAGCCAATAATCTACATGGAAAATACGGACCATTGCTCTGAATTGCCACTGCATGAGTCTCAGGGAGGAGGGTCTGTCTGCCGCTTTTGGTTGACTGCCTAGGTATCAATTCGAGGTTGGTTGCCCACGTGCTGAATGTCAACAAGAGGCCGACAATTTGAAACGTAAAAATTGTTTACGTATAAACACTCGGATACTGCTTACTTTATATGATATGAGGTGCCATTAATACCATCGCACTTCTTGCCGTGCATCCACATAGTAGTCTCCCCAAGTATGATCATAAGAGCTTTCTTGGTTGGCATGCGCTCAGACGGCAGTGAAAAGCCGCGTTTAAAAGTTCCATTGCTAGGTGTGATGTGATGTGTACGATTAAATGAATAGTGGCCTTACAGCATATCTAGGCGTGATGTTAGTCGCCTCAACCGTGCGAAGACTGCAAAATATTGATCTTCTACGTAAGATCCGGGCGCCACTCCAATGCGTCTCTTGCAATCGCGTGGGTTACATTCTCCTATAGAGGGCTGCTGGCTGGAGTATTTGTACCAACAGGTGACCTATTAGTCCTGACATAGGCAAGACAACTCATCGAATCTCTCGAGCTACCAAGAAGAGACGGATGCGGGCTCCCCTCCGGTGGTACATTATCAAATGGCAACGGTTACCTTCTTTGAAGACGGCGGGCTTGATAGAGCCAAGACCATCCCTTTCAGATCAACTAGCGGCCGGATGAATTACTCGTAGAACTATCATCAAACCCATATGTCCACATATCCTCTTTCCACGTGTTGTGACAAGAGTAATTACATCGCTCCTGAACAACACTCCAAGTACGATTGCGAATTATTTCTTCGACGCCACGTTCTTGGCGGATGAGGCTTGCCAGAATCTGGGTTCGAGATTCACGGGGAAATAGTCGTCCTGAATATGGATCTAGTCGCTCATCCACGATTCTTTCGCGATCCTTCTGCTCTTCCACGTCACGGAGGATTGCCTCTGGGTCATTCGGGTCGGGGCTGGCTGCAACAAGAGCGCAGTAATTCAACATCTCGGTTCTGGCCTGCCAGGCTGGAAAGAGAACCATCGTCTTGAATGATTTGCAAGCCTTAGGGTCTATGGGTCGTGAGCCGGAAGCAGGGGTCCTCTGAGACGTTGAACTGGGGTCGAATCCGGTATGTGAAGGCGTGACCAACGCATTGAGGTTCTCCGTTATAGTATCGTCGACAGCCGATCTAGAGAAACGAAGAAAATCTGCAGGCACGTCAGTAGAGACTAGTCTAGAAGGTATGCGGATATAAAGGTTTTACATACCACGAAGAGCCCCCGACGAGAAGCACAATTGTGGCGACAACCTTGGTCGGCGTGGGAGTTCAGTCATGGTGCCTGGTTGACGCAATTTTACTGCCTGGTCGGTAGCTACGGAAGCGCTGCCGTTCGAGGCCGCGGAGGATTTCCAAAAGATATCCAGCTTGTGCGATCATTCACAAGGCCGTCGAAGGAATATTTTCAATTTTGTGCCAGATATAGATATGCACGTCTCCAAGAGTGGGCTGGAGAATTGCAAGGCTGGGTCGTATGCTTCTTACCTTAAGTACCTAAGTTCCTAAGTGTGTTACTTAAGTAAGTACCTAGGTACCTAGGTATTTAGGCACCTGCCACGTACTGTAGGTACCTTCGCGCAGCGCCTGTTTCTACGGACAGCAGAGCTACCCCAAGATGAGTATTACCTATCAGTAGGTCAAAATTTGCCAGAAAGCTACTAGTTTTTAGGAGATTTTAATAAGCCGTCTTGTTATAGCTGACGAAGCTGAGGACAGTCATCAGAATGTCAACCCCGCGTGATATACCACGTGAGTACTCAGGACATACAGTGTGCACCTGCTCATACTGTAGACTCTGTTTTATTTACTTTTGCTGTTATAAGTAGAAGACGGAATCGTCCCACCTTAAAACTCATGCCTTTATGCCGCAGTTCTTAGTGCATCTTTACTATAACTTTTGTCTTGTGCGTAAGTTGATAAGTTCTACGTAAGCCCCAAGCTGATATTCGTTTTGCGTGCGACTAATGTTACTTGTCTGTCGATACTTGTTTAAGTAGAGGCTTCTGCTCACTATGCGACTTCACAATTTATGTTTCCTGCCTTTCCCCTTGGTGTAGAGATAAAGGCATTTGCAGTGCATTAGCTGTATCCCCTCGCATTAAGTCTTCTTTTGTGTTGTTGTCTCCTGTGTGTAGCTTTTGGGCTAACAAACTAGTAAGTAATAATTGAGTACAGACTACATGCCAGACTAGTCAAGTATTCAATCTGCTGGCATTGCCTTACGTCAAGGTCGACGCATCAAAATCCCAGGGACGTTTGGCGGTCCAAAGAGCATAAATCAATCGCAAACAAGCAGTGGCAAGAACGGGATGCGATGGCTTCGTGAAGGTAAGAAGCTTGATGGCGACAGTGGGACAGGGACAGAAGGCTAAATTGCCCACAAGGCAAGCTGGCGTCGATGTCATAATACCTACCTACCTAAGTACTTAGTAGCTATGGATGTTCGTCATTTCTATTTTCAATACTAAGTATGGAGCAGAAAAACATTCCTTTGTTCATAAACCCTGAAATATAGAAGTCTTCTATATACTTAAGCACCTCTTGCTACGTAGGTATTTATTCATTATACTGTAGTTACAATACATCGCAGATCATGCCGTGTGCATGTGCCTATTCAAGTTTTAACCCCGCCCCCACTCTTTCTGTACGCATACTCAAGTACTTAGGTACTTAAGGTTAGTAACCGACGAATTGTGTTGATTTTTCTAGCCCAGTTACAATGACAAAGTGCCTGGTTTCCGTATAGCCCTCGACAGCAAGATTCCACCAACGCCACGATCTTGCCGTTCCTACATGACTTTCTGGCCCATCCGTCACTCAATCATCGCCTTCGTCAGCTGCCACCCAGCCCACTCATTCGTCTCATATGCATCAAATTGATGAGAGGAATTTAGTTTGATTTGCTAACCGCAATGTCATCTTCTGCATCCACATCTGCGACGCAGGCCAGCAGTGGAAGCTGGTCAGCCTTCCTGAAGGTACCCGAACATTACATCACTTGCCCTTAAGCGGCATCCGAGACCCTTCGCTGACGTGTTTCCTACAAAGTCGATCGCCTCTTTCAACGGAGATCTCTCGTCTCTAACAGCCCCGCCGTTCATTTTGTCATCCCAATCTCTGACCGAATTCTCTTCATATTGGGCAACGCACCCCCCAATCTTCACCGCTCCTGCTGCCGAGTCTGAACCCGCCAAACGTGCTGTACTCGTGCTGAAATGGTTTCTCACAACACTCAAGCATCAGTATGCCAGTAGAAGCGAACAGTTTGGGAACGAAAAAAAGCCTCTGAACCCGTTTCTTGGCGAGCTATTCTTGGGCAAGTGGACTGATGAAGCCGGCGAGACCACACTCATCTCGGAACAAGTCAGCCACCACCCACCCGCTACTGCTTATTGCATTCGCAACGACAGGACGGGAGTTCAGTTGGAAGGATACAATGCCCAAAAGGCCACGTTTAAAAGTACCATCATTGTGAAGCAAATTGGTCACGCCGTGCTGACAATCCCAGTTGGACCCAGCGATGAGCAGAAACATGAACGCTATCTTATTACACTTCCATCTCTCCATATCGAGGGGCTTATTTTCGGCGCACCATTTGTCGAACTGGATGGGTCAAGCTACATTAGTAGCTCAAGCGGCTATACTGCCAAGATCGATTACAGTGGTAAGGGCTGGCTCTCGGGTAAGAAGAATAGTATTGTCGCTACTCTTTATCCCACTGGTCAGGAGAAGGAAGTGTTATATAACGTCACAGGCCAATGGACCAAAGAATTCGAGATATATCAAGGTCCCGCAAAGAAGAACTCATCAGTCACATTGTTTGGTACATATGACGCTGCCGGCACTGCCCAGACTGAGCTCAAAGTTGCTCAGATAGATGATCAGTATCCTCTCGAGTCTCGTCGGGCTTGGGCCAGAGTTGCCAAAGCTATTCAAGCCGGTGATATGGATACAGTCTCAGTTGAAAAGGGAAAGATTGAGAAAGCCCAGCGAGATTTGCGAAACAAGGAGCGATCCGAGGAGCGGACTTGGGAGCGACGTTATTTTTCTTCCGTGACCCAAGATAAGGTTCTACAAGAGCTAGGTGATGCTGCCGGGGTTCCTTTAAATGGGGAACAGGATAAGACAGATGGCCTGTGGCGATTCGATCCAGAGAAAAACGCTAAGGCTTCTGCCGAGAAGCTCAGCAGTGCGCAAGTACAGGAAATCGAAAAACAAGTGCTTGGACAGTAGACCTCTCGTTGTGGACGTCGCGAATTATGGAAAAGTTTATTTTGAAGCCATGTCGCGTGCGAGATCTGTGATGGGAGAGGCCAGGTACCCAGCTATCACGCGCCACATGCTGTGATTTTTTGTGGTCTATCCTGGTTTCATGTGGTACAATTAGCGACAGGTCAATACGTATTTCTAGAAGTTGTAATTGCTCTCATATTTGCGCACCCATGTGATGAGTTTTGCGTTTCTGTTTCCGTTTAATATTAATCCGTGCTCGCGACTTTGGCGTTGATGCGAGAGCATCGAAGTGTCTCAATGGATGAATTGATCTAGGCATCTGAGGAATACAACTTGCGACCCGAGCATTCTTCGGCCTTGACCAATTTTGTTGAGAAATTTCCAGTATCTTTACTCCCGTTCGATTCCAACTGACAATGTTCTGGACTGTTTTGCAATCATTCCGCCCCAGGGCCGCCCCAACAACATAAGAGAAGATTTTGTGTTCCAAGTGGATACCTACAACTGCCCAGCACAGTTAAAGTCCTTGAGGGCCTCGGCAACACGAGCAGACATGGTTTTCTCACCCTCGCGAACCCAGACACGCGGCTGAATTTTGTCCATTAGCGTTTCTCTTGGCCACGAAACAGAAACATGACGTATACAGGGAGAGGAGCATTCATAGGCTGTCACTTACGTCAAAAAACTTCTTGTTGGGTTTGTCTTCGCCATCGGGGTTGCCAACGGCAGTGAGGAGGTAGTCCTTCTTGTTCAGCATATAATCACGGATACCGCTCATATAGGCAAACTGCATATCAGTGTCCATGTTAACCTTGACGACACCATGGCTGATAGCATCCAGGTACTCCTTCTTGCTAGATCCAGAACCACCGTGGAAGACAAAATAAACAGGCTTGTCCTCTTTGGAGTTGATGGCCTCCTTGACATGAGCCTGGTGCTTGCCGAGTAGCTCAGGGTGGAGCTTGACATTGCCGGGTTTGTAGACACCGTGGACATTACCGAAGCCGGCAGCAATAGAGAAGTATGGGGAGATGGGAGACAGTGTATTATAAATGTTGAGAATATCCTCAGGCTGGGTGTAAAGAGAAGCATTGTCAACGTCTTCATTGTTGACGCCATCTTCTTCGCCACCGGTGATACCTATCTCCATCTCAAGCCACTGCTTCATCGGGGCCGCTCGCTGAAGATACTTGGCGGTAGTCTTGACGTTCCAGTCGACGGCTTCCTCGGAGAGATCGATCATGTGGGAGCTAAACAGAGGCTCGCCATGGACCTTGAAGTAAGCCTCATCAGCGTCGAGCATGCCATCGAGCCATGGCAGGAGTTTTTTTGCGCAGTGGTCAGTGTGGAGAATCACTGGGATGCCGTAGGAGGGCGCGATGCTACGGATGTATTGGGCACCTGCGACAGCACCGGCGATGGAGGCGGCTTGGTCGGTATTGCTCACGTTCTACACCAATATCAGCAGTCGGGAAGTAAAGGCCAGCAGGTATTGCACCTACCTTTCCAGCAAAATAGGCAGCACCTCCCTGGGACATCTGTAGAATGATGGGAGCTTTGGCATCACGGGCAGCCTCAAGTGACGCAACGACAGTTGAGGATGACGTGACATTCTGCCATCACATTGAAATCAGCTTTGCGAGAATATGGGGGCCAGAGACAGCATTATAAATCCCAAAATTCGGGGCGCACGTACGATGGCAGGCACTGCAAACTGCTTCTCCCGGGCATACTGGAACAGTTTCAGGACATCGTCTCCCACGATAACGCCAGACTTTCGGCTCAGTACATCGGTAACGCCCATGTTTACGTGAAGGTGTTGCGATAACTCGGAGGGTCGCAAATGAATGGTTTGCGTTGACTGTAAATTGGCGTCGTAAAGGATGCAGTTGACCGAGGTGGGTTTAGGGTCGAGCACAAAGAATGTGAGCACTTCTGGAACTGGAGAAGAAAAACGGCCAGTTTGGTCAGCGGATTGTTTAGATTCTAGATTTTGTCAAACAGGATTAGAGGAGTAGATAAGTGAAGTTGGTCGGATAAGAAAGGGGAGCGCGGGGTTTCAGATCAGAATAACTAGTTACTATGGCTGTCGCAACTTGGAGGGGCAACTAGGAGGGGGAGGGGTGCAAGAGGGCCAGCTCCTGCAGACTGCCCTCCATGGACAAGTTGTGGATGCTGTTTGGTGTCAAGCGGGCTCAGTACCAGCCAGGACTACCGAATATCCAGAAAGCTCATGACATCAAGAATGAGGCCAAAGTAACAGCTCTGGCGTTGACCGGTGAGTAAGTGGGCGTAATATGCCTCGCTGCCAACTTTTGCGCAATCAAGAATCGTTGCCATCTGAGGGTTGACTATGGGCCGGCCCGTGTTTATTGGGCGAGCGACAGCAAGGTAATGGGTTTGAGCCATTATTTGATCGGCCCCTTGCGCTCGAGACCAATCTTGAAGCCGTTTGCCCGCAGACATGAGGCTTCTTGGGTGTTCGGGGCGGGGGAGTGACTGTCTGAACACTTACACAATACCCAACAAGATTGGCGAAGATAGCGATGTTGGTAGAATGTTTGGGTTTTCTACCTTCGTTCCGAGGGATTTTGAGGCACAGGAAGCCACGTGCACGGAACAAGAAAGGACGTTGCGGGGCAGCAAAATTTAGGCCGAGAAGTCTGGTTGGTCTCGTCATAACTGGGAACAGTCTCCTGTTGTAACCGAACTTCCGCAGGTCGGATCAGACGGAAACAAGCGGAACATTTGAACAACCTACTAGCCGACCTACTCCATGTAGAGTAGGTAGGCAGGTAATTACAGCTTCTAGGGAGATGTATTTCCGTAATATGGCTGTTCGTACCGCGGTATTTCACGAGGGTACAGTATGGGCTAGGGCGCGACGGCCGTGGACACCTTAACCCTCATATTAATTACTATTTATTTTGCCTCCCACTCTGTTGCAGGCGCTAGTGGAGGAGCAGTGTTTGCGAACCTGTCAAGGAGGGCCTATCACTAAAAGTTAAACGAGACGCCCTTTAAGCAACGTATAGAGATGTTTAGAGAAAGTTTCTCGGTCGAATACTCCGCGGATTTTTCCGCTTGAGTCCAAGTTACTACGACCAACCCTCAAACTTTCAGTAGCCTATGAGGACATTGTCATTACTTCTTAACTGCTTTAAAGCTGCGAAACGCGGCTCTTAGATTGATTCGCGGGAATGTTCATTATTTTACATTCTAGAACTAGAGAAGAGCTGTTCGATTCACAGTATGAATGCGTACCGTACTATCAACAAGCAGTGTGGTCCAGTCTCTCTCTTTACCCTGCCACCACCTAAGTACCTAGGTAGGTGCACCCCAGGTATGTCCAGGGCGAGCCTGAGCACTGATTTTCCTGCTGACGAATTTTGTATCAATCACAAAATTAAGCGGATTTACTTGATTGCGACGACAGTGCTACGGAATGAATGAACAGGTTGACCGGGATGGAGACAGAAGATTGATAGACTAAGTTGCTAATCATGATGCAGTGTGTGCCTATGGCACAATTATAGCCATCGAAAGGTCAAGAGGTCAACTGGCCTGCAAGTACCACCATGCGCTGACGATGTGTTTTGATAGGGGAACCACTGCCAGGTCGCTTAGTCATGGCAGGTTTGTGCCAATGACCCATACCTTATTTGCCTTGCCTCTAATCTCAACATCTGGTTTCGTGTCTAGAATACGATATGGCGACACCGCAGACTCCCGCCTCGCTGTCCAATCTCGATACGCTCTTCGATAATCCGGTCTTTGCAGGCGGCATCGGTCTTGCCTCTATAGGCGCTGTCGCTGCCTTTGCTCGCAAAGGTGCTATTGTGGCTTTTGGGGCTGCTCGGCGACGACTCCTCGTGAACGTGGAGATAGGCAAACAAGATCCTGCGTATCCTTGGATACTCGCTTGGTTGTCCCAGCCCCGTGAGGCTGCCGGCTTCATCGCATCCCGCATCACCCGAATTCATAATTTATCGGTCACGACGATTACGACGCATACTAAAGGTACTGGTGCTAGGGGACCCGTCAATGCTAGCTTTTTTCTCCAGCCGGGCTATGGGCGACATGTGGTCAAATTTGGCAATGCATTTATTGCAGTTAACCGGGAAAAGCATAGCACTGCCAATATGAATACCGGAGAACCGCACGAAATAATTCAGCTTACCACGCTTTGGGCGTATCGTCACACTTTCGAGGGGATATTCGCAGAGGCTCATAGCTTGGCTGCAAAAGCAAACGAGGGGAAAACTGTGGTGTATTCGGCCCGAGGTATGGAATGGGCTCCTTTGGGGGATCCCAGGAGAAAAAGGCCGCTTGGCTCTGTCATCTTGGATGACGGGGTCAAAGAAAGCATTGTTGCCGACGTCAAGGACTTCCTCTCGCGCCAGGAATGGTACGTAGAACGTGGAATCCCGTACAGGCGAGGCTATCTCCTGTATGGTCCACCGGGAAGTGGGAAGAGCTCATTCATACAGGCTCTGGCGGGTGAGCTTGATTTTGGTGTGGCTACTATCAACCTCAGCGAAATGGGTATGACCGATGACAAATTGGCGTATTTGTTGACAAAGCTGCCCAAGAGGTGCTTCTTGCTCCTGGAAGATGCTGATGCTGCATTCGTGAACCGTCGGCAGCGTGATGCTGATGGGTATAATGGTGCAAGCGTCACCTTCTCCGGCCTACTAAATGCACTAGATGGAGTTGCGGCAGGCGAGGAGCGGATAGCCTTTCTTACTACAAACCACATTGAGCGACTTGACCCTGCACTGATCCGGCCTGGTCGTGTAGATATGATGCTGAGGATTGGAGAAGCGACAAAATGGCAAGCTGGGCAGATGTGGGATCGTTTCTATGGCGATAAGGACACCAGCGGCTCCTGGAAAGAGGACTTTCTATGTCGTTTGGATGAGTTGGGACTCTTCGGGAGGAACCGCGATGGCACTCCTTCTAACCGACACACCAGTGCGGCAGCAATCCAGGGACTGTTCTTGTTCAACAAAAACGACATGCAAGGAGCTATCGATATGGCCGAAGGGTTGATTCCTCGAAACTTTGAAGAAGACAGGGCTCCTGTGCAACACACAAATGATCTGACTACTTTATAATTAATATTGATCTCACAGGCACGGGGACGGATGTGCAAGACTAATTTAGCTGAAAGTATGAGCTCTTATGTAATTATGCGATACCCTCTAGTAAAAAATCACATAGATGTACTATAATTAGGCACTAAGAAGCCTGTGGAATGCCACAATGCAGCTCGTACACGAACAGCTTGTCTTCGTGAAGTGAAGAAAATGAAATGTCGCCAACGCAATGCCAGCCTGATATTTACTCGCGTACTGCAAGGAGGAAAAAAAGCACTCCCCCGTAACATTGCTGCGCCCAGCCATGACACGCATGGAGCACTGCGCTCATCATGATTGGGTGGCAATTGGCATCTCGGACTTGTTTCAACTATCAACATATCTGCCCTAGTCCGGCGCCAATAGAATTGCCGCACTCCAAACAAAGTACACCAGCTGTCGACATCAATTGATGTCCATGTTGCCTGTGGATGGCGGCGCCCTAGACAACGTATGGCACAGCTTAACTTCGAGACCTACCGTGTCCATGTCTGTACAGGGCTCGAGGTACGGCCAAAGCTTCAGAGGCAGCCGAGATCTAGCAGCAGTGGCCAAGGAGACTAGAACTGTATTTCACAATATCTTACAAGCGGCGAAATCCACCCCTTGAAGCTTTCGAATGCCCACGTCACAAACGCAACGGGAAAGTCGCCATTAAAATAGTAAGCGACGACTCATTCAATGCCGCTATGAACCTTGCCGCATCCAAAGGCGCCGCGTCGACCGGGAGGGTTGCCGTGCTCAATGTGGCAAGACATGCGAATCAGGAGCCAGAACTCAAGAAGAAGCGCTTAGCTATTGCTCCATCGCCACTACTATCCGTTCAAGCAGCTCAAGGGCATGTTATATATAGCCCTGATGTTGTTGTCATTCGTTCCGACTTGACACCCGGCCATAAACTCCCGGCGCCAGAAACGCTGGTGCAAGACCTCCCTGTCGTGAGCGTGCTGGGTATCGCGGCTCTGCGATGTCCCCAAACAAAACCTCTTCAAGGCAACAGCCCAGCGGGCGGCGCAGTTAAAAGATTGATTTACGCAGATCCCGCAGACCGAGATCTGGCCAACGCCAGGATGAGGCTCTGTCTCAGAATGGCGGCCCGCAGAAATCACGGCTTGCTCGCTCTAGATGCCCTCGGCAGTGGCACATTCAAAAACCCAAAAGAGTAGGTCGCACAATGCTGGCTTGAGATTCTACGTGAGGCGGAGTTTCAGGGGGGGCTGGTGGGAGGAGGTATGGCTTGCAGTTTATGATGGTCGACAGGAAGGGAAGTTTGAGAGGGTCAAAAACATGTTGCGGGGGAGAGCAAATGTAAGGTATTGTTCAGGCACGAAGCAAGATTACAATCCATGTGGATCATTTGCATCGCGACCACAAGAGGATATGGCGTCAAGATATAGTTGATACAACTCTGGCTAGATGAGTAACTTACTCGTGCTATGCTCCACATCTGGGTGGTTTGGCTAAAGTGTCATCACCTCATTTTGTTTATTAATAAATAACTTGGGATATTGACGATCAATTCCAGATCTTAGGACCACCGCCCTCTCTGCTCTGTAGCATATCGTGGCGCCCAGGAAGGATTTGTGTAGTACTAGCACTGTGATTCTTCAGAAAAAGGTATGTTCGAAATGTCATACAGTAACTGCCAATCCTACAAGGTGAACTGTCAGTTCCTCACTCATCCCTGGAACGACTGCCCGGACCCCAACACCTTGGTCTAAGCGGCGCGAAGATGGGGGCCAATCTGTGCGCTTTCGCCATCTCCTTGACTCCCGGTTGGCTGATGGATTTCTTCAATCGCATTCAATTAATTAGTTGCCAGGTTGGCGCACACTCTGGCTGCATAGGTCAATTGTTTCAGTCTTGAACCATATCGTAGCAATCTATGGCCACCGAATCCGTCTGCTCAAGAGACGAACAACAAGTACTAGGTCCGTCGGACGGCCCCTCAGTAAGGCCCCTCCGTCCCCGAACTGTTTTCTAATCATCTTGTCATTTCCCGTATTTTCTTTTTCTTTTCCATCTCAAATTGGCTCGTGAAGCATTTCTTTTCCTCGAACCCGATCGTTCTGTTTCCCTCCCATCCTGCTTTCTGTCATCCTATCGCCTTCGCCTGCCAGACATCTTGTCTGTGCCTCTGCTCCAGCCGCCTCCTCAAGAGTGTCTGTCCCCGTACAAGAGCGTCAAGCCCAGCCGGCCCGCCTGGGTGACCGGCGGCACGGCCATCCAGCATCCAGGGACAAGCCAGCCACACACAGCATGTTTTGGAGGCCTCAATCCACCGAGAAGAGCCATGTCGAGCCGGGTGCGGGAGACAGCTCGGCCGACAATCACGACGACGAGATAGCAAACACGCCCTTTAACACATATGGATCGCATCATGACGTTGGCGAAACTAGCCTTATTGACCCCGACTCTGGAGTCAAAAGAGGTCTTGAGAACAGGCACCTGTCAATGATGGCCTTGGCTGGTATCATTGGCCCCGGTCTGTTGGTAGGCGCTGGTGGCGCCCTGAATAACGGCGGACCGGCTTCGTTACTTATTGGGTTTGGAGTTATTGGTACGTTGATTCTTGCACCTGCAGCCCAAAACTCGCCTGTCCCCGTCTTGTTTTGAGGGTAGTGCTCCGTACTTCGCACGAACGAGTCGGGAGTCGCGCGGATCTTGCTAACCGGCTCCGCGCCTCACAGGCATCATTGCCTTTGCAATCATGCAGTCCCTCGGGGAGGTAACAACGCTGTTCCCAGGGGGTGGCTCATTTGTTTCGCTGGCCGAGCGCATGGTTGACAAGTCTTTCTCCGTTGCTGTGGGCTGGAATTACTTCATTATCTGGGCCGCCGTACTGGCCAACGAATATAATGTCATCTGCGGCATCCTTACATATTGGACTCCCCATGTCCCATTATGGGGCTTCTTTCTCATTCTTTGGTCTCTTTTCACTGCTTTCCAGCTTCTGGGCGTGGAAGCCTTTGGTGAAGCTGAGTTCTGGTTGGCTCTATTTAAGATCCTGGGTCTGAGTGCATACTTCATCTTCTCGATCGTGTATGCCGCTGGCGGGTTGATTGGTCAAACAGATTCGTTGGGGTTCAGGTATTGGCACGACCCTGGCGCCTTCAATGGAAATGGATTTCGAGGAGTGGCAGTCGTCTTTGTCTTCTGCTCCACGTTCTATGCTGGTATAGAATCTGTCGCTGTTGCCGCAACAGAAACAAGAAATCCCGGTGTTGCCGTCCCGCAGGCAATTCGTCAGGTGTTTTGGAGAATCATCTTCGTCTACATGGGATCAGCACTTTTCTTCGGAATCACTTGCCCGGCCGATGCAGATGGCCTCATCAATGGTGGCGCCAAAGCTCTGCAGAGTCCCATGACAATCGCAATTCAAATCGCGGGATGGAATGGAGGCAAGCTAACCCCGCTGAATGATTGTACACCGAGGCTAACCGTGGTACATCAGGAGTCCACCTTGTCAATGCATTCATTCTAATAACTTGTTTGTCAGCCATCAATTCGTCAATTTATATCGGATCGCGCACCGTCCTATACATGGCACAGTCTGGTAAGGCTCCGAAGTTCTTGGGTCGGACCAATAAACGAGGAGTGCCTGTCTGGGCAATTGTGCTCACCAACGCCGTTGGCTCTATATCCATGATGAACGTTTCCACTGGCGCATCCAAGGCATACGGATACATTGTTAACCTTTCAGGTGTCAGCACGTTTCTGGTATGGGGTAGTATCAGCTTTATCCATATCCGCTTTCGGCGAGCCTGGATCGCTCAGAATCGGAACTTGAATGGCATTCCATTCAAAAGTATGTTTTATCCATTCCTCGCATATTTTGGCCTGGTCGCCAATGTATTCCTTGCCGTGGTTCAGGGATGGACGACGCTGTCACCTTTCAATGCTAGCAATTTTGTCGACGCGTATATCCTCTTGCCGCTCTTTGGTTTCATATATCTCGTGGGGAAGCTGTACTGGGGAAGTAGCGACCAACTGAAGCGCAGTTGGGACATTGACCTCGACAGTGGCAGAAGAACAGATTTGGATGATAAAGGCATCATGCCTGAGGAGGAACCTTGTGTCGGAAGCAGCAAAGCTTCCACTTGGAGAAGAGCATGGAATTTGCTTTGATCATATATACATTAACTTTTGAAAGCATGGACACATAGCATGCGTGGCGGCTTTACTTACGCCTTCACAAATAGAGCTCGAGTTCAATAACTCGAGGAGGGACGACAGGCGCAGCAGCCTAATGGTTCTGAAAGCTTGACGGCCGCTGACCTTTCGAGTTCCCTGCATGACATCAGCTTCTGTCTGAAAAAAAATTCTTGCACCTGCGACAGATTAACTTGGATTGACGGATTAACCTGGATAATGACCGACGCTTTACATGGTCACTGAAACTCCGATTAAATCGTCGGGGTATGTACGACAACGTACCGAATTCTTACAGACCTTTTTGCCCTTGCACGGAGTCGGTAGGTGGATATTCCGGTGGATATTCCAGTGGATAGCGCCCTGCAATGGTGTGCAAATAGGGTCAGGAGGGGATGCCCATTGACTATCAGGCCAGCCTCTCATAATTCCTTTCCGTTTACTCCGTAACTGACAGGTATTTATTTGTATGCCGGGGAATCCATGTGAGCTAAGCCATCAACACTGCTTTGAGGGATCAATTGATGTGTTTTCATTAGGGCAGGGCTACGTTCTAAATCGACAAGACAAACTTCTCTTCTGATCACACCACCATCTGCCCTGACCAACACCTTTCTGGCCAAACAGGTTTTGGTCCTCGCCGTTGTTTCGGCCGTATTGTTTCCCAGTATTCCTCTCAATTCCGTACACGGCTCTCGGGAGTTGGAATATTTTTCTGAGACCATATTTGCGTCAGAAGTACTCCGTACGGCAAGACATAAGGCAGCGGGCCAAAGAGCCAAGCAGACACTGCTGCAGAAGCAGCACCAATACAGGCCCTCGATGCCCATCAGAGAAGAGATGATTCTCCTGAAGAGAAACCCTGCAGCTGCCAATGAATTCGCTTGCCAGGAACTTACGGTTCCGCGGGATTGGCACGGTCGAAATTTCGCTACTCAATATCAGATTTTAGGTATATGCTTAGGAATCGCTAGTATGCGGTCAACTTCCAGAGGTTTTGCTGTAAATACAGAGTGCCATTGTGGCCATCACGATTGCTACTAGCACCTTCCATCCAACGTTCTGCAATTGTATCGAGGACCGAGCCGTCAACAACGATGTACAGGTAGTGCTAGTACTCCGCAGGTCCAAGTTGAGTTACATGGAGGTAAGCAGCGATCCACGTCGCGACTTTGGTTTCTCTTTCCTCTCATCAATCTGCTGTCAACTGAACTCCCGACTCCTGAGCACCTCAGTATCCGCTACTTCACCTGCCCGCTAACGTTACCTGCTGGACACTCTTGGGAGGTCCCCTCCAGGCAAGGGAAAGATTACAGGTTACTTCAGCCACCGGGTTTGCACCCTCACCACGGTCGCATCCAGGTCTTGTTTTCTTTCTTTCTTTTTTCCCGCCTTCTCCATCTCCTCCTCGTGTTGTAAAAATCCGCGCCCGCTCTATTAGCTTCACAATCCCGGGTCGGGGCAGACGACGTTTACCGCACTCGCACGGTCAATTGAATGAATGCAACCGCTAAATCCTTTCCTTGCCGCCTTCTTCAAGAGCCCCGTTGTTGCCCAGTGCACGCCTGTTCATCATCATATCCTCCTCGTCCCACTGACCGACGAGCTTCTGACCTCGCGCGAAACCGACAGCGGCGCCGCCGCCGCCAGCGAGGTCATCGCATCGGAGGAGTTCCTAAGCAGTCATGTCCTACGCATCCCATCATCTGGCGTCTCCTCGGGTGGTAAAGATGGCGTCCACAACTTGCGCGATGTGAGGGGCAAAGCAAGGCAGTTTTCAACCTTGAATGGAAGGAGCGTCGTTATCAAAGATTCTGTGGTATATTGTAGCAAAGGTGCGACACCATCATCATCCCACGAGTCTGCTGCACTTGTTCAATTTGCGCCAGGAAGCTCTTGACTTACCTGTTGGCAGGCTTCAAAACGTTTGCGCAGGCACATATTCTAAACGATGCGATTTGGTACCCCGATGTTTTCGAAGCCCGGCAATGGCTACTATATTTCATTGCAAAACCCTTGGTCGGTTCTTGGGAGGAAATCAAGATTTTACCAGCAATATTGGGCCACGGTGTCAGCAAAACCACGACTTTGGGTACCAAGAACTTAAACGGTTCGGACACTGCCGAGGGTACAGTCCCTACAAAGAAAGATATTAGGAGCTTTCACGAGTTGCTGAACAACTTTCCGATGATTGCGCGACAAATGCAACCTGGCCTTGAAAAGCTATTTTTGGAATTCACAACTGCCTTCGAGAAACCTTTGCCGCCACCGCCATCTGCCTCAAGAATACCTGACCCTCCACCCGAAGGCCCAATAACTGCAGCAATGCGAAGAGCACGCTCGAACAGTTTCTCCATCCGCAGTGGCAAGGCCGTCAACCGTGATACACTTCCAGTAATGGAAGACTTTTACGCCGAAGACGACGAGGATGTAATGAGAGCTTCATTAGAGACCGCCGTCACTGCGGCCATTGACTTGTTTCAGAGCGTCGACAAGCAACAGCTGTCTCTTCTTGGGGCCACGACGGACTTGACTGGGCCTCTGGTAGAAAAACTCATTGAACGTTATGTCACCGAAAATGTTAATCACCTCATTTTCCCTAAACTTAGCGCAATCAAACGACCACAGGACCTTGAACTCGAAGCAAAAATCAGGCAAATGGAGTATATCGATATATCACAGCTGGGAATTGCTATTGAAGGAGGATCCAGGGCCAAACATGACTTGCTCATACAGCTCGGACCTGCCATCGAAGAATTCAAAAAAATATCGAATGCCATGAGCCCTGCAGAAATGATGCATGCTCTTTTGTCCACGATGAAAGCTGCTTCTCAGTTGACTGATACATCTAGGACCCAAACGGTCAGCGGTCGAGAAGGTTGCGTGTATGAAAAAGCAACAATGACGATCAATGCAGATACATTGGTCTCACTCCTCCTGTACATCGTAATTCGCTCTCAGGTGCGAAATTTACGGGCCAGGCTAGCGTACATTCGAAATTTTATCTTTATCGATGATGTCGATAGCGGAGAAATGGGATATGCCCTAAGCACGTTTGAGGCCGTACTCGCATATCTTGCCCTGGATTCTGCAGGTCTTCGAAGAGCAAGCAGGCGGAACAAAGCCCTGTGGGATGCTGCGAAGAAGACAGATTTGTCGGGGCTGAAAGCAATCATGGAACCAAATATATCAGCCGTCGTGGACGGGGACGACGGAGTCGAACCCAATGGAGCCCCCGATGAATCCACCAGACCAAGTCGTCGTCCATCATCTACCTGGAGTCTACAAGATGGCTCCTCAAGGCGCTCATCTCTAGCACTGACCCTGTCGGACAGATTCTCTCATGGCTCCGGCCTAGGCCATGTATTTCCATTCCAGACTAATGGCGACTGTGAGGAGGGTGACTTCACCCTGGTTAAACGAGCTAAGCGAGTTGCCATGGATACTCGCAGTTTATCAAGCGGATCTGAAATATCTTTCCATTCACGAACGGGGAGCATTGGGACTCTGGGAAGTGCCATCGAAGGAGACATATCTGTCGAGCGTCTAGCCCAAACAAGTAATTCCTTTGGCGAGTCTGTCCTAATGATTGCTATCCAAAGTGAAAACCCGGCATCTCTGAGATACTTGTTTTCTCTTTCCGGATACTATTCTCTCGATGTAATACTACAAGACATGAATCATGAGGGCACTACTTTACTGAGTGCTGCCATACAACTCGGTCATAAGGATCTTATTGATGTGGTCCTGGACCGGATTAATACATTGGCCACAGAGGACCAACGTCTGCAATACTTGGCTGAGCAAGACGTTTGGGGTCGCAGCATCGGACACTACCTTTTTCACGCTCCCTTTCTGATTACAAGGATTGGAAAGCTGATTCCATGGAGGCAACGCGACAAGAATGGCCAGACACCGTTGTTCGCCCTGTGTCGGTCCTACGACAACGAGAACTATTATGATATGGTGGAGGCTGGACTGAGGGTAGCGAGGGAAACTCAAGATGATAATCAAGCATTGCACCTTGACGACCATGTGGATGCCAAGGGCAATACCCTGCTCCATATTATAAATGATTCAAGGCTTGCAATGAAAATATTGCATTATTGCGACATCGACGTTAACGCCACGAATGAGAAGCGATTTACAGCACTAATGGTCGCCAGTAAATACGGAAGATACGACATGGTCAGGTGTCTATTCGCCGATCCCAGAGTGGATGTTGCAGCAAGAGAGATGCGTGGTCTCACTGCTGTGGAGCTTGCAAAGGATGACGATGTGCGGAATAAGATTGATGACCTTGCTCTGTTCAGCATGCCTGCAGGACGTGATGGGAGGATTACCGGCGTTGTCCGGGCCTTTTTCGTGGAAGACGGCAGCGTGAGATTGGTTTTGAAGTCTGCCGCGCCGACTGACCACGATAGTTACACAGTAACGACGACCAGGCGCTCTCTGGCAGAGTTCGAGCAGCTAGCCCATCTTTTAGCGGAAGAGCAGCCCGCTTCATGGATTCCCTCCTTGTCTGATACAAGGTCACCATTTCAAATACCTATCAAGCCATCTCGTGCAATTCTGCGGGACGTTCAAGCTAAAACAGATTGGTTTCTGAAGATTATGCTAAGCCATCCCACTTTAGCCACCCACGAGATGCTTTGGGAGTTCTTCCTTGTCCCCGAACTGCAACTTGACGCAATGGGACAGCGTACGAAGCTAAAGGTAGAAGCCAGAATTGAGAGAATTAAAGAAGAGTACGAACCTATTCGCGATATGAGAGAGGTGGAGCAGTTCGTGAATCATGCCAGAGAGATGGTACGAAGCGTTAGCTACTCAACAAAAAGCGTTACAAGACGCGCCAACGGCGTCGGACTGGCTATAAGTGGTGAGTTCAGCCTGCATAAGACGGGGGAGACTGGTTCCGAGAAGAACGTATACTAACTTCATAATGGGCAAGACCTTTATGACTCCATGGTGCTCCTGCACAGAGCAGTATCTTCGCTAAGATTTCTGCCCCAATCCCACATCGTAGCACTGGAGGTATATGTAAGAGCCATGGCTCCGACGCAAGCAAATCCACAGGCCATGCTACACACCACCTTGGTGGCTATCCAATCGACAGTCCAGGCGCTTTTGTCGTCACTTACACGACCTGCAACATTAATCAGTCAGATAACAACCGCCAAACGAGAAGCCGATAAGAATGATAGCGCTTCAGGCCGTTCTTCACGATGGGTGTTGGGTCTGCTCGATGAGACCAGGCAAAGAATTCAAGATGGAAGGGAGAAACGAGCTAGAAAATACCGCGAGGAGGCCGAAGACCTCTCCAGAGAGCTGCGATACACACAACAAACGGTGGCAGGAGAGCTGGCCGGATGGCAGGACATGCACGACAAAATGGGACGGCGAGCCATCCGGGAGTTCGCACGAGCCATGGTCGTTCAAGAGAGAATGCGACTAGATGGAATTGTTCGCGCTCTTCGAAAGTTCAGGGCGCAACGATCGAGGGCCAAGTCGTGAGCAACATCTGGGCATACATTTTGCCTCTTACTGTCTTCCACTACATGAAACAATAAGATTTTGATCTAGCTGAGCTTGTGAATAATATTAACATGATGGGTCACTTTTGAGGAGGTCGGAGTCATCCTCCATTGCATAGCAGGCAGCATCACGAATATATTCACTTTATTTCGTTTCTATGTATGCAATAGACACACGGCTTGTCAGGGTATTATGATCCAGATCCAGACGTTGAGAAGTGCGTTACATTACAACTGCTATAATCTTATGATACTTTGCCCCTTGATTAGACCTTGCTGGTGCCAACGGCCCAACCGAATGCTTACCATATTCAAGCCGCTTGCCAGCGGATTTATATACCACCGTATTTGACTCCTCTCTTACCCAACTCCTTTCTTCCAATGGCGTCCTCGGGCCATATCCATCCCCGACTGCGCTTTGCCTCTCGCTTCTCTGCCAGCTGGGGCTGTGGCATCCAGCTATCGCGAGGCTTGGCCTTGCGTCGTGTTCCCTCGGCGGGAGCACCAATCTCTGCCTTCCAATGAGCATTTCCTGCCGGCATTTCATCGCTCGCAAGCTGGCACATGCCCCAGACAGCAAGACAAGCAGTCAACGGGGTTGAGACGTCCGATGCACCCGCCCCTTGGGCATCGGCATCAGGTGCCGTCACGGAGAGTTGCACAGAGGTGATCTCGAGATCGCCAAAGAAGGGAGTAGACTCTGTACCGCACCGAACAAGAACAAGTTCGATCTCGGTGAGAATGAAGCCGTACCTGCAGCTGTGTTCGCGCATGGCGTGATGCAAAGCCGAGAGGCCGCGGAGGTATTCGACTCGCTTGATATTTCCCTCGACTCGCATACCGGTATTGAAGCGATCAAAGCTTCGAACGAGCCCAACCACTCTTGCCAGAGGCTTCCCACCAAATATGGCAGCAGCGCTAGATGACTCTCCAGCCGCATTTGCGACGAAGAGCAAGTCCTTGACGCTGCTGGGCGACTTGGCTGGCACAGAGAACTGCAGCGGACGACTTGAAGAGATGGCAAGGGCAGAGTTGAGCTTGGGAAGGTAGAATGACGTGTAAATACTGTGAAGAGATGTCTCGGTCTCGGGGTTTCGAGAAGGCAAGCTAAGGTGTGGAAGAAGGGACGCATGCACGGGGGTTGTAAGAAGGCCGGCAGCGCCAGGAAGAGCAAATATGGTTTGCGCATTAAAGGAGTTCCATGGGCGAATGTTGCGGACGTCCCACCAAAAGTGTCTGATACTCGGGTCTCGCCTTGGGAACGAGATCGTGCGAACAAGGGAAGTAGCAGGATTGGCTTCCATGAGGTAATTGACAAGCGTTGTGGAGGGTGTAGGAGCAGCAACAGGCTCCGGCGTGCCACTGAGACTCAACGATGACCGAGCACGTGGATCATATAATGGATATGACAACTCTGGAGGCGGAGTATGCAGTGCGGGTGTACTGGTGGCCATGAATTGCATTTGACGATAGCTAGGATAGCCGTACTTGCCGAGTGTGTTGCCACCAAGGCTGTAACACGTTGGTGCTTGACGAGAAACGGTAGACATGACACCTGGCTCCATGTTCTCAATGCTTGCGTTGCTGCTACTGCTGTTACTGTGGCAGCCGTTGAGATTATGAAAGTTCGCGGGAGAAGATAGAAGAGGAGCCGGGTTTGAAAAGACCGGCTGTTCATTGAGAGAGTTTCCCGAGGAATAAGACGACAAGTGAGCGTAAGCCATGTTGGCTAGAGTCTCCGAGTTGGTGGATTTGACTGACGAAGCTCTAGTGGAACAGGAAGTGGTGCTGCAAGCACGTTTCATTTTTTTCAACGGCACATGGGCATGATAAGCTGGCTGGCATCCGTCGACGTGCTGGTCCCGGGAACGGATCTTGGGAAGCAAGACTGGGCCGTGTTGGTGCACTGGAGGACTGGCACGGGAAGGTGTCGTCAGCCTGGTGCAAGCTGATTCTGGAGTAGACTCTATTGTAGAGACAGCCGAGTAAATAGAAGATGTCTTGGATGAAGATCGAACATGACGACGGGCATATGGCAGTTCCAAGAGTGAAGGATCAAACAAAAATGTATCCTGTGAAGGCGGCGTCGTGGGAGAAGGCAAGGTAAAGTTGAAGGCGACGTCCGCTTCCAGACTATGGGAAGGAGGAATTAGCTGCATGCCCAACGTAAACGATGTGTGAGGGGAGGATTGCGAGCTTACGCAGACATTGTGGTCTCTATGCAGGATGAATGATTACTGTGAATTTAACGCTGACAAAGCTGATTAGACGAACTCGAGTCCAGCTCCAAGAGAGGGCGGCAGTCGGTGGGTGAGATGGAAAGACAAGGGAAAATGGTTCTTGGCAGAGAAATAAATGTATACAAAACAAAGGGAAGTAATTGAACCAAGCCAGAGAACGAGGCCAAGTGGAATGAGAGAACGGTATGGCTGAAATTCACCCAGAGGGAATTAGAGACTGTCCGAGTTTTGTTGCGACCAGCGCTTGTACAAGCATAGAAAGACGGAGCGTAGTATGACACAAAGACGAGGACAAGGCAGAACCAGTCTGGCAGGTTGATACAAGCCAGCAAGCAAGGTCCCGTCATATGCGGCCGCCTGTGGGTTAGGAGGCCTTGTTGCAAGGGAAGAGAGGACGGAGCAGAGGACGGCAGTCATGAAACAATGAGGAAACAGAAAACAATATGGCAAATCTGAGGGATGAGGCCGACTTCTTATTCTCACCATGAAGCTGGTGGGGGAGTAGGCATCCAACCGGGGGGGGTGGTGTGGGAGGGTGAATCTGGGAGCGCGCCGTGCTTGTAATAAGACAAGACGGGATAGCAAAGAAAGATGCAGAGTACTGTGTTACTACGTTGACATGGGGACTGGTTTGGGTCAACCGGGACGCGAATAGGACGCTGCAGCGAGGATATGGCCAGAGTCTAGACATGTCTGCCGACAGGAACCGTCGGTGAGCTCCCACGAAACTGACGCCTTGGCGACAAAGGTTGACGGGAAATGAAACATGACAAGAGGCCAACCGCATGACTGTCGAACTTTGCCTACTGGAAGCGGTGGAGGGACGTTGGCATGTCAGCGTGGCATCACCAACTCGTGGGCCACGCGACTGATACGCGAATCAGGCGTGGGCGTGTGTTTCCACGGATGATACGCAGCTTGGCCGTGTCAATGGGATATCGACGATGGAATGCCGAACACTCCATAATCCTGCAAGCCACTGGTTAGTTACCTCTGAAGGACGAGGTGTCAAGGACAAGGACGAGGACGAGGACGAGGACGAGGACGATGACGAGGCACGGTTCTGGTTCTGGGGTTGTGCAGATTGCTGCAGGCGCCGACCTCGTGGTTGGCCAGCTTCGGCCATGGGTCACTTTTATATGCACAGTCCAATCTATTCTGGTGCTTGGTGCCCGATGCTGCAGACGCGGCTCTTTCCCGTCGTTTGCTTGAGACACGTTGGACGTTGGACCACACGACCACGGCGTCGTCGACGACTCGACACGCAACGACATCGAGAGTGCTTCTCGACGCGTCCATCGCGTCTTGGGCTCTGTCTGCCTACCTTCTTTTCTGCTCGACACCACGGCAACGCAACGGCAGCCGCAATGGCGGTGACACGAGGAGTGACATTGACAATGACTGCAGCGTCACACTAAAATGGCTGAGCGAGATCCATTCTGGCGGCTAGGTCACAGCGAGAATGCAAAGGTAAGAGATGCTACTACCAGGCGGGAAGGCAGACATGAGGAGGGGAAATAAAACAAAGAAGATTATCTTACCTCTGTCCTCCCTCGCAGCATCTTTCGAGCCCTGGTCCACATCTTGGCGGCTGCTTGCCGGCGCCGGCGCTTAATTAAACGAGCCGCTGGCTCTAAATAGAAACTGCGCCTGACATGATCGATAATCCACACGTTGTCCGCATGTACTCCGTACTCCATGCCCTGCGAGTGGTTTCACGTCCGGACTACTCAGCACGGTGGGCGGCTGGGGAAATTACAGAACCAACCCCCAGGCCCTATTTGCCGCAAGTCCTTTTCATGTACTCCGTACTCCGTACTTGTTGTATGTCGGCGTTGCGCGGGGGTTTATGCATTACCGCCCATCTACAGAGTACGGCACGCGATCTGAAGGGGACACCATCCTTGTTTCGTGATTGGCCGCTTGCCACGCGCTAGTCGTTTTCCAACGCGCTCGATACAAAAGTCACGAAAAGGCACACGCGCACATCGTGTGGTCCGCGCCACGACTCGACCTTTGCCAGTTTGCGACATTTGACCAGGGTCTCTCGATGGAAACCATGCTTCAGATCCCCGGCGCCATCTCTCGTCGACTGGCTGAGCGCCTCGCGACGTTTCCTTCCGTCTTCCAAGTGCCATAGAACTTGCGCCTTGTCGCCTATCGTCGTCCCAGCTCAGCCCGCCCTTGCCGCCGACCTTTGGACAAGAGCCAGCGAGCACCAGGGCCTTGTGCTTTGTGACACATTTACTCACTCGTGGGGGCGCAGGTGTGAGGTTGTCATCACGTAGGCGAGGCACGTTGCTGCCATGTTGAATGATGTCGGGCCGTGGGCTGTGAGTGTGGCAATGACATCTTGGAGGCGGTGACGGCGGTAGGTAGACATGTGAGAGCTGCCTCCAAGTCTCTGATCGGTTCTTCAACGTGAAACCGTCGCCTCTTTGGCGCGCCGGCGAGGGGAGGGACTGGTTGCCGAAGGCTGCCATCAGAAACCACGACAAGAAACTACCACGCAGATCGCAAATCAAAGTTATCCATCTAGATATCAACTAAGTTACTCCGTACGTAGAAGCCGATATGTCCCCCAGCCCTCTTCATTGGTCAGACATCTGTCGGACGAACGCCTGGTCTCTGCTTCACAATATTTATGAGTGGAATAAAGACCTTGTGTTGCAGGGCGTCCTCTTGGCTATTATTATCTTGCCGGGTCTCAATCCACCCCGTCAAATCCTTCCAGGCAATCCACTCCCAGGACTCGCATTTATCCGGCTCCAACAGCTGGGGGTCGTCGCCGTCATTCTCCCGGACGCAGACGTGAAACAAGGTGATGTAGTGCTTATTGTCTTCGGGCATGTGGTCATTGGTGGCGGTCAAAAACCGGATATTAGCCACCCCGAGCCCAGTCTCCTCGAGCAGTTCACGCATGGCGCATTCTTCCGGCTCCTCCCCAAACTCCAGATGGCCGCCCGGAAGGGCAATCGTGCCAGCACCGTGAGAGCCCTTGCGTCTCCCCACGAGGAAGCGCGGGTTCTCTCGGTCCTCGTTCTTGGAAGCCAACACGAAAACTGCCACCCCAACACGCACATTGGGGGCGGGCGAGGCCATTCCCGTACTCTGGTAAGCGGAGAATGTTGATGAGTTGGGGGCTGGTATCACTGCCTGGAGAATGAGGCCAGAGAGGGAGCCGTCGATAAACTCCCCCCCTTTCCCCCCCGAGAGTGGTGATGGGGACTTGGATGAGTGAAGAGACCTAGGAAGGATGACCTTTGTATCGGGGCAGGTTTCTGACTCATAATGCAGATGCGGATGCGGATGAGGCGGAGTGGTCAAGGCCCGTGGCTCCCCGCATTTGCACGAGGTCAAGACGCAGGGTAAGCTTCACAACGAGAGTTGGTTTCGGGCACTTGTAACCCATGAATAACCACCGCAGCGGTACTCGAGTACGTCTAAGTAAAGTGTATAAATATAAATTGAGGAATATCCAACGTATTGATACCACTCAAACCCAAGTACCACCCGCCGACTTGCAAGAGAAGCATTGGCTGCCCATTCCATTTCCGGATGGAGGAAGCCCGGCGATTTTAAAAGCACTGCCCCAACACTTTTTTTCTGAGCTTCGAAGTGCTCCTCACCCAACTACGATATGATCGACATGGCCGAGTCAAGCACAACCGCCAACAAGCCCGTCCACTTCTGGCAAGATGCCGACACACAGACGGGATGGCCTTTGCAATGGGACTACCGTCCGTTCAGACGCACACGCTCAACCTGCTACCATCTCCGTCTACGCTAGCGAGCATGCGTGCTATTTGAGAATGAAACCCGAAAGCCCTGTTTTTGCTAATCGCTGCCTTGTGCGTATAAACCGTGTATGCAACACTCTGGATCCCGGTATTTTCTATATCGACTACTTGCCCAACATGCAACCCACTGAATATGTGATATATTTTCTGTTCTATCGTTTGTCGTTGGATATACGGAAGTGTCCTCTCTATGCCGACTACCCTTCTATACCTAGTCATACATGTATACACGTCTTACACTCAGGCAAGACTAATAGAGCGGTGTTGTTTTGCCCTTGCATTATCCTTCCATGACCTTCACTTTCGTCGTGGCCACCGCTTTTGCTCGGTGCCATTTGGACCAGATACCCCCATTCCACGCTGTTGTCGATTCCCTCCCTCTCCCCAGGGCATTACAAAGACCTGAGATGTTGCGCGTAGGCAGCAAAAAAATAATATACAAGATGAGACATGAAAATTTGCATAATCCATCCCCAGTGTCAAGAATCGAAACAAGACTTGGGCCGGATCCGCTGCAATGACTGCACATTCCGTTTTAATGCCACTCTCGTCCACTCTTTTGCATTTCGATCAAACGCCATCCCCGGGTTTCAGGATTGTAGACGTCTTCCGGAATCCGAGTAATGCCAATAGCGTAAGTAACCAGCTGTACTTTATCTTCCATCCCAGCCGCAAGCTCATTGGACTTTGCATTGCGGTACACATGGACCTCTTGGGTACGGCAGGTGATGATAAACACTGGCACCTCCCCAGGATCAAGCATCCGGGCTCGGAGAATGTCCACGTTTCGAATATCAAGGATACGACCATCAGACTTCATGCCCGCTTGCAGATACTGCTTAGTCAAGGCCTCATAGACTGAAAATTGTGCTGCAGACAGCCAGAGCTTCAATGTTTCCGTATCACCCTTGACATACGCATCCAAAACTTCTGGGAGGATATATTCTCGAAGTTCTTGCAGAAAGGGTTCGATTTGGAAGGCGGGATCCATGGATCGGAACTTCTTAATTACCAAGGCAGTCTCATTCTCCGCAAAAAATCCTCCAATGCGGTCGGTAATGCTTCGAGCAGTCGATATCAGCGGATTCTCAGATTCTTCATACCGGCCCTTCATGGTAAAAATTCCCTGGACGAATTTGTTGGTGTCTCGAAAATCCCTCCAAGCCTCCTTCCAAGCGGCGTCTTTGTGGAGCGTGATGTTAGTCCCGGCGCTGTTTTCCATTGACATGTCAGTATTCCAAAAGCGTAGAGATAGAAAGTCAGTGTGTGGGCTGCGTACTTTGAATCTTCTTCCATGACTTGTGAAGAGGTGCTACTCTGCTGCTCCATCATTGCCCGCTTCTTCCTGCGCTCTTCCTTCTCCACCCATCCACCATATCTAGACGAGCTCCCGTCGTCGATAACATTCTTTACATTTCGGTAAGCTTCCGTGTCACGAATAGGTTTGGTGGCTTTGTCCATAGCATCGCCTGTGACGTTGGCCGCCTTTCGGACACCCTTCATTACCGAGGTATCCCAGGTCCAAGCTGCACCCTTCCCAATTGCCCCAGCGGTGGATTTAACAGCCTTGGCGGTGGTGGATGAAATGGCACCAGTTGACTTTTCGTAAGCCTCACGAGCTCGACGAACAGATTCGCTCTCAGTAAACTGATGGGCAGCGGCGCCGATCTGCTTTGTTGACTCATTCCATTCTTTAGATGCTTGGAATTCGGTGTTCATAGTTTCCATGAATACCTGCCAAGGAGTCTTGTCGCCGTGAGGGGGCGGCGGAGGCAAATCTTCCTTCTTTTCTTTCCCGTCTTCCTTGCTCTCAGACTTTTCATCGCCAGCCTCTGCTTTCTCTGATTGTTCTCCATCGGGTTTGTTTTTCGTTTGAGATTTATTGACGTCGGCGTCGTTTGAAGCGGGTTGGGCCGGGTCTTTTTTAGGCTTCTCATCTTGCGAAGTTCTTCTGCTCACGTGGAACCGTCGGAACCGCGAAATGGTGATTGGGGTAATTCGAATGTTGCTAGGAAGAAACTGAGATCGAAGGGGAGAAGGGGAAGCACTCGTAGTAGATATTCTCTGATTCGCACTCGATGTACTGAGTTGTGAAGCCTGAGAAAGATGAGAGGCTAGCGTCCTATAAGCAGGAGATCTGCCAGACAAATTGGTAATTTGAATAGATGTCCGGAATAGGCCATTTTCAGATTCAATTACTCTTCGAGCAAAGGAGTTCATGCTGTGGAAAAATGTGTGCGAAGAAGCCCACAGAATGCGTCTTAGAGGACAAGAAGGGTTGCAGAAGAGCAATGGGGGAGGGGCGGGAGGAATTTTTGGTTTCCGCGATCTTGCCTGCAGGACAGTGGCGGTCGGAGCGTCGGCGAAACCACGGCAAGCCACGTTTCTGGCCGAAAAGCTCTATGCGAGATCTTCGTGGGTTCCTATACATATATTGCAGGAGAACAACTTCGCGATTATTGGGGAGGCCCGCGTCTTTGAAGCCATTGCCTCGGTCCCCGAATACCACGCGGGCAAAATGAGTCGGTCATTGAAAAATCACCTGTCCAAACTGTCATCATGTCGACATATATACGCCTTCACCCCAAAATACATTTCCCTACCATCACGAACTTTATCTCAATCGGCGACACGATGGAACGATTCAAATGCGGATGCACCTAAACGAGTGCAGGCACGGCCCAAAACCGAAAACCTTCTACACAGTGTTTTTAACAGTCCATCGTCCTCGCGAAATCAGGCGATACCAAATACTATGAGCGACCTCTCGCAAAGCATGGTATTTGATGTTCTAAACAACAGGTCAAAACTCGACACAAGTGCGCTCTCCGGACAGACGCTCGAGTCTGGGCAACGCAGAGACAATGCTCAAGAGCCTTTTCATTTTCACGTCTACTCCCACAAGCATAACACGCACATTACCTGCACAAAGCCGAATCGCGAGCCGATCATCTCCATGTCTTGTGGAAATATTGGCTATCGAAAATCTCGACGCGGAACTTTCGACTCGGCATACTCCCTCACAAAATATGTTCTAGAGCGTCTTATTCATACCGGTTGGCCAATGAAGATTCAAAGATTGGAGTTGGTGTTGCGAGGCTTTGGCCAGGGTCGGGAGGCAGCTATGAAGGTCTTGATGAGTCCGGAAGGCAAAGTCTTGCGAGAGAAGATAGTCCGGGTCGCGGATTCTACTCGCATAAAATTTGGTGGTACCAGAAGCAAGAAACCAAGACGACTGTAAGAGTATCACTGATGCATCAACTGGTGCCGGGGGTTGGTTTTTTGGTTGCCTGGCATGTCACCAATGACAGACTGTACTATATTATTGCACAAGCTATGTTTATAGAAGGATTGCGATAGCATCTTAATATACATTTGGCTTGACTGTCTTAGAATCAAGTCTCTCAATATCCTTCAGTGCTAATATATTGGCCTTAGGCAATGAATGCGCCCTCGAGTTCTGGGTACCGTAATAGTATATTCTGATAAATCCGAGTGTGGTTCAGTAACACCAGGTCAACCACTTTTGCTCTGCCGTACAACACAAAGCCAACACATATGGTATCTTGCTGTGACCAGAACGCCGTGCCGAATCAACTTACCAAGGAGATAAAGCGACAGGCCGTAGCTATCGCGGAGCTCGTTCTGCTGCCGGAAGGCTGCGTCCAGAGGAGTCTCGTACTACTCGTTTCCCTTTCCCGCTTCCACCTCTCTGTCTCTCTTCCTCACTATCCCACTCTTCGCTGATATTTTCCCTTTCGGATAAGAAAAGTGGCCCGGACCTAGAAAGCATACGCGAAGACTCATCAGCAACCTCCTCATCGTCATCCAATAACTCGCCGTCGGCTGTTTCGTATTCAGGTGGTTCAATCCATTCTCGAGGTACTACGCAAGGCAGAGCGACACCGATATTCGCAGCCCTGTTGAGCCAGGCCGGACCAGAGTTGCCAGTCAATTTTTGACAAAGGTACGATGTGAAGTGATTGCAGTTCTTTGTCAGCAAATTGTATGAAGTACCGAGAAACTCGTCCGACGCAGCGCGTAATGCAACGTCAATCTCATCCTGAGTGGCAAGGGTAAACCCCTGGAGTATTTCGCATCGAAACGTGCCACCGGGAGGTTCGGTCTTGGGCTTGGTCCAGTAAACACCAGTTACGTCGCGCTTATCATGGCCACCGTACGCATATTCTTTACCGTTGACAACCACGCCGGAATGAAGCAACGACGCACCAACAGTCCAGAGAACTGACGAGAGTCTACCTGGCTGTTTATCAAAGTGAAGGCGTGTTAGTAACTGCAATAGACAAACAATGTAGCGCGATGGCTAGGGCGATTCACGCTCGGGGTGAGTACGAACCGGTAGCAGGTCGTAAACGTGGATTGTGATCTCTGTCTTTTGCAAGGACAATGTCGATCTATGTCTGCTCCCAGATTGACCTGTACTATTTCGAGGTGCAGACATGTTATAAAGAAGGCCGTCGTCGAGCTTTAGAGGGTCAAGATATCTTGCCACAGCTACAGCCCCACGATAAGTTGTTGTACTTTTGATTACCACTCGATGCTTCTGTGCAGCGTCACACTCTCTGACAGTAGTAGCAGATCGGCTGGAACATGGACAGTAGAGACTTGCTGACTTCTTGACAGCAACGAGGCACGATTCGGCAAGGATGGAGGCAGGTCGCCTTTGTGAGTGGAAATGGCGGTAGTGCTCACTACCTGAACAGCTTATGTGGTGGCGGCTGACACAGGAGTAGAATACAGTGCGGCGCAATGTGCGATTTCGCAGCCGAGTCCGGAGATGACATATTCAACTTCAGCGCTGAAAAGACAGCAGCTTCAGCAGCGGGGCTAAAAGTACCCGTCTATCAGCGGATCCAGGGGCATGGGGCAGACACCGGGGCGAGTGTTTTTCCATGGAGAGGGTCAAGAATGTTGTGTGGTGGGGTAGCTTTTCAAATTTCCTTCATCGCAATTTTCCAATCCTGTCCTCTGCTTCTCCCACTCCTCGCCTTACGACTCCCCAGTACGGGCATCGTATCCTACTTGAGCAGGCGCCTGTCGCTCTACTTTTCTACACCAGTGTGAATTGATGGCAGAGGCTCCTCGAAGCCACGCCATTCGTCACGACGCGCCTCATCATCTCTCCCTTTGCCTTCTCTTTTGTTGTACCAACTTTTCACACCTGCGCAGCTAGGACTGCAGCTTTTGAACTAGCTCCAATCGCCCGGCGCGTTTCTATCATTGTACCCTGTCGGTTCTACGCTAGGTCTAGAAGCAAGATGCCTCCCAAGAAGGTTGTCCAGGAGGAGAAAATTCTCCTTGGCCGACCTGGGAATAACTTGAAGAGTGGAATTGTTAGAGCACCTCTCCTTGGCACGGCTTTGGAACTGCCATTCGCCAGTCACTCGACTACTAACCATTTGTGAATAGGTTGGTCTTGCGAATGTCGGCAAATCCACATTGTTTCAGGCCATCACAAAATGCAACCTTGGCAACCCAGCTGTATGAGGCCCCTCGTTCTTCGCCCTTGATCCGGGGTGCTGACAGCTTGAAAGAACTTCCCCTATGCCACGATTGATCCTGAAGAAGCTCGTGTCATTGTGCCCGACGCAAGATTTGACTGGCTATGCGAGAAATATAAGCCCAAGTCACAGGTTCCTGCCAACTTGACGGTGTATGATATTGCTGGACTCACGCGCGGCTCATCCACCGGAGCTGGTCTCGGAAATGCTTTCTTGTCGCACATTCGCGCCGTAGACGCCATTTTCCAGGTTGTTCGATGCTTCGATGATGCTGAAATTATTCATATCGAGGGTGACGTTAATCCCACCCGAGACTTGGATATTATCAGCGAGGAGCTGAGACTCAAAGACATTGAGTTTGTCGAGAAGGCGCTGGAGAACCAGAAGAAGAAGACCCGCATGGGCGGCCAAAGCCTGGAGCTCAAGAAGGCTAAGCTGGAACAAGATATCATTGAGAAGATATTGGCCTGGCTGCAAGATGGCAAGGATGTCCGTAAAGGTGTCTGGGGTCCTAAAGAGGTAAGAACTACAAAGTTGTTTGCTATGTATCTTTCCCTTCACCGCAACGTCTTTATTCAAACCTTTAACCCCTGCTTCTCATGATGACAAAAGGCCAATTGGCCTGATCTAATCCCAGCTCGTCGAATGCCTCACCAAATAACGCTAGAGTGCATTGTGAGATAAAAACTACTCTGATAGAAGTCTGACTATATTTTCTACACTTCTGCGAATTTCTATGGTAGAAGCCACTTTACTAATTGTTCTGTCAGGTTGAGGTTATCAACCCTCTGTTTCTATTGACGGCCAAACCCGTGGTCTATCTCGTGAATCTGTCCGAAAAGGACTATGTCCGCAAGAAGAATAAGCATCTCCCAAAGATTGTCGAGTGGGTCAAAGAACATGCCACTGGTGATCCAATTATTCCCATCTCTGTGTGTTATGAAGAGCGCTTGACGCGCTATGAGACTGAGGAGGAGTCCAGGGAGGAACAAAAGAATGTTGGGGCCGAGTCCGCGCTCCCCAAGATCATCACGCAGATGCGCAAGACGCTTCAGCTGGGTAGTTTCTTCACATCTGGCGCAGATGAGGTCCGTCAATGGACTATCCGCACTGGCACGAAAGCACCACAAGCTGCTGGTGTCATCCACACAGATTTTGAGAAGACCTTTATCCAGGCTATCGTTTACAACTTTGATACATTGAAGGAGCTCGGCGATGAAAGCGAGGTAAAGGCGAAAGGAAAGATGATGACCAAAGGGAAGGAGTATGTCGTAGAGGATGGTGATATCCTACTCATCAAGGCTGGTGCCGCCAAGGGTTGAAGAGTTTAACATATAGTCGCTTGTTGCAAAATTCCTGGCTGACAAAACATATGAGCACGGAAAAAAATTGTAAAACGATTCATGCGCCATCTAATCGAAATTGCTACTGCCTAATATTGTGACGCATGTACGGCGACAGATGGTCTCATGCTTTACACAGGTCCTGAAAGGAGGGTGGGTGGTGGACTCACTACTCCGAAATGAGTTACTAAGAATCCATCGGCTGACGGCGGGGGCCCAGGCGAATCCAATGATGAGATGCTGCATCATCCCGCCCGTTGAGACCACATTCGACACTTTCGGCAACTACACCATCCGAGGCAACATACGTGCTAGTAGCAAATTCGTTTGTATACCTTGGTCATACAGACACGAGGTATCCCTTACCAGATACCCTCGAAATCTGCTCGGGGAAGCATCCCAATAAGATGGATTACGTCGGACATCGTGTAGTCCAAGAGGCTGCAAAAGAAGCCGCCAGGTGCGACATTCTCCTCCCATCTCCTCTGTTCCCTCGCCCATCCGCACAGCCTTTCCACCACAGCCTTTTCTTTCATATCCTCCGATCCTCCTCAATTGCACCCTGGGAATCTGCGCCGGATATAGATCTGCGGCATCCAGAACCACCAACAGCCAACTGACACCTGTGACGCAGCACCACAACGGCGGTCACGCCCCTCAACCTCATCCTCCTGAGCGTTCTCGTCTACACGGCGCTGTCGACCCTCTCACGCTCAAACACGACGGACCCGATCCCCCGAGGCCCACCGCCAAAGGTCTTCCGCACCTACACCCCACGGACGCTGCTGCCGTTCAACGGCGAAAACGACAAGCCCATCTTCTTTGCCGTCCGCGGCCGCGTATTCGACGTCAGTAACGGGCGCAGCTTCTACGGCCCTGGCGGCCCGTACTCCAACTTCGCCGGCCGCGATGCCAGTCGTGGTCTGGCCTGCCACAGCTTCGACACGGATATGCTGACGGAGGACCTGGACGGCCCGCTGGACACGCTGGACGGTCTCGGACCCAGTGAGATGGAGGCTTTGCAGGGCTGGGAGGAGACGTTTTGCGGCAAATACGACATTGTTGGCAACCTTGTGTCTGTTGCGGACTACCATGCTGGCAAGGCGGGTGGCGCGCAGTAGCCACATGGGAAAATCGGAGAGATGACTTGTGGTTTCCACGGAATCATTTACAACTTATTTTAACCATCACAAAGTATACACCGTTATCATACTATGTAATACTTACACAAAGTATACGCCGTTGTTATGTTGTGTAAAACGTACTATATTGCCCATCCTGCACCCTGGACCTGATGAAGATCTGTTCGCGTCCCTGCGTCCTGGTAATTCGTACCAGGAGAGACATCAGATTCGGCGTCAAAGCGCAAGCAATATACGTTTATCTCGGTAATGTATTCCAACACAAAGAAGAAACATAATAATGACCATTTGACGTGTCAAGAAAAAGGGACTAAACGACTCCATTTTCGTATAGGCAGATCCCAACTCCATGCAATGCCTATCACCCCCATATTTACAACCAAACAGGAGAAGACGCCCACTTTGTCGTCCAGAAACAAAGTCTCTCCGCAAATGTGCACGCAAGCTGAAACTCTTCGCTTGACCCATGACCAAAGAACTTGTGTTCAAATACAGGAGGAAGAATGATATAATAGGGAGGACCACAATTTCAGCCAATCCAAACATCTAGTTAGAGCCATACACTGTTCGAATGGCCGATTCAAGGCAATAATAAGCCTCACATCTGTAAAATGGTTGCAGCCTGCCGTAACAAGGCTGCGATCTTTGTTGCGATAAGTCTCGCGAGTTCCCAGTCGCCTGCCTCTACTGTGTCGCGAATAGCAGGGAAGAAAGATACGTCATAAGATGACCACAGCTGGGGACCAAACACGACGTGCTTGAACTGAGTACGATTTGGAATCTATTCAAAAGTCAGTATAGTCTCATAGTAAAGAACGAAAGTGGGATGCTTACACCACCACCGAGTTCTAAATCTAGGAGCGAGGCTTCAAAAGCAGCCATCCGGTCATTGTAATGCATCCGCTGAGCCCCGAGACTGCTTGCTTCGTACCCGCCGCCGCTGAGAATCGAGCGGTCCCACTCTAATTCCCATTTCTCAAACTCATCGGCGTTGTTCTTGACTAACTCGACGGCATCCTTGAGCTCTTGGAACGGTATATTTGAGGCGCCGTCCTTGGCACCCTCCTGCTTGTTCGCCCACTGTTCCAAGTCATGAATCCAATGATTGAGGCTTCTGGCATAACCAACCATGTCAAAGGGCATGATGGCTCTGTCAGCCAGGTCAAGAAGCAACAGCCCCACAACCTGACCCATGAGTCCGTGGTAAACAAAACCCGGATCTATGACTTGTTCAACCAAGTTGAAGTTTTCATAGCTTGAGCTGAACGGCACCGGCTCTCCCTCGAATCTGACATCAATGGAGCTTGTACCGGCTATATCCTGGAACGGAACGTAGTCCCCACCGCCTCCAAGGCCCTCTAGCTTAGCTTTGCGGCTATCCCATAGGAATTTGAGAGTCTCGTTCTTGTGAGGGTCCACGATACGTCCCAAGGCTCGAATGAGTGCTCTTTCCAGCGGCGGGGACCCTGCGGCTGTGAATTGGGTACCCGTGATTGCGGCATCTAAATTGATGTAGGCGTAGGCATTCTGTCGCAATGCGTCCAGGTTCTTTTCGACGTATTCGGTGGACCCAATCATGTTGTATTCCGCCGCATCCCAAGACATGAACTCAATCGTACGCAAGGGACGCCAGCCCCTGCTCAACAGGCTACCAAAGATACGAGCCAGTTCAATCATAACCGCAGTTCCAGAGTGAGGTCGGGTAGCACCAAACGCCATGGAGTCACGATGGTTGCCAAGGATGATGGAGTTTGACGTCTGCTCCATACCCAAGATTTTGCCGTAGACATTCCATATAGGCTGCTTTTCAATCTCATCCTGCTCATTTTGCAAACGAACAATTGGTGAGGAATGATCGCCTGTCCACCACTCATCCACCTCTGGGACATCACCTTTCCAGCCCTCAGGAACCTTTTGTCCATGGCCCTTTAAGTGTTGCAGCAGAACCTTGGCGTCTCTCCAAGCAAGCGGCAGGCTGGGGATCTTCACTAGACCTGGCGCCTCCTCGATAGCCATTCTCTGCTTTTCCTTCTTGCTCTCCCAGCCGGGCGTTAAAACATCCCCAACTCCCATGTTCTTTAGGGTTACAGAACCCCGTTGAACACCATCCTCGGGCAACCATCGACCCTTGGGCGCAACATCACCTTTGACAAACCCGTTTTCGGCTGGATCACTATAGACTAAGCAGCCAGCGAATCCAGCAAGCTCTGCTGCCTTCACCTTCAGAGCCACGTCTTTCTGGGTACCCATCTGTCGCACAAGGGCAATGGCTCCTTTTGTATTTATTGCTTTATCCTTGAGTGTTTGGAAGTCGTCGCGAGAACCATAATTCGCATATATTAAAGGGCCCTTGACGTCGCCAGACTTTGAATGGGCGTGAAAGGCGTATGTCTGCCGACCAGATGTTTCTCCTCCGCGCTCTTCCTCATCCAACCTTGCGGTCCACTTAGCAGTCTTGCCATCGACATCCATGATTTGCACAGCCCGGCCGTCTTTCCGCGGATAATTGGCATAAACGTAATATTCGTCAAGTTGTACTGACTCGAGACCGGCACGTTGGAACATGCTCTCGACATCCATGGCCATCGCATAATCTCCTTCGGTACCAGCGATGTGGGCATAATGTGAGTAGTGCAAGACCGAAGCCCGCATGCGCATTGGATCCACGTTAGACTGTATGAAGGCCTTGAGGTCTTCCGGGTCAAAGCGTAGCCCCCCTGGGAGACGAGTGGAGGAGCCACTGAAGAACCCGGTGGCAAATAGAAAGTAGACGAAGCCAAGCACGATTAGCAGTGCGACGAGCCGGGCAAAGACTATGATCCACGTCATGGAATTCATCTGTGGCCATTGCCGTCGATTCGTTTCGGGTCTGGTCTCGTTCTCGTTCCTGGCTGGTTCGGTGGCACGTGAAGGAAGTTGGATGCGGAATCTCGGTAATCTTGGCCTCCAGGACCATTTCCACTTGGGCAGTGACAAGGAGAAACCTATTCTCTTGCTCCATACTGAGCCTCGTGTTGTGGAGGGCTCTTCAACTTCCATCTCCTGCATTTCTCGGCGTATCTGAGCGGCTTCCTCATCGTCATCAAGTTCGCTGTCGCTACCGAAAAGACTGGACTCATCGTCAGTCTCTACCGTGGGCGGTCGATATCCGCGGGGCGGTTGTCTTGATGGTCCAGCAGACGTCTCCGGCAGTCGCAGGAGGGATTGGTGTTCGGTTTCGTCAGCGTCGCGATTTTCTGTCGAGAACCTGGAAGGGACCCGGGCATAGTCACGACGGCTTCCGTTGGCCATGGTCTCATCATAGGGCGGAGGGCTCGGATTGAAGAATGGGATCTTTTCATCGGAAGGCATTATGGAGGAGACGCAGCAAGGTGCGCAGTGTATGGTGAGCAGCAAATCGAAAGCACTCTGCCATGCAGTACCGTCGGAACCAAACGAAGTCTATTCTGGTAGTCGGCGGGCGGGATGGGATCCCAAGGTGCGACGGGCACAACTGTCTAGGTAATATGTGTCGGTCGGCACGGGATTCGCTGCGTCGGTAACAGCGGGATTGTAATGAGCGCAAACAAGGAACAAAACACGAAGGATGCGACGCTATTTGGGATAAAGAGGCGTCTAACGATATTTCATTGTAAGCGATGAAGCTGAAAGCCAGGGTGGCCAGCTTGAGAGGCTGCCGCAGAGTGATGGCCTTGATGTTGAGGAGAGGCGTGGTGGTGATGTAGTCGGAGGGTTTACTTGGGCCGATCTGGTTGGCGCACCTTGGATGCCAGGCCGTAGTGGCAGTGTTGAGTGACAGTCGTGTTGCTAGTTCAATCCTCGGCGGGAGTGTGTGTGGTGTCGCGTCACTGGTCTCAGCAACGAGAACCCTCGAGCGTGACCAATGGATACGGCGAGCCTCTTGTTAGTCATTGTACGGAGAATGCGACCGGAATGGAATATGCCAAGGCTGCAATGCCCCTGGTCAAGTGGTGTGAGTGGGTATCCATGGATACTTGAGTCCCCGACATCCAGTTTGACGCAAGGCATCTTTAGGAGGCGGCATCTTTAGGAGCGGTATCTTTAGGAGCGGCATGTTCAGGAGCGGCATCTTTAGAAGCGGCTAGCCCTGCCGTGTAAATTGGCTCTCATCTGCCATCTCCTCCATTGTGTGCATCTTCAGCTAGCCACGGTTGATGGCGGACTGGCCTTTGACTACCAGCCAACAAACACCAAATAACCACGTGTGGTGAAGGGGCAGGAAAAAAAAAAAAGCGCACACATGCGGATAGGGAATGAAGCAAGAGAAAAAGTTATACATATGCATTCATGGAAAGTACATTGTGTCTCATGCACCTTTCTCTACAGCCGAATGCCTCTCTACACGCCCTCCATTTTCAGTCCCACCATTTCCACGACTTCGGTGCCGTTTTTTTTTTTTTTAATTCTTCAGCTTGGGTAAAGGACCACTCCCTCGTACTGTCTGCTCCTGATATTCTCCAGGGCTTGGTGGAAATGCTTCTTACTTGTCTCGATGGAGCCCGAGTCCTGCTGGTTTCCTGCCAGATTTGAGTGGATGAGCTCGATTAAGCCATTGAGATACTTGGTCGTCACCTAGTGCAAGCATACATGTCAGCCTCCTTTCACCACAACGGCTTTGGCCACATGGATTATTCGCTGGGACCTCTTACCGATTCATTCCGTTGATCAAAATAGTAGACGTATCTGTCTAGAATCTCCACAAAGAGCTCAATAGAGGCTGCAGTTTCCATGCACGAATCCGCTACACGAAGAGCCCGTTGTAAACATTCCAGGACTCTCTTGCCATCGCGGTACAGCTGTCCCCGTAGTCAGCATCTGATAGAGTACAATGTGAATGGAACATCCAGCATGAAGTCATTACTACCTCTGTTTCTTCCGATTCGCCATTCGATGCGATTGGAGTAGCCCACCACAGATGGCTTGCAAGGTAAACAGCCCGGCATTGATCAGGCTTCCGCAACAATTTGCTACCATGCTGCGCGCATTTGGTTATAAGTGTGTCGTAGTTCTCCTTGCCGAAGTTGCGTGTTTGATGGAGGGACGAGGCGATAACACAGACTGCCTGGAATTGAGCCTTGGAGTCCGACACTGCTTCCTCATAGATTGTGAATGCCTGGGCGTAGAACTCATATGCCACCTCCTCGAAGCCCGTCATATCAGCTGTTTGTCCAGCGCTACAGAATAGACGAAGAGACAGCTCAGCAATGCCAGGCCCATTTACCCGAGTATAAAGAGTGCTCAGAACTGAATGAATGAACTTGTACAAAGCATTGCTCTGAGACTCCCAATTGTCATCAAAGTGCTCCCTGGCCTTGAATCTTCTGGCAAGCTTAATGCAGGCGGTTATTAGTGGAGGCGTAGTGGTTCGGATACGATCGTTGCCCTCGCCGTATGCCTTGCGCGTCATTTGTAACAATTTAAATTGAATGTCGTTGTGTTCCGCTTGTAGCAAATGAACCATCCGAGCCAGCCAACCTTGCTCCTCCATGGTCTCGTCCGTTTCCACTGGACGACGCTGTGAGGCAACGGGATAGCCTTGCGGCGCTTGAGACCCCTCCTTGATAAGAACGGACATGATCTCCAAGACATTTTCTAGTTGTTCAGCCTTGGTGATCTTTGGCTGATCCTTCAGAAGCGTTCGGATGATTCCACCAGCCACAGCACGGCGCGTGGGATACGATTGGCACTGAAAGAGAGGGACGTAAGTTGGAAGGGAAAGGGCCGTGAATATAGACACGTATCGTGTTAACGGTGCTTGTAGTAGAGCCAAGAGGCTTTGCTGAGCTCCGGGCGAATGTAAGTCGGCATTGTTGATATTCTCCCTAGTCTTTTGCGCGGCATACGCAAGGATCTGGTCTACATAATCCAGTCGGTCGGGATAGTTGTTCAGGGCGAGATTACAAAGAGAAACTAGTAACGCAATAATATCTTGGATGGGTAAACGCTGCGCTTCCACCAGATTTTTGACCTGAGTGAAGAAAACTTCGTAGAGCTGAACGTTGGCGCCGGTCGAGTCTTGACCATTAACGGCTGTGGTCTCTGTTTCAGCCGTTGACGGTGCTGTCGACCCAGCGAAGGTACTCGCCCCATCTTCAGCAGTTGCGCCACCTTCGCTATGCTTGGGGGTATCGTCATCCTCCTGCGTGCTGGTAGTCGCCTTCGAGACGGCTTCGGAAGTCGGGTGTGCATCCTTCAGAAGCCTAGCCTTCTCCAAAAGCGAGGCCAGAGCGTCTGCTTCAATCTTGTCTTGCTCTGGCCTTTTATCCTTTGATCCTTCACGGTCGGCATACTCGGACAGACGGTCCATGAGTCCGATAACAATGGCTTTGACATCAACGTGAGGGTTCAAGCGTGACACAGCACCGAGAAATTGGTCGAGAGTGTGGAGGTGGAACTCGTCCGGAAAGACTTGCGTGATGACCTCAAGAAGATATTCTTGAGCAAGTACATCGCGGCACTGAACCACTTGTTCCAATAGAGGCCCGAGTATGCTGGTTTTGTATGTCTCAAGATCGACCAGCTGACTCAATCGCACAATGTTGCTTCCCACGAGCAGTTGTAGTTCCTTTCGTTCTCGAATGCGCTGCTCTCGCTCTCTTGAGTGGCCTTGATGCTGAAGGCGTACCCATAACTTGTTCATTTCCACAAAGTTAGTCAGAATAAAGTTGATGGAGTCGCCTAGGTTCCCCTCCGGACCTTCACTGTCGGAAGTCGGTAAGTAATCGCGTACTTGGCCAGAGAGATAGTATCGCAAAAACAGACCACGAATTGGGTGCTGAACGCCGCGGCTCATGTCCATCATATCCTTCATCAACTCCTTGACCGGCGCATCTTCAATGGACATGTATGCCGTGCCGACCGTGATCATGAGATATAGTCTGGGAATAATATTGCCGGCATATTGAACCAATTCGTATAGATCGGCGAGATGGTTGACCGGGTGGCTTTCTCGGAGGTGGACTGATAGATAGCGCAAGGCGTCAAAGACAGCCATGTACAATTCGTAATATTGCTTTGGGCCGAGACTACTCGTGCGAAGCTCCGAGACCAAGGTAGAGCTGGTGCATAGAACAGGTCAGTTAGCTCCAGTTCAGCCAGTTGGCAACGAGTGAAAATAACCAACGCACCAGCATTTTAGGGCATCCATGAGCTTTCCAGGAGTATCGAGACATTTGCGCATGAGGGATGTCTGTTGCCGCACAGCTACCAAGGCATCCTCAAGCAGGCGAGCCTGGTCCTCTGGAGGTGCGGACGTCGTCATGATCAAGCTACGTCCAACACAGTGGGGGTTCCTTTGGGTATTGTGAATAGGCAAAGGGTCGGGCCTGCTGGCAGCAGCTCCCAAGTGCAGACCAAGACGAAAGTACGAAAATCGTCGATAGGCTGGTGCGGCAGCAAATCGTCGTGGTGGCGAGGATGAAGCTGGGAGCGATCAGCGTCGCATCGGATGGTCCCTGACTCCCTGGTGACGACAGTGTAATGTGGCCCGCAGCTTGCACAGGAAGCTAAGAGTTGCTCAAGGACTCCCTAAAACACGACCGGTCAGCGGGGCAAGGACCTACAAATGGGGGGAGACTGGCCGCCAGACGTGCAAGGTTGCATCACGTGAGGTAGGCCCCACGACTGGGTTGGAACTTGGAGGTTGTCGCAGTATATAGGGGGGCATTAAGTACACCAACTAATGTGGCGTGGCCACGCCCGTTTTTTGGTGTGACAGAGGTGAGGCAATCAAGATAGCACAGCGCCGGCCTCTGCTACATGCCCGCGTTTCGGGACAGTGTTTGTATCAATTGAACTCGAGGAACCGGGCGCATACTCTAAACAACTCTCTTGGCGTGATATGCCGTGGTGCTTGAAAGGATAGTGACTGCTAATAGGAGAGATACCAGCCTCGTGGGCCTTGTGCTTGTATCCAATGTCACCTGATAATTAGCTTGATGTAGCCGTCGCCGCAGTTGAGCTTCTGCAGCGATTCCAGTCTGTGACGGGTTCTTTTGTAATGCCCAAGTATACTGTCATGAGAAAGACATGCCCGCCCATAAAAACGCTCGCACTGGCCTAATGTAACGTGGTTCAGTATCGCATGCGATAGCCATATATCTTTCCGACTAGACCTTTCTCCCGACAATTATAAACTGAGCATGTTACAACATATCATGGTGTACTTGGTGATGTGCCGGTGTGTTTCTTGGGCCAATTATTTTACTTCCCAAATCGGAAATTAATTGCCGGCTATTTTCCAGAGCGGAACATCAAGATGAAGATAATTTGCCGGATGGCTGCGTCTTGATTCAATTCGATGTTCCCAAATCTTGAGGAACCACCACTCGAGATACATGTTAATGATGTTGTGGACTTGAGCTGATAACTCAGGTCCATGGTGTTGCACGCGGGCCCCGTTCCGGGGCCGTGTCGGGACCTCTTCTGGTGCACACCGGAAGAAGCCGGGTATAAAGTTACACGATGATAGCAAGGAGGGACAGTTTCTTTCTCTTCTTTTCCTCAAGTTTACAGTCGATACTAGTAGCGCCTATACGCACCAACCCGTAAGGCCAGTCCTTACCAATACGTGGACGTACGGGCTCAATATTGTCGCTCGCTACATGAAGAATCGTCTGTGCTGGTCTCAGTGTCCGCTGTGAACCTGTGGGATAAAGACGATGGAACTCGAATGCTGAATCGCCTCTTTCTTTCAGCTCGTTGTTGTGTAGTGATCTTCTACCACTTTATGATCTTTTGAGGGAAGAACTCATCAATCAAGTCCATGTAGTAAGGCTTAAGCTCTTCAACAGAAGGGACGTCGTCGCTCTTGCTGTAAAGATCATAGGGATTGAAGGCTTGCACAGCCTTGAGCATCGCATGGTCCTTCTTGCACATGAGCTCACGGTAGGCACCCTCTCTGTGCCATGGATAGAAGGAGTGATAGCGTATCATGGCGAGAGCCTCTTCGGGCAAAGTAGACTGATCCTGGACCACGTGGTAGAGATATTCATCGTGGCCCCAGCTGAGCATGATGTTGTCGAGGCCGCACCCAGGAGCGTAGATGCCGAACTTGGTTTTGTAGATGGGATCCTTGGTATCTGGATTAGCTCCAAAAGTCTCGGGCAAAATGATGCGCTTGTCGAAAGCACAGCCGACGGGAAACGTATCTCCGACCACGTCCCACTGTCCCTGGGTCTCAAGCTCGGGGAAGCAAAGCATCACCTTGCCCAGGTCATGGATCAGACCGGTCAGCTGCATCCAACGGGGCTTGCCGTCGCGACGAATAGCCTCTGCAGACTGGAGAAGATGGTCAATCTGAGAGAGGGCGGTGTCGGGGTCGGACTCATCCATCAGAGTGTTTAGCTTTTCGATGGCCTGCCAGACGGTCATTTCGGGCCGAACGCGGGCAGCGCTGTTGAAGCGGTTGCGAGCAGCGAGATTATATGCAACAGTCTGCTTCTCGTGCTGCTCTCGATAGAAGTTCTTGACTCGGTCGCAAGCTTCTTCGTACTGACGGAACTGAGTCCTGTCCTTGCCACCGTCAAACTTGGCCTCGGAGTCATACTTGATGTAATTTACATCATCGACGGCATCTGACAGGCGCTCAAGGACTTGGCCATCGTGGGTTGTGGAAGGAAACTCGGCGACTGCCGAGGGGGCCATGGTAGCTTTCGTGTGAAAGCTGTATGTATGCCGAGGAGAAAACGACGGGTCAAGAGAGAGATGATATTGTAAGCCGTGTTATCATGTGCCTTCGAAAACGATAACAAGCTGGTCAACAGTGCTGTTGGAAATATCAGATCGAAGACAAGGTATTCCCAAACGTTTGGGCCAGAGTATAGAAACAAAAAAATCAGTGAAATACCACTCTTGTTTTCCACAGTAAAAGTAAGAGTGTCAGGAAAGTGAAGACTACGTGAGCGTGTTCCGACAAACATCTGACAGGCGCCCTTAAGTACCAGGCCATATGCGTTACGTATGCAGTAGCGTCTGTCCCCCGCCGGACGAGACGGGCGTGTGTACATCCAATTACGACTCCCATTTTGCGTCACGTAGCTTTCTCATGTGTCCTCTGCAAAGTTCTTCTTCTGGTTTTGGGGGACAATTTGGTGTGGATTGCTCCAAGGGCCCTTGAGAGATGGATGATGACACAGATCCGAGAGAGTAGTGGTCCGGCGGGCACTGCCGAGTCAAGTCTAGCCTTGCGCATGTGTCAAGCAGTCAGCTTGGAGTTGTGGTCAGCCTGGCCCTCGCCAGCGGTTTCCTTTTTTGGCCATCCTGATATCGATACGGAGTACGGAGAAGAAGGAGGCGTTGACATGTCCACGCTCTAATCGTGCCCGCCCCACTTTATGTGGTTCGGCTAGCAAAAGCCCTCACCACCAAAGGTGGTGCTCGACAGCAAGGCGGGCCGGACACCAAGGCGGGCCAATTTTCAACCTAATAACGCTATTAACCTCTTCGCCTATAATGTACACCCTTCTCGTCCCAAATTTCTAGTAGATCTAGTACAGAATCCAGACGCCATTTACGTGCCTTTTTAGCTGCTTCAAAAAACGTCCTCTTGGCGTGGTTGTGGCGCCTTTTGTCGGCTGCCTCAACAACCCGACGAGCAGTATCAAGGCGGTCATTCTCGTTTTGCTTGACCATCTCACGCGCGTTATCCACAGAAAGAACGCCACCAGTTTGTAGGGCGTGATATTTATGAGCTCTACGTCGCTGTGATAGTAATTGAGCTGCTTTTGTACGCCCAAGGTCTCTCTTCGTCTGTATAAGCTCAGTAGCTGCAATAAGAGAGCCGCGGATAAAACGACTGATATTGCGTGCAAACTCAGGCTCAAGGGATGTATCGTCTTCTAATACCTCCCCTAGCTTGTTGGCAACCTTATTTATCTGCCTGAGTGTTGTGGGCGTCTCAAAGTCGGAAGAGTTGTTGTGATATAACGGCGGCGGCGATGGTGTTGATGTGTAAATTGCAGCTCGTTGTTCAAGGGCCTCAATTACAGGCTGTGGATTGTAGGGTGAAATTCCAGTTTTTCGAAAGGCTGTGAGAATAGTAGTAGTCTTGAAAGCTTGTTTTCGTACAGCTTGAATGCAAGCAAGGAATTCAATCTTTGTAATATTCAACACGCCGTCTCGAACAATGATATCCAACGCCTTTGCATGATAATGCTTTAGTGGCTGAAATATCACAACATCAAGAGGTTGAAGGATGTGTGTAAGGTGCGAGGGCAACGCAAAGGGAATTATATCGTGCTGTTCGCAGTATTCAACGAATTCAATTGTATGGTGTGATCCGTGGCCATCTAGGATTAAAAGGCGATATCTGCCTATTGGCGTTGCAAATTCCTGAAAATGCTGTATCCAAGCAACTGCAATTTCGTCATTCGTAAAGCCGGTTGGTGAGACTGTTATTTTGGTATTAGCTTCAAGCTCCTTTATCCGATACCAGGACTCCATGTGTTTTTGCCCTGTAAGGATAAGAAAGGCAGGAATAACTTTGCCGCCAGCAGAAATGCATTCTATTGCTGTTGCAGTCTCCCTGTTTTCTGGCATTGAAAATAGATGCGCTCTTCTTCGCTTTGTAACAACTAAATGGTCCTTTCCCATTCCAATACGAAAGCCAGTCTCATCCATATTCCAGATATCTTCAGGAGGGACTCCGTACTGCTGAATAGCCTCTTTAAGCTTGTTGTAATAAGAAAGAGCTCTTGTCACATCTTCTGAAGCTTTTCGACTTGAATCAATCTTTTTTTGAAGACCTTTATGATAGTGATGCCGCTGGATAAAGCGTGTAGTCCATCGCGTTCCAACTTGCCTAGGCGGGGCAGTTGACGATGCCCTCTCTTTTAGGATGTAATTTGCAGCATCTGTAATGAATTCAGGTCGTACAGCGAAGTTGGCCTTATCAAGGCGATCGATATAGTTACATAAAGCAACTTCCTCTTCTCGTGAAAGCATTGTATTTCTTGCTGGATGGCCTTTCCTAGCAGGAACGCCGTTAGCACGTCGTTGAAGCCGGCTACGAGGCACGTTGAATTTCTTCGCCACAGAGCGAATTTTTGCACCTGGATTTTCCTCAATATACTCAAGAGCCTCGTTGACACGTAATTCGACATCGCTTTTTGCCGTTTGGACGCTAGTTGCAGCCATTTTCGCGGTTCAACGCGTCTAGGTTGAAAATTGGCCCGCCTTGGTGTCCGGCCCGCCTTGCTGTCGAGCACCACCTTTGGTGGTGAGGGCTTTTGCTAGCCGAACCACATAAAGTGGGGCGGGCACGATTAGGGTGTGATTCCTTAAATGAGGGTTAATCTTATTGGCGCAAATTCAACGCATAATTCAGCACAAAATAAGCGCTAGGCTTGATTAGGCATGCGCCAAAGGCAGATTGAAGCAGAGCTACGGAGTACTACAATTTGCATAAAGCCTCGTGTGTCCCTGTTGAAACTCTACTTACAAGGTGCTAAGCTAGCAACAGAGAGGCCTGAAGATGCCCGAAAAAGCACAGTTGCTAGTCTTTTATTAATTCTGATTATTTTCTTTGTTAAGAATTAGGGTAGTTGACTGACCTTATTTTTTACTAGAAAGATTTACTGATCTTTTATTAGCCCAAAAGCTACTCTCAGGAGACAACACCACAAAAGAAGACTCGTTGGAGAGTGCAGTTGTAATGCCTCAATCCCTGCAACGAGGAGAAGGGCAGAAAACACAATACATAAAATCGTGTAATGATTAGAAACCTCTGATGAATACGGTTCTACACAATTGTATACAGACAAGTGACAACTGCGCGCAAATAGACGCGCAAGGCCCATCAAATTAGTCACAAGATAAGAGTCATGGTCCTCCGTGAAGGCGCACGTAAAAGTGCAGGGAGAAGGCATATGTGTCAATTCAAAAATGCATAACTACTTAGTGTGTGCGATCCTCCGGGCTTTTTGTGGCTCCATGTGCGCACTCGCCACCACAATGTAGTATTAAGCTTGAATAACGCCTCAATAGAGCTTTGGAATGATTCACTGATCGATTGATAGTAGTGATAGCCCTTGGAAAAACAATGCCTCTGCAAAGCTCTTGGCAACAGATGCAGCGCGTGCGGTGCGCGAACCCGCATAGTGCCACATTGAACAAGTATAGGGGACTTGTTCAAGCGCACCTTCAAGTCTAACTTATAATCATCAATGGGGTCCAGTACATCACCGGCATCACTGCGGCGGGCACCCGCGATGGCCCAATCGGGCTAGCAGCTTGTCATAATAATGCTTATAATGTATAGTGTTTTGTGGTCTTCTTTGCACCTAGGAATTTGCAGGCAGAAAGAACAACTCGTTCATGTCGTATCCTCCAAGTACCCTATATGGAGAAGAGTTCAAGCGCTTGAAAAGTGGGTTCGAATCGCCGTGAGACGATACAAAACTATTCCTTGGTGGTGTTGTACTGACATGGCAAAACCTTGATAAGGTCAAAAAGGATCCCCTCAATTCCGTGTATCACACCCTCCGATATTACATGTACGCGTAAGCGCAGTTGTGGTCGACTGTATGGCATCGGTTGCTCCCCCGCACATGACTTGGAAGGGGCAAACGTTAACTCATCGCAGACTGGTGTTCGACCTCCCCGTACTTCGTTCGAAGATGGGGGAATGGTATGTAATACGTGCCTGGTATCATAACCGGCACCTGCCCGCATTTCAAGACCATAGGGACGTCAATGATCTGAAGGCTGCTGCACTTCGGAGCTGATGCGACAACCCGGCGAGTACGAAATCCAATTGTCATGGCGAGCAATGCCTCCGACTCAGGTCGTTGTTGGTTGGTTGGGCAAATGGCTGGAAATAGGGCTACTTCGGTCTGTAAAGGTCGGTGCCTATGCAGTTCGCCCGTGTGTTACTACTTGGCAACACTGTAATGGAATATAGCTTACCGGAACAGAATAACTCGCGATCGAGTCCCGGCCTAACCAGCCGCACTGGCTAAGTTGCTCGTCGTGAAGCTGCCCAACGGTCGCTAGTACCCAACAGCAGCCGGTCCGATTCCAAAAGGATCAGCTGATACAAGACGCGGCTGCTGGCCCTCCTTCAAAGTTCATCCATTCAAGATACTCGGTAATGAATTGGATTGGTTCTTGAGCCACACTTTCTGCCATCCGAGCCGCGGCAGGGACATTATCTGCGTCAACGCGACACCTCACTGCCTACAGCCATAGACACTCAGGTCGAAGCCATGACCAACGTCAACATGTAGTAACCGATGGAAGACTCGAAATTGGGGCAAGTCGCCAATTCAAAGTTCTGCATACGGTTCGGTTTTCACAATGCCAAACCATTCGCTCACCACTCGTCAATCTACAAGTCAGCTGAACGCCTTTAGAAATTGTTGGGTATGACACACCCCGACAACGCCAACCAGCCGACTCGCATTCGATCCGCATCAGAGTCCTTCTTGGTGTGTGGGGGAAATTCGGGAACGGGCCATCATGTAGGTGGCTGTGCATGATATGTTCCGGTCTCTTGATACTATCGGCGCTGAGAGTGTTGACAATTGTTATCTTTGACAGGATGATGCCGATTCGTCGATGCCCAAACAAGATACACTGACCCGTCTGCTTGCTGGGTATGGGTAAATGTCCCAATAGGCCATGTGCCACGGGGCAAGTCTGCATATCCTATTTCCAGAGCTATGACCAGTACATCCACACGACACACCATTGTTGCACACCGACGATGCACGGCACGTCTGCTGGCTATGGCGATTCTGAACAAGTTAGCCGACAACCACTAGGATACAATGAAAACCTGGCGTGGTCCTGCAAGAAGTGCGTTGCCAGCAAGATAAATGGCAGAAAAGCAGAAAAGTATGGCCGGCTTGAGACCCAGAGATGTGCATTCGGTACGTTGCACGTTGTCACAATTTCTCCGAGAGGCACCTGAAAGGGGTTCACTGGCTGCTCTTTAAACACAAAGGAACTGGCAAGATGGAGAGAGACGCCCATCGAGCTCTAATAAGTTGTTGTTGGGTGGGAGAATCCGGTCTCAGGCACCAGGGGTTGATCCGTGAGAGGTGAGGCAAATTCCAGTCAGCCACAGCCGTAGACAAATTTGATTCTCAAGTCGACATGCCCAGGCGGGCAAACCAACACGCGCAGTTGGGGATTGACATAGGGATCACGAACTGGCGGCGTCGAACGCTGTAGATCTGTGACAGACAGGGTCAGACTTGGCCACGAGGTCGATATTTCATGGAAACCGCCGACGGGTCATCGATTCAATGCCTGGTTCTTGTTCTGTGCACAGCAGTGTTAGCTGCGACTTATATGCAGGACGTGAAAGGTCGGGCGGACACAACATGCCCAACGTGTTGAAGTATCGCCACACTTGCTTGGCCAAGGCACGACAGCTTAGGATAAAACAAGAATGCATGGATAAGAATGGGACAAGGGGCACTCTGGCGGTGAAGTGTCAGCCTCGAAGCTCACGGACGTGCATGCCGTCTGGTGACTGCTATTCATTCTCCTTGCGTAGCCAGCCAGACGTCGTAGAATGAAGGGAGGCAAGACGCAACTAGAAGGGATGATTGATATTAGTACTTAAGTACCTGCTTTACTTAAGTACTAAGTAAGTAGGTCCTCCCAGTTATATCGAGGCTTCGCCAAGCATCAAGTATACGTGAGCCACGACAAGTCGTTGAGTCAAGACAAAGAAAGTTGACATCAAGCTGCAAGGGCAAGTGCCAGCGTGGTCGGATGATGTCACCGATGTCACCGACCATTACCAACTTTAGTTCCTACGAAGTAAGTAAGGCACTTAAGGCACCCAAAAACTTTGGTATCAATACTTGAGTACTCAAGTACCAAGTACTTCGTAGGTAAGTGCCTAGTTCCTAGGCTCGTAGTGCTCCTGGGCTCCTCAACTGCCATGCCAGGTGGTGGTGACTGGTGGTGATTGGTCAAATGACTGTCTGAACTTGGCCGTCCAGGTGCCTGTCTACCCCGCAGTTACTTTAGCTAGCCTCGAGTCCTCCGTTGAGTCCAGTCCCGGCTGCAAGTTTATTTTTGGAATCTCGGCCTATCCGGGATCGCGCGCTGCCGCGACTTGCGCCTGTGTGGTGTTGTTTTCACATGTGTCCCAGACTCCCAGCTGCCTTGGTCTGCAATAATAATCAAAGTACAAGGGCAGACTGGGTACTGAATTGGTGTCTCAGCCAGGAGAGGTCAATTGATATCCGTTCCGTGATGTTTTGACTGCCAAGTAAGTACCTACCTGCTCCGTACTTCCTGGGCAATTGGCAAATTTGTCAAGGGGTCCTCCCTGGCAGGCTGGACGTGTCACCATGTGGTCCTTGCATCTATCCCAGCTTGAGTACTCGCCAATGACACTAGTACTGCCTTCTTAGCCGGCCAAGTACGGAGTACGTACTTATATATCTACAAGGCTCGGCAGCATTCACGAGCTAGAAGTCCATGGCGGTGGACTCTGTGCTAACTGACAGCCGCCTAGTCGCCGTATCGGCGCCCTCGGCTTTAGCCAAGCAGACCTGCCAGCCGACGCTACCGGCGGTCCACCGCCACCGCCACCGCCATCGCCACGGACCGTTGGCCCGCTGCCACTACAGTGGGTTGTCAACTGGTAACGCTACCTAAAGTTGTCCCACTTTCGAGTCTTGACCCCCCTGGTTCCCGCTCAAGGCCGCGCCGCCGCCCATTGCCCATTGTTATCGAGATTGACTGACGGATATTGCTTATATCTTGAGGGTGAGCCAGATCTGCCAACATTCATCTTTCCTTCCCCGTCAAGAAGACCCCTCAACCCAGAGATGGACTTGGCAGCATCAGAATTGGGCTCGGCTGCACCGCCACTGCTTCACTACATCTATCCTGGAGTTGTGCTTTCGTACTTTCTCGCGGCATCCCTCTTCTCTGTGTGTATCCTGCACAATCTAAGGTATGAATGGCTGCTGAAGACGGAATCATCTGGCCAGTCATGGATTGTTGGAGCTCTTTCCATCTTCAGCCTTACCTATCTTGTCCAGCTCATCGTGCTTGTCGCGCTCAAGGACCCAGGCGACCAATGGCCACCAGCCGAGCACAGCGTTGTCGGGAACCTATCTTGCCTGCTGGTTTTTGCTATCCAGCTTTCCTGCCTATCTACTTCCACGAATCTCGTGTCGTATCCTTACCAAGGAGCTTGGATCATTGCGTCAGCTTTTGAAACAACACTTGGCGCCTTTCTTGTTGTTCAGTTGCGTTCCCGAAATTTAAGCCGCTATCACGTCGCCGAACTGGCATTGACGATCTTGCGCTGCGCAGTCCTCTTTTTTCTTGTCTTTTGGACCTATTTTTGGCGCTGTATTCAAGCTGTTCGTCGCAGATCAGACGAAGAATGCCAGCCATTGCTGGCTGGCGCTGGCAATGGCACAGCGTCCGGCTCCGGCTATGGGTCAACCTCTGACACAGAAGCCGCGTCTGACGACGAGGCAGAGTACTGTTGGGAGCGTCGTAAGCGAGAGGCGAGAGAGAGCATGGAGAGGAGACTGCAAGAAGGCGGCAACTGGTTTACATATGCCAAGGGGTTCATGGTGAGTGATAATATTTGCCTGGCACAGTTACCTGCCTGCCCATTCATGCAGGTTTGCTGATTGTTCGCAGATTCTGTTCCCTTATGTGTGGCCCGTTGGGAATCTTGTCCTACAGCTTCGAGCCGCGGCAGTTGGGTTGTGCCTTCTGTTGTCGAATGTCCTGCACTTGTTGATTCCAAGACAGACGGGCATCATCATGGACAGTTTAGCCGCCAGTGGCAAGGACAGTTCCGCCAACCCCTGGGTCGCAGTGGCAGTTTTCGCAGGGCTGAGACTAGCAGCATCTGACTCGGGGGTCGAGCTCCTGCGCCAGTGGCTTTGGATCCCTGTTCAGTACTACTCTCGTGATGCTATGACCCGGGCTGCGTACTCCCACATGATTCATTTATCAGCAGATTTTCACGACTCAAAAAGTTCCTCTGATATGATGTTAGCAATACAAGGAGGCCACGCCGTCTCGAATGCAATAGAGAGCGTATTGCTCCAGGCAATTCCCATGTTCATTGATATGTGTGTCGCTTTGATCTATTTGTCTGTCACCTTCGGCTCGTACGAAGGTTTCATAACCCTAGCCACAGGAACCATCTTCTTCATCTTGGCTGGCAGGCTAGTGGCAGAGTCCAAGACAGCAGGTCGGCAGCGCGTGAATGCCCTGTATCAGGAGCATTACGTCCGGCAATCAGGCTTGCAAGGTTGGCAAACTGTCTGCGCCTTTAATCAAATCAGCTTTGAGGACAATCGACATGCCAATGCTGTTGCAAACAGGTGGCTTAGAGAGCAACAGTACCTCTTGAATTGGTATATTTCCATAGCTTTCCAGACTATGGTTCTCACGTCTGGGCTTCTGGCCAGTGCTTTTCTGGCAGTCTATCGGATTCAGAATGGAAAAGCATCGGCGGGCCAATTTGCAATGCTCTTGATGTACTGGTCACAACTGTCATCCCCCCTGCAGTTCTTCGCCCGACTTGGCAAGAGAATGAGCGACGACTTTATTGATGCAGAAAGGCTTCTCGAAATCATGAAGACGAAATCTACGGTTGAAAACAAGAAAGGAGCCAGAGCACTCAAGTTTGTAGCAGGCCATGTTACATTCGATAATGTTACCTTCAGCTACGACGGACAGAAAGGAGTCATTAAAGGAATTTCGATTGAGGTTCCTGCAGGCGAGACTGTAGCGTTTGTCGGGGCGACTGGCGCAGGAAAATCCACCTTGTTGAAGCTTCTAAACAGATTCTATGATGCTACAAGCGGAAGTATAAAGATTGACGGTCAAGATATCCGTGATGTGGACCTCTTTAGGTAAGAGTCATTTGGTCTGGTCTCGTCAGCCTACCAGGAAACTGATCCCTCGGTCTGTTAGCCTTCGTGATCGAATTGGCATCGTTCCACAAAACCCGATATTGTTTGACGACACCATCATGAACAACGTTCGATACGGAAGGATCACTGCTAGCGATGAAGAGGTATTCGACGCCTGTCGTGCGGCCTGTATACTCGAAAAGATTGTCGGCTTTACGCATGGTAAGAAGAGTTCTATCTCATCTTGGGCTTGATGGAACTTAACGGTAGAGTAGGCTACGAAACCAGGGTTGGTGAACGCGGTGTGTGAGTGTTGCGTCTCCCTCCAGTATCCATTCCCATAGAAGCTAACGATTACAGAAAACTGTCCGGCGGAGAGCTTCAGCGAGTAGCAATAGCGAGAGCAATATTGAGACGGCCAGATATTGTCTTATTAGATGAAGCGACCAGTGCTGTCGATACCGACACCGAACAGCAAATTCAGCTCTCCTTCAAAAGACTGTGCCAAGGTCGTACCACGTTTATTGTGGCGTAAGTCGAACCAGGTCGTGGATGGATACTTCAAACCCTACGACTAATCATAAAAGGCACCGATTGTCCACCATAATGAATGCCGATCGTATTGTTGTCGTGGAGCACGGCGAGGTTGTCGAGCAAGGAAACCATGACAAGCTGATAGCGGCCAATGGACGCTACGCAGATCTGTGGTCAAAGCAAGTCTTTCTCCGGCCACGTGACAAACTCGACATTGTAGACTTGGTTGACGACAGACCGGCAGTGGTTGATGACTTGGCATCAGAACAAACCGCGACCGAAATAGGGCAACGAGATGGAACGGACGCCGATAGTGAAGGTTTCTCCGCTGACGAGGACCAAGCCGAGCAGAAGAGCCCTGCCCTTGGGCATCATCGCAAAGAGGTATTGTTGATCGAGTTGTTCACGGCATCGACTTGTAGTGACTTTTCATTTCCACGACAGGGATCCACGATGAATCCGGTTGCTCCTGAGCTTACCACGACACATGCGTCATGTTCTGCTGACAAGCATGAAACAAACGATGGGCAAAGTATGCTGTTATATTCGAATATTGGTACAGACGTCCACACCGTGCCTGAGTGGAAGGGACAGCAACCAATGTCGCGTACGAACTCACCCCAGGATAAAAGCACAGTCGTCAAGGATACAGCCAAAGGTACAGAGGATTCGGGAGCAACTACTCAGAACAGTCTGCGAAATGCACCCAAATCAGAATTAGACAAGGAGAAGCCTGATGGTGACCATACTCTTCCAGAGTCAGACGATTGCCTCGACGGTAAGACTCACTTTTCAGGCTATGAAGAGCCTTCTTGCTAATTTGTTCATGCCAGGCTCTGAATATTAGGAAGTCTCACGGCCCTTGGAAACTGCGTCTCCCGTCAAACCACATTTGCGTCAAGTTGGGCAACTTCTGTGCCGTCAAACATGGCAGGCGGCTCGTCAGTTGTCGGAAAATGCCGAAACATTCGAACCTCAGTCCCGCTTGGGGTTTATTCACGAAGCGACCCCAGCGGGTGATGCAGGTGCTCCGCCTGATAATAAATCTTGCCTTGTTCGTCCAAGATTCTCGCTCCAGTTCGGTGTGGCGCGTCTCAATTTCAAAGGTCAAAGCTAAACCGCCATGTTCCCATATTCCAAAGCTCTCCCATCGACAGTACAGCAATTTTACCCATTCGTACCGTACCTTCCAAGATGAGCAACCCAAAAAAAGTAGGATAGACAGACTTGAGGCTGCCTCCGACGGTTCGCCCCAACACGATGCCGGGCAGCTCATCCAATCACTCAACTATACCACTCTCCATCTAGAGAGTCGTCTGGAGGTCTTGTCGCAGAAAGAACGCAGCCATGTTCATGCAAGTGGAACAGTAGCCTACCGCTGATGTCATATCGTCTGGCGAGTGATTCGCGATCAAGCCAGCCTAATGTATGACTGGATAGTGGTGTCGAGGGCCTCGGAGAATGATGATATTTTTCCATTTTCATTATATCAGATTTATATTGCCACTTGACGTCTGGCAGTAATGAGCGCTATTTCGTGACGGCTTCATGTATGTTTCGCCACCGGCTAGAGCTGGAGCATGCGAGCATTTTGCATTATATACATCTTTACGCTGTTATGATGGTGGCCTGCCCACCAGGTACATGTGGACAGGTTGAACGAAACGAGCCTTGCATTTTGAGCACAGTAGTGACCCACTACAGAGGATGAAGAATCATATAGAAAGACGGCGAGTCTTGGTCACGGCTAATTCAAATTTTGCTGCCACATGCCGGCTTATCTTCCCAGGTATCTATGTGTCTTTGTGCAAGGAATATACCTTGCTTGTGCTCTTGAAGCCCGTCCTCTGCACTCGGCCCAGCTCTGCAATGCTCCATTGATTTACTGTCCGGCGCCGCCCTGGCCTGGCGAGCCAGGCGCACCGCCGCCACCCTGGCCTGGCGAGCCAGGCGCACCGCCGCCACCCATCATGTTTCGCGCCCTACAGATCACATGCATTAGTCCACCACTCAAGTCTGCACAGAAACGATGCGGGTTGAGTGAAACCGCTGGTCAGGGGAGGTATCGTTGCTTACATGTCGGCAATGTTCGGGTCAGACATGAGGCTGTTCAAGTCGGGCATGCCACCACCGCTGCTGAACTGATTGGCCATCTCGCGCAGGCGAGGGTTGCTCATGAGGTTGCTCATGAGATCTGGGTTGCTCATGAGGTTCTGGGCCATACTGGCAAACATGGGATTGCTCATGATGGAGCCCAGATCAGGCATGCCGCCGGCACCACCGCCGGCACCACCGGCGCCGCCGCCTAGCATTGACGCGAGACTGCTCAAGTCAGGCATGCCTCCAGGCGCGGCTCCGGTCCCAGGTGACGACCGGGGAAGGCTGCCTTCCTCGGCTTGCATCTCTTCGACGCGACGCTTGGCAGTCTCGTAGCCCTTCTTCATGGCCTCGGAGCCGCCGTTGCCCTCGTACTCAATACCCTTGTTGTAGGCCTCCATGGCACCCTTGGCATCGCCGAGGGCGAAGCGAGCGAGGCCGAGACGAGACCAGGCCTTGGTGTAGGTAGGGTCAACTGCAACGGCGGCCTCGGCGTCGATGCGGGCGGAGGCATGGTCCTTGGTCGCAGAGTGGGCAGCGGCACGGTTGGACAAGAAAACGGCGTTGGAAGGGTGCAGCTTCAAGGCCTGGGTGTATAGATCGATGGCCTTGGGGTAGTCCTTCTGGGCCATGGCAGTGTTGCCCTTGCTCTTGAGACCCTCGGCCTCCTTCTTCTGGTCCTCGGTGGGCTCGGCGGCTGCGGCGGTCGAGGCGCCCGCGGCAGCAGACGCAGGTCCGGGCGCACCAGTGGAAGCCTTGAGCTTCTCGTAGACGGAGTAGATGGACAGCAGGCTCTGGGTGCCGACGGCGGCGTGGACGGCGTCCTTGTCGGCGGGGTCGACCTTGAACGACTCGGCGATGCAGTTGACGGCGACTTCGACCGAGTCCTTGTCGTCGGCGGTGAGGGTGCCGTCGCTCGCCGAAGTGCTCAGGAAGTCGCAGATGGCGAGCGCCAGGCGCTGCTTGGAGGTATGTTGAGTAGCCTGCATCGCACCCACCCGGCACTGTTAGCCACGTCATGACGCAAAAACGGGATAAATGGTGCCGTCGATGCCCGCGGCCGGGAGCATGTCTGCGTCTGTCGATGCAATGTACATACCATTAACACTGGGAAGTCGGGGCTTGCCTGACAAGCAAGCTGGGGACAGGAAACCAACTACCAAAGATGGGAGTATACAAAACAAGGGGCGGGCGGGCAAAAGCTCTCTTTGGAGGTTGATGGCTGGTTTGCGTGGTTGGTTTTTGCCCCTCGTCGTTGACAAACCAGCCTCGGCGGTTGGCTGAGTGCCCGCCGCCGCCTTTGGGTAAAACTGGACCAGACCGTTGATCAAATGCCACTTTCTGAGCCGAGACCACCGGCACCAGGGAATCCAGGCCTTGTGGACCCCTCCAAAGCTCGGGTCTCAGTGCACCTGGGCTTTTCGTGGCAGCTTCCGGCTTATGGTCCCGAACATCTAATAATACTTGAGTAGTTATTATCGTCTCTTGAGTTGAAAACTGCCTCCTTCGAGTCCTACGGCATTGATGCCATGCCACTTCCTTTTAGTTTGTCGCCGCCCACGTGCGACCACGTCCCTTACCGCTGGGATGGATCAGGAGTCATGAAGGAACGGGAGCGATACACTTTCATCAATGTGTAAGTAATATTCTTCATTCCCGTCTTATCAAGTAACTACCAAACAAACTCCGGCCTCCTCATGCATGTGTACTAGGCCCGCTCTCTGGGGGAAGAGAACCTACCTAGGTAGATATCTGTAGAATGCAATCTTGAAAGGAATACTAAGGAACAAACCCGGTCTACTTCTCCCCGCGCTTTCTGTCAACATTCTTGACTCGTCGGCTACTCAACGCTGCCACCCGCCTCGACTTGGCATAAACTCGAACGACGTCCTTCAAAACCACGAACAGGCACCCGCCAACTAAACTTCGTCCCCACTGTTGTTGGAGCAAGCCTGGCCGCCCAGTAGCACCAGAATAGGGCGTCCAAGTACTCCTCGGGCCGGAAGATGTCCATGTCTTGGGCAATGCAAGCCGAAGCGCTTCTCCCATGGCGAAGGAAACACCGGGAAGGATGAGGGCTCCGACCACAGCGTTTGATATGCCCGACAAAAGAGCACCCAAGCCCACCCTCCGCACTGGAGGGGCTTGCGGAACTTCGTGGTGAACTTGGACCTGACCCTCGGCAGCATTCGCGACTTCGTTCTCTTGGACCCCTTCATCTCCTCGTGCCTGAGCTGGTTCGGCTCCATCTGCCCGATTTGCAGGTTCATGCGCCTGACCACCTTGCTGCTCTCCATCATCATTGTCGTGTAACTCTCCGCCAATTTCGTTTCTGTTGGGTATCGGCTCCTGGCCCTCTCTCAACTCCTCGATGCGAAGCTCGATCATAAGCTCAGCATCCGCATCTGGATTTCCATTGGCATCTATTTCTCCATCCATGATCTCAATGTCGTTGAACTGCGGGTCATCCTCTTCTTCGTCCATATCGAGAGCATCGAGAATACCTTGCATCAGGCCAGCCAAGCCGCCTTCTTGATTGCGCTGAGCTTGGCGGCGTTGATTGGCGTCTTGTTGTCCCTCATTTTGTTGAATGGGCGGAAGCCCGATAATCTCTCTGTTCAACTTGATCTCATAGGGCAGGACAAACTCTCGCCAAAAGTTATAGTAAAGCGACCGTACGTAGGGGAATACGGCCAGCGCAAGTCGCGGGGACGGTGGCCAACTGAGGAAAGTATCGTCGTGCAAGATTTGATACATGCCATACTAAAGATCGTGGCGTTAGCAATATCGCATCCTCAGTCAGGAACAGAGAAGGACGAAGGGACCTCTTACCAGGGATGCTGAAGGCAGAAATATTTTGTTACTTAAGTTGGGCAGCAGTCGGCTGATCAGTAGCGTCGGCGCAACATTCATCAGGACCAGAGCGTTCCATATGCGCTCTCGTAGAAATCGCACGCCCCCAGCACTCCTTGCGTCAATAACCATTTCAGGGCCAAGCAGGAACCGCATCATCGTGTCTTTTCCAGCAAATGACCAGAGGGCCAGGGCGCCATACATCTGTAAGCTGAACTGTACGCCCATAGACACGCCCGTAAAGAGAATAAGTGGGCTTGCTCTTGTGAAGCGGTTCCTTACCGCCTCGTTCAGTGCGACAACCATGTCCCACGCCCCTTCCATCTCAATCGTAGATTTGCATACGGGACACTGCAGCGGCTTATTATTACGTTCACAGTCTGTGACCCACGACAACATGCAATCTTGATGCGCCTCGAGGGTACAGGGACAGGGATCAACCCAAGAGCCTGGGGGATCCGAGGGGTCATCGTCTGTCAAACAGATGAAGCATCGTCGTGGTGCATGTGGATGCTTTTCGGCCTTGGCAGCTTGCAGCGTCTCTGGCTGTGATATCGTGCCCTTGTCGGTCGATGCCATGTTGAACCAATAACACTACGCAGTTGGAAACGGAGCCGCAAGATTTGTTTGAGGAAGGGAGCTGGGACCGTTTGTCAAGTGTTCATAGTTGGCGGGAATTTTGTAGCTGATTCTTGGTCTAACCGCAACTAGATGGGCATTTGTGAGAATTGTCGTAGTCGTCGTTGTCGCCGCTGTCGTCGCCGTCGTCGTAGTCGTCGTCACAGTCGTCGTCGTCGTCGTAGGGAGGGTGTGGAAGTAGCCGAGGATAAAGGGGAATACTGAGGGGAAATGTTGCGTACAAGGCCGTTCCGACGGGCCTCCAAGTCCTGTATTGTAATACTTGTGCGAGCGTCGGGCCTGGAGAAGTCGATATTGAAGATGTATGAAATGATGGAAACACAGTTTCTCGTGCTGATGTCACGCTTTCCCAAAAAACACAGGGCCAGCAAGGAGCCAATCATGGACGTGCTCGCGAGCCCACTTCTGAGCCGGAGTCCCACTGCCAGTGTTGACCCGGGGCCGGCTTCAGACAAAGACAGGGCATACCGTCCGGATGATTTTGTATCGTCCTCTTTGTTGCCAGCCTTCACACTTACCAGACGAATGTATGCAAACAACGACTTGTCACAACTCAGAATCCCGAACGAGAATACGATCAAAGGACTGAGATACTCGGCTGTTCCACGAGGATCAGGGTAGACCGAGGAGTCAGGACCCTCTGTTTCAACGTTGTGATGATACAAAGAACAATGCTGCTATATATATCCCGGTAGTTACGGCCTAATGCAATACGCTTCATCCGTTTTGGGACAGCGAAAATCTTTTGAGCAAGGACCTATCTGAGGTGTTGTCGTTGCTGTGGTCTTCCAAGTAGGAAGCCTGGTTGACATCACTCCCAGTTTCGCCGCCTACGTGGCCAAGGAAGAATCACGCGCTCGCCATCCATTGCAGCCAATCGGCTGGATGCCAGTCGTGTTGCATCTAACATACATCACGATACGGTACCCCGGCGTAGGATTAAACCCGCTCAGATTTCCAGGACGTGGTTCATGCGGCAGAATGAGCAAGTTTAATATGGATGCATCCATTTTTGGACTCCGGGGCACCAATCCAAGCACAAGGCAGTGCCCACCTACGATATAATACATGCGTATATGGAGTGTGTTCATGAACCATATAAACGTTTGCCAGTTCTCTCTCTTTGCCATGGCCTGAGTTGTCACAGTTGTTTTCTTAGCAAGACTTATACACTCTTTCCAATATGTCTTTACATGGCGTGATGCAGAAGCTGCTCTTGGGCCTCGAGTTCTGTTTCTCGGTTACGACAGTAGTCTGCTTTTGCTCTGGACTTCCTGAGCAAGCGCAAGTTGAGACATTAGCTGGACAGCTTGGATGCAATATGAACTCGCGTACAGGTTTATGCTTTGCATCGAATCCAGAAGCCATCAACACGGCCACCACGATGAATTCAAGGTATGTCACGGGATGAAAATTTAGGGCTGATCAGAACTAACGACTCCGTCAAGGTCTAAGGAGTCCAACCTTGGGCTAGCGATCCTCTCTTTGGCCGTCGTCTTTGTTCGATTCGTATCTTGGCGGCTGGACTACGGCCCCCGATATGCCGACTTACTTTACGACTTGTTGTTGCTGGGGCTGTGGTGTTTCAACCTGGTCCAGCACTTTATCTCCACTGAATTCGCAGGCTGCCAATATGAGCACGTTGGACTGATAGCTAAACTCGGCATATGCAGAGTGAACATGACATGCGTAAGCATGGCCATGGCGGCCATCGTGCTATACAGCGGGAGAGCGTTGATAGATACTGGGTCCATAGTGGGAGACAAACGTAGTATCATGCTGGATGAAAGTAGGCGGGAATCTGTCGAAAGTTTTGCTGTTCATGAGGACGAACTACCAAAGGTTCAGGCGGGATCCCTCAGCCCCGTCTTGGCCTTCTTCCCGGACAAATATCACGCAGCCTCGCCAACATCATGAAGAGGTAGATGACAAGAATGGCAACGGGCACATGCAAACATTTTGACTCAGGAGTGTCTCTTGGCAGTATTTCATAGAGTACAATTGCAGTACAAAGCATCCAAGTATCATTCATCAATTTCACGTTCAAATCCTATCGAGCCAACCCTGTGCTATCAACCAACTTGCCATAGAAAATTCCAGAATAAAGAGTGGCTTGCATCTCACCCCCCCTTCTTTCGAGCGCATAAAAAAGTCGGGCCCTCGGCTAATCATTGCTACATATTGTACGTGGCGCTTCCTTATCACAGACTCATAACTGATAAAAGGAGACGTGAACGAGGAGAATAAGTCATTTATTTGTGCTACAAGACGCAGACCCGTGTTAGTCATGCCCAGTGATTGGTCTTGGACATGCTTGGGGTCGACTTACAGGGCAGTTAGGGCAAGAGCAGTTAGAACCGCAGTTGCATGAGCCGGAGGTAGAGCATCCGCAATCGTCAGCCATGGTGAGTGGTGTGGTTTGGTAGTCCGTTGTTTATTTTTGGTGCGTAAGCGTCTGTATGTGCTTGTTTTCTCTGAACGATGTGTTGAAAGTTGAAGCCAGTCTAAAGGTTCGATGGGAGGGCCTGGGTCCTTTTTAATCTGGAAAGAGTGGCCAAGACCTTCGGCGCTAGCTCCTTCCCCCACTTTCAACCGCCACAAACCAGACGACCCCTCTTTATTATGTTGTGCCGCGATAAAGTTCACCAGGCATCGTTTGGTGCTAGTTGACGAGGTGGCGACGAATGACGTTTGTGAGGGAGTCTAGGTAAGTGCTGCCGATCATCGGCCATGGTGACGAGGACAAGACTGTTTGAACATCCCAGAAACGGGAAACCTCGGTGCGTCACAACTTTCAATGTATGTAGTAATGGGTGCAGCACCCATCAACCCAGAACAGGGACCAACGATCATGTAATGGAACGGCTACTTCAAGACTTGACACATCATATATGCTTGCTGCAGGTCTCCCGCAAGACAGGGGACACGCCCTAGCCGTGGTAGCCAGGGTCGGCGTTGATACTGGATCACTTGATCGGAGGAATGCTACACTCGTACGCTCCTTGTGGCTCGCCTCTCCTGGTCTCGCAGGAGACGTCGTTTCAGAAACGAGGTTGTCCCTACGACACCTTAACAACTGCTTGGCGTAAGTTACTGTTGTTAGCGCCGCATGGAGCAAAGAACACAAGATATCAACTCGCTACGAACTGTTGCTTAATCCATACCCCGCCACGCAAGTGACTACATTGTCCAATCTAGGGATGACAAGCCTGATCAGACATGACGCTGCACATCATCCCTGCCTGAAAGCGGCATACAATGTCAGCGTTGGCACGAATACCCCTCAGTACCACAACTGGGCACGGCGTGTTGCGATCAGGTGCTCGGGTCACACGTCCCGGCAGGGTCAGATCCACGGAGTTGTAGCGCAGGGTAACATGAACCAAATTCTGCCAGGCACACAGTTTACCTTTAGTCATCGAAGAACGACACGACTCTGTCAATGCTTCGAGATTCAAGTCCCCGCCATAGTCACCAACTCCGGATCCATATCGATTGACGCATTGTCTGAATTTGTCTGCTTGCGCTACCAGCCAGGAAACATGGCACAGCACACTACTAATACTACTGCGTAAGGGATGTAATATTTGGATACATCCCTTCCAATGACATCATTGTCCTTATTTAAGGAAATCGTCAACCCAAAGCCCTGGCGGTCTTCCTCCGTGATGCCTCCGGTGCATTCAATCTGTTGATGGTCTGTACCAGCCATTATTAGCGTATCACGGCCCGTCGCCCTACCCAATTTCTGCTGATCCGACTGGTATCCGCTAGAAGGGGTCGGTAGCGATCTCAGACACTGTCCGCTCCTGCCAAACCCTGTTTGCCTGTTTATCCAGCATAGCGGAGGTTAATCCGCATCATCTTGGTGCGTAACATCTACGCACCAAGATGATGCTGGCAAAGTTGACTTCCTGTTCCGAGCCGAGATATCCGTTCGTGTTTCATTCTTGCTGGATCTGTCGCCTTCGGTAACACCCAGCTCAAGACCGAAAGCAGATTTGATGATTGGCCGGGGAAGCTGCCCACCTATTGCGTATTGCACCTCGGCATAGGCGAAGCTCAAAGCTTCACGGAGGAACATGTTTACATCAAACTGAATTCCTTGTCCCAAGGCGGGGTTCTCCGGCTTGGGCATAATATGGTGCCAGGTTCGAATATACATTGACGTCACCCATATAAATGTGCGAGTCACAGTGCCATAGGACCCCAGTGCCAGCCAGTCAAGGTAGGTGGTGAGCTCTCTACATAGAATTGGCGGGATGCGCAAAATTCTGACAAGCCCTACAACTTGGCAATGGAGGCGTGGTGAGCTCTTGAGTTGCTGTCGTGATAGCTGGAAGAGCGTGGGAGCAGCAGAGTAGTTGATTACGTCTTGTCTCGTCAACGCATACCAGATGCCGTCCTGATTTCCGCGGTGGAAGTAGAGGCCCCAGTTAAACTCCTCTTGAGCCAGGTCTTGAGCACAGTGGATTTCGTATGTGGCTATGTCAAGCCCGCAAGGAGAGTTGGAGTTGAGCTTGTGCCTGGATGCCGCATCGCCGTCTTCGATCGAGTACGGAAGAGAAATGGTTACGTAGAGAGAACCTGCGTCCAGATCCCTGATTGGGGAAGCCATTTCGGTAGTGTGTATCCTTCTGGGCAAATCGTCGTGGGGCACGAGTTCTTTCGGAAGGAGCTGTCAACAATCTGAGCTGAGGCTGAGGACGATACTACGGAGTACACCCGGCGGATACCCAGCAACAGCTGTAGCCGGTCACAATTTCACAAACGACTTGTCAAAGCGGCCAAGTCACATGACTTCTCGTAGCACTACTTCGTACCAAGGTGTACGTTAGGAGAGAATGATGGGTACTTGCATGTAGGCCTTGATGACTCTTCCAACAGGTGCGCTTCTCAGCAACACGGTCTTCTTGTTGACGCTTGACACGAATGGTATGACTCAACTTTTAGTGCCAACTGGTGCGAATAGTATCAGGTTCGGGGGAGAAAGTGGTCCTGTAACGAGTGGACCTTCGAATCCTGTCCTGCTCCAGGTTTCAAGATGGCGAGCCTTCTGTGCCATTTCTTATCTAGCAAAATTGCAACACGAATTGCTGCGTATTCGCGCGCCTATCAGAACATTGAAGCTTTGGGGTACGGGTTACACACTAACTACAAACGGATATTGCGTTTCTTGCGCCATCCCCGCTCGTTGGCCTTCAAAGCCTGGTAGACGCGGTTGATCTCGCTTCATCTCGCTTCATCTCACATCGTTCGGGACTGTGTTGCATACGCATAGGCACGTGTCCGTGGCTGATCCTTGCGTTGCATGCATTTGCTTCTTTTATCCGATCTGCTGCCAGTTGACATCAATCGACAGAGCTAGAGCCGGTTGCTGGGGGAAGGTCTCGTGCCATCTGCGGGGTTCAACGGATTATTCAAGGTGACAACATTGACAACATTCAGCATTGTTACCATTCAACCACCGTTAACAGAATTCAAGGCTCAAAATTTCACGGCTAGAAGTCCTCGTCATCACTTCAAATTCCAGATAACTCTCATCATGGCCGCATCCGTCCCCGTCGCCAGCTCCCTTGCTGACATCTATCCGCCAACCGCCTTGGCCACGGAAGCACCGAGATGGAGCAGTTTGCTGTCCTCATTCGAGGAAGCCTACGGTCACAAAGCTGCTTTTGTTGCCCGTTCCCCTGGGAGAGTCAACATTCTCGGCGAGCATATCGACTACTCGCTATACTCAGTCTTGCCCATGGCCATCACGGCGGATTCCATCATGGCCGTATCATCAACTCCCACTGCAAAAGGTGCCTCTACATTTAAAGTAAGGCTTGCGAATATGGACAAATCGAAGTTCGCCGCAAGCGAGTTTGATGTGCCCGCCGATGGCGACGTCGAGATTGACGCCTCAAAGTTTGAGTGGACCAATTACTTCAAGAGTGGACTGCGCGGTGCTCTGGCACTGCTTCGAAGAAAGCACGGAAAAGAGTTCAAGGGAGTCAACATGGAAATCATGGTCCATGGTACAGTCCCTGTTGGCGGGGGGTTGAGTTCTAGTGCCGCGATTGTCACTACCAGTGCGCTCGCCGTCATGAAAGCTAATGGCGTAGATGCAGTGGACAAGACGGAACTGACCGAGCTGGCTATTGTAAGCGAGCGAGCTGTCGGTGTCAACTCTGGCGGGTAAGCCCTGCATCTGATGGCATGCACTGAGAGAAGGGAAAGGCTAATCCTCAAGTCCCCATAGCATGGATCAGGCAGCATCCGTGTTTTCAGAGCCAGGTTCCGCTCTGTTCGTGTCATTCAGCCCGCGACTCGAGGCTCGCCCCATCAAAATGCCCCCAACCCGCCCAGAGCTATGCTTTCTTATCGCCCAGAGCTTTGTCACCGCAAACAAGCATGTCACCGCCCCTATCCATTACAATCTTCGTGTCGTTGAAGTGAGTTTTGCTGCGGCATACCTGAATGCTGTTCTCAACCCAGCTGGAACGCGCCTACCCGTTGATGCTGGACCATTAGGTATCAGTCTTCAGGGCTTTCATGACACGTATTTTTACCACGCCAACACATCGGACTACTCTGCTGCGAAGAGCCTGACAAAAGAAGAAGAATTGGAAAAGCTTATCGCAGTCACAAGTGAGACTTTTACCCAGGAAGAGGGATACACCCGAGAGGATATCGCCAAGGTTCTCAATGTGACTTTGCAAGAACTTGAAAACCGATTCACGGCGAAAATTCCTGTCAGGGCAGAGAGGTTCATGCTGCGACAGCGAGCTCTTCACGTCTTTACTGAAGCACTGCGTGTACTGAAATTCGTCACCCTCCTAGAGCGGCCCGTCCATACCGGGGCTTCGGATACATCGCCCTTCAACAAAATGTTGGGAAGTATCATGAACGCGACTCAGGACTCTTGTCGTGATCTCTATGACAACAGCTGTCCGGAGAATGAGGAAATCTGCCGGATTGCCCTGGCAGCTGGGTCCTACGGAAGTCGTCAAACTGGAGCTGGTTGGGGCGGGTGCTGCGTTCATCTGGTTTCAGTGGATAAGGTGAAAGATGTGAAAGCAGCATTGGAACGCGAATACTACTCCAAATTAAAGCTGTCAGAGGAGCAGAAGACCCAGGCAATGGTCGTAAGTAGGCCAGCGGGAGGCAGTGCCTTGTACATGGTTGGTGATGCCTTGAGGAGCTGAACTTTTACGTCTACAATAAAGCCTGTTCAGCCGAAGACTTTTACATTGCCGGGCGAAGACCAAATATTCGATTATTGTTACTTGGATGCTCAAACTTAAAAGCTGCCCGAAGCCATTCAAGGACGTCATAAAAGCCAACGTAACATTCAGCAGTAGCCTAGTTGAATGCCTCAAAGTCGTGGGAGTCAGCATAGACGAGGATGCCTGCTCGACCTTTCCGATAACAAATGAGGAATAATTCGTAGCAGAGGCAAGGTAATATAGTTTATGCACTGTCACATCTTCGTATAATTCCAGCGGATACCTAATCGTTTTTCCTTATCAAAGCACAGCCTCGTGACTTCATTTAGAAGGGTACCGACATCTATTTCAATGCTTAGTCTCAATGCTCCAATAGTCTCGCTTGTGTAGATTCGGGAAAGGTGTTTCAAGTAACCTCTCCAAATATTAGGCGATCTCGATGCGACGAGTGAGCCACAAGCTGGAATGAAGCTAATAGGATGCCTCATGGCTCCTCATACATCACCCAAAGGCAATCCATCTGGACGGCCGTAGTGGCCGGGAGAGGCGTCTGCCTTTGAGTCCGCAGTAACTTTTACTTGCACTATAAAGAGGAGTAGCGTATACTAGTTGCGAAGCCCGAACAAGAAGGCAAAAGCTGCCCACGTGCTGTTCAGAAATGTAACGCGTAGTTACACCCTAGAGTGACCTTAGAGACGTCGTGACGACGGCGGATTTTGCCGATGAAGCGTTCCTCTTCGTACGAGATATCTCGATGGGATGTGGAATGAGATGGTATCCGCAATGCGCAGCATATCCAGGTGGAAAGGTTCAAGATGATAGGGAAAAAATAGGTCCGGAATTTAAACCTCGAACGCACAATGTATTAAGTTATTTAAGTTTCCCATGTAAGTAGCAAGCTCCTTGCTCTGTCTTCTAGCACGTTGGCATGGCATTGTCCATGTCACCAAGGTCGACCGGAGACACCGGCCGAAGAAAGTGGGCCCCGGAAGGCGCTCTCCGGGCCGGGCTCCCCTTTTTTGACGTGTTCTCGACTCTGTCGTGCGTGTTAGAGTTGCACAGTACACAGGGGTTATTAACACACAAAGGAATTCGGCTATGCCATCTTCCCTGTGGCGGTTGGTTATCATCCAGATACAGATACGGAGCGGCGGAGGAACCCGACTGTGCGTTTCTTTCCGAGTCCTGCCGCAACGCGTCTTGAGCGGTCTGGTGAGGTACCCGATCTGGTCAAGGTAACTTTTTGCCCCCTTCTCCTCCTGATTCTCTGTAACATGCAGGAGGGAAACCTATGCATCTCTTCATTGGGCAGGCCACTGAGACAGTCCAGAAGCGGCGTGTACTCTCACATGGTGCGGTAACAACAACCAAGAGGGAATTCGGCTGCATTTTCCTCTTGTACTTCTTTGATCTGTTGAGGAATTGGCTTTCGGGGAATAATGGTCATGCAATGGGGTGAAGATGCCGACAAATGGCAAGGAGGCAGCGTGCATGGGTGATGCTTCACAAGCCGCGGACATTGATATAAGACTAGATTAAACTTTGGCCAACTGCGCGGTCTTAAACAAGACAATAACAGCCAGGCTGAAAAAGCAACGAGATGGAAGGAACACGGCGGTTTGGACGACGAAAGGGGGGATTCTCCCTTGTCCCTCCCGCATTGCCAAACCGAGGACTCCGAGAAATGTTGTCAGTATCATCTTCCCGGCTGGCTGCGTCCCGGCGCAGTTCTTCCCCCCACCGCCACGGAATCGCTTGCCCAGAATCGAGTGTAGATGGTGGTCTCGGCAGTTTACGGACGCTGATCTGGGGCGTATGTACGCAATACGGAGTCCAAGTCCCTAATTCGTAGACGGCGGCTCTCCCCCTCTCGATCTAGCCCCTTTGGAATTGTAACAGGTCAGACGATAAGACGATTGCGGGTTAAATGACGCCAATGACAGCCCGGAGGTTCGTGGGGGCGGAAAAAAAAAAACAAGCACGCAGTGAGTGATGAAGGCGGAAGGGAAGACCATGGAAGAAAACGGATCACGGAATACTGAGCCTGGGGAACATACATATTGGGGGCTAGACGATGGCTTGGTTCGGCTAGCTGGGCATGGTGTCAGCGGTTTCGAGAACGGGTTTCTTGCTCCCTCACTGAATCATCCTTGCTTGTCTTAAACTATGGGGGCAAATTTCGACGTTTTGTTTTTCATTTTGGTTGGGGGTTCCTGTGCGATGTAGATTGCATCGTGATTTTCATCTCGGCGGCAGGCCGTCGTCACCCGCGGCGCAGAGAAAGCCTAGATATCACTGTTACCGGTGGTGTATGTCCGAGGGGTTTGTACTGGCACTAGACTCTTCGAGACAAGAGACGCATACACACGGAGAGCGACAGAAAGACAAAAGGGAAGAAGGAAACAGAGTTGTGATAGTATTTGTTTGTATATTGTTTGTATAAAGCATCTGTAACTCGCCCTCTCTCTCCGCACAGGATGCTGCGTACTCTGCACTCTTGGGGTTTGTTTGCACAGGCAAAAGGACTGTGGAATGTCCCGCCATCTCGCCCCTTGCCTTCTTCTATAGTCTATTTAGTCTCCATCTAGTTGAACCCCTCCCGTACGTCATGTTGCTCCGTATGGGTGGACGTGCCATGCCTGCCGGCGGATTGGCTGGGCTCCCAAGTCATCGTCACGGCTGAAGGCGGCGGCTTGAACTTCCCAATCAGACAGACGCATGGCGATCCCTTGTTCGTTTTATTCTCTTCCCACTTCCCGACGACGGACGGTCAGCCGCAAGGGGTGGCGGGACAGGGCATGGTTTCGGTGCCTGCGTGTGCACGTACAGACTCGGGAGTATGGAGTAGTATTAGCAGTTGGCTCATGTCTCCCTCCCTGTCATGCCATATCATTCATCCATGGCTTACATGTCTGGACTCTGGAGTCTCACCAGCCGGAATCGCAGACGATGAATGACGACGCTCTAGTTTTGCCTGCATTGCGCGGCACGTATGCCAGTTGACGCCTTGAATGTACGGCCTGTCTCGCCTCAAAAAGCTTGTCTCATTATTGCCAAGCTGACAGATCAGGGCTGGGCCACAGGGCCGGCCGCAGCAGAGTTCAGAATTCGCCATGCGCAACAAGCAAGCGAAGCTGGCTCGTGATCCATGATGGTTGCTCGAGCCAAGCTCGCTCCCCTTTTTCTTTTTCTTTTTTTTCCTTTTTTCCATGAACAAGAGTCGATCTTGGCATAACAGATTACGATAATCTGTTCTTTGTCGTCGAGATATCCGCAGCCAAGAGCGTCGTCAGCCAGCAGTTTGCGAGGTCGGCTGCCTGCCCGTACCCCAGGAATGACCATGTGCTTGATGGGCATCCATGATTCTTCGACCCAGTCAACGTCGGTGTCTGCAAAAAAAAGCAAAAGGCTTGGCTGCACAAGACCCGTGCGTATCTCACGACAGCGGCACTTTCCGAGCCAACCTGCTCAAGCGCAAGGGCGGTCGTGGCGGCTGCGTACTTTATTCCTGTGGCTTGATCATCTTCCATTCAGCGGTAGGAAGTCTATCACTTGGGCCATGGTCTTGACCAGTGGCGCTTGTCGCTTCTGGTCAAGTCAAGCGCAGCTAGTATGGCTCCGCGGTTCCATCGTCGCTTTGGCGGCATGCAAGTGTACTGGAGGGAGTAGCCCTACGGCCCTTCCATGGGGTGGAATTTTACCCTGTCAAATCTAAAACTGGCATATAGCTTTCCTTGGTGTTTATGGAGAGGGGGAGGGAGGAGAAGAAGAGGAGGAGGAGACAGAGGCGGAGGAGTTGCAACACGTGAGCATCGACGCGGTGGAAACTCTTTTATGCTCATCTCCGTCAAGGCTCTCCCGTGCGATCTCGATGCTAGTGCAAGCCTTGCATTGTATGATACGCAGAAAGATGGGAGGCTTTCAAAACGGGCTTGGTCATCCGCCGCCTCAGCTTCTGTCCCTGGTAGATGCGTGTACAACGGCCGGTGAACCCAATTAGACGGACGGTATGAATGATGAGTAGCCCACGGCGCGCGAAAACCGAGAACAGAAACAAGAGTCACTCGCATTCTATCCAATGGAGCAGGTCTCAACGGTGCGCTCGTATCGCTCTCTCTCTCGTCGTCACCTCTCTCACACACGTGAGCCTCTACGCAGCCGGCGCATAGCGATCAGACATCCAAGCCCTTGAAGAGACTCCTCCGAGTATCGTCACAGGCTTGGCATGTCAGGATGACTGACCAGAGATCAAAAGGCTCAAGGAAGCCCAGCTGCTTCTCCACGAGACAAGATTGGCCCGCTGGATAGTGCCCACATCTCGATTTATTTCGTTTTCGGTAAGGCTGCGGCCCGTCATCATGGAAGATGGCGTCCGCATCCAGAGAGCTCGAGCTGGGGGCTGGGGGTTGGGAGCGGCTGGACGGCTGAAGCGGCAGATCTTGCCTCGAAGGTTCATCGGTGACGCGGCAGCAGCGCGATCTGACGCTTGGGGCAGCGGTCCAAACGGGGGCTTTGGATTCGCCACTGCTCAACAGTCTCTTTGCTAGGAAGAGAGTTGAGTGGTCCGGCTGGGCGCCAGCAAGGCAAGCCGAGATATCCTCCTGCCTGCCCTCGTGGTCCCGGTTTCGTCATGTCTTGCTCTTGGGATGTTCGTTCATCACACTTGAGTGTTTGTTTTGAGGATGAGGGTCGATCCGGGGCCTGATCGGGCCACGTTCTATTGCATTGTTGGTCTGAACCTCGGAAGGGGGCTTCATGAATGGCTCGAACCAAGTACCGGAACCCCATCCGCAAGGGCGGGATACTACATACTCCTTCATGCCATTCCCATCTAGAAATTGTGGTTTTTGTCTGTTACTTGTGATGATATCCAATGCCACAGGAGCAACAGGTGGGCGTCACCGGGGCGGTATAACATGGTTCGCGCTATAGCCTCTGCACGGGGCACGTATGTACACGGATGGAGTACGCCGGGCCTTTCACTCTCATGGTTTGTGAATCCGGAAATGCCGGCGACCGGCACAACGGGATCAAGAGCCCAGGGGGGAGGGAGGCGCAGAGACGCGAGAATGAGACACGAGGCGCTGCTGCAAGTCCCATCGTCGGCTCTCAACCGGCGTTGGGCCTGGAGAAGCCGGAAGAGCGGTGTCTCAAAGTCGAGTACTGACATGATTAAAAATAAGCTTGTTGGTCCAAAAGAAGCGGCAAGGCGAGCTCAGAGCAAAGCACACATGGACGAGTACGAGTCGGCAACGGAGCGCCAGACTTTGCGATAACGAGTGAGCAAATGGCCCTTGTCAGACAGGATTATACCCATGGCAATTTCCCCCCCCCTTTCAAATCAACCACCCTTGTTCATCTCCCCCGTCCCGAGCAGACGGCTGTCCGTGGCTCTTGGGGCTTAAAAACAGGGGCAACACGAGCGCAAGAGAAATAATACCAATAAGGGGTCGTCAGTGGTCACTCTCGGGCCCCTTAATGAGCGTGGCCACTGGTTACGGTAAGATAGCATAGTTCGTACGGAGTGCTCCGTGCTTGGCAAGGCTATGAAAGCCTTGTAAAAGACTGACGAAGACTCGGTACCTCGACGGCTTTGGCTCTTGTCTGCGCCGGGACAGAGAGTCCATCCACCACGCGGCCCTCTTTTTTGCCTCGTGTGGCCCCCAAGCACCCGCTGGGTCTGGGAGGCATTATCCTTTGTGCGTGCCAGCAAGTGTCTGTTGTATTTAGCCCGGTGAGAGAGGAACGGAGCCGTGAGGTGCAACATTGCTCGGCACTTGCATTGCGCGAGTCTGCAGGAAGCACGAGTCCGTCTCCCTCCTCCTCGCGCAGCAACCGGACGCGTCTTTAGACGGCCATGCAAATAGACTACAGAGGAATCCTTAGACGACTGAGAGTACGGAGTAGCTTGCGTACGTACCATGGTCATGAGCGAACAAGCGCGCGCGCCCTGCTGGCTTGTGGCTTATGTGGTTCTTTTCCTTTTCGCTGACTACCCTCTCCCCAAACACCACAAGGCGACATCTGCTGGGCCGCGAAGCGCTCTAGAGGCAGAGAAAACGCCGTTCCTGCACACGCGAATGATACATGCCCAGCAGTGCTGAAGAGTGAGTTGTGGGATGCTTCGTTGCCCGATAGATGGCGACCTCTTCACACCCCCCCTCCTTTCGTCCTCCACAAACAACTCTGCAGGGTCGTTTCGTCCCATGTTGACATTTCAGCCTTGATCAGTCCCACAGCTTTCTCCGAGTCCCCGGCTCTTCAGCCCGCAGCAACCGTAACCGTCTCATTTTTGCTCGGGTCGGTCGCGACGTGGGACGTAGGGCCTGGCATGTGGGCTGGCTTGCTTCTTCTCCCTCTTCCCATACAAACTCGCCGTGTCTTGGGCCTTGGCTGGCCTTCAGCCCAGTACGACAGAGTCGCAGCAAGTTGGAAGTTTGCTTGCAAGCATCACCACAACCTCACTGCCCGCCGTCTCGATGCAACCGTCTTGTCCGGCGACCGGCCAGTGTCCTCCGTAAAGCGCCAAGGAAAAGCCTGTCAATGTCAAGGTGGAACCTTCCGGGGTCCGTGTCTGGCTCTCCATCTCATTGTTTACCCGTTGGAAGACCACCTCCCGCGCTTGTCTCAAGTTTCAACTCTCAGGCCCTTGCCTCTTGTTGACAAGAGCAATGGGGAAAGGGACAGAGAGAGACAGAGACAGAGACTGAGACCGAGACAGAGACAGCAACGCCTGACGCCACAAAAGCCGCTGGTTGGTTGTTGTCGTACTGCTAGTAACTTTGCATGTACGATCAACCACTCTATACATAGTCTATACTCCCTACTCCGTACATGCTTTCCGTACTACTCACTTACTAACTTGTCAGTTGACAAGTGACAAGTCCCCCATGCCCGTACAAGCTAGGGAGAACTAGCTGTAGTAATTGCTCCATACTTGCCGAAACCGCAACGAACTACCAAATAGTTAGTTGTCTCTGCCCTTCCTCCAGCTCCCGAGCCCGTGGGCTGGCTCCTTGTTGGCTTGCTGACTTGCCTGACGGCGTTGCTTGCCACACCCCCATGCGAGATGGACCATCACAAACCTGGCTCTGCTTTGGCCCCAACCGGAATTTCAACCTAGTTCGAGAATTCAGGCTCCTTCCCGCAATGGCACCTCATTATTGCTCGCCTGGTTTCATCACCTCTCGCCAAACTCAGCATGTACTTCGTCATGCCCCATGCTCGGGGCTCGAGCAGAAAAAAAAAAAACACCACGGCCACCAGACTGACTACTTAAGGTAGGTCCAGATGGCCAGGAAAGGACATGGAGACGCAAGACACACTCCCCCTTCTCCACTTCCAGTAAAACATCGAGGCTTCAGCAGCCCGCGCCGCCGCACGGGACAGCCCATGAGCGGATGATCCGTAGTGGTTATTAACTTACTACTAGTAGTGACGAGATTGTTCCTGCCTCGGGGCCTTCTCCCATGGGGTGCCGCAGACTGGTTCCGAGTACATGGTTCACCGTCGCTTCAACGGTTTTCGTAGCAGACCATCTATTTCTGTGCTTGCTGAGATCTCGCTTCTCGCCTCCACGGGGCCGTGGCCGTCCCTCCAAGGGCTGACGTCTCTCTTTCATATCAGCAGAAGTAGCTTGTGCCGACTCCGAGCCACGCGACAAACCATAAAGACTCCCATCTTCCCTCCCCCTCTGGTCAATTCCACGACTTGGATCAGATCCCTTCCGTTTGTTCATGAGCTTCAAGTATAACCCAAGAGGCTTATACATAAACACACGAGGCTCGTTCCAGTCCACGACAGCCACCCAAACAACACCCGGTCTCTTGAAGCCTCTTCACCACCGTCTCTACCAAGTCCAAAACCGAGGGAGGGAAAAGTTCTTCCTCACACAGTCCCTAACCTGCTTCTTGTTTCTTCCCCCCTGTGTCGTTTACATGACAACAATATAGACTACATCCTTTATATTGATGATTTCACAGCCCGACTACCTCGCAAGGTGTTCCGGTCTTGACCAGGGTCTCTACAGGTCCTGTAGAAACCGGGCTGCCTCCGGACCTATTAGCTAAGACCTGTCTTACTACTCTATACACTCCAACAACACCTGGATCTAGAGTCGGACGGCCATGATTATGTCCCCGGCCTCGAGCCCATCTTCCATGATGACCCCAGAGTCGGATACAGGAAGCCCTCTATCCATGTCGCCCTCTATCCACGTCTACGACCCTCGGGCTGTAATCCGTCAGCTACTGGAAAAGTACACCAAGGAAGACCTGAACCGATTAGTGGAGGAGGAGTCGTGTGTAAGCCCATCCGGTACGTCTGTGCCTTTCCATCTTGTTTGACCTTCCTTCTTCAACTCTCTGGGACCTCGGAACCTGGAACATGGGAAATGGGACATGGGACATGGCACTTGGAGCCTGGAACCTGACTCTTCATTTATAGTACAAGGTCAGCTCCCGGAAGGAGGATTCACCGGGCCCCTTTTTGGCCCGGACAGAGACGGAATACAGAGTCGGACCACGCATCAAAGCCAAGGCCCGAGGCCCGGCCGCTCGCTCTCAAGCAACGCAGCGTCACACAGGTCACGGCGGCAATCTACGGCGGAGCGTGGAAGCGCAGTTGTTCCCATGGCCCAAAGGCTCGACTACGCCTGTGGGTTCTGCGCAGAGGAGAACATCCGAAAGACTTGCACTCGCCGAAATGACCTCCGACGACACATCGAGAACTTCCACAATAGCAACGCCATGTGGTTCTGCCAGCACCCCGGGTGCAGAATGGCCTACGACTGGCAAACGGCCTACCAGAACCATCTTCGAACGGCGCATGGGCGATCGCACATGAACGTTGACGAGGCCAAGGTGAGGCTGTGCCCCCAGACAGTATTCGCTTGCGGGTTCGAGAACTGCACCCAGGTATTCGAGGCACCCAACGAAGACGACACCGCGGCAACGCTGAAGGAGTACTCGGGCCACATCGTCAAGCACTTCGAGGAAGGGTCCAACGGCGGCCGCTGGACCTACTCCGCCAGAATCCGCAACCTGCTGCGGCAGCACCAAGTCTCGGCGTTTTGGGACAAGGCATGGCCGGACATGGAGAGGCCTCAGCTCGAATGGGAGCCGCAGTCGAGCATGGCCGCTCGGAAGACCCTCGAGGCCGCCCACCTCGAGAACCTGCCCTTCTTGATCCGTTCCATCATCATGCTGGGATCCAGCCCCGGGGACTTCGGCAGCCTTGAAGGCGAGCTCGAGCCGCCGGTGAGGAGGAGGTGCCCCAAGGCTCAGTTCCAGCACAGGCTGTCGTTTGAAGCCCACGCGCGGAGCCCACAGCTTGCCGCGGAACGGGACAGCATGAGCCAGTTCGAGGTCTCTGGCGGCATCGGGGTCGAGTATGGGCCGTACGCCAACATCCAGCCGGGCTACCATGTGCCTCGCTCGATCGAGCTCTTCGCCAACGGTGCTGAGCAGACCGTGGGCCAGGGTCAAGTCCAGTTCGCCGACGCCGCCGCAGCATCCTTGCACCCGTTGACTCCGTCGCAGTTGTTCTACCAAGGGGCAGCAGAATCGGCCTTGTACGGTCCGTCCTCCTCGCAGATGATGTCCACGGCCTTGACGCCACATCGCATTGCTGTAGGACAAGACGCCGAGCCGGTCGCGAGCCCGACGGGGGTCTTCCACGGAATACACCAAGTGTCGGGCATTCCGGGCGCCATGGACGTGGACATGAACAACAACGGCAGCAACGCGCATGCGCATGCTGCTGGCGCCGTCTGCGTCTCCAACGACCGGCGTGGCAACTGGATGGGCAGCTATGCGCCCATGGGCATTCACAATTCACTGCCGGCAGACGGGTATGACATGAGCAGCAATCCGGTAACCCCGGAGCACAGCCTCATGGCTGGACGGTACGGATCACCGGCAGGGTCCCTATGAAGCAGAGTGGAGCATACACAGAAACGAAACTCTGCCGACGTTGACGAGTGTTTGCTTCGGCACAAAAACCGTGTAAGTCGGGGCATCTTGAACCGGCAGTCCGTCTCCACCATTCAACGTCTTGTCATCCCAGGCATACGCACTGCTGCTTATTGAGCTGCCGGTGATGGTTGCCAGGAAGCCCGACGGAGGCCTCCCTTTGGTCCATGAGACACCATTCACGGGCCATTGGGAAAACACGGGGAGCCGGCAACGGGGGAGGGTGATACAGCTCCGAGTATGGCGACGGCGTTGCGGCGTTCAGTGATTAGTACCATTTGCGGAGTATGATAGCAAGAGTAGCGTCGGGTTTGATACCCTATCAAGGAAGGAATATGTGGATTGGGGGGGAAGGGACTTTGCATATAGAGGGAAGCAAACGATACAAGATTAGTAGACAGGAAGGCTCCCAGAGCTACGCAGGCTCGACCGGCCGTTCCAAGATGAAACACGCAGGGTTGCGTTCACCAGCCGTGAAGTACTACAGCTCCCTCCGTGCCTGGAAGTCTGTCCGTCCAGACTCCAGAGAAACAACGCCAGGTTACGCGTTTCAACCCAATGCGACGCTGGACAGCCCTAGGGACCGCAGGTCGGAGATGCAGCGACAGAGCGGTTGCGTCCGTGTCGGTTGGAGCCTCGGGTCCGTCGAGACGCCTCGACGCCCCTAGCTGGCCATTATTGCTCCGCACAGCAAGCACTTTGCGAGTCATGGATCGTGGCAATGCGGAACGGGGCACAATCATTTCACGCTTCACTCATCAAGTGGCGTTGGCACTCCCGCCGCGATGACGGATGACCAAGCGAGTCTCCCCGGCAGGCAAACCGGCGGGCAGGGAGGGGACAGGGCTTTCCGGAGATTATGAACGGCCATTAGCTCCGTACCGACCTTTGAATCACTTTGACAGTACGGAGTATGGCTGGGCGCATATTATATTATTGTTACCCTTTACGGACTCCCTTGGGCCGGCGCAACCCTTGTACGTAGACGAGCGGCAATGCCACATGCCTTGCCTCCCGTTTCGAGTGACCATTGCGGCAGGCAGGTCACCAGGGGCCAGCCCGCCATGTGGGCGGTGCCGGTTGAAGGTTCAAACTTGACATGGCATGTTCATGTTCCATGATGCATCCCGGTTCGGTTCCGCCCCCGGTTCCGCGGCGGAGTCCGGGAAGTTGGGGGTTCGGGACGCTTGGGCTTGGGCTTGCAAATGTTTCGCAAACCAGACACACAAGACAGAGAGGAGTAGGCGACCCTTTCCAAAAACCAACAGGGCTGTATCCATCCCGGGGGACGAGACGCTGGCTCAAAGCAGTATGCCCGTGGGACCCTCCCTCGTTTGCGTCTGCCGGAGATGACGACTCGTTGGCGTCGACGCAGCAGCAGAGGCGGCCTTGTTTGTTGTTTGTCTGCAGCTTGAAACCAGGGCCCGTGCTCTTTTTCATCAACCTGGCTTGGTGGCAGAAGGGCTTGTCCAAATACTGAAATTGTGTTTCCGCACCTTCTGTCTGTGTAGACACGTCCCCTCATGTACCGTGATGCCCGAACGGCACGATACTCGAGAAGCCGTCTATTATGAAATAACAAGGACACGTTTCTTTACCTGAGTGGGATACAGTTCCCTACGCAGAGGAACGCAACCCCAGTCAAATCTCCCATTGTCAGTACGTGCTATCGCCGTGTGGCCTGCCTCCCCATTCACGTCTAAACATGCTCGGCTATCGACCGGCTAAGCGACTCGTACAATATACGAGGACTTTGCAATCGGCTGATAGTTGCCTGGTTTACGTCGAAGTTGAAAAGAAGCCTGGAATTCCGCCGCGGGCTCGGGTGTTGACGCCACCAAAAAGTTTCTTGAATCCATACGTACAAACTTGGCCGCAGCACCAGATCGCTTTCGAGAGCAGAACCCATTCATTATCTGATTGGCCCAATTCCAGATTCGTCCAGCGCTCGCATCCCCTGGGTTTGCGTCGTGACTACATTACGTCACAGAGCTCTAGTGGCCAAAGGTTCCGAGCTTTGGCAAGCCACTCACTCGCCTTGCGTGTCCCGCCCGCCAGCGATTTTTACTGCTTCGGTGCCTCGCGGCAAGCCATGTGCCGAGGCGGCTGTTTGGACGAGATCCGCGGCGGCGCTCTCCTGTTTGCCAAAGGACAGTCGACAGCGCTGGGTTGTGTAAGCTGCTTGGCACGAGGCTCGACGTTGGGGCAATGTCATCAAACCACCCGTCGTTCCCCTGCGAGCTTGCTCTTTCCCAGGTGATGGCCAACACTTTCAGAGACGTGTCTGCTGTTGGGCTGTTCATGGTTTATCTGTAGATGTAGCTGATGTTGGTTCCATCATGGTGTCAACCAAAGCCGCCGTCGTGGTGGCGATGGTCGTTCTCTCACCGACTTCTTTTCCGAACGTTGAATCAAAGACGAGAAGAGAAAAAGTCAGGGCGCGTACGGGCTCGGCTCCAAAGTCGTCAACGTCGTCATGCGCATCTACAACTCGGTCCTTGTGCTTGGAAGTTTCCCACCTAGGGTTTCGAAGCAAAACACAAAGTCTCTTCCTGCAACCGCAAACTCCTGGCCGCCGGTTGATTTTGGAAACGGGAAATTCCAAGGCGCTCATACCCCCCTTCCGTCGATGTCCGCCAGTATCCAGCCGGAGAACATCTGTTGATGAGCGCAAAACCGTTCCGAACATCAGGGAAGCCCACAGCCAGGATTTCGACTTCCTTCCCAGCCCGTAGAACAACGTCCTTTCGAGGATGCTCTTGTACCGATCGATCCCTGGCAGCTGGCTCTACGAATGCTGTCTCGGCCATCTTCCAGATTGATCCTGCCCGACAGATCAGACCAGTTGGCAGAACAGAAGCAGAAACCACACCGAGTACGACCTCAATGCTCTGTGATACAATCCGCCCCCTCGACACAATTGGATTCCGTACAAGTGACGAATCAGATGACACAGCCGTGAAAGCACCGTGACGGGTTTCAGCTGCCGCCGTCGCGCCCGTCACGTCATTGACCTTTGCATCGCGTAGACTCCCTCCGCCGCAGCTGAGATGCTCATGGGAATTGACCCCGAGCAGAGAGGTTTGGGCTTGCCCGACCTTGAAACCGGCTGAGAGACCGCTACAACACAAGCCACCGTTGTACCGCTGCCGGAGATGTCATGCCTGCTGTGCTCTCGTCAGACAGGACGAGATGGAGGCAAGGAAAAGTCGACTCGCGATTGTCCTGTAGAATTGCTATTGTAAGAGATGCCAAAGTAACAGGTCACATGGAGCAGACTGGGGTCCTGTTCAGACGCTCACCTCAGAGTCCGGCCGCGGAACGGCTTCGGTTTCTTTGTCCCCCTTTTCCCACCAAACGCTGCCGAGACAGGCACTGGGCTGTGTCTACGGATTCAAGGACTTGCAGCGCAACGCGAAGCGAGTTTCGCAACAGCGAGCCCCTGGAAGCACCTCGTCCGAGCTTCTGACAAGCTGTCAGCACCACGAGCTGGCAAGTCTCACGTCATACGCCGTCGCGAACACACAAACCTCGAACAGTGGTGTCAAGGCCAAGGGCACCGGCTCGACCGAGAACCAAATACATCAACTCCAGAGTCCCGGATCCTGACTCGGCATGTGTCCGGTCTGATACCTTGCTTCGGCGCGTTAGGTCACCGACTAGAATGACGAGTATTTTGCCCTAAGTTCGCGCCGGGCGATGTGGGTGGATTTCTCTTCACATGCCCGTACTGGCGCGTATGCTTGGTGTTTTGGCTGATACCCTCATCTAGGCTTTGTACTGCCTTCTTCAGCGTTGCATCTCGCGTATGCCGCCAACGCTGCGCAGCGGGAGAAGGGAGGTACAATCAAGGAACAGAGCCACGAAACAATGTGCCATTGCCGGAAGCCTTGCTTCCCGTTCCCGACCCCAGGAGCCACAGGGACTGTCCTGCGTGACTTGGACAAACCACCAGTATGTGCCGGTAGACCATGTCCAAGGCTGGTCTATCCCTATCCTCTGCCCCCGAGGCCAGCAAAAACGTCAAGTTGGTCCAGTTTCGAGAGTCGCCAATCCTCCATCTCATGGGTGAGGCTGAGCCGCTGCCACATGTAGACGTGCATCCATTGTCTCCCACGTCGTCGACAAGTCTTGTCTTGATGTTAGACGGACAGCCGTGGGGCGGGGAGAACGAAACGTCTTGCCAGCCATGACGATGATTCCCGGCCACAGACAAGAGAGACCATGAAAGCAAAAAGAAAAGGTGATACACGCTCAGGGCTGCGGGGCAGGACGCGCCCAGGCCAGAGCCATCGCTTCGTCATTCCACGCATTCCTTTCTCACACAGAGCTAGACGCCAAGCGTTATACTGGGCTTGCCGCAGCCGCACAAGTCATGTTCGTGCAAATCTCTCCATGTCACGGTGCTGGGCGGCAGTCTTGGCCAAGTTCATGGTCGCTGTCACATGGTCGTGGGATAACCTCGCTCGGATGACAGCCAAGTACCACGTGTCAGATGCCGGCCGCGTGAACAACGACCACGACACTCGCGTCACGCCCTTGGCCTCCTTGGCTGTGATTGCCGCAGACGACATGCCACTGTGGTCAGATTGCTCCAAGGGGCCTGCTAGATAGTACTGGGCGGCGTACTATCAAAAAGCGTGAACAGGCACCAGCTCCAGCTTGACACCGCGACATTCTCTCCGAGAACGCCTGGCTCGCGGTGGCGCTCGCGGTGGCGTTCTTGTCGAGGTCTCGTGTGGCTCGTCACCTTGTGCCCGCTGGTGTTGATGCGTCCATGTGCTACGTGGCGGTTAACAAAGCCCGTGGCCTAGTTACAAGAGTTCTCGCGTCATGAATGATGGAGCACGGTACCTTTTCGTGCAAACGTGTGGTTTGGCGGGGATATCTATGCTCCATTATATGGCGGGATTGTGTCGTCGATCCCCGCGGGGGGGCTGTGGATGCAAGCGCGGATGCAGTCTAAACAAGAGCATTTGGTTATTACGAAAGGTTCGTGAAGACATCTAATATAAATTCCCCTGTTATGTGGACTGCAGTTGCGACTTTTTGGTCTGACCTCGTTTTGACCCATAGCAAGAGTTATTTCCAACCAGCGTACTTTATTCCAGTGCAGTCGAAACAAGCGGTGCCATGTCTATTCTCCTCGGGGAGACCAGCAGATGTTCATCCAGATGTGGTCCCGTTCCATGTGTGGACGGTTATACGGGGAGCGGGATCACGGTCAAATGCCGGTTGAGATGCTACACGCAAGCTGCCCTAGCCATGCGTGATAGATCATTGCGCCGCCCCTGATAGCCGCATTGGAAGCCGTTGATTGATCAGGGATCAGGGTAGGGGAATGCAGACGAGCAGTTATCGTGTCGAGCTTTTAGAGCTTGGCTCATCGAGGCATGGAGGGAAGAGGCTCAATCGGAGAATGATTCCGCTCACAAGATGAACGTGCTACGATAACTTGTAAGCCACCGCTGGTTTCCCTGACGGATGCTCATCTTGTCGATTTGCAGACGAGCCACCCCGTATAGCAACTATGCAGGGCAGCTCAAGTCGTCGAGTCGACTGGCGATGCGTCTCGGGGTGCAGTCCTGATTGCAAGCCTCAACCCTGACAGCCAAAATGCGCTCTGGAAACAAGACATTGATGATTCCGTTCACGGCAACTCATGGCAGTGGATCAACTCGCCTCTTGTAGTAAGTAGGTGGTCGCGGAGATGACAATGCTCTCCCGCATGAGGAGGAGCACGCTCGTTGCCCATGGCGCATTGACGACGGAGCGGTTGACTTGACGGAGCAATGGGATGCCGAATCCAATGCATGGACCAGTGACTGACAACTCGGGTTTTAATTCATTCACCAACGTTCAACCGCCCGATAGCGCGCATTAAACTCCATGCTTGCTCGGTAATGAGGCGCCGTTTTCCGGTCCGGGGACCGTACAACTCCAAGTACTATAAATTCAGTACTTGGACAAAGCTCATGCATCAAGCGACGGCACTCGGATCTCGCTCCTACTTCAAGTACCTACAGCACAAGACGAACAGTCGGTGCCTCCTGCCGCACCGGAAAAACCTTGAAAATGACTGACCACATGACTTGTTTACAGATCAGCAGGCGCGCTCGAGGCCCAGTGGAGGGCGACGAGGCAAACGCAGACTTGGCTGCACAATTACCGAGTGGCCTCTATTGGACTGGGATTGGCAACGACGGCGTCATGTGTACAGCACTGCATGCACTGACTGCGTACGTGCTCCGTAATAAAGGAGCAGTTGAGGACGTGAGGAAAAGTGACGGACCAACCAATTGACGGCTTTGCACACTGCCCTGCTTGGCACCCTGGCACTCTGGCATCCTGGCAGCCCGCCACGCCCCCTGCATATTCGCGAGCCAGGGCTGCGTTTGATAAAACGGCGTTGCCGACGCGCTACTTTTTCATTTCTAGGAAGGCGGGAAACCCCCTCCTTCCAAAAAAATTTCCCCCCCCTTTGAAAAAAAAACCCCCAAAAAACCCAAGTACTCCCGCACAGAGTGCAGCCGTATGTATGCATACTCACGTGCCGTACTCCGTAGTCGTCTGGAATCTCAATCTAGGTCGACAGTGGAAAAAAACATACAGTTATTCTATACGGAGTACTCGCTGGCCACGCATGTTGAGTGAACTCCGATGAAAAGTGTCGACTCGCGATTTGGACGGCAAAACCGGCTGAGCGCCTGTGTGCATGACAAGCATGACGTGACATGCATACTTACTTACCAAGTACTCATCCAATATCCACGTTGGTTGACCTTGGAGTCGTGGGCGGATGTACATTGGCCGTTGGTGGGAAACACTGTCGGTGGCAGTACTCGGTACTTACGTACGCACGCACGTAAATCGTGCCGGGTGGCCAGTCAGTACGTACCTCTGTTGCCAGATATTATTAGTTCACCGTCGTCCAGTTCAGTCGACCCGTCGCCCGATGCCGCCAAGTTAAGTACCTAAGTACTTTACTCAGGTGCCCAGTCGACCTTCCTTTACGCGTCACTATCAGACTGCACCTGGTGTCTCTGAACTGCAAGTCCACACCTGTCTCGCCATCGATTCACCGTGCTTCCGTCACACGCGTTGACCCGCGTTGCCGACCTGGCGCCGACCTGGCTTGGCAACAGTAGGTAGTTGCTTGGGTGCCTACTCCGTAAAGTATCCATCTGTTCTCGCGAGCTGATGGTTCCTCAGTTGTGGGTCGGCACCCTATCCTCCGATTTTTGACGCAGGTAATAGATATAGATAGATACATTATACATGTACATCTATAGTAGTAGTATGTGTGTATCTGCTCTACTCCATATTCAAGACTATTTCTATAGTTGTATCTGATTATTTTTTATTTTTCTCCTACCCAGGCCCTTGACTACAATAGCCACACCATGACCATGACAGACTGCGACTGCGACCTTCACGAACGCGAACATGTAACAACCAGTCGACGACTTGACCGATCCAGGTCATTTAGATTCTGCAACGGAGAATGTCGTGTGGAGTAAAAAGGAGTCGTCCGTCCGTAAAGGAGATATTGCCAGGTTACTAGGGACCTAGGCAGGCAATGCTCACGTCGTTTGAAGTTGGATCGATTTCTTGCACGCAGTCTTGGCCGTGTTCTTGCCCGACTGCCCGACGCTTGCCCACCGCTCAATCCCGCGGACCCGCGTGCGAGTGCGCGGCGTCCCAGGTTAGTTGGTGGCCGCCGCGGTTAGGTAACGTAATAGTTATTGGTTGTGCCTCCTGCCTCCTGCCTCCTGCCTCCTGCCGCCTCACTCCTGCCTCTGCCCCCGGTGCTTGACACCTTGTCCACGTTTTGCCTGCCCAACATTGAATGTTTTGTCTCAACATTGAACCGCCTCTCCTGCTTGGGGGCGGAGACGACAAAACGACAAAAGAACTACGGACTACCAGCGTCACTACCTCGACTATCTCGGTAGCCAGGTACCTGGGTAGTCAAGTCAGGTACTACCGCCCACCACTCACGAGACAAAGGCCCGCATCATCGTTGTAAGCATCACTCCAAGACACCACGCAGCCAAGCATTCAGGTTCTGCCGTGTATGACGACAATCCACCTACGTCTGCTCTCGTTGTCGACGGTGGTCTGTCAGCCCGCGGCGCCCGCCTCGTCCCCTCACATTCCTCGTCTTCTAGAACAACGGCAGAAGCGTGAAGCGGCCAGCCCTGCCAGGGGGTGGGCATTCATTTTCAATCTTTACCCAAAAAGCTCGACTATAGAGCGCCATGCACCACGCTGGGCTCCAAGCAGGGAGCGATCAACAAGGATGGTTTACAGCTAATCTTACCCTGCCAGTCCAACGCGACCATACGACGACTCGAGACCAGTCGATACCCCGTGGTTGGCTGTCGGCGACTCCAGACAGAGAGCCAGATGGGGGCCGCTTTGTGAATCACCCGTTATTGCGTACCCCGTGCCATATGTGGGCTGGGCACGTAGCCATTGCGCGAGCAGTGGCTCGTCGGGGTTGTCGCGACATGGGGCTGCCCATGTCTTGCGACCAAGGCGTTTCAGAGTGCGCCGAGTCTGCGGTGAGAAATGAGTCCGTTCCTGAAACGGCTGCCCCTCCTGGTCTCCCACTGGTCTGTACCCGGTCCGCGACCGGGGCCCCATGCCGCCCATGATTGACCAAAGTACATGGTTACTACTGTCTAGTCCCGGCAGCCCTGGTCGACCTTTTTCATCAACAGACGCAACTTCCGAGAAACCAAAAAAAAAAAAAAAAAAAACCAGGTGAATCCTCTTGCTTGCTTGGTGGAGCGTGAAGAACAAGAAGAATGCGGTTCCAGCTGCCTTGTTGGCGCATGCATGTCTGTGTGTCGTCACATCAATGACAGGGCCTGGGGATGGATAGTCTCTCATCCTGCCTACAGAAATTTTAACCTTCTCCGAGGTCTTCTAGAAGCCCGCTGCCCCAGCTTTTTCTTGCCCGTCCAAGCCACTCTCATTGTCGTTGTCTGACTCTTTTCTTCTTGCGACCTGCATCCATGTTGCGACCTGCTTTCCATACTACGACTGACATCACGAGCGTCTAGGATATCCGCTGTTGCAATATCTTGCAACTTTTCGTGGCCCGTTCATTCATTCACTACAGCACCCAAGAGTCGGAACACGCTCGCAGACTCAATCCTGCGCCCGTGCGAAGCTGTCTTCGTTACTCGGCTCTCCTGAGCTCTTTGCCCGTGATTTGCGCCAGTCTCTGCGTCATCTTGTCCTCGAGACCAGGCATCAAAATCGTCGTCTCTCTCGCAGCCTAACTTCCCCCTCTTCCGACTCCAGCGTCTCCGCGCGCGGAGTGAGAGGCGGTGGCCGAGCCAAGGCTTCGTTTGGACGGAGCCTTGGACGAGACAAGTCTGGCTGACCGCGTTCTCCGCTTTGCCGACAAACGTAACTATTCTGACATTGGCGCTCGACACATTGGCTTCTTCGAGAGACTCGGGTTCGACCTTCTCCCATTGTTACGGCACCAGCCATGTTTCCATATCAGGGCCAACCACACCAAACAACTAGTGATGACGCCAACGTGCGGCCATTGACGGACGAAGACCAGCAGCAACTCTGGAGACTAGTCCAGAGATATGGGATACCTAGCCTTCTCTGTGCATTGACAGGGTCACCGTCATCTTGTAAGTTGCCTCGAGGATCCAAGGGAAGATCTCTCTGTTCAATTGCTTCCAATCAGACAAACTGACCTCGCTGATGTAGCTGGGGCCTCCACATTCTCAGCAAGCACACTTATCAGCAGCATCAGTGCGCCCTCGTTGGCCTGGACTGGCTCGGATGTATCCCACTGCAGGTCCGACGACGCTTCTATCCATACTCAATATACTTGGCCCGATGTATCCCATGATATGCAGCCGATGCACGATCCGGAACCCAGCAAAATCAGTGAGCGATCATGGTTAGACTCACCAGCCGCCGACCCCGTGCCGCTTCCTCAGAATGATATTACTTCCCATCCGTCTCCGCCGCTGCTTACTCCCACCTCAAAAAAGTATCAATGCCCCATGTGCTTCCTCGACAGTAGTCCCGTGGGCTTTGGACGCAAAAGCGACTTCAAAAAACACTTGCACAACTTCCACGGCGCTGATGTGGTCTGGATCTGTCAAAGTAAAGGCTGCCACTTGTCCTTCTCTACCGAGAGAGCGTATAGTACTCATGCCAAGGAGGCCCACAGAGTGAAAGCTTTGCCGAACAGCACAGCGCGAAAAGAGCTATGTACCCAGCTTGTCTTTTCGTGTGGATTTGCCGCCTGCAAAGACCGTTTGTTTGAATCCCAGTCCGCCGAAGACGCCTCTGCAACACGGGACAAGCATTTTGAGCACATTGCCAAACACTTTGAGGATGGTTGCGACGTCAAGGACTGGGAATACAAGGTACAGATTCAAAATTTGATGAGACAGCCACAAATTAAATCCACCTGGAAGACCTGCATTTGGCCCAAGGAGAAGAGACAGGCGCTAAATTGGCGGCCACGATCGTCCGGGGACCTCAAACGGATGCTCGAATGCCGTCACCTTGGCAACGACATCTCTAATCTGGTTCGATTGGCCTTCATTTTGGGCACAGCTCCCTTTACGTCTCCGTTTACTCCTCCGCCGGGAGAAATTGACATGTACTTCCAACTCCCTTATCGAGGTCAGTGTCCGATTACCTCGCCCGGGCACAATGTCAGCAACGCAGGAAGCCCCAAGCCCGACGATGATACTTCCTCGATTCTCACGACGACGAAGAGCCGATCAAGTCGATCAAGCATATCCCAGTCCGTTTTCAGATTGCCCAGTCGAAAGAGCAAACGATCATCCCGTCCACCAACTCCAGCTGGTATTGTTGGCCTCAATAGCACACCCGCCAACTCTGCCGTCAGCGTTACGAGTGCACCTTCAAGCGGCCCTAACGGAAGTATTGACACAGTCATGGGCGAGGACTTGCCCAGCGGCCCTCACCCCGGAACGCCATTTCCGATCCCTGACGAGTCTGTCTGGCCAGTCGACGCTCCGAAGTTTGCTCCTGAAGCACAACAGGAACCGCCAAAGCAAATCAACAACGCAGCTGTTGACGGCCCGATGATGTACGCAATGCAGATGGAGCAGAATCCCCACCAGTCTTGGTGCGCCATGGAGTCCTTTGGTGCCTATTCGCCACAAGTTGGTATGCAACCTGGGTTATATGACTACACAATGAATGCGAGTCAAGCATCAACGGTTCGGCCAGCAACTCCTGTTCCTCACAAGCGACCAGCTTCGTGGAACCGAGTGGTGAGCGTGGAGAGTCTTCGACCAGCCAAAAAAGCAACCCTGCATGAGAGCATTCCGCCAGAAATGGTACCTACAATGCTGGGCATCTAGGAGATGTTGGATATGGTTCGCACACCCACGCCGTTCATGGACACTGTTAATGAAATCTTGGCAACTCCCGCGCAGTCGTCCAAACCCTACGCTTTTACATTTTATCTACATTGTTATCTGGACATGTCCTAATATTTTGAACTCCTCTCCGCGCCCGCTAATGGACTACTCTATAATCAATTCACCGTCAAGTCGGGGGTCAGTATTGATTTTGGCAAGTGCTTTTTTTCAGCCTTTTTTTTTTTTTTTTTTTTTTTAATTTTTTTTTGAATACAGTCATTCTCTCTGTGCCTCATACTCACGCCCCCCCAGTGTTATACACGTACAGATGACCTTTAAAAGTCAAGAGGAAGCATGCATACCTAATACGCACAGTTCATGGTTGTTGGAGCGTGAGCACCTGCTTGAATTTGGCACGTTTCTTTTGTATCATTACTACACGCGTAGTCTTTTACCTGTCCTTTATGGCTGTCTTGTTTCTAGTCTTTTTATTCGATTTCTTGAGATACCATGAAAATCGCTTGGTCATGGGCTTGGACGCGAGACATGCACAGAAGGGATTTAGCGAAGATACCAATTGAAGCAGCGATGGGAGCTGTGGGATAGAACAGAAGGGAATAATCACGTTTCGAGTGGTGGCCAAGGACAATAGGTGGGTGCTTTTCTTACTAGGCCGTTGCAGCCGCGACTGCGATGGACAATAGTTGGTATGGATGAGGTACTGGCGACAGACGGTCCTCGACCTAGATGTAGAACGTTGGTATATACAAGCCGCTTGAGTCTAAACACATGACATAGTCACGCCACAACTTTTTTTCGAAACTTGCTCTTTACGTGGACATGTGAAACGCGTGCGCATCACTATCGATGCCAGGCTCTACGCACAAGTGCACCGCCAGACGGGCATGCGGGCACGGTCAACCTCACGCTGCGTACCGCAGCCCTTCTCGGGAAGTTGTTTCCCCTGCAAAGCAAGCATGACTTCTATAGCCCGGGTAATGAGTACGGAGTAAGGAGCCCCGAAATCGCAACCGAGGTGGGTCGCGCAGAGGCTGAGACCGCAACGACGGCTGCAACTGCCCATGTAACATGACTGTTTGATGAGGAACGAGAAATGGGCAATTCCCCTCGGCTAGCATCTTGCACTCGGCTAGCATCTTGCCCCGCAGTACTCTTGACCATGTGCTTTTTTTTTTTTTTTTTTTCTAAATCTGAGTGGTGTGTCTAGCGATACTGCAGGACGAGAGGTCAAAAAGGTCGAGGCCACTCCGGCAAGTCGTTGATGGTGCGTTGTTCATTAATGGCCGACAGGCACGTGGCGGAGGGGTCCCAACGTGATTGGATGGAGGAGCGGCCAACCACGGCAGTTGCTGCACGGCAGTGGACGTCTAGACCCAAGAATCGAGGGCGCACATGATGGCGATGTACTCCGTAGTGGTGGCTGGACGACTGAACTCAATGGCATCCAGTCCTCTAGATGCGTAAAGTCAACGTCGAACCATCGGTTGACCCGACCCACCCATTCGCCCGCGCCCTTTACCCCTAGGCCGTGGCCATCTCTCTACGTCGCGATTCCTGCTGCCAGCTCCGACGTCGCGAGGCCTCCGAGGCCTTGAGAGTCCCGTCTTCTGCTCCGTGAGTGTGTGCTCTTTATCCGTCAGCTGCCTTCCCCCCGGCATCGGCCGCGTCTATGCAACGAACCAACTTGAGCCAACCACGATTACTCTCAACAGCCGTCAACGAACCAACTTGAGCTAACCACGACACTGTCATGCTCAGCTGCAGTACTCGGGCCACTTGCCAATTCAACCTGAATGGCCGGAACGTCGCACACTGGCATTTCAAGCATATACCCTCGGATCTTCTCGTCGTGTCTTGTTTTTTTTTCCTGGTTTTTTATCATCATATCGACGACCACCGGCGGAGTTTATTGTGAATTTGACACGGCCGTGCGCGCACGTATTGGAGTCATGTCACCCCTCGAAAAGTAACCAGTAACCAAGTTGGTGAGCCACTGGCGTGAAGTTGAGCAACCGCCCTGTGTAAGTAGCGTAGCATTAAGTACACAGGCTCTTGAGAACCAACGGGGCGATAGAGGAGAAATTTATACCGAGTCCGCTCAATACGGATGCGTGCCCATGTCTGACATGGCTGTGATGCAAATGTCGTCGAGCAGATACCTATGGACATGTTTCATGATTTGAACCCTTTGCTGATGTTGTCCTCGCGCCAATGAAGACTCCCGGGACACAGGCTCGCAGCAAAGGTTATTTACACACAGCATGACCGGCCCCATCTTTCACGAGGCCCAGACGGCCTCGTTGTCTTCGGGGGGACAGGGCATCAAGTCCCAGCCCACTTCGCAGCCCTCGATCTCGGCACTGTGCCTCACGGCCGTCAAGGTGCCCCATGCTGTCTCGGTCGTGACCAGCGTCTCGGCGGGAACATTCTCGCCCTTGACATAGTCACTGACGGCGAATCCGGTCGCGCCGGGGTACTGGCCCAGGCTGCGTAGATACTTCATGGTCCCGGCCAGTGACACGTGAACCCGCCAGGCGCCTCCACGCACGGCCCGGTGATGGACGGCCGCCATGACGCCCGTGGCGAGCAGGTAGCCGCTTCCGTGATCCAGGGCCTGGCACGGAAGCGCCCTGGACGTTTCCCCCTGGCCGGCGCGCTCCGCCTCGGACACGTTGATCCCGGAGCAGGCCTGGACGAGGCTGTCGAAGCCTCGACGGCGAGCCCACGGACCGGCAGGGCCAAACGCCGACACGCTGGCACATATGATGCCCGGGTTCGCCCGGACCAGTTCCTCCTCGGACAGCCCGTGCGCGGCGAGGCTGGACGGCCTGTACCCCTGGACAAAGACGTCGCAGGTCCGGAGCAGCTCCAGCAGCCGCTGCTTGTCGCGCGCGTCGTGCATGTCGAGGTGGACGTGCCGCTTTCCCCTGCCCAGGTCCACGTCCAACGCCGGCACGGTCGGCAGGCTCGGCGACGTCACCCACAGCACGTCGGCGCCGTGGGCGGCCAGGGTCTTGCCGGCCAGGGGCCCGGCAATGACGCGCGTGAGCTCGACGACGCGCAGCCCCGACAGGCACCTCCCGCATCCCACTCCCGGTACGAGCGCAGCGCGTAGATGGCCGCGCCGCCCGCGCCCGTGGCCGCCTCCTCCAGGTCCGTCTTGTCCCACTGCGCCACCTTGCCCGCGACGCGCTGCCTCGTCGCGTCGCCTGGCAGGCCGAGCAGCTCCAGCGCCGCGCCGACGTGGTTGGGCAACAGGTCGTGGATGAGGACGTGCCCGTCGGACGCGCCGTGCATCCCGCCCACCGGGTTGTGCGACGACCGAGGCAGCGGCCTCTCGTTTCTCCGGAGCTCATACAGGCTGTTGGACTTGAACTCGATGACTGCGTGGGCGGCGGGCACGCGCACCGCGCGCAGGAGGCTGCCGCCGCCGCCGTCCGCCGCCGCCTCGCTCGTGGAGCGGACGAGCCGCGCGGCGAGGGCAGAGAGCGCGATCGACGCTTGTGCCAGGGGGCCGATCTTGAATGACGACGGGAGAGCCGGACCTGTGTCTGCGCCGGGGAGGTGCAGCGCCGCGAGCGCCTCCTGGGGCAGGTTGACCGTGGCCCATATGTCGTGGATGATGTCCCTGGTGGTGAAGGATCCGCGGTTCGGCAGGTCGTGGTGAGCTTCTGTCGCCATGGTCGACTGTGTGCTTGAGTACGATTGTCGACGGGAGACGGGGAATGGGAATACGTGACGCGTGCTCCGGAGTCCGTACGCTGCGTCGATCTCGGGACCTCGGCTGGACGCAACCCGGATAGCTCGGCTGAAAAGTCGTGGATGAGAGGAAACAGGAGTCGAAGCCCGCCCGACACAAAACTTGAGAAGAATTGAATGTTTCCTTTTTTCCTTTTCCCACCACGGCACTGGATGGACCTGGGTGACTGACTTCTGTTGGAATCGGGCAGTTTCCGCGCTTTGTTTCCATGTGCCGAAACGTCAGACGGGACCAAGATGGAACCGAAGCAGAAACGGGGCCGAGGCGGACGGACAGCGGCGGCGGGCCAAGACCCGACGTGCCGGACATCCGGGCACACCAGACGGCGTCGGTGTTGGTGCTCGGATGGGCTGGTCTGTGCTGCAGCGTTGAGCAGCCACGCGCACTAGGTTTACGGTTTGCGAAATGAGGTCATTCAGGTCTATTTGTAATGTGCCCGCTGTGGGGTTGTGTCAAAGGGATGGAAGAGCTGCCCGTGTGTACATTAAATGCGTAGAGGACTCGGAATGTTTGCGACATCTGCAACATCCTCTGCCGCAGTGCGAGTCCTTGTGGCAGCCGCTTCTGCGACTATTTCCGTGACTGCACCAGTCTCGACTCTGCCTCCGCCCTCTCGTCCGCCGTCATGCTAGCCACGGCGGAACCCATCTTGATGGTGAGCACAAGGCACAGAGACGTGCTGGCCAAGCCGAAAGCCGTCCAGAATCCAATCTGGTACTGCTCGCGGGGGTCGACCTTGTCGTGGCCGCCTCTGTTCTGCACCGTCACCGAGATGGCCAGTTCCCCAATTCCCAGCCAGAACGCTATCCCGAGATACAGCAGACTGTTGATCAGCCCCCCCGCAGCGGCTTGATGTCGAAGCGGCATAGCCGTGGTGATGAAGACGTTGGTCACGTTGAAGGTAATGTCCACGCCAATGGTGGCGGCAATCATGGCCGGGAAGATGTACGCCCAGTATAGAAAGCCGGTGGACCTGCCGGGAGTGGCTGGGTCGGGGATGAGGGCGAACAGAAGGACAGACAGCATGAATCCAATGGTGGAGATGATCATGAGGATCTTGTTCGGGATGATGTGCAGCACAAGGCCGCCTAAAATGGCCAGCACCATGCCGCCGACCGCCAGGGGTGTGAACCAGGCGGCCGTGAGGATCGGCCTCGTGTGCATGACAGTCTCAATACTAGCGACACGGGGTCAGCGTCGGCTCGAGAGCGAGAGGGGGAGAACGAGACGGTGTGTGAGAGAGACAGGGACATGATAATGCCGCAGAGGCACAGAGAGCGCCAGACTTACTAGAAACTGGCGTAAAACAAATACAGGCCAAACACGCCGTAGGACAGGAACAGCGCCGTCATCAAACGCTTCATGTACTTGGCCTTGAACAGATCGGGAGGCAGAAGAGGCTGAGTAGCAACCCAACCCTGGACATACACAGCGGCAGCAAGGAAGAGAATGCCCAGAATCAGCGTGACCCAAATATACGGCGTCTTCCACCCATCAGGGGCGTAGCCGCCGTCAGTCAACGCAAAGACGACAAGAACGAGACCGGGCACAATGGTAATGACGCCGAGCCAGTCCATTCTCGCCTCGGGGTTCACATGTCCCAAATGTCGCGGGATGCTAATCAAGCCAGACAGCGCCGTGACAAGACTGACCATGGCGCCGATCCAAAAGTACCACCGCCAATCGAGGTACTCTGCCGTGACGGCGCCCACAAAGATGCCAAAGTAGAAGCCGACGCAGGCACAGGCCCCGTAGACGGCAAAGACAAAGTTCTTGCGCGGCCCCGGGCGGTACGTCTGGCTGAGGATGGCCAGGCCGGCGGGGAGGAAGGCGGCCGAGCCAAGGCCCTGCATGGCGCGGCAAACGATGAGCATGACGGCATTCTGGCTGAAGCCGCTGATGAGAGACCAAATCATGAGCCACAAGTGTCCGCAGAGGAAGACGACCTTGCCGCCGTACAAGTCTCCCAGCCGCGCAAACGGCATCAGGAGGGCGGCCGTCGTCAGGTTCGTCACACCCGCGGGCCACGTCCTCAACGGCGCGGGCATGTCGAGGGCGTCGACGATGGGGGGCAGCACAATGTTGAAGCCGCCAATGAAGTACTCGCTCATCACCATGGACATGACAATGGTGTGGACGAAGAAGATTTCCGTACACCGGTTGCGCAGCGATTCTGGACGCTGCCGGCCCAGACGCTCGATGGTCGCCTGGTTCATGTACTCGGGGCAGTTGCCACCATCGCCAGACAAATGGCCTTTGTTTGCTGTATCATCGTCAACGGACACCCGAGGCATCGAATCTTGCCGGGCCTGCGATGGGCATGGCAACGTCGGCGCGGGCGTCGTCATCTTGTCTCGTCGGCGTCTTTACAGACCAGTGTCGCTCTCGTTTGTCAGTAGGACCAACGGCACTTCCGCAAGCCACGAAAGTCGAAAAAGGAGACGAGGTTTCTTTTATACAAAAAAGGGAGGAAAAAAAAAGAAAGGAATGCCTCTTGCTCCCAGTTCCTTATATATCTCCCCTGACTCTGGCAAATCCCACAAACCACACGAGATCTGGAGTCAGAGGCGAAGGCGCATACCAAGACAAAAGGGCAAAAGGGGAATCCGAAAAAGCGCTCTAGATATCAAGATACCCAACGCCTCAACGCAGCAACGCAGCAAATACGCCTTGGCTGCCCGATCTGGAACACACAAGCTTATAAATCAGTCAACCAACTAGCCTCGCCCAGTTCGGGCAATGCAAGACAACACGGCCTAGCCGGCGAGGCATTGAAACCAATCGAGAACTGAAAAGCGAAGGCCGGCGGTCAAGGGCACCGTTGAAAGAAAAAGAAGCCTCAAGAAAAACCGGCAGGCATCGTCTGGGGCGAATCAGTGGGCGTTGCTTTGTTGCTCTGTCCCCTCGTTGGGCAACTTTCCCGCGTTGCAGCGTTATTCCGGGAATGACGGCATGCGTCTTGGCTTCCTTTTCTAGTTTAGCGTATCTCAACGACGCTTGTGAACAGCTGGTTAGTTAGTACTCCGTAGTCCGTAGTTCTTTCGACTTCGGAAAGCCAAACAAAGTTCCCACATTATGTGCGCCCCTGGCTCCGTTTCCGTCTCGAGGCGAGCTCATGCGCGACCGTACCGTAACCGCACTCAAGCCCAACTAGGTTTTTACTCTTCTTGCGGTCAGGACTCAGGACGGGGTTGTTGTTGCTGTGAAGACTATGCACGTACGTACTCTCGAGGCGAGACAGTGGAAGCCAATTAGATGACGCGTCAGAGCATTTATTTGATTAACCCAAGTTTCTCGCTTGTACGCCCTGTGCAGGCTTCAGCTGACGATGCATTGTGTTGTCAGGCATGTAGAAAGAAAAACCTGGTTGCAAAGATACACACCTGTCGTGGTGATGGTTGCTATGAAAGGAATACCGGCAAGTGTCACGGGAGTATCGTGGCGTCAACGAGTCATAGATTAGGTCATTCAGGCTTTCAAGATCTCGTCAACCCATAGCTGCCAATCGTGACACTTCGCTTTCGTGTCGCCTCTCAGTAGGTAACTTGCCCCGGGGTAGAAAGAGGAGGAGCAGTATCGGATCTGTATGTTCAAATACCAAGAGCCCTGCGGCGAGCGGATGTCTGACCATTTGGTTCGAGGAAGAACTGGATACTTGTAGGCCGTGCCGGTTGTAAGAGCATGAGAGCTTCATTGGCTGTAGCTCGGCTTGGTGAGCCAAACGCCTTTAGTTGTTGGACCACTCCACCTTAAGGCAGGTAAGTTTTTTTTTTTTATTGCAGGGAACAGCGACAGTCTGCATATTACGTCGCACGAGGTTGTGCGCGCGATTCTTCAATCTTCATCATCGGACAGGCGACGAGATGAAGCAAGAGTTACCGCGGGCAGATTATCAGCACCGCGAGGTCAAGCTACCGGTTGAGTGTGCTCATGTACAGTTGACTATGGTTATAGTTTTGCGTGCGCCAGCCAGCAATGCAGATTAAGCAGGGTCATTGGTCCTTGGGATGTCTTCGAGGACGTCTTGGCCAAGGCATAGCCCGAAGGGCTTGTATACGCGAGCTTATCCAGGACGGGGTTAAATCCTTGACGGCGGATTATTTGAAGGAGCAGCACATTGGCAACGCGATCGTTTCAAACCTAAGCCGCGCGCAATCAGGGACTCAATGGCTGATACGGCCTTGATGAAATTTCTTTGTCGACCAGTCCAGTCCATGACTTGCTGCGCGGTAGGGAAATTGGCGAGTACTCAATGACCCTTGCGATGCAACCACAGATTTTGGAATTGCTTTGGTAGGCTACATTCCCAATTAGCAAAAGTGATGTGAAAAAAAACCTCCGCCAGGATTTACGAGTAATTCGGCAAATACAAAAAGCAAGCCAAGCCTCGATTCGAGAAATGGGATATGTTTGAACACTTGTCCATACGAAAATCTTTCACCAGCTAAACGGCGCGTCGCCAGGTTTGCTTGCGTGCAAATCGCAATCTCGGAAACAAGACGAAAAGTGAGTCGATGCCAAGCGTCGGACGAGGGAGGTTGCGGCAGACCAGTGCCCCTTCCATGAGCCATACATACTCCGTACTTGCGAGGCTGGGAATTGATATGGAACCAATACGTGGCGGAAGACTGGGCCAGTCATGACTCATGAGCTTCGCGGCAAGCAGAGATGCAGCTCGGCTTGTAGTTATTAGCAACTCTCCCGAGACATGGGCAACAGTGGCGCCGCATGGCGGGTTTGGGACCGGACCTCAATGTTGAACAATGAGATTGCTTTCTGCCGATGCACCTCGATGGCGGCGGGAAGGAACGCGCGTGTGATTTCGAAAGAAGGCGGCGCTTTGGAACTGCTGGGTGCTTCTTCATGCTGGGGCGCGCATGTTGTGCATGTGCGTGTTCTCTGGCCAAGGTGCTCGGCGGTGCGAAGAGAAAAGATTCAGATATTGCAATTCCTGTCAAAAAAGCTCGGAGTACAGAGTAGTGGCAGGCACTGGTCGGTCGGTTGACGCTGGTCCGCTGTCAGCTGCACGGCACTCCCAGCCAGCTGACTGGCCAGAGGTCCGCACTGCAGGTACAGGACAGTCACCGGAAGATTTCTCATCAATTGATTGGCAGCGCTGGTGACGCCTCCCCCGCGAGATCAACCCTGACACGACGTCGCCGACTGACAGGGCACCCGCGACATCGGGGCCACTGGAGCTGACTGGTCCGTCGGACCTTTCATGTGTGGCGCCATTTGGGAAGGCGACCGCCAGCGTTGCATCCGGACGCCTTGATCCACGGCCTGCCCCGCCGGCTGCCATCTGTGATGGGGGATCTCGCAGCCAACATCTCGACCTTCGACTCGTTCGAACATGAACATGGAACCTCTCCAAACCCGGCCGACAGCCGCTAACTACTAGTACTCGTATTCCGGCTCTTGGTCGTTGGCACAAAGCGGAGGTGCCCAATATCAATGACCGAATTGACGCCACAACAACACGGCGACGGCGAGACGGCGCAACCCGCCGAGTAGCATCCATCCATCCACGCCACGGCACGGGGGAATCTGGACGCAGTTTGAACTTGTGTCGCTGGACCTGACACCTCGTGTCGCTGTCGTGCGCCCCAACTGGCGCGCTAGCCGCAACAGCATTCAAGCTTGATCCCCTGGTGCCGAGCCTGGTCGCCGCCATGAAGGCCTCTCCAGTACTAGTACGAGTGCTGGTCAAGTCTGATCAACCCGTCTGGTCCCTTTCAGGATCCCGGTCCACCAGCTTTTTTATTATGACTGCCGCCGCTCGACTTTAATACGCGGCCTCTCCTCTCCCCTTCTCTCCTCTGCTCCTTACGTCCTTCCCTTTTCCCCCGTTGATCCGCTCATTCATTCCCTCAAAGCGCGTCGAGGCCAGAGCTTGCCGGGAGACGATACCACAAGCTTTGACCGATATTGTTTTGTCATTGGACGACTCGCACCAAAGCCTCGGCGGTTTCCTTTCCACTCATTCGCCATGAAGCACCTCCTCGCCCCCGTCGCCCTGCTCGCTGCCCGCGCAACATTCCCCGACGCCGAGGCTGGCGACGATGTCAAGGGCTGCGCCCAAGGTCTATACATGATCACTGTCCGTGGTACTGGCGAGGAGCAAGGCATTGGTGTTTTTGGCAGCTTGATTGGAAGGGAGGTTGCCAAGCAGATCAAGGGCAGCAAGGTGGTTGCTCTTGAATACCCTGCCACCCTTGCGGATCCCCTATATCCTTACTCCGTCGGCAATGGCACCAAGGACCTGACTGAGCTCCTCCAAGAGCACCAAACCAGCTGTCCCGACGGCAAGGTTGCCATTCTAGGTTACTCCCAGGGTGCCCAAGTCACCTTGGATACGCTTTGCGGAACCGACGAGGTTGGCTTTCAGGCCACCGCCCCAATCCCTTCCGACGCCGTTAAAAACGGTTAGGCTATTCCGCCCTCTCTCTTGCATGTCCAATTGCTAACTGTTGCCCGTTGTTAGTCGTTGCCATCACCGTGTTTGGTGACCCAACCCACATTGCCAACGTCTCTTATGACAGAGGCACGAGCAAAAATAACGGCGTAAGTCATGTGCCAACCACCAGCACAGCACAGTCATATGGAATTACGCAATCCAGCGAGACAACTACGCACCAAGCAGCACACTAACAAGCCGCATGTAGCTCTTCCCGCGCAAAAATAGCGCCAATTGCGAGAAATACGCCAGCAAGATGGCCTCATGGTGTGACACGGGCGATGTCTACTGTGACCTGGGAGACGACAGGGCTGTCCACGGCCAGTACATCGAAAAGTACGGCCGCGAAATCATCCAGTTCATAGTTGACAAGTACAAGGGCAAGAGCGGAGACAACTCAACCAGTGTAACAACCGGCGTCCCTACCGGCGCCCCTACCGGCGGTATTTCACCGGGCGTCAACTCAACGGCCACGACTGCTAAGCCCACCAACTCCGGCACCCCCTCTGGTGGCGGTGCTGCTACCTCGCCGCCAGCGCCCGTCCCTCAGGGAGCTGCCGCCGGTCTGGACATGGCTAGCAAGGGCCTTTACGTTGCCTTGCCGTTGGCTCTCGTGGCCATGTTTCAAATGCTGTAAGGAGCTGCGGGAATGCATGCTTTCTTGCCCGTGGCCGAGGTCTCAAAGAACAGAGACAAAGTAAAGGGAAGGCAAGCAGGGGGACCATGTAGAGTACGTTGGGACTTTGCTGTTTTGAAATCTCTGGACACCACCAACTCTTGTCCATGGCCTGCGGGTACACAAAAGAAAAATCGCCGTACAGGCGTCGCCGTCTTACTTGGGCACGGCGTCTGGTGTTATGTGCTAACCCCTTGCCTATCAGGCCATGATGCACAGCAAGCTATAGAGCTGCCTACTGTAATGACGACGAGCGTCGTGCAACACGGAGTGCATTGACTAGAGGCCTTTTTTCCCCCCATATATTGCCGTTGTGCGACCGCCGCGTGTCAAACTTGACCTAAAAATGCATCCACACGCGCAGTGCAGAATGTTGAATGCTCATCTCGGCAGGGAACGGCAACCCCTCGCTTGCTTGATCCTTGATCCCCGAGACATTCGGAGTGTACGGAGGACAATGCCCGGAAGTCTCGCTTGCTGGCATGACGTGAACAGGTGTCGAAGGCAAGCAGCCTCATGGACGCCACCGGAGATGTTCCGTCGAACCATTCAGGGCGCCGCGGGTACGTACTCGGCGTTTGAAGACGTGGACTTGCCGAATTGTCGCTCAAAGCTGCCACGCGCTCATCTAGAAAAGCCGGAAAAAAACAACAAAATAAGAAGACCATTTCTTTAAAAGAGAAAAACCCTCAAAATTGTCGTAGTAGCGCTACTATTCGCAGCCAGCTCCTTTCCTTGGTGACGTATCTAGAGAGGACGTATCTAGAGGGGGCCGGCATGGGGATGGGCAAGGGGCTTTCGCACCCAAATTGTACGTACTATCCGCATGTGGAAGGGGCCAGGCTGCCTCTTTCGGCCTTTTGACGCCCACGGAGGACCTCTGACCGGCAGCAATGCGTCCTTTTTTGCGAAGACGCGTGCATTCACCGAGGCAACGTTGGTGGGTGGCTTATCAAGGTATTAGCCGCCGCGGCGGGGAGCTGCGGCGCGTCTGGTGGTGGAGTGGCAGGGATCTCGTTCCTGGGGCAGGAGGGAAATGAAATGCTCCGCCTGGGATCCTCACAATCCAAGTCCTGTCTGGTAGGTTCATGAGCGAGCCGTGACCCCATGAGCGAGGTGACGTGACGAGGAGGCTTGCGGGGGTTACGGAGCACAGAAGAGGGATTTGAGTACGTACGTACAAATCTACAGAGCAAGTCGAGTACTCTCTCTGTACATGCAACCGACCGCTGCTCTGTTTGATAGCCCTCCAAGCCTCCCTGCGTCGTTGCAGATGGCCAAGCAGTTGAGCGTATCATGCATGGTGCGAATCCGACGCCCGGTTGCGAGTAAGCGAGCGGTCACGTGTGGATGCAGCAATCTGGCGCATGTATTTATGGCGAGGCGGTCCCCCGACACCAACGTCGGGACACAGCTCGACGCCTTCGACATTTGTTCAGCGGCAGAATCTTCCGAGGATGCCCTTAGTTACTTTTATCGCTCGACGGGAGAAGCTTTCCAGCCGCGCCTACCTCGCCATGTATCAACCAACCCGCGAGACATGCGGATGAGGTACGACGGCGTCAGCTGCAGCCGCTTTTGGCTCTTTGCATGCGCCCAAGCGAAACCATGATGATCCCCAAGAGCGGGGTAGGGATTTAGTAGTTATCCAATTCTTATAAATCCGGCTTCCGTACCGAGTACGGAGTACAGACCATCAAATAGAGCACGGTCCGAGCCTCGTCCACGCCAACACACGCATCGCCGTTGACCACGCCCATACAGTCGTGGTTTCAATGGCTTCCATCACCATCTTGTACCCTTCGGGCCACCAGTTCGACGTCAAGTACTACATGCAAACGCACATGCCTCTCGTGTCTGCGTAAGTGGCTGGTCCGTACGCTGCGCCGAGAGAAAGCAGAGCGCACTTCCCAGCTAGCCTCAGCTGCTTTCCACCGTGGCTCGCACAATCCGGAACTGACCATTGCATCCACACATGTAGTTCTTGGGGCGGAGCGGGCCTGAAAAGCTGGGAGATTACTCAGTTCGCCCCGGACCAGCAGTATCAGATCCAGGCCATCCTGGAGTTTGAATCAATGGCCGCGTGGGAGGCTGCATCGACGGGAGAGAGCGCCGTGGCGGTGTTTGGTGACATTCCCAACTTCACCGCAGCCAAGCCTGTCGTTGTCAAGGGTGCTCATCTGGGCTCGGAGAAACTAGCCTGAAGCCGAGCACGTTGGAGTATTTTACAATCTTGGCTCTCGGCAGATCACTTGAGCCTCCCTTCCCTCGTCCCCGGCGCCGGGAGCGTGCAGGGAGACGCCTGGCAAGCATTTCGTGTGTGCTCGCTGCGAGGGACGGACCCTGTAGCGATGCGAGCTGCTGTCATCAGAAACTCTTGCTTTCTCTTGAAATTTGGTTGATAGCCGTGACGAGAAGAATAAAGTACAAAACATGACATGCTTGCCCATAGTCCGGGCACCTCCACCTACGCATCGGCGTCCCTACCTAACCTTGACATCGCGCCATACCGCCACGGCAACTATACTCACGCATGCAAAAGCAGTCGCGGAAATCAGCATGACCCTCTGGGCATCTCCGTACGCGGCCATGATGGCCTCACGCGACGGACTCCCCCAGGGATGCTCGAGCTGCCTCGACAGGTTTCCCACAATGAGGGCCGCCTCGTCCTTGGTCTCGGGCGGCAGGTACTCGGCCAGCTTTGCAGGGAAGACACCGTTCCAGATGGCTCCGGAAACACTGGACCCGATGGCTCCGCCGATGCTAGTAAACATGGACAGCATGGCCAGGGCCACCGCAACGTTCTGGTGCGAAACGGCGGCCATGACGGCCATTTGCTCGCAGATGACAAGAGTGCCGCCGGCCACGGCGATGAAGACCTGGCACATGACGACGTAGCCGGCGTCGACGCCGGGCCGGCGAAACTCGGTCATGAGGGCGATGCCCAGTATCATGAGCGGCACGCCAAAGTAAAAAGCCAGCCATTTAAGGCGGCCGCTCCAGCGGATGACGACGCCGACGACAAGGGCCCAGAAGCAGCTCCCCATGTTGTACGTCCGCCCGACGTAGGTGGCCTCGGTGACGGTCAGGCCAACGACGACCTGGAGGAAGGAGGAGAAGAAGCCGTTCCAGAGGTAGAAGCTGACGAAGCCAAGGGCGCCCAGGACGCACGCGCCCATGACGGTCCTGTCGACGAGGACCTTGTAGGGGATGAACTGCACCGGCGCCACGTACCTCTCGTACAGGGCAAACACGACGAGGAGAAGCACGCCGGCGGCAACCATGGCGATGATCAGGGGGGAGCGCCACTGCTCAGCCTGGAACTGGTAGATGTTGAAGGGCAGCAGGAACAGCGCCATGCCGGCCGCGGCCAGAAGCAGCCCGACGACGTCAAACTGAACGAGGTAGTGCTTGGCGCCCTCGAGAGCCGTACGCCCGGACGGCCGTCGCGGCGGCAAGGCCCCCGACCTGCCGGCCTTGAAGTGGTTATACGAGAAGAGCGCCAGGACAGGGGCGCACACCACGGGCACGACAATGGCAAACGTCCCAAAAGCCCACCTCCAGCCGGCGCCGGCGAGGAAGCTGCTGGCAGCCGGGCCGCTGGCCCACGTGGTGATGAGGAAGGGCGACGTCGTCAGCGCGAAGAAGAAGGCTCGGTTCTTGAGCTCGGAGGTGTCGGCGATGAAGACCTGCAGGGTGTAGGCGATGCCGTTGAACCTGGACACGCACGCCGCGGCGTCGGTCCGGTCAGCACGTGTCGTCTTGCCAGGGCCAAGCGTAGCAGCAGTAAGGAGGAGACAAGGAGAGAAGAGAAGAGCACAACCCACCCTATCCAGTAAAAGACCTGTGCGGCGGCATACGTCTCGACGTTTTGGCAAGCGGCCATCATGACCAGGCCGATGACGAGGAACAGGACGACGAGCGCGAAGCCCTGCGGCCGGCCCCAGATGTCGAGGATCTTGGCCAGCGGGAGGCGGAAGAGACCGCCAATCAGGTTGGCAAAGACGTTGGTGGTTGCCGTGAGCCCGTGCTGCTGAAACGAGCTGGTGACGTAGGCCGCGAGGGTGAAGGACATGCTCGAGTGCATCGAGTCCACCAAGTAGATGAGCCAGATGCTGCAAGCCTCGGGGCGTCAGCTCCTGCTGCATAAAAGACTGGGCCGGAAAGAAACACGTCAGGCTCCTCTGCCACTCACAAGACATATGTCAATACGATGTGGCCTCTGCTCCATACTCGAGAGACGGCCTCCATGTCCAAAACACCAGCCTGGGCGTCGACGGCGGAATCATGACGGCTCGAGTCCGCCCCGGCCACGGCGGCCGCATCGCTGCTGCCCGCGGCCGTCTTTCCGTGCGGAGAGACGGATACCGCCGCCCCAGGCACGGGGGACTCGTCGCCGGCACGAGCAAAGATCTTGGGCAGAAAAGACATGGCGGGCTGGGCCTGATACAAGACGCTGATGGACACGGGGGAAAAGAAGAGCGTCCGACGTTTCGTCCCGTCGGCGGCCGCGTTGCCTTGGCCCTTCTCTACGCTGCGTGCGAGGCAGCATCGGCATATTATTTCAAGTTTGACTCGCCCCTCTGACTCGGGGCACGCTGCATCTGGTATCTTCTGTTGCCCACCTTTCGCAAATTCTCCTCTCTTCGCCTCTCGCCGGACTGCGGGCCAAGTCAATAGTTGGACCAGACGGCCACCGTCGGAGGCAGCGAGGGGGCAAGGGGCACCAGGGCCGACAATTCCTTGGCACCTGCTGGACGCAAAATCGTGTCCAAGTGCCTCACGGGCCATGGGCCCAGACCGAGGCGGAGACGGAGACGGAGACCATGAGAGGGGCGCGATTTTTTGTCCCTTGTCGTCTTGATCTTATCTGATCTTGCTGCGGCTGAAAGCTCGTCACATCCCGGAAACAGACCGACAGCACAAAAAGGACCAGTCGACCCTTGCCAAGCGTGTATATCCATGTACCATGTACCCGGGGCCGGAAAACGAATGTCTTCCCTGACGAGGCCGCTGTCGGTCCGTGTTCGAGTCAGGACCAGCCGACTCTCGCGTGTACGTACATGCAACTTGAATGACACCACGTGCGGGCAAGCCAAGGGCGGCGATTGGGCGGCACGTGGACGGCAGACGGGCAAATGACGTGGGAGGGAGGAGTTTTGAACCAAGAACACCCAGCCGACAGGCGACGATGGAAACAAGGCACGACGACGTCGTCTTGCGCCGCGGCATAGTGCTCCTTGAACAAGTGCTTCGGCCCGGACACGGTCGGCGTCCACGTTGGGGATCGACGGCTACCATCTCGGTCTGGTGTGGCCTGCCTCGTGTCGTACGGCCACGACGCCGTTGCGCCTCCGCCGGCGGACAGCGGCGCCCCGCCGCGGCGGACTTGAGCCGCAGTGCGAGCCGCAACGTGAGCCGGCAATGCTTGAACAACCTATAAAGCGAGCGTACAACACAACGACCGTGGCCGTCGGCGTGACGGCGACAGGATCATCGCTGCCCGCCAGTATCAGTTGCCGCACCTGTTCTCGGGCACTCGACACGAACCATGGCCGACTTCACCTTGCCCGAGCCCTTTGCCAGCATCCCGCGAGAGTCCTTCCTCTTCGGCCCCTCGCCAGTCCAGCATCTGCCACGCATGTCCAAGGAACTCGGGGGAAGAGTCAACATCTACGCAAAGAGGGAGGACTGCAACTCTGGCCTCGCATACGGCGGGAACAAGACGCGCAAACTCGAGTAAGCAGCCCCCCCACCCCCTCCGGCTCATCGCCGTGCCCGTCTGCGACCCAGTCCACGACATGGGCTCACGATTCCAATAAAGATATCTCGCCTCGGAGGCCCTGGCCCAAGGCTGCGACACCCTCGTGTCCATAGGAGGCGTCCAGTCAAACCACACCCGCCAAGTAGCGGCCGTCGCCGCCAAGCTCGGCCTCCGGGCCGCCACGATCCAGGAACACTGGGTTGACTGGCAAGACGCCGGCTACGACAAGGTGGGCAACATCCAGCTGTCGCGGCTCATGGGCGCCGACGTGCGCCTCGACCCGTCCGCCTTTGGCATCGAGCACAAAACCACGCTGGCCAAGCTGACGGCCGACATCGAGGCGGCCGGCGGCAAGCCCTACTACATCCCGGCCGGGGCATCCGACCACGCCCTCGGCGGCCTCGGCTTCGCCCGCTGGGCCTTCGAGGTGGAAGCCCAAGAGCGCCAGATGGGCGTCTTCTTCGACACCGTCGTCGTCTGCGCCGTCACCGGCTCGACCCTCGCCGGCATGGTCGCCGGCTTCAAGCTCGCCGAGAAGACGCGCCGCCGCCCCCGGCCGCGCGCCGTCATCGGCATCGACGCCTCGGGCAGGCCCGGCGACACCTCGGCCCAGGTCCTGCGCATCGCCAGGTCCACCGCCGCCAGGATCGGCCTGTCCGAGGACGACGTCACGGAGCGCGACGTCGTCCTGAACAGCGACTACAACGCCGGCGTCTACGGCGTGCCCGACGAGACCACCCTCGACGCCATCAGGTTTGGCGCCCGCACCGAGGCCTTCATCACCGACCCCGTCTACGAGGGCAAGAGCCTGGCCGGCATGATGGGGCTCATCCGGTCCGGCGAAATTTCCGGCGGCAACGTGCTCTACGCCCATCTCGGCGGACAGTTGGCCCTCAACGCCTACTCTGAGCTTGGCCTGTAGAATAGCAGAAGCACCCCGAGCGCCTCGGCTTGTGGCCTGGCCAAGGACAGCTTGTGTCCGTAGCTCAGATGGCCGTGGAAGAGCGCAATCCATCTAGACGTGTTCGAGTGAGTTCCCACGGGCGTCCCGGTCTTGCTCCCCGTCGATTCCCCGAGACTTGCGTGGACAAATACCTCCCGCCCGTTGCGGCTGCCGCACCATCAGGCCACGTGCTCTCGCACCCGACGGCCCTTGTCGGCGCGTGACTTGTTCACCGAGCTAAGCTCGGCCCGGGGTCTCGTTGCTCATGGACGATTATCTCGACGGCGAATGTGCACGAGTATGTGTGTGGCCGGAGTGGCAAACCGAGACATGTGTGTTGTATGCGCTGCATGGAGCTGTAAGGGGATTCTTATCGGCTTATATCAGTAATATCGGCTACCGCATGAACTATAGTTACTGTCCGCCAAATTTCAACTTGGCATCAAGGAGCTCCCTGCTGCCCCCGCTGCGCGAATGGCGATCCCACGGCTCAGTTATCATGGGCCTTACTTGCCACAAGTCTCCGTGTTGTGTCGCCAATTGTTCAGCTTCCCGGGTTCGATTGTATAGGCCCAAGTGACGTGAGTGGAATAATGTATAGTGTGATGTGCCGGAAATGTATCGACCACGTAGTGGTAGGGCAGGCCGCCAATTCCAAGTGGCACACGCAGACGTCACAACGTTGGCCTCGTCATCAGGGACATGTCATCAAGGGGCTTTGCGTTCATGCCGGAAAAAACAACTGTTTTCCGCACCAGTGTCCTTGTGAGCAGTATGCAAAGTCCATCCGCTCACAATCTGCTCCTTCCGCAATGCTCACGCCCGCTGGCCATGTACGTGCGCACATATAGACACAAGATACGAAAGAAACATCCCTCTAGGTCGCACCAGCAGATACTGCTGACGTCGAAAGGGGGACTTTTCTAGCGGCGAGACTTCAAGGCGACGTACGTGCCGATGGCGTCAGGTGGTCGTATCGGCAGTTGGTCTCGGGATTCTACCGAGAAGCATCTCAGCAGCGCCGGGCGTCCGGCTGAAGGTGCCGGGCCGGTGACTAGTCGCCTTCAGTCGTGAAGACTCGGCGGTGGCTGAGACTGTCGAGGCTACGCAAGCTAAGCTTGGCGCTCGTCCGAAGCTCCTTGCATGCCCTACGCTGATGGCACGGATTGCTCATGTAGACTTTTACTCGAGCGCAGGATATGGCGCGGAACCGTGTGGCCTCATTCACCGTTTGTTCATCGTTGTTGTTTCTTCGTCTCGCACGGCTACGATACCTCCCTGTAAGCTTGCCCATTGACGGGGGAAGCTCGCAAGACCAAGACGGGCGCGAGCATAGTTTCCTGTCGGATCTCGTGAGCAGTGCTTTGCACCCCACAGGAAGGCATGAGAAAGCATGAGATAAAACTGGTTTCTGTCTCGATGGAGAGGTCTCCAAAGCTTCAAAGAGGCATGGTCGATGCAAAAGGGGCGCACGCATAGTGCATACCATGGCCGTCTTTGGTGTAGTTGTATTTTGTTAACCGTACTGCCAAAGTGGAGGCCAACATCCTAGGTTGCAGTGTATGTTGTCATCTTCCTCCTTGACCGTGTCCTTGTTCACATTCCACCGCCCTTTGCTACTCAGCGCCCTCTATGCAGTCGTCCAGTCAAAGGTATCTTGGCGTAAAACGTAGGTGCTTCTTCTTCTTTTCCAAGCTCAGTCGGTGGCCAAGTTCCACAGCCCATCGCCGAGGAAATGGGCGTCTTCCACGACGGGCCCCTTCCCCTTTGCCTTGACGTCCTCTGTTCCGCAGGACAGCGTCCCCACGGCACAAGCCTCCTCCTTGCCCTCGGCCATGATGACGACGGGCTCGCCCTTGTGCAGCTCCCTGCTCCAGCGGCCTTCGTGGTCGACGCGCTGGTCCATCTCCCTGCCCTCCTCGAGCTTCTCGGCGGCCCCCTCGGCGGGTAGCCTGCCTCCCTTGGAGGTCAGGCCGGGCGCCATGAGGGTTGCGCCCGAGAGCACAAATCGAATGGCGCCCCTGTCGATGCGGATCGTCGGGAAGCCCTGCGGGAAGCGGTGGACGAGCTTCAAGTGCGGGATGATGGTGGCCGAGTCATGCTGGTAGAACAGGGGCTCCGAGTCGAGGACGTACAGCGTATTCCGGTCGGGCAGCTTCATGCTCGCCAGGGAAGCCTTTTTGGGGAGGATCTCGTCAATGTGCGGCGTGAGCAGGGGATACGTTGTCAGCAGCGACTGGCGGAGGGATCGCTGCACCGAAGACTTGAGCTTCTGCTTGGGCGAGGGGGTAATGCTGCGGCTTGTCAGCATGGTCTGCTCGCAGGCCGGCTGGCAGTTGCACACTGACGTACTCTTTTTTGAACATGTTGAAGGAGGGAATGTCGGCCGGCGTCAGTGTGTCACTCTGGTGCTGGCGATTCTTTTGCATCAAGTCGTCCATCAGTTGATGTCGAGACTCGATAAGTCGATACCGAGTACAAACAGGCTGCCCCGCTGGCGTTGGATGGCGGGGTAAAGTCGCCACATGCAATAGACGGGGGCGTGCGGGACTTGTGCACGTGTGCACGCGTGATGCTGCATGTACTATGTACTCCGTACTCTCGTCTCATTCCAAGTTTCCTGCAGGGGACATGCTACGATACGTGGGACTTGAAAAGATGAAAGTAAACATGACATGAACAAATGGGACGGGTTGAAGGTGGTCAAGGGTTGGAAAAGAGCTTTGTCCATCTTCAAAAACCACTATTTGAGAGGCTAGTTTGTTGCGTCGTAGACGTCATGACGAGAGGACCTTTCCAAGCGAGCGCTCGTTGGACGCCAAGTTTTCCCCCAAAAGCGCTGAGCATGGGCGGCTTCGCCTAGCGACCTGACTATCCATGGGTAACGCGGGAAACGGTCCCGTCATCATCCAGGTGGACGTTCAGCCGGCCCTCCTTAAAGTCGGTGGTAACCGCCTGACCAGGCGCAACGACGCGGTGTTCCTGCGGGAGGTCTTTCTTGCAGAATAGCTGTGACGGGGTCAGAAGACTGGCTCTCTCTGTCTCCGTCTCGGGGCCGACCTACAGTCTCGGTGTGCTCCGTGTCCGACAGTTTCTTGCCGAGGAGCTTGCTTTGCCATTCCTGGGTCTTGTTGTCGGGCTGGCTGGTGATCCCGGGTACGACGAGCGGCATGGTGGTGAGCGTGTTGGGTCGGAATGAAGATACGACTGAGCAGTTGACTGTAGGTTAGGAGGTTGCTGAAACGGCCAACTCTGTCAATTCTGCCGGGTGCGATTTCGAATGGAGCAGCGAGCAGCGAAGGGGGGGGGGGGGGAATCGCTATATAGTCTACCCGGTTTTCAGACTAAAGCTGGACGCAAACCTGGCACGCCGTGCGTTTGCTTTCGTAGGGTAAACCAAGCAACAAGTCGAGTGGGCACGGCGACGGATCGACGTCGTGGGCGATGACGTCGTCGGGCAGCTAGCTGATGGCATTCGAGAAGGCCTCGATGGTGCCGCACGCGACTTTTTCCTATCCATCTTCCCTTGGTAACTCGCGACTCAATCAATCACTTTACCACGGGCCCTCCTCTGGGATCGCGTCCTCGGTGCAGAGGTTTGGAATTTGTCGTCCATCCTGCTCTTGGTCACGACTCACGGCCCACGGGTCGTCCACACCCCAGACGCGTTCCAGGGGGGACCGGTCCGCTGTCCTTTGTTCACGATATTACGCCCCGCTCAACAACAAAGTCGGTCGGCGGCTGCCAGTGAAATCGACTCTCGCCGTGATACAAGAGTGTTGGTTGCTCGCCGTCTGCTTGGTGCAAAAGTCGTCTCTCCGTTCCGCCGCCAGAGTGCCAAGCAAACAAACCCCAACGACTGGCTGGAGCCGCCAACTCAGCCACAAATTGCAATAACCAGCTGGGCTGAGGCCAACAGCGCCTCCCCGCCTCCCTCTGAAGTCGGGGGCTTGACGTGCATCCCATCTGCCATCCCATGTTCACCTGCCAGTCAGCTACTACTGGCTGGCTGGTGGCTTGTCTTGGCTTGTGGTCCGAGCCGCCCTCCTTTTCACTTCCCCACGAGGACCTCATCCCTTTGTTGGCCGCCCTTTCGCCCTGTTTCCAAACAACCTTCAGGCAAAAAGCTGCCGATTCCATGCCTCTCATGTCTCCTTGACGAAAGCGTCAACCTTTCCTGTCCTGTCTCGTTCTTTGTCCTGCACCGTCTCTGCTGCCGTCTGTACACAGACTTTCGGGCATTTCCTGTCTGCGGGATCCAGTTTTTGCCGCCCGAGTCTGGAGATCACAGACCCCTGAACTCAAACACCACCAAGCATCAGCTTACGGCAAGCAGTGCTGATCGGATGAAAGACGATTTGCCGCCCATGCAAAAATAGGCCAAAAAAAAAAGTCGAGAAAAAAAAAAAAAGGCGTGCTACATTCCCCATCCAGTAACCCTCGCCGTCCTGCCTACCATGCGGTCCCTCTCCCTGGCGGCGGTGCTGCTCGCCAGCACGACAGCAGCCCTCCCGCTCAACGAGTGCGTCCACACACACAGCAAGGAACTCGCCTCATACACGAGCTGCGGCTCCCACGCCGCCGTAAGCAAGTGCCTCGCCGCTCTGTCCAGCTTCAAGCAAAGCGACCTCGAGCAATGCTACAGCAAAGCGGGCTGCTCCGCGCCCGAAGCCGCCCGCGAGGTCGAGCACATCACGGCCCGGTGCCAGCAACAGGAACACCAGCACCAGCGTCCCGACGAGCTGCGAAAGCGCTTCCGCGCCGTCCTGGGACCGGCGCCGGCGACGCAGGCCATCGCGGGCGTCCACCTCCTGGCGCGGGCCTCGACGACGCCCGCGCCCGTCAAAAAGGGCGCCGACTGCTTCCGCACTAGCGAGTTCGACACGTCGAGCTGCCTCGTGGCGACGGAGAACGGCAAGACGGTGACGCACACGTGCACGCCGTCCAAGGGCACCTCGAGCGACTGCCTCTCGGGCTGGTTCTGCTCGGCCGACAACAACCACGGGGACGTGTGCATGCAGATGCGGCCCATCGACACGGGCGGCATCATCGTCTCCATCGTCTTCGTCGCCTTCTTCGCCATCGGCTTCGGCTACCTGACCTTTGCGTGCTGCCGCGAGCGCGCCCACCACAAAAAGGTCGCCGCCAAGGCAGAGGCCGTCGCCCTCGCCCGCGCCGCCACAAAGAAGCAGCGGTCGCAGGAGGCGAGGGCCCCCCTCATGCAGCAGGTCCCCGAGGCCGATGGTCCTGGTCCCAATCCCTTCCAGGACCAGCCTGGCCATGCCTGATCGGCGCATTTGGGGCACAAAAGCACCACAAGGAGTGTGGCACGTTGCAGCATCAAGGCCATTGATGGCGGGGTGTTTTGCCCTGTTGAACCAGCGACTTCTTGTTTTATTCTTCTACATTTGGGGGCTTTTCAAAGTATGGATTGAAACGATTGGATATTTTTCAAGGGGTTTAAGGCAGACGCAAAAACTAGAAATAGAAATCAACATATCAAATGGGACATTTAGCTGGGGCATATCGTACACACACATGTTTGTTCTTGGCCCGATGCTCGAGGAGTGACGTGTATGGTGAGGTACGGAGTACACCACTCCCATGGCCACGGCAACATAAGTAGATACTACCTGGTTCAGCAATTGGCTGACAGGTTGAGCTCGTCCACGGTAATGACGACGTCACCGCGCGCACCAACAGTATAGCACAGGCATTTCCAGTCTCTCCACAGTCGCTCAAGACGCACATACTGCATACTAGTCCCTACAAACGCTGTTCAATAACCCGTCCGTACCATGGACGGCGGGCATGCTTCATATTTGCTAATCGAACACAGAGTAATGGAAATCAAATCTTCCTTTGCTCGACCCCTTCCCGCTGGTAGCCGCATATAAAATGGTAATGACAGCCGACCGTTTCGACCGGTGGCTAGGGTATGGAGCCGGCCCCTGATTGATAAATTGCTCTACCTCCTTGCCGCTTCTCAAGGCCTCGTTCCCCATTGCCAATCACTGTCACTTCTCCGACAAGAATCCTCGCCGAGGTCGTGTCGAGAATCCCAATGTAGACGCGACCACGTCCTGTACGTCACGTCTTGCGCCGTTGCCCAGAGCGGCCATCGCTTCACAACAGTTCAGACATCACTGTGATATCTTTTCTTCTTCAGGTGACCCCAAAAGGATCCGCCTCCAGGAGCTGCCTTATCATCAGCCGGCAATGTGATTTCGGAATGTGATACGCCGTGCTGACGGGCCCGACCGCCGGACTGACTACCAGACGGGCTGTCCGCAGAGAAACCACGGATTGGGTTGTGCCAGGTAGACCAATCAACTCGACAATCCCGATCCATTGCTGTGGTTGATGTAGTGGCTGATGGCCGGTTGCTGCCGCTGCCGCCATTTCCCAGGAACCCGATTCTCCGGACAAGAGGGCTCCCGTGGACGACAATGCCCCCTGCTTCAGAGGAGCTCTTCTAGTGGCCCCGTAGAGACGCGTGGTTAGTACGAGGGCTGCAGATCTCCCCGGGTGCCCCCACTGCTCGGAATGAGAGCCCTGAAGCATCGCTTTGATCCGGAGTCCAACGGATTCGGTGCTGCCCAACGCCGCTCATATCCCGTTTGACGTCGAATGTTCCCCCGCCGTTAGAATTGTTGCCCTCAGTGTCACAGAGATTCAGCAGGTCTTGTTCAGTGAGGTAAAAGTCACTGGCATGAATGTCCACCTGCGACTTTATCACGGATAGGTCCATGTAGCCTTCTGCATCCGCGCTTCCTGATGCGGACAAGTCTCTGTACGCGGTACACATCAATATTCTAACCGTAACATGGCGTGGCTGGGATGACGATCGAATGGAGCTCATGGGCGGCAGTGTTGGCGAGGCTATGCCAGCCATCCCGAAACCTGGCGGAATTCCTGTAGAGCCCCACGTCGAGTTCGAAAAGCCGGGCGGTGCAAAGGGCTGCCCGTGTGCGACTCCTGCTGGAGGACCCCAGGGATTTTGTGACGTGGGAAATCCAGCGTCCAGAAAGGGGCTCGTCGGAAACCCTCCACGGGGACCGGGAGGCTGATGACGCAGACTGGCGGGATTCATTCCCTCGAGGGGAGGCTCGTCGTCGGCTACCAAAGCGCTGCTACCCAAATGCTTCGTTTCGTCATCTTCTTCGAGAGACTGGCGCTGAGACAGGCTTCCAGGACGGCCAATTGGTGCCGGTCTTCCAATCGGTTGCGTCGGTAGCCCTGTTGCTCCGTCGTAACCAATAGAGCCCTGGCGTGTATGTGAAGGAACTGGAGGCTCTTTTGCCGCTGGAAACCCTTGGTTCATGGGGAAAGGATCTGCGGAAACGTGGTTGAATCCCGGAGGCGCCATGGGACCTGGAGGAAGCCCTCGTGGCCCTGGTCCATTGAGTCCGGGCGGCGTCATCATCATGTTGGGACCAGGACGAAATTGCAAGGGGGGGAATATAGCCTCGTGAGAAATAGGACTGGGAAAGCGTGGTGGTCGGTGTTGTGCTAGTCCTGGAGGCGGCTGCAAACCCAGAGTCTGCGGCGGCATCTGGAATGGCGGCGTGAGGCTCGGAAGTCTGGTTTGCATGCTGTGAGGTGATACCGGGTGGTTGAGCTGAGCCGCAAGTATGGAGCTGCTTGCGCTGGCTTTTCTGTCTTGTCCAACGGGTCCGGGGCTGACCTGAATAGGAGTTCCCGGGTGAGGTGACGGGTTCTGGCTAGGTCCTGATGCAGAATGTGAAGCTGCCGAGCTTGCCGAACCTGAGTCCTGTTGCTGAGACAGGGTACGGCTTCGAATAGGCGTGGGCGCTTTCGCGATCGCTGGTGTGGCCACTGGAATCTTTGGCGAAGCAAAGCCTGCAGGGTTAGGCGGATGTTGCGGTAGAACGGTCGGGAGAGGACTAATAGCAGCATGCCCCTGTCCGCGCTTTGCGATTTGAATAGACTGTGACTGAGCAGTTTGGATGGAAGGCTTGTAGTTTGCCTTGTCTTCCTTTGCTCGCTGAGTAGTCTCATGAAGTTCTTTCTGAGCTTTAGCTGCCCTCGCTTCTTTTTCTCGCTTGTCGCGTTCCTGTTTCTCCTTACGCTCTTGTGCTTCCCGTTCTCTCTGGTCCCGAGCCTGTTTCTCCCTTTGACGTTGCTCTTCCTTGAGCTTCCTTTCGCGCTCCTTTGCCTCGCGGGCTTTGCGTTCTTGTTCCGCCTGCCTCTCACGCTGCTCATGAATACGTCGTTGACGGTCGGCCTCCTTCCTCAATCGAGCCTCTTCCTCAGCCTTCTTTTGGGATTCCTTTTGCCTTCGTTTCTCCTCGGCCTTCAGTCTCTGTTCAGCAATTCTTTTCTGCTCAGCATCTAGGCGAGCCGCTTCTTCCGCAGCCTTTTCAGCCTCCTTCCGCGCCTTTTCTTCGGCTAGAGCTTGCTTCTTTTGAGCGGCCTTGTCTTTTTTCTTTTGCGCATTTTTGGCTTTCTTGGCCTTTTGCTCGTCGACTTGTCTGCTCTCCTCTTCTAGCTCCTCTAGAAGTTTGTCTTGCCTCTCTTTGGCCACCTTCTCCTTGTATGCGGATAGGACACGTTGCTCGAACATCCGGGCTGCGAATATTTGAAACATTCTGCGGCCCTCCTCCATTCGCTGTTCTTCCGTCATTTGATCCTGGCAGCAGCACTCAGTATGGAACTTGGACGGCATTATAGAAGGATTAGAATATACCTCTTCATCCTCATACTCCTCGTCTTGGCTGTCCTCATAATCCTCCTCATCCTCCTCTTCATCTTCGTAGTCATCATCATCAGGAGGGTGATTATGAGGAGTGGAGTATGAGCCGTTGGGATGACCGTACCCGCGGGAGAAGTGTTCTCTAGCGTCCTCCTCACGGGCCATGCGACGTTCTGCTAGCTGTTCCATCATTTCAATGAATCGCTTGCCGTCGTTTTTAAGTAGGTCATCCGCCACGGTGAGAATGCCGCCTAAGTCCATGTTACCATATGCGCTGAGAAGAGATTCAAGAAGCTGCGTACCCTTGACTTGCAAACTGCTGCCAAATGCCAAGAAATCCGTCATGTCTCGATCGTAGGGATTGTGATATTGCTCTGGAGGTTCGTCGTCGCTATACTCGTCGTCTTCAACTTCGTCTTCGCTGTACACTTCCTCCAGCTCGTCTTCGTCATCCTCATCACCCACGTGCTCTACGATCCTACCACGAGACGGTTGTTGCGGGGTATAATTTGAAGGCAGTCGACGGCGAGGTCGCGGCGGAAAGTCTCGTGATGGTGGCTGTAGTATCGGTGGTCCGTCGCCGTTGTTGGCGAACTGCTCAAGCTCCAGATAATACGCATCGTACAGGCCTTCCAGCTCCTCCTCGATAGCCGTTCGTTTCCGCCCACAAACAGTACAACTGCATGTGTGCTTCTGCTGCTCCTTCATCTTTTTCAAAACAGCGTCTTTCTCGACCTTGACAAGTGACTTTCGCTCATCCTCGCCAAGCCCTAGCCAGAACTCTTTAATGCGTTCTCTTTCCTCATGATTGCTTGTGCTCCAAATCTTGTCTCGTGACATGCCTGATGGCCGCGAGACGACTTTACTGACCATTTGGGATGCAGAAGCGGAGATAGCCGGAGAGTTGTCACCATCGGCAAGCTCCCCCGCGTTCTTTTTCTTCTTTTTCTTGTTCTTTTTGGACTTGGGAGCCGGGCAAGAATGGCCGTTTAACCCCGGAAGACAAAAATCGCCGTTTCGCGCATCCTCTGCCTCTTCTCCATCACTGACGATGACAGCTTGGTCCTCGGCTAACCCCTCGTTGGGCCCCTTTGACATGGCTGAGGGATCCGGAAGAGCGTTGGCTGCTTGCTCGGCGGCGGCGGCTTTTGCCAATGCCTTTTGTCGACGCTTTTGCTTCTTGCGATTTACGGTCTGCACCGGCGCGTCAGACGCAGGAGGGTTTGGCGGCGAATTTACTGATTGAGCGGCAATTGTCGGCGTTGAAGGCTGGGAAGAGTCGGAGGGCGTGCTTTTGGGGACAGTGATAAACTTTGATCCATCCTTGTTTGTGTACTTGGCGGTGCTTCGAGGTGATGTCGACGTAGTGAGAGCCGGTTTCTGGTTGGTGGCCGGCATCGTATGTTCTGCGGAACTTCGGGGGGCGACACCATGAAGAGGTTGTGATTGCTGATGGCTGTTGGGGCCTACTCGCCGAAGTGGATGGTCTATTGTGATGCTGCGCACAAAATAACGAGTCAGTCTCGGACGAAGAACAGTCACGCCAGGAATAAGTCTGAATGATTGCTGGCGGCGGAAGGCAGGCGGCGACGACTGAGGTTGGGATGGTATTTTGGTGGATGATCTTGGAAAGCGACTCAAATTGAGGGACGCCATGGAGTACTCACCCACTTCAACCACTCAGAGTCGAGTCGGCCGACCGAGGGTTAGGTCAGCAATGACGCCAGTGGGGGAACCGCGTCCCCGTTGGAATGGAATTATCCCTGGCACAAGTAACGAGCTGCTCCTGCTGGCAGTGGAGTCTCAGGAAGAGTATTAGGAGAACTGGTGGGATGTAGTCTTCAACTTGGAGGCTGATGATCGGGCAGGCTGCTGCAAGGTTGAAGTCACAAGGTGGTGTAGTTACATGGCGGCGGTACATTTGCACCTAAACTCCAGAAGAGCCACCATTCGCGAAGCCCATAAAAACGGGTCTCATCCTTGGAGTTCGGAGCCCTTTCTGTCATTCTGTGGTGTGGCGATTGGTAGTTGACAGTGGCGGAGAGAGCCCGTGACACTGCACGTGATTAAATTCCTGGACAGTTTGTCGCATCTTGATGGGTGGGGCTGGACTGTGATGTTGAGCAGCACCGAGCGGCTTGAATGGACCTTTTTTCCTCTCTGGCATCAAATAGCGACACGCACATTATTCTGCTTAATTATTCCGTGATGGCTACCATGCGTCTGATTGCTTTGAGCCATGAGGCGACCCTGTCCCAATTGGCAATTGGGCTACTTGAGCAATCCCAAGCCCGGATTGAACACGCTCGAATTCTTTCTACAGCCTCTGGGAAACGATACAACTACTGATCCGCCTGGTTGCTTCTCCGTGGCTCCTATATGTCGTCGGATGCACACCAATCCTGTCGACTCCATGCAAGGTTGTATTCTAAGGTGAAGTAGCGCGCCACTCAGAGCTGGGGACGGCTCGATTGTAGGAAAACAACAAAGAAGGTAACAAAAATATATAGGGAATTGATGAGGATGGATTGTCGAGAATCGATGGACGCGAGACAAGACTGCTTGGACTGATGCACCAGAAGGAGAGTCCAGGATCCTGCCGGCCCTGTGTCCCGGTCGTGAGGTCTCGAGTCTTGACAAGGAGGAAATAGCTACACGCCTCCAGAACAATGGGTGATGTATTAGTAGTTGTGGCTTCTGTCCAGCCACGGAGGCACGCATTCGGCTTGCGTTGCCTTTTCCTGCTCTTGCAGCCAATGGGAACACCGAAGCCGAAGTCTTGAAAGCTTGTCAACAGGTTGGCTTGTGATGACTGAACACACTCTGGTAGCACTCCAGACACGCATGGCGGGCTCCTCCGAGCACAGCCTTCGGCCTGCTCACTGAAATGCGAAGCGATGCACAGCCATCTCCTAGAGTATGGACAATTATTAATTAATGGCCATTATCGAGAACGTTCCTGCCGATATCCGGGTACACCATCCTGACAGGCCAATTCCTCATTTGTCGGTTTCTGGATGAGACTCGTTTCAACTTGGTCCCCAGTTGAACCGGGCCACACCATCTCCAACTAGCGCATACCAAGATGCTGGATTTTGTGCATGAGTCCTGCATCTAGTAATAGCCGGTATACGGACACCGCCTACTTACGTAGCCTACTAGCACTTCGGTACCCTGGGGCCTGGATACTCGGGTACTCTGTATTTTGAGCTCGCGCTTTTCCGCGCCCTGACAATTGACATAGTGCACGCACGGAAACAGGGCACACCTTTTGTGGCTCCTCGCACGGCTTGAGCAGCCAACGTTGGAAGATCAAGCCCGGAGTATGTCGCATGTGGACATGTTGACGCGGTACAGCATGACAAGACCGGAGCTTTTTCCTCATTGGAGTCGCGCAGTGTGTCTTCGAGCCGAGAAACGTGGCTTGCCACAGTCGCCGCGGGTTTCGTTCGGTCCTTGTTTCCGTGAGACGGAGCGGTGCAGGCGAGGAGAGAGAAACAGCAAGGGAACGCAAGACGAGTCGCGACAAGACGCTGGAAGACGAGACGCATTAAAGTTTAGACGTTTGCGATATTATTAGGAACCCAGTCTCTTTGTCGGGAAGCTGTCTGGACTCTGCATCACCAAAAGGACCACGCCGTACCTGAGCCGCGTCAACCTATTGAACAGACTAATGACCACCTAGGATAGGAAGCTGGCGAAGGCCGTTCTTGGCTGCAGATTGGGCGGGAAAATGTCACAGTCTGGTTTTGCCCACGAACAAACTCTTGTCGTCCCTTGCTGGTGCTCAAGTCCTACTCCGTACAATGCGCAAGTCTCGGGATCTGCGACGGCACATGTGCAGTCAAGTCCTTGTCCGCATTGGAGAACTTTAGTAGACAACATTGATGGCCAGAAGCAAGTACCTACTTAAGAAGCACGTAGGCTTGGTCAACAAGTAAGTACGTACTTAAATACATGAGCCAGACTGTCTTGGACGGGTCTCGCGGCTGATAACGAATTTCCCGCCCGGAGTTGCCGTTATGTAAGCCTGTGCCGAGAGCAGCCCCATGGGCCATGGCTGCCTGGCCCCCCGACTCTAGAACCCTGAGCCGGGTGCTAGTCAACCGGCGCGGCTGTCTTTGTCGACCACGCCCCCCCGACTCCTTCACGCCAGCACCAGCACTACTTTATTAGTTTCACTCCCAAAGCCAGCTTGAGCTTTGGTCAGCTAAGCTTGTTGTCGCTTCGTTTCTGCTGCTGCTGCTGCCTCTCTGTTGTCCCCAAATCCCATCCTTGCAACTCCGCCATCACCGTGAGCCAGTTCGAACCCCCCACGCCAATTCCTGACACGAATCTCCCGCCGTGTCTACGCACTGCGAGCGCTCGTCCAATCTGATCTGGCTCTCGCCGACGTTCGAACTCGAAATCTGGCAATTGCTGGCGGGATTCCTCTTGACGCTCGTATTCGACCGATCCTCCCATGTCCAACTTAGCCCGCGTTCCACTGCGCCTCCAAACCCGTTTCGCGGCCCGTAGCCCTGCTTCGGCTGTTTGCTTTCGTTAAACGCCGTGCTGGCCATAAAAGGCCCCTTGGTTGCCTTTTTGCTTCTATCAATCCCCCTTGCGAATACTATCCAACAACCACGGCTGCGCCGCCCGGCTCCAGTTAGAATTCGACGACTGAACGGCCGTGGACTTCTGCAGGACGACGACAGTCCAAAAGCTCGCCGCCGAATCCTTCCCCCTCCAAGCTCCCCAGTTCCGAGCATGCAAGATGGCTAGCTCAAATTCTCAAAACGTCATCCGCAGGTACGACTGCCTAGTTCAACGGGCTGATTGCCACTAAACACCGCCCGAGTCAACCGGTCTACCCCTTCTCTGCTCCCCTTTCACAGTCTGCAGCAAACACGCCTTAATTTTTGCTAATGCGGGCTTTCTTCTATTGACAGAAAACTGGTCATTATTGGCGACGGTGCCTGTGGTAAAACTAGCTTGCTCAGTGTGTTCACACTTGGGTACTTTCCTCAGGTTTGTGCTATTTTGAGTAGCCAGGTCTTGTTTGTGAGCTTTGTGGCTGACTTCTGTTCCTCTCCCTTTTAGCGATATGTAAGACATGCACGGGATTGAATCAAGGTCCGAAATGATACTGATGAAACGCCGGTAGATTCCGACAGTCTTTGAAAACTACGTAACCGATTGCAGAGTCGACGGTAAATCCGTGCAATTGGCGTTATGGGACACAGCAGGTCAAGAAGACTACGAGAGGCTACGGCCGCTGGCATACTCAAAAGCCCATGTCATTTTGGTCGGTTTCTCAGTTGACACCCCGGATTCACTGGAAAACGTAAAAAACAAGGTACACACCGTCCGACTTTATGTTAGATGCCATGGTGCTAACTTACTCTCTCATAAACAGTGGATCGAGGAAGCGACACGGCTATGCGCTGGCGTTCCCATCATTCTAGTTGGATTAAAAAAGGATCTGCGAGCCGATCCTGTGGCAATTGAGGAAATGCGCAAAAAGTCCCAGCGATTCCTCACGCCCCACGACGGAGAAATGGCTGCTCGGGAGGTCGGCGCAAAACGATATCTGGAGTGTTCCAGCCTGAGCGGCGAGGGGGTCGACGACGTTTTCGAGGCCGCAACACGAGCCGCCCTGCTGACATTTGAAAAGGGCGAAGGAGGTGGTTGCTGCGTCGTTCTGTGAGCCCCGAGCTCACCAGCGATACCTACATGCGTTGGTAGATAAACAATGCCCAACAACATGGTCCCGAGGGCCTCCCCCCCCCGGCCCATCACCGCCAGATTCGGGCCGTCCGGCCCTATTTTGTTTCGACCAGCAATTCGACGAAACATAGCATTCTCTCCTTAAATGGCGGCGTGTGCGTCTCCCTCCCTTCCGGCCGCTAATTCTCCTTTCCCGCCTACTTCTTCATTGATTTCGGCCGTGACATTTGGCAAGCGAACTCGTTCCCTCTTCGATTCGAGTCCTGTGGAGTCTTGCAATGAGGCACATATTGATCTGCTTTCCGCAGTACAAAAAGCAGCGTCTTTCTCTCCCTCTGTATTAATACGTCGTGTGGAAAGGATATAGATCACATCAGCTGGCCTGTGCCTAGCACAAAGTCGGCCCGTATCGCAGCGTGCTTTTTTTGTATGTACCGTGTTGGGATACAAAGACTATCAAGGGATGATCCAGTTGCATATTTTCTGAAAGTAGGTGCGGTTGGGCCAGCAGATTAGGTGTCATGCAATTGGCATCCAGTAACAACGATGATATATTCCCTCGATTTGGCTTCGGCCCTGATCTTTCGCTTCTTTCATTATGTCTTCGCAATAGAAGCATCTGGGATTGGAGGAACAAGTGGTTTTGGTCATTTAACGTGGCCTGACCATTCTATATTTTGATTTCGACATCTGTAGCGTACGACTATAACGTGACATGTCCAATTAACCGTGTTTCAGTACTCTATACAAAGCCCATGCCCGAAACGGAGGCTACCTTTTCCAATCGTGATTCCAGGGCTCCTTGGCGGGGCTGTCCGTCTGAAACCTCGCATACTCAATGGGGACGGCATCTGTGCCCCAAACGCCCTTCTTCTCCATGGCCACTCTGTACAAGTACCCTTCGCCCCTGCCCTCGGGCCCGACCGTCGTCCTCAGCGCCTCGCAGGCATTGTACATGCCGGCGTGCATGCGCTGCCTCTCCTTGCCGATCCTCTCGTGCTCCTGGCGCCGAAAGAGCTGCCACGCGCGGTGGATCGTCCAGTGGCGCAAGTATCGCTGACGGGCCATCCTCAGCGGCGGCGGGGCCGGTGAGAACATGTTCTGCTTGAGGGTCTTGATGCGTTGGAAGTTTTCCGACTTTGGGGCCTGGCGGCTCTTGCGGACGGGTTTTGTCCCCGGCCCGGGCTTAGGCGGTGCTTGGCGAGCCATGATGGGTGCGGTGGTTGAGAGGAGGCGCGTGGAGGAGGGTATCGCTGATTTGGACGGCTTGCTGAGGAGGCTGCCGATGGAAAATAATGATGCCATGGTTCGTGTTTGTGGGGTGGGCAGGGGCTATGTTCTTCTACGTTTCCGGGTGCTTGCGTGGGCGACCACGACGTCGTTTCGGCGGAGGTGCAGCAGTGTCGTTTGGTTGTTGCTTATCCTCCTGATGTCCTGACTCTGACGTGGGTTGCGATTCTTCTGCGTCCCGTTTCTCGCCTCTTGCCACTGGCGAAGTGGATTCCGTTCTTGGCCGTTGCTTTACTTCTATCGTTGGAGTGTCCTCCTCAGCCAGATGTGGTCTCGGCCGACGTGAACCGAGTTGACGAGGTTGTGGCTGCACAGACTGGGAAGCAGGTTTCGCGATGTCGTCGGCCGAGGATTGCAAGCCGAGTTGACCACGGAGCTGGGCTAGAAGCTTTGCAGCGGTACGATCAGCCCAATGCCAATCGCGACGGCAAAGGGTGACTGCTACTTGCCACGCTGCCTCGACTCGTGGGCGATTGAAGCGATTGCTCGGGTGGACAGGGTCAACACGAAATTGCGGCTGGGCGTAAAATGTATGAATCTCCTAAGGAAAAAGATTAGCTTTGCTACTGGTTGGAATTCACCTTTATTAGGTAAGCGGCAGCGCGACGGATTGTGCTCATCGGGTTTAAGATAATCCAGGTCATCGCAGGGCTTGTGTGGATTGACTGTGACCTCACCTCTATTTCACCGTCTCCATTGTCATAAATCACACAACGTTCAACATTTCTCAATTCGTGCAATTCTCTTGCTGCCTCCCTCGCCAAGATCCCTTCATGGGCGGCGTGTAGCTCTTCAAGCGTCATGTTCGTGGCCGACACCACCGTCTCGACAAGTGGTGTCATTGCCAGTCTGGTCAGTCCACCGCTCAGTCCATCCAGCCGCTCGACCAAGTAGGCGAACTCGCAAACCCGGGGATGGTGGTCCAACATGGACCGGGCCCAGCAAAGGTACGGGAGATTGGGTGAAACCCGCGTATTCCAAGCGTTACGCACATGGCATAGCTCTCGGTTGCTGATGCTACTGAATGCCGGGATGTGTCGGTACTCGTCACCACAGAGCGGGCCATCACCTTCTGGCTCAAAGGAAATGATTGTGGCGAGGACCTGCAGGACCTCCTTGCATACATGTTCAAACCTCGCCGCGTATTCTCTCCAGTTACGTGGCACCAAACCTCGGAATTCAAAGCTTGCTGTCTCGGTGTCGCCCTGTCCGAGGCCAAACTCGGTATGTAAGCCAGGATGCTCCCACGCCGGACCGTTTGGATCCCACACGTTGTCTCCCGGGCCGAATTCGTCGCAGCCTGCGTTTCTGCCGGCGCCATGTTCAAAGATGTAGTCGCCGCCATTGTGGCCCAGGTAGTACCTCGAGTTGGAGAGTCTGGTAGTAACGTGAACATGCCAAGAGTCTGCACCTCCAACGTCGCCCATTCGGACCTTCTTAAGGTTGCAAAGCCACCCGGGGTTCTCGGAAGTAGCCTGAAGCCATTCTTTCTGATGCGCCCTCATCTGGAGCAGCTGCGCCTCATGCCTCAACACCGCGTCAGCAGCGTCGGAGATGACCTGCAGCTGCCCTTGGTGTGGTGCAAGAACAGCTCGCGCTCGACGGCTCTGCATGATCATTACCCACTTCTCCCTGTGAAGTGAAATGTCTGATCCTTGCTGCTCCAGTCGATCATCCTCGGCCGACAGCCCGTCCAAGACAGTTCGATACCTGTCCTGCTCCGTCCCGGGGCCGTCTTCCCAAAGAGCCGAGAGTTGCACCATCTCCAAGTATTTCTCCCACCTCGCACGGCAGTGAAGTACCTCCTCAGATGTCCATGCTTTGGCCATATCAAGCTGTGCCTCAGACATGAAAAACTGCGGGTCTGCCTCCCCTGGGCCGGCCGGTGGTTGTTCTTCCTCGGTCATCAGGTGAGATACCGCCGATCCGGTCGGCGGCAGCAACGCCGTTCTCATGGCGTCCGTGCAGATTCGCTTTCTTGTTGACGTTAAAACATATTGTAAAACATAAATTCATGACAACAATGGGATTGCTTGGCTCGAGCGAATCTCGAAGGTTGACGCAGATTTTCGCAAAACATCAAAGTTTCCGAGGGCAGCACCTCGAGTATGTGAGGAAGGCGCACAGTCTCGGCCAACTCCATGCCTTCTAGGTAAGAAAGCGTTAGAACTTCCCTAAACTTCCTAAATTCCCTAGTACATGTACCGCCGGGAGGCCTAGAGTGCCCGGCAAAGATGGTCAAACCTATATTCCCATGCCGTGCACTAAATTACGCAGGCGTTGGAGGTTTCCCAACATACTTGTGAGCTGGAATATTCAATGTCTGTGTCAGCGTCAGTTGCCGCACCAGAAACAGTGCTGAAGAACACGTTTCAGTCAAAAATTGCCTGCGGTAGATATGTTCCCTCGGGCCCAGTAGGGGATGGAATAGGTCACTACTTCAAAGACGCTACAATACGCAGAGCTTCTTGGGGTGTTGTGGCGCGTGGAGGATCAGCAGAATGTTTAGTCGCAATTGCCTATTCCAAGCCACGGGGGGTGTGGTTTCCAACCAGTCCGTACAAGGATTGCATCTACCGGGAAAGGCATAGGAAGCAGGGTTGACTTGGAATATTGGCTCGAATTCAATATACATTAGGTTTTACAGAGCAGACGCTAAACAACTCGGGTCCCTGACGGCTCATCTCAAACTGTCGATAGCATCCCCTTCAGACGGTCCAGGCACACGCTTCTACATTAACTTCCATGACGTGGGATCAAGACTGCAATATTGCCTCCTGCAATAGGTTAGTTGACCATCTAATAGCAAGGAAGAGAGACGATTCGGGCGTTCACGCCAAGGTCTCTCCTGCAGCACGTGTTGAAGCTCGACGCCGAAACACATCCCAGCTTGCCACCCAATAAGTGCTATAGGGGCATCTTTATACCGTATCAAATGTCACACACAGTTCTGCGTGGCGGCGCAACTTGAGCACTGGAGGTGCTGAGAAGTGGTCTGACGAAAGCGAAATCATGGACGGTGTGTCCTTGACACGCAGGGAAGGATGAACACCGTTGCAACTTCCTCGGGATCAGACGATTTCATGTGAAGAATCTTAGGCATGACCACGGGGGAAAAATGAACACAATAGACGCTGTTCAGCTGTGGGTAGAAGTATGAAATGCCTCGAGGTCGTGAACAGTACAACGCACGGCTGGAGCAGCACGCTGAGCCCATCTTGAGTAAGGAGACATGTCCGTATGACATGGATCCGGGTGCATTTTCCGACGAGGAAGATTGAACAGACTGGGGCTAGTTGCTCAGAGGATGCCATTATTGAATGTTGGGAGACCACCGGAAATGGAGACCATGGCATCCTGACGATTTCCACATCAATATGTCTGCCGCCGCCGCCACTGATTCCACACTTACCTACCTAGGTAGGCTTTATCAAGATGAAAAAGTTCGGACATGTTTATTTCGTACGGGCACCTGTTCCCCTTGCACTCTGAGAGTCTGGTCCCTTTCAGATGATTGACCACTCGACACAAGTCGGCGGTACAGTTCTCCGTCTTGTTTCTCAGCTTTCCAGAGAGCGGGTTGGAAGCCAAACCACCAGATTTCGTGAGACAGAAAGCATTCTTGATAGAGATGATTGTCTTTTAATCATTTGCGACACCTCCACAGGCCCGTTGATGAATTCGTGGTGCAGCTTTGGGAGCCACACGATTCAAACATCTGGGTATTCCACAGCATCTCCATATTTTCGCCTGAAGCTGGTCGCGGCAAACCTCTCAGAAAGAAGAGTAAAGGCCGCATCGGTCCTGCCCTTTCGACATAGCTGGCGGGTCTCGTAGTGGATTTGATCGTGCGGTGCCGTGGGAGAAGCACGCTACGATCTTGGACGAAATGTGTGCAAGCCATCTGTCGATGGAGGATCGTCAGTAGTTGGCACAAAAGAAAATTAGTCAGGCTAGAAGAGCTCACTGGGATACACACAGAAAATCGAGCGACCGCTTTGAGCAGGACGGCCCTCCGAGTGCCGGTACGCCGTCCAGCTCGATATGTGCATGGGCACCGAGTTACCACAGAGTCATGGAATCCTTCTTCACTTGTGTAAAAGTATCTACAATTCATGTACATTGCAATGATGCATCATCCGCGAATCCATCCAATCGCTCCTGAACGGTCTCATGACTCTCTGGGTCCCTTAGAGGAGCTTGCAGCACTCCAAATCCTCAGGGTACCAACCAGTCAGTTCCCGCTCCAATGCCCACGATTCATCTAGTACGCCTGGAACAAGGTCCGCCGGATGTAACAGTGTTTCCAAGCTACTTTAATCTGATAAACACTTATAAGTTATTTTCTAGCCCTCATAGTTTATGCTTCCTCTGGCCTCTTCTTCCGCATTTCTCCGCTTCCAACCACAGCAAGGAAGCATACCGCTTCGTACGTGTCTTCTTTGTGTTACAGGGCAGGCCAACGGTCGTCTGCAGCGCTCCCAACCTCCAGCTGCCCCAAGCAAGCGTTGATCTAGTTAATGAAAACGATTTCTATCTTCATCGTCATTGGGGGTGGCGCATTTGACCCAGATGACATGTGCTTCGGGCCTTCTCTCGTTTCCCTGCTTCCGCCTCTTCTTCCCGGGATGGGAACTGCTCATTTTCCAGTCTCCTCGATGACCAACCCCCCAGAAATCGCCAACACATGGCAATCCCACTCAAAGCGATAACCGAGCTTCACGCGAGTCGAGAAACCTGCTCCAACATCCACGACGCCACGTGTCACGGCGTTGGTTCACTGATTTTCGCCAAGTTCGCTTGATGGCCATGGGGGGTGCCTCTGTTGGAATCCGGGACGACGGCCTATGAATGAATAGAGGGCTACCAGATGGGACGGAGCTTCTGACTGAGGAAGGCAGGGACTCTGGATTCCTCAACATCAACGTCGCTGACTGTCGTCATACCGCACCCAAAGGGATCTATCTCCCTGTGCCGTCGGCGGCCTCCGTCAAACCTGCAACAGTTGGGCATCAAGCATGACAAATTCCTCATTCCCCAAGGGGAGGGATAATACATTTATCTTGGCCATGCTCCACGCGCGGTCAGTGCCCAAGAGCTGGACATGGAGCTTCACGAGCTGCCAGACCAGTTGTGGGACATGCCCGGAAAGGGAGGTCGAGTTGCTAAAACTGAATGAAGTAGGTAGTTGGACGTCATTTGCCTGCCAACTGAGGTACGACTGGCTGCACACTTGTCGAGTACGAGTGACCTATACTGAATGTGACACGGCTGAAGCACAGATTATGGTTCAACTTGGTCTGTTGCGATTCCCTCTAAGCCGGATGGCGTTGACCACTTATTGGGCAAGCGAGAGGCAGCTTCATCATATCCATTCCGGTGACTTAGTTTCGAGCAAAGTCGCGTCATTGGAATGCCACTGGAAGCTCAGCGACTGACTGTGATGAGGTGGCATGAACGTCCATCAATGCCCAAGCGTTATAACTGACCGGCAGCACAAATGCACTACCACTCCTTGATGGCATGGCTGGGTGTTTATTCGACTCGGCTAAGAAATGACACGTCATTTGGCGAGTAGCAGAACCGCCTTTTTTGCAAAGATACTCGGCGACTATGTTCCTCGTCATATTGTTCAGCAACATTTCATCGTTGCGACGTCGTCCCACGGAGTGAGCCTTGGTGCTCGCTCGCCGCTCGGCAGTAGCATCCATCTCTCTGGCATGGACCTCAATTGACGAAAATGCCCGGACAAGAGAACAGTTGAGACACCATCAAAGTGCAGCGAAGAGTCACGGACGAAGGGCAATTTTGCTGTTGACGACAGACGTGTCCAGGCCACGGCCACGACTCGTGACCGGCTGCAAGTTCATCCGGGAGTTGCCGCCGTAAACTCCAGACCTTTGCCCTAGACTCCTCCCAACCTCTTCGATACACGCTCGCAGCCGAGAGCTGCCCACGATTGCCTCGATGATCTTGACTCCAGGCCTTCTTCAACTGCCCGCCGGCCAAACAAAAGGCTAGCTCATGGATCAGCGAGCAAGAAGCTGGCTGTTGGGGATGCGAAAGTCCCTGCATCACATGTGCAAGTCCCTTTGAATCGGCAGTCATCTCCGGATCAGCTCAGTCGGGGAGGCCCTGCATCTGCACCGCAGCCCGTCAGTAGCGATGTCTGTAGGAAGCGAGACACGTGGCTTCACCACTTTGATGCTACCGCCACGCACGACGTGGCAGGGAGACACGCACCTCCAATATTGCACAACATGGGCGGAATGCCGTCCGCAGCTCTGTCCCGAGGCAACGCACCACCGTCTTCTCGGCTGTTACCTATTCAAGTACTTATAAAGCCATGTCGTCCTACTGAAAGGGCAAGCCTCCGATCTGATCGTTGATCGTTGATCGTTGGTTCTTGACCGATATCATATCGAGGGTAGTCAGCCAGTCACGTCTCCTCACACTTCCCAACCACCAACTCCATTGTCCCGAGACACGCAAAATCGTCGACGTGTTTCATGTCTTCCCCAGCTGATCTCGCGGGTGAAAACCTGGTCAAGAGCGGCCCTTTTGGCGGCCGAGGAGGAGATCCCTGGCAACTGTTGCCGGACAAGCCTGGTCAGACATTGCAGTCTATCCAGGTGTGGGAGGGCAACTACGACCAATACTACGTGGTCCGAGGCATCAAAGTCGTCTGGTCCGATGGTAGTTCCGCCTCGGCGTGCAACCAAAAGGGAGCCTCCAAGTCGTATGACTTTGAAGAGGGCGAGAAGATTTCAAGTATGCGTATCCGCGCCTACGGCTACGTGGACAACATCTCCTTTGAGACGGACAAGGGAGGAAAATTCGACGCTGGCGGACCGGGCGGTGACCCAGACTGGGCTGATGTTGGCAACGGCGAAATCGTCGGATTTGCCGGGCGTGGCACCCCCCACGGTTGCGTAGACAACCTAGCAACTTACTACAATCCCCAGTCTTGAGTCTGACTGAGAGGTACGTCTTTGTTTCCCCATGCGTTTCCAGGTCGCCAAGGTGAAGAACTCCTCTGACAACTTGGACTGCTGTCTCTCTCAGGCCAACGCTGCGAGGGACGGCCAGTGTTCCTCCCAACAGTGGAAAAATTGAGGGAAAGCCAGTCGGCAAAGCTGGGATATCCAGCAGGAGGACGCTTGCCAGTCGCCGATGCTCTCTCGACGAGGCTTGCTGCTGCCGGGATGTCGCTCGTTGTATTCTAGCTGGTTCCTCTACTACTCTTGTTACGACTTACAGCCGTCGCGACGTGCTTCTTGCAACGCGTTCCGCCGGGGTTCACCAGGCTCTGGAGAGCCTCAATTCCAGTCACTCATACAGCATAGGTCTGCTCGCCCCTAAAAGTTTTTTGTAAGCGACTTGGACCAATTTAACAATTGAACAACTGTCAGTATATGATGTCTTAGGGTCTACTTGTAAGACTTTTAGTTCAGGAGCCGCCGACGTTGCCTCGCAGCCATCTTAACGATCAGTATTGAACCAACTCAGTGTCTCCGCGTATTCGCCGGAAACAGAGAAGGGCTTGGCAAGAGTTACAGCCCCGGGGTTGAAGATTGGTTGCGGGAAAGCAGTACAGTTCGTCTGGGGAGAAAACGCAAGTGACCGAAGTGACTCCCAAGCTCCTCTCAATCACCAGAAGTCAGATCCCAGGATCCAGGTCGTAGTAGTGCCAGCAGTCTGCCTATGATTGGGGAGACAATGCCCCCTTGAACGTGGAAGCCTAACCGTGTGACATTCTCATCAGTTTCGTCTGTACGGGCCAATGGGACAGTGATAGTCCAAAAGAATGCTCTGCTACTACACGCTGACAATCAAAGCTTCCGAGTACGTATCGCCGCGATGGCTGTGGAGCTGTGTACAGTCCACGGAATTACGTACCTCAGTTCAGGCTGGACGTACACAATTTGCTTCACAGGGGGCCACTGGGTCAAAGTCATTACTGTAGCGGTTTCGAAAGTAGTCACAATAGTATTCAAATCCATGTGGTCAGGGACACGGTAAAACTTCAGAGATTCTGCTTAATACCAGAAGATGTTTCCACCTTCGTTGTCGATAGATCCCCTGTGAGCTATAGCACGCTCCCCTTCCAGTACATCACAGCCTCAAGTTCACAGGTAGCCCTTGATCATGACGGTTTCTTTCCCTTGCGCTTCTTTTGGGATGTTTCGGCGGACGAAATAATCAAGCCCATATTGGGGTTGTTGGCTACTCTCTGGGAGAGTAACTCAGGGTCTCCTTCATGGGGATTGCCAACATTTCAACTGCATGTGCGTGCTTCAGGACAGGCTGGCTGCTGCCTAGGACTATCACGCATGCCACGTAACTACTTGGTAACTTACTTATACGCCTTGTTTTTACCATTTTGGTCGGCCCGCATTCGCGTTGGTCCTTGCGGCGCAACTAACTTCCGGCACAGTGCTCCAGTACGTACCTCGAGCGCTGGGGCAAGTCCAGCCGGCATCAACTGGTCCAGATGATCGCTTCCCCCTTCATTTCTTCATTTCGGGGACTTGACTTTTCAGTTTTCTTGTGTCGCAGCGTCATGCCAGCCTCGGCGATGCCACAAGATCGAACTGATCAGCGTCATCCCGCGCAACCACACGATTCCGGGTCAGATTCAGATTTGTCTGGCCGATCTCATTCGGAGTCGCTGCAAAGGGCTCTTTCCGGTGACGACAATGTTCTGGTTCCAATGCGCTACCCAGCCCTGAAAGAGGCATTCCTCACGTCCCTCGAGGCCAAGAAGGATGTCATTGAGGCAACAGTTCGGTTTCATCTACGGGCTCGCAATTGCTACCTGAGTGCCCGCGAGGTCTGGAAATCGGGCTCTTTCAACGTCGCCATTCCCGTCCATATTTCGCGAGGTCGGACCGTCTTGATGCGCATTCCATTCCCGCATCGTATTGGCGAAGACCAATGCCCAGGAAACCTCGAAGAAAAGCTCCGGACTGAGATTGCTACCTACATATGGCTGCGTCAAAATTGCCCCGACATCCCAATCCCCGAACTGCTTGCGTTTGGGCTGCCTGACGGGTCGACGGTAAATCCAAACACAGCCTCAGCAGTATGCAATCACCCTCCGGTACGCTCCTATTAACATTCCATAGTTCTCACATCCCCTCCACGCGCCTTTCTGGGAGAAATCTTGGTGGACGTTGAAACGATTTGGTTGCCTTTTGCTCCGCCGCCCGGTACCCGTCCATCACGTCAGACGGACGACCCGTCACTCACTAGGCGTAGGCTTTTTACTCATTAGCGAGGCTCGCGGCAAAAAACTAGCCTGGTCGTGGCTGGACCACTTCGACGACAAGGCATACCGAGAGAGGCTGTTCCGCGGCCTTTCGCGTATATTCCTCTCGCTCAACTCTGTTCCCTTGCCACGCATTGGGTCATACAGGCTCCAGCCCGACGCATCTCTCGCCCTGTGCAACCGGCCGCTCAGTTTCTACTTTCACATGCTGGAGAACGAGGGCATTCCGACACGTGTTCCGCGCAACCGTACGTACGCCCAGGTCGAGTCTTACTTGTCTGATCTTCTCTCATTCCACGACAACAAAATACGGCACCAGCCCAACGCAATACATGATCAAGACGACGGCATGGCGCAGCTCGCCGCGCTTACTACCCTGCGGGCCACAATGCACCACTTTATCCGCCAGGAATGCCGTGATGGACCCTTCTTCCTGCAGTTGACAGACTTACACCAGCAGAATATCTTTGTTGACCAAGACTGGAACATCCAGACGATTATCGACCTTGAATGGGCGCACACCCTGCCTTCAGAAATGCACCTTCCCCCATACTGGCTCTCATCCAGGAATGCAGTCGATAGTTTTGATGACGAGGCTGCCATTGCCGAATATGAGGCTATACTGGAAGAATATTGGGCGGCCTACCAGGACGAGGAGAGGAAGCGCAACGGAACCGTCATCCAAGTGCCGCTTCAGCGTGACGTGTGGTCGAGAGGGAGCTTTTGGTATTTCCACGCCATCCGGGTGCCCAAGGGCATGTATACGCTGTTCAACAGGCACATCCAGCCCCTGTTCAACAAGGAGCATGCCGAAAAGAAAATATTCGACGAGGTGTTTTATTGGTATTGGGGATTTGACGTGCAGGATTTGATAGACAAGAAGCTGAGAGACAAGCAAGAGTACGTGGCGAGCGTGAGGGAGGCGTTGAGGCAAGGTCGCGAAAAGAAGCAATGACGGTTTGCAATCGAGAGGAGGAACCGGGTTCAAAGTGAGTTGGACATCCTTTGGTCTTGATCTCTCTGGCGATGAGTGAATTTTTGTGTTTCTCCAGGGCAACGAGAAGCTGTATCGAGGGTATAATGCCGTCCTGTCAAGCTTACCAGCGTTTCCTTGATGTAATGGCTTGATGTGTTGGATAGCGCTTACGCCGAGTCGTCTAATTGGCTCCAGAGACCTGCCGAATACCACCATTGGGATTGTCTGGGTGCGTCCAGATCAAAGCGCCTGCGCGGGCACTGCGTAGCCAGAGGCCTTGTTTATGTGTGTGTGTGTGTGCTCACTCTATCACTGCGTACCGAGCAGCTTCCTAGTGGACGATTTCGGCCAGACACGACTCCAGAGGTGCCCCCGCAGAGAATATAGCACGTCGACCTAGGAACGCCGGAGGACCCTCGATCAGACAGATGAGGGAAGAGGAAAGAGGAAGGCGCCGACCTGGATTTCCGAAGAGGGCTTCGAACTCGATTCGTCCCACATCTGCCGTCGAGGACCGAGGTAGACCAAGAGCTCGCCTCCCCAACCTGTTTCTGCTGCGGCCGTGCCATGTACTAGGTACAACTCCGTCGAGGACGCTGGTAAGGACGCAGAGCATTCGACAGATTAGCTGGCCGGACTGTGTCGAGATGGACCGCCCGACTTGCTGACTCGTGGCGAGATTGTCTCGTCAGCCGAGACTCGGCTCAAATGTGCCGCCTCCACACATGACCAACTGGTAGGCACGCAGGTGCGCGATGTGGAAGTTGCGGGAAGACTGCGGACCTCGGGGAAATGATCTCATCCATCGTGTATAGCCTGGTACCTCGGCGGCCCTTGTTAGAACGCCGCAGGATGCATCTCAGACATTGCACCAACGGTCTGCTTACATCGGAAGCTGCCTCGGTCGAGGTCGATTAGCAACAAGACTGACAAGACTGGACGCAATCGCTGGACACGACGGAGCGCAAAGGTATGATGCCATTGCCGGCTTACAAGTTGACGTGTAGAAAGAAAAGCCATCGAGCGATGATTAATCCGTCAGCCAAGCACTCACGTGCCATGCTCCGACTCCAGACGCCAGAGTCCAAAGTCAAACAGTTCAGTTCTCCCAAACCACCGACCGACAACCTTGGAGACTACATGCGAGGCCCTAATCTTCTTGTTCAACGTACAACGCACCCGCGTATTCCAGCATTTGATCTGCCGCCACGTACTGCCCCCGCGATTACCCCCCAAAGACCTCCTGTCAAGCCGCAACTCCCGCAAGCAGACCAAGCAGGTCGTGATCCCGCATGCTTCAGCTTTCAACACTCGCCGCTCCCTGCTGCATGCTGCACCATCTTCTATCTGACCTCGTCCCCAAGAAGCTTGGGTCGTCCAACTTTCAGGAAAGCAATTGAAATAAAAATACCAACCGGAAAACAGCCGGCTTTGGCAAAACAATCCAGCACTTCTATGCTTGCATCCACTCTGACAACGTCGCCGCCGCCGCCGCCGCCGCCTCAGCCTGCGCCATTTTTTATCCCACCATCCTCCCGTTTCGACCGGACCCATCTCCTCCTCGGAGGGCAGGCATGTACAGCCCTATCCCCCGGACCCTCGCAGCAGCAACAGTAGACGAGGCCGCGTCGCTGCCGACCTCGCAGGGGTCGGCACCAAATTCAACCATCTCAAGGCCCCTCGGTCGATCTTCCAGCAATGCCTTGAGACCCATCTGTGACTGGCAGCGATAGCTACCAAACCGGTACTCGACGACCACGCGGTCTTCAAACTCGGTCAAAGTCCTCACCTTGTCAATCTGGAACACGAAATTCCTTTCAAAATACGTCGTCAGACTGCTTTCGTTTACAAAACTCTTGTGTCCCGTGATGATCAGCACGCGCGACTCGCCCTTTTCGGTGCTCTGAGAACCGCACTTGGTCCTGTTGAGCACGATCTGTGCCCTGTGCCCACGGATAACAAGGGGATTGCTGTTTGCGCTAGCGAGCAGCCTCTGGGCCCCGGCTGGCCTGAAGAAGACGAGCTTCGCAGCCGACTTGGGATGCTTGATTCCGTCCGGGGGGCTGAGGACGGTCGCGTAGACGCGGCCGACGTCGCGGATCTTACCCAAGAGTTCGGCGACTTTGACGTCGGGGGGCAGCTGGGTGATCCAGAGGGAGCAGTTCTGGTCGGGCCGGAGGTGGTCTGCGCTGGCGTTGGCCTCGGTGTGCATGCCGCGATAGTTGGGGGAGAATTTGAGGTTGATGACGGCCTGGCTCCCGAGCGGCGTTGGCGTGACGTCCCTGCCTGTCACGCCTGGGTGGGTGACGGCCCGCATGGGCACGAAGCCGGAGGCTTGTGTGCCCGTGGTCACAGCGCTCGTCGCTGCGAGGCTGAGTTGGCGAGTGCTTTGTTTCGTGGTCAGGGCTCTTTCGGCATTTGTCTATCAGAAACCGTTAGCGCGGACTGCTCCGTCCCGTTACTTCTACTGGTGTAAGGCGTTCCCATTCTTACTGGCGTGGACCTTTTCAGATTGATTGCGTCCCGGAGGGCGTCGGAGGCGGGATACCCGTTGGAACTTTGAATACGTCCAAATAGGCCTCTAGTCTCAACATTTGGACCGTGATCAGGGGCGCCAGCGGAGGGAGCGGGCGGATGACTGTGAGAGAGAAAGGAGCATCCATTTCTGACATATTCAGCGCCTTTCCAACGTGCAAGATTGCCAGGGCCGACAAGCCCGGCTGAATTAGTGGTGGTGCCGGTTCCTTTGAATTCAGAGTGGTCGGGGTTCGTATATCCGGCAGATCGACTGAACATGGCAGCGCCGTTCGAAGTATACGATCCGTGGTAGCCGAGAGCGTTGGCAGAGTGATGCGGGCCAGCAAAGCCAATGCGACTAGCAACATCGTCAGACCGAACGACAGCGGTACGAACAGGAGGACGAGTAAATCCAGCATGGGCGTAACCATGAGCCAGACTACTACGGCTGGAGGGTACAGAGATGTCTCTGGGAAGGGAAGCGGTCGCGCCCTCGCGGCGACGTCCGGCAATAGGGGCGGGAGCTTGATGTGCAGCACCTGCAGACAGAACAGTGTCGACATTGCGCCCGGCTCTAGTCGATTGTTCAATCAAGCTTGGGACGAGATTACTGCAGGTCGTCGGCGGCAGGTTGACCCTGCGAAGCCGGAGCTGCTTTGACAACTCCAACTCTTCCATGCTCGCGTCAGAAAAAGGTGCTGTAAAAGGTTCCAGAGTCATCAAATCAGTAGCGGACTCATGACCGGAGGGCATTACCATACTAGGAGCAGGAGTAGATGGTTCCATGGCGGGCCAAGTGACCCTCCCTGAGACTGGCCGAGTGCCACTGCGACGCGATGGAGGGCGAGATCCAGAAAGCTGGCTAGTCGAAATGGAAGGGGAGTTTGAGGCGTGGTTCGAAGATACACGAGAGGTCTGATTGCAGACCACGGAGGACAGTACTCCGTGAAAATGGTGGTTTCGCAGCTGGGCATGTTGGACCAGACGCTGTTGTTGACTTGGACGAGAGTCAACCTCGATACGGGTGAGCCAGCTGGGTCGTCGACCTCCTGGAAACTGTTTCGAGAGAGGGGCGATTCGGTCCAACGCTAACGCACCGAGTCAATATTGAGTCGTCGTCACCGGCAATCCTAGAGGGTTAGCGATGCTCACCAGCTTGTTCCGAGAAGAGACGAGCAGAGTTGCCCACGCCACAGTCCTGGAGGCTCATGCCAAGCAACTGGCTTCGAAGATGGAGATGTCAGGCTCGGCATTCAATTCGGTCATTCAGCATGAATACTTGACGTACTGCAGGTTTTATGTAGCCGGGTCAGAAGTGTTGATGAACAGCTAGGTGGAAATCTAGCCGGCCCGAGTGGTTGGAACACCAGGTGAAGAGCAATTAGACAGAGACTGAATAAATTTTATGGGGCCGAAGCGGGAGCAGAAGCGAAAGTGAATCAAGGTCATCAGTGAACCAGGCCATTTTCCTCTGCAGGTTTCCAAGGGCAATGGAGTCATGGCTCTCTCTAGCCGGGAGCCGTTTGGTTGACGGGGTGAGTGAATCCGAAAATTTGCCACGGCGCGTGTACGTCGAGCTGGCCGGGGTACTTTGCTGGAGAGCTGCGTTTAGCAGTCTCCGAGAGCGAGCGAACGGGCGAGCTGTATAAGTAAGAGAACAAAGTCCGGGTTTTTGGTGCAAACAGCCGTGCGAATTGGTTCAAGCTGTCCGTGACTTGCTTCCGGGCAGTGCAAACGGAGGTGAAGCGGTTTGGTGGTCACAGCCCATCCACGCAGCTAGACTGAATTGACGCATCTTTATTACCGATCTTTCTTTGTGTTGTCTTGGTGGACGCTCCATGACTTTCTGTTGTGCTTCGTGAGAGAAAGAGCCTGCGTTTCTTTTACATCAAGAAAGGACACACGGCATGGCTGTGACTCGGAAGGCATTGATCGTCAAGCAGCAGATTCATGGATCTCTACAAGGCGAACCCCCCTCGATGCGGTGGGAATGATAAAGACAGGCGGTTTCACTGATGCTGACGGGCGAGACTGACGGGCATCTGGCAGGTTCGACGTGCCAGACAAAATTGCAGTCTGCGCATCGTCGACCTCGACACACGTGAGAGGGTGGTGACGAGGTCAAGGGTCAAACCCGGGCTGCCGTGGTGCGGTGTCCATCGGGGCGCTCCATACTCGGTGAATTAACATGACTATAATCATGTAACTTGGTCCGTAGCGCATAGCGTTGACTGACGGTGGCCATGAGGGAACAGGGAACTTGAACCAAACGAGGGCTGGTTGTCAAAGGCCATCTGTGCACAAAGTCAGCGGCGAGGTTCGTTTGACCGCGGACCAGACGTGCAGGCAAAACGCAGGATCTGTGCAAAGTACTCCGTAGACCGGTCATCCTTTGACGCCAAAGTGCGCAAGAGGTGCACAGCTCGTTGGTTCTATCTAGCTGCTCGTCGGCCATCTTGCATCTCCGCCGTCGGCAAAGACGACCGGTCACGCCGGAGAGCGGCCTCCGGATCCGTAGGGTCCGCGACTGCAATCATGTGGATGGGTTTTGGTGCTGCTGTGCGACAATCATGTCCACGTTTAATGGCCACGCACAAAAGGCCTCCTTTGCGGTTCTCAAAGCAGCGGGGTCATCCCCGGCGGCCACGAGGCAAGGGAGGCAGATGAGACGAGTCGAGACGCAGCTCGTCGGGTGCTGTGAGCGTGTTGGGCAGCCCCCAAGGGCAGCATCGCCATGCGGCTGCAGAAGCGTCGTCGCCGGCTCAGGCCAGTCTGGGGAGGTTGTCGTTCACATCTGCGCTGAGGTTCGTCTTTCTGGTGCCGTATTGAAGTAGGGGGAAAGACGCAGTGCTGGGGAAGCAAGTGCGGCTTGTTATTCGACCATGAGTCAGAGATGATATTGGATACTGGCCACAGACAGGGAACAACAAGGGGACATCATGAGCTCGACATGCTGCAGCAGTGATGCAACCATGTGCCAACAGAAGGCTCAATATTGACATGAAGCTATTCCCGCTTGGGTGGCAACCTAGAAATGTTGAACGGGCCGTCTTCTTTCCTCATGTTCGCCGACTCGAAGGATAACCTCCTCCGTGTGCCACGACAGACGCACCCAGGTCAAGGATCCAACCAACCATGGCTGCAAGCGCCCATGCGCGCCACGTGTTGTAACGGCATGGACTTTATGCGTCCTGCTGGGCTGCATCTCAGCCGCTTCGCTTACAGTGAACTCGTAAAACGTGGGAGTGGGCGACATTCCCGAATGTGACGGAGGAACCGAGGACGGGAGACGCCTCGAGTATATAAGTGGCGATTTGTGGACGAAAGCCAGGACTCTGATGCGACCGGGAAAAGAACGCACATGATAATGGGTCTTAAAAGCGGCCCACTGAAGCCTTGATCGTCTTGTTGTGTACTATTGTGTGCATATGCTTTCCATCCCGCTGGATCTTCTACTGGAAGCCAAGATGTTAGAAGAAGACAAGCTGCATCAATTCCGAAAACAGCGCCTCAGACCTGGGAGTAACTCGAAGAGAGCCTTGATGACGCCCACCAAAAAGGCGCACCTACGAATGAAATGCCTCACCGGAATTATTCTCACAGCCACTTCGTTGTACACTGAGGAAGCAATATATGACCGGTCCACCTGCAAGTTTCTCGCCATAGTAGAGAGCGCAGCTGAAATGCTCGTCCAGCTACCAACAGGTTCCATTTCAGACGGAACCAGTCCGCGCCATCAAGCAGAACTGACTCTCACCATGGCCGTCATACACCCGTTATACATCACTGCCTCGAAATGTAGAAGCTCGCTAACTCGTCGACGGGGCGATTGAACTGTTACAGATGGCCCCCAGTCTCGAGAAAGCGTGGGACGCAATGTCCTATGCCAGAATTGCAGAGCGCCTCATGCAGCTGGAGGAGGCTTGTTTGGAGGAACCGCGGCCAACTGATCCGGCGACCGTACCGGAATGGTGTCGTATTCATTCGACAGAGGTCTATCCCCTAAAAGATGGAAAATCTGTCAAGGTTGTCTTTCGATTTCGGCCCAATGGTATGGATGGGGAGTGGAGCGACTTTTCGGAGGCGATAGCTTGGGGACATTAACATGAGTGTTGTGGGCAGTTGTGCGCTTGATGGCATACATGATCGATGGATTTGTAAATTGATGATATAGAGCTATTTTCGTACGCAAAGGGATCAAAAGCTGTGAAAGCCTGTCAGTAATCTCAGAGTCGGAAGCAGGGGAGGTGGAGACGATTACCTTTCGTTTGATATTGCTCAAGGCCATCACGTATTCCCTGAGGCTGGAAGCACAAGACTGTGGCCATTTATCCTAAGCACTATATCATCGAAGGCGACTTCACCTTGGGCCTGCCTAAGAAAGCCCAACTATCAAGAGAGAAAACCGATCATTCGACGAGGCTGACAGCAAGATTTGATCCAGGCGAGCCGGATTGAATGAACGAAACAAAGTAACCTAACACTGAAGTGCTCAGTAAGATTTTATGGAAAGTTGCTCCATGTCTAACCTGTACAGTGCATTTCAACTTACAGAAGTCATCAAGGTGTGTCCACCGACTGCCGGGTCCCAGGCTGACTGAGGCATTGTGTAAAGCCTGAGGTCACCCTGATCTGAGAGGGGAGCAGAAACAACCTTGACAAGCTGGCCAACCTGAAAGAGCTTCAATACATGACTCTGCCAAGCTTTCAGTACCAACACATGCCATCGGTTGCGCTTGGAGAAACAAAAACTATAGACGTGATCCCTCTTCGATATTTTTGACGTGGCAAATAGGGTTGTCTCATTTGAATCATCCTGTATCTCAGCAGCTGTCAGCAAACTCACATCTTGTTCACGGCTCTCAATTTTCGTGGTCATTTGATCCGCTGGGCGTTTTATCCCGACGCTTACTTGCTGAACTAGAGCACGTGACAGGAAGAGGGATTCTTACATGGTAGTCAACTGTGGCGGCTATAAGAAAACATCCCAAGGTTGTTGCCTGCATCTAATCTGGGACTGAGTACTGCAGCAGCACATAAAACGTGCTGGTCTGCCACATCGTACACCCGCGACTTTGAAGTCAAGGCCCTGTGCAGATGCTCCGTCATGGTAGAAAGACGATGCGACCGACGGTCTTGTGACAAGAATCGAGTCCCAAATATGAAAGTTGGTTGCAAAGGAAGAGGGACTCAGGGGTAGGACTCTGTCTCTATGGCTTGAGACCTGCCACCAAGAACAAGACGCTCCACTTCGACGCTGCATGCTAGATGCAAGTAAACAGATCAGGTCAGGAATAGAGAGCTTTTCAGGCTAGTACCACATCACCGACCATTGCAGGCCGTCTGCATACGAGAATACAAGTGAAAATGGGCGGCGTCTGTTGTGGTTGGTTGTCGGGGCGGGGTTTCACTTTCATGCGTCCAACAGTTCAAATGTCTTTGCTGCAATAATACGCCACCCCTTTGGCTTATTATCTTCGCAGGATTTCTTCAGACTGGCCATGACCAACGTGTGAATTGAGCACTGGATATCTATGGTCAGTCTGGCTAATTTAGCTGGTATATCGTGAGGTAGATGTAGAACTGACTGGGCTTGTCACAGAACAAATCACCATGTCGAACAAAATTAGCCATGGGCGAATCGAGGAGTTGAATGATAGAAAACAGCAAAGAGATGATTTAAAGGCCAAAATTCAATCAGTGATGGATAAAATGCAAAGCATCAAAGACCGAATGTCGTCGCCTGAGACCGAAAAGCAGTTAACATCGTCGACGAATGCCGCCAAGGCAAAGCGACAAAACGCGAAGGCGTCACAGAAGGGTTAAAGGTTTGCCAACAACCGACACAACAGGAGATGACGGGTGATAGCAGTTGACCCCTGGCCGTTGACGCGGTTCAAATGTTGACTCTGCATCGGGCGGTGGGCCTACCTGGTACCTCAAGTACCTACTTACTTAAGTAGTTAGGTAGTTAGGTACCTCCTAGGGCAAGTCTTCCACTCAACATTTGAACCTTGAACCTTGGACAATGGCCCCCGTCATTCATACTCTGGTCCAACAAAAAAGTCTCGACAACTTGCCATGATCCGATCAATCTGCTACCGCCTCTTCCAATAGATCATCCCTGCCCTTCCTCTCGAATACGGTTGGTGCGCGCGCAACGTGGTCGAGGATGCGCCTCATGCAACCAAACAGTCTCTCCGATTCCTTTGTTGGTGGGAGCGCCGTATGGAAGAGTGAATCGGGGCTCCAATGTCGACGACGGCGGCTCAGCCCAGCTTTATCAGAGCCACTGTTGGAACAAGATAGCAGCGTCGGAAGTGTTGCAGACAATACGTCTCGCGTTCCTGGCTTGCATAAACGAAATTCTTGGGGACGGAGTCGAGGCCTGGCTTGCAAACACAACGCCACGTCCACAACAGCCTGCTCGCCCGTGCCAATTCCAGCGGCCCGTCACTAAGTACTTGGTTGGTAATGCAAATCGAGAGATCCATCGTCTCGAATCTCGACGAGGAAGGACCCCACGGGCGACTGGACGGCATCTAAGTGCGAGGAACAAGGTAGCATGATACTAGCATCGACCCTGGGCTCTTTTGCATCCCCGCATTGACAGACGCCACTGCAAGCGTATGCACGGTTTTTCGTTTAGCATCGGCGCCGATTCGAGCTAGTAATTGTGTCAACTCTGTTGTTGGTCCCGGGATGCCTGTTCCTTGCCATTCCTCCTCGAGGACGAGGCGTCTTGCGCTCCTTCCTAGTCATGTTCGCCTCTTCGGCTCCAACACAATTCAATCCCGCTGCGCGACGCAACACCGACCTTCCTCCCCACCTCTTGACATTTTGTCCGCGAGACGTCTGGTGCATATAACACAACACAGTCATGTTGGCTACTCGGGAGTCGGCAGGCTATGGGCAGTTTGAAGTATAAGAAGGCCATACAGACTTGCTTCGATCTAAACATGGCATTGTCAGTTTACAGTGTACGGGTGTTGAGATACTCGGTTACATTGCCTTCGACACTTTTCCCAACGTCCAGTCCGTTGCATCCAAATCAAATCATCCGCAATGACGTGCCTCAATCCAACCATGCATCAATTTAGCAAGGACCCCAAGTTCCATTTTGAGATCCTCCGCGCTCTAGCCATGGCGCCCTACGATGGCGCGGACATCGACGAGTGTCTCGTGGCTGCCAATTCCATCGTGCCTGGCGACTTTGAGAGCTTCGCGGCGGCATTTGTGGGCATTGCAAACACAGTCTACGAGCGAGCCTTGCGGGTTGTCAAAACCAGGTTTCCCATATCTGCGCGAACCGCATTTTTCAGCGCTGCCACGTACTTCCGGAGTGCCGACTTTTACCTACACGGCAATCAGGAGGACCCTCGAATTATGGACTATTGGGCTAAGCAGACGGATGCGTTTGATCAGGGTCTCGCTCTTCTCTCGCCTCCGGGCACAAGGTTCAACATCAAAACTCCTGAATTTGATGTCCCCTGCATCTGGATGACGCCAGATCATGAGGTGAAGCAACGGCCGACCATCATCATGGGCAACGGCTACGACGGATCTCAGGAAGAAATGTATCACGTCGCGGGTCTGGCTGCGCTGGAGCGAGGCTACAATGTCCTCACCTATGAAGGACCCGGGCAGCCATCACCACGTCGGTACCAAAACAAGGGTTTCATTGCGGAATGGGAAAAGGTTGTCACGCCCATCATGGACCACGTCCTCAACATGACGGAGTGGGTCGATCCGAACGCCGTCGCGCTCTATGGCCTCTCTCTAGGAGGCTATATGGCCCCGCGTGTAGCCGCGTTCGACCACCGCTTCGCCGCAATCATGGCCATGGACGGTGTATGGGACTTTGGCGCTGTTGTCCGCCATGACTTTGGCCCCGATGCTATGAAGATCCACGCCTCGGGTGATAAGGCGAAATTCGACCAGCTCGCTCGGCAATATCTGAGACCAGGCGTGCCCACTGGTCGCCGCTGGGGTCTCGAGCAAGGCCTGTGGGCATTCAATACAACTTCCCCATTCGATTTTGTTACCGAAGCGCAGAAATTTACGCTCGCAAAAGTTGCCCACCTGATTCGAACCCCTGTGTTTGTTGGCGATGCCGAAGATGACATCTTCTTCAAGGGGCAGCCGCGGCAGTTGGCCCAGGCGATTGGAAAGTGGGCTACTTTGTATCAGTTTAAAACCAAGGACATTATCGGAACGCACTCAGGCATTGGGGCGTTGAAGCAGCATAACCAGGTTATTTACGATTGGTTTGAGGACATTCTTGACGGGGACAACTAGGGTGAGATATGGTGAAAGCGTTGTAAAACACGCTGTGAATACAAGTAAATTTATACAAGACTCACCTATCCTGGATTACTGCATGTCTCATATGACAGGTTTTTTTTTTACCCGGTTGAACCTGAGGTCAATTGTAGATGCATTCTGAGCACTTCTGGGCGCCCTTCAGAACAGCCCATCCCCCACCTGCCTGGGCAATGAATTGTAGTCAGTCGAGGTAATCAAGAGCAAGATATTGGCTCGGGCAAAGATAGTATGTACGATATTCAATATTTCTCATGACGAGGAGCTAATCGGCTTGGAGACTAGAAGCAGTGGGTCTCGGGACGGACCGTATTCAGGAGGGAGCTAACAGCCAATGAGGGAGGTATGCAACAAGGAGGGAGGTATGCAACAAGACGGAAGGTGCCTCCGCCGCTTGTCAGCTAAAATGCCAGACCCCTGATCGGTTTGCATAGATTGACTACGGAGTACGGAGTACCACGGCCATCTCCCGCAGATCCAACCGGAATATGCCGCCAGTGCCACGAGGCTGCGAAAAAATCGAGAAGCGACCAGACGGCTGGAAGGGAAGGGTAGCAAGCAGTTGGCCACCACAGCCCGGCTCGACGACAACAGCCAGGGAGCAACACACCAAAAAGAGGTAGTCAGTCGATGGCGGCAACAAGAGTCAACGCTTGCTGGCTGCTGAAACGGCCAACGGCGCGTCACTCACCGCCCGCCATCACCGATTTCGGGTACTGACAAAACGCTGCGCCGGCACCCCACCCAAAAAGGGATCCACAAGGATCATCTTGTCGATAACGTTGTACATTGCCAGACACCATAATCATGCCACTCGCGCGGTGCTCAGTACTCAGCGCTCCGACACCACGTCCATCCATCCTTCTCTGCCGACATACTGGTCAATTGGGCTCGTCTTTGTAGAAACTATGCTCTCTGCTACTTCTAGAGCGCTGCGCATTGCCGCATGCCGCGTCCCCCCACCAGCGGCCTCGACCGCCGTCTCGCCGATGCCCGAGGCCTCCCCTAGTCGAAGCACCCAGATCGCCGCCCGAGCCCGTTCCCTCTCTTCCACGGGACGCGTGTCGTATGCCATCAACACAAACCCGAACCCGCCCTTGGGCAAGAAGAATGCCTCCAACGAGATGCCGTCCCGGATCGGCCTCATTGGAGCCCGCGGCTACACAGGTCAAGCCCTGGTTGAGCTGCTCGACAAGCACCCCAATATGGATCTGTGTCATGTGTCTTCCCGGGAACTTGACGGCCAGGAGCTCAAAGACTACACCAAGCGCAAAATCATCTACAAGAACCTGTCTCCCGAGGAAGTAGCTCAGCTAGACAAGGAAGGCCAGGTCGACTGTTGGGTGATGGCTCTCCCGAATGGTGTCTGCCAGCCTTTCGTGCGAGCTCTCGGTCAGAGCTCGAGTCTGATCATTGATCTTTCAGCCGACCATCGATTCGACGGCACTTGGGGCTCGTACGGGCTCCCAGAATTAGTTCAGCGAAGCAAGATTGCCCAATCCACCCGCATCAGCTGCCCCGGGTGCTACTCGACGGGGTCGCAATTGGCCTTGGCGCCCGTTTTGGAACATTTGGGAGGCATGCCCACAGTCTTTGGAGTTTCGGGCTATAGCGGAGCTGGCACGAAGCCTTCTCCAAAAAACGACGTCCACCTTCTCCGTGACAACCTAATGCCGTGTAAGAGTTGAGAACTCGGGCGCAAGCAAATGGGAAGCTAAAGTTTCAACAGACAGCCTGACTGGGCATATACATGAGCAAGAAATCAGTCACCACCTTGATGTGCCGACAGCATTCATTCCGCATTGGTCTGTCCTGTTTCTTTATCCCTCTCGTGACTGGACACTGACGACGACGTAGCGCCTCCTGGTTTCGCGGCATTCACTTGACCATCAATATCCCCCTGAACAAGACAATGACTTCTCGAGATGTTCGTCAGATCTACCAAGACCGATACGCTGGAGAAAAGCTTGTCAAGGTCGTCGGTGAAGCGCCACTCGTGAAATCTATCCAGAACAGGCACGGAGTTGAGATTGGAGCGTTCGCCGTTGACGACACGGGCAAGCGTGTTGTCGTGTAGGCGCCTCATCTTTGCATTTGCTTCTTGAAGATGCTTGGGCTAATTCTGAATAGCTGTGCCACCATTGACAATCTCAACAAGGGCGCTGCCACACAATGCTTGCGTAAGTCTATTCAACCAACAGTGGCATTTCTGCTCTGGCTGACAACTATAATCAGAGAACATGAACCTCGCGCTTGGATACGACGAATATCAGGGAATCCCTATTGATTGACCAAGTCGATCTCATGACTACGGTTCTGAAAGTTAGACTACTTGGCGTTTACGTTGGTGAAACGGAAGGACCTGTAACATGCAGCAAAGCCTGTAAGCTGAGCACATTGCGTTTAGTTCAACAAAACACGTACTGGGAAAGGGGTTTAAATGGCCAATTTATATCTTGTTATTTTCATGTCACTGATTACTTATAGGCTGAGTACGGAAACCCCAGGAAATGGGGGAAAAAAGAAGGCCACGTCACACAGTTGGGCCTCCAAGCCTGAACTCAGCCAACAACGCTCACGCAGCATGGTCACGAGGCCGCGACAGAGGCCTCGCGGATACCTAAGCAAATAAGGGTGCACCGCTCATATAAAGAGGCCTTGGGGCCCAGATTCTTCAGAATGAAGAAGGAACGAAGAACCGCCGAGTCCCTATAGCTATGATTAGATTCAATGTGAATATCCCCATTCCTAGTCCTCGCTGAACCCTTGTCTAACTTCTCGCTCTAGTAACACTTCGTCTCCGGACTGACGCAGTTGTCGCTGCCGTTGCTGCGCCGTCTGTCTTTGCCTGCATCTAGCTTTCATTTTTGTCTACAATCTTCTTCGCCCATTTCAATCTGCAATGATCTGTCGTTGCTTGGCCCGGATCCTACACGTCCACGGGCACTGGCTGAGATGCCCAAGATGGTGGATGTAGTCGATGTGCTCTCCTTATGAAAGACACCCGAATCTTGTTGTGCTGGTCAAAATCTGCCGTGAGGGGTTGCCGTATTCTTACAATCCGTCTCAATGATAGCCATATCGAGGACCGTACAGAGTCCAAATCATGTCTCCGTAATGCAGAAACATGGAATCAACTCAATTGCAGACAAAAGCTTCAAGGACGCCATCTGGGCGGAATCTAAATCATGTCTCTGCAATGCATAAGCATACGTTCACCCACGTGACAGATAGAAGCTTAAGGGACTCTCGTCGAACAGAATTCGAACCATGTCTCCGCAATACAGGGCGTGCAATCCCCTACATTACAGATTGACGCTTCAAGGGCGCCACTCAAGCAGAATCCAAATCATGTCTCCGCGGTACAGAAACATACATTCGACTAGGTTGCTGATGGAAGCTTTAAAGACTCTGCTCGAATAGAATCCGAACTATGTCTATAACGCAGAAACATACAATCAACTAGATGGGTACATATGCGTGTCCATCCCACGCTCCATCAAGGCCACAGCAATCTGTTGGGTCCACGACGATACATGGTGCTTTGAAGGCCGTCCACTCGCTTACCAAGGCCGATCCGGCATGAAGCTTTGCCTGAGGCATAACGCCCGGGTATATCTATTCCTTTACGAATGGTCGTCTTGCTGACTTTGAAGACGATGAGGTGTAGTATCCGCATAAGCTTGAGCAAATGGCAGTACGAGACGAGAAGCCTCTAATATGCAACCTGAGCGGCCAAGCCGTCCAATTCCCGGTCCCAGCATCGGTGTCGGCTAATGGACCAGAAGAGCTGGTCCAGGAAGTGCTTGGCGTCTCTTGCCGCCCGGATGACCTCCTTCAGCGCCTCGGGCTTGGGGTCCCTCAACGTCACAACGCCATAGCTTGACTGGGCGTCAGGGCCTGCAGAGAGCAGGACGCTCTCCAGCGGTATGGCGTGCCTGACCAGGTCCACAGCCTCGCCGGTGGCGGCGATGGTCTTGAGGTGGCCAAACGCCTCGCGTATATAATGCACGACTCTGCCCGTTTTGGCGAGCGTGTCAGCCGAGTGCTTGCCGCCGGGGATGTAGATGGCGTCGAAAAGCGTACTCCGCAGCCCTTCGAAGTGGTGGTCTGGGACGAGGCCCTCGGCAGTGGCGCCTTCTTGGCCCGCGGCGAAGATGGGCGAGCGTCGCGGGCCCAGCACGACGGGGATCGCGCTGGCGGCCTTGAGGGCTGCCACGACGGCGGTGTAGGAGAGGCCGTCGTATCCGTCGGCGATGAGGATGGCGACTTTCCGCGAGGCAACGGTGGCGGTTTCGGGGACGTACTCGAGCTGGCTCAGCCCCGGGGCTCTCTTGCCGTGATTCCGTCGTCCGGACGGGACGGGGCTGGGGCCGCCGACCATGGCGGCGACTGACCGTGCAAGATCGAGGTCGATGTCTGCGAGACGCCTCGTCAGGCGCTCGTAGACGGTTGGGTCATCGCAGTGGTCGAGCTCGAAGGAGAGGGCGGCCTTGATGTGGCTCTTCTCGACGTCGGACATGGAGTTGTAGAAGAGCTGGGCCTGGGAGATGTGCTCTTTGAACTTTTCACTCTTGCCCCGTGCCTTGACGCCCTCGACCTGTTGCCGGTAGTCGACGTAGCCGCCCTCCTGCTGGCTTGCCGGCGGCTGCACCTCGAATCTGTTGGGCCAGTAGTTGACCTTTCCGCGGGCAATGGTATGCCGCATGGCGCCGTCGCGGTTGAAGTTCATGACAGGGCAGACGGGCTTGTTGATGGGCAGCTCCTCCCAGTTGATGCCCAGCCGGCTGATCTGGGTGTCGAAGTAGGAGAAGTTTCGACCTTGGAGCAGGGGGTCGTCGGAGAAGCCGATGCCGGGCACGACATGGCTCGTGCAGAAGGCTACCTGCTCCGTCTCGGTGAAGAACTCGTCGACGTTGCGGTTCAGCTCCAGCTCGCCGATGTACCGGATGGGCACGGCGTCTTGGGGCCAAACCTTGGTGGCGTCGAGGATGTCGAACTCGAAGCTGTCTTGCTCGCCCTCGGGGATGACTTGGATGCCGAACCGCCACCGGGGGTAGACGCCGCTCTCGATGGCCTCCATCAGGTCCTTCCTGTGAAAGTCGGGGTCCTGCCCGGCGATCTTGAGGGCCTCGTCCCACACAAGCGAGTGCACGCCCAGCTCGGGCGTGAAGTGGAACTTGACAAAGTGCCGCTCGCCGCTGGCGTTTTGGAGCGTAAACGTGTTGACTCCGAAGCCCTGCATCATGCGGTACGAGCGAGGAATTGCCCTGTCGGACATTGTCCACATGTACATGTGCGTCGCCTCGGAGTGCATGTACATGAAGTCCCAGAAGTTGTTGTGTGCCGACTGCGCCTGGGGGATCTCCCCATCCGGCTCGGGCTTGGCGGCGTGGATGAGGTCAGGGAACTTGATGGCGTCTTGGATGAAGAAGACGGGAATGTTGTTTCCCACAATGTCCCAGTTGCCCTCCTCCGTGTACAGCTTGAGGGCGAACCCGCGCACGTCGCGAACCGTGTCTGCGGAGCCTCGGCTGCCGAGCACCGTGGAAAAGCGAAGAAACACGGGCGTTTCCCTCGACGTGTCCGTCAAGACGCCGGCGTGAGTCACGTCGGCGGCGGACTCGTGTAGGCGGAATGTTCCAAAGGCGCCGGCGCCGCGGGCGTGGACGACGCGTTCGGGGATTCTCTCGTGATCGAAGCGGTGTATCTTGAGGATTGTGGATTGTCAGTCGACTGTGCCACATGAGAATTCCAGGTTGGACCCCGATGGTCTCACCTTTTCCCGGGCAAAGGCGTCCTCGAGAAGCATAGGGCCCGTCGTCTTGTCGCTGCAAACGCGCAGCCAGTCGTCCGTGTTGGACTGCTTGGTTCCAAAGTCTGCCGTTATCCTGTCATTTTGCGTGGGCTGCACCGCAGAGGCACTGAGCTGATGCACCTTGGCTGTCTCGGGACACATTGCTGCGGTTGTGGTGCAAACTTGGGGCTTGTGTCTTGACGAGAATTTGCGGCAACTTTTGGAGCGGCACGCACCTCTTGAGCGGGTTGCGTCCACGGCTGTCAGTTATACACGCCATCCATCTTCCATCCATGACATCAGCCATCTTGGACAGTCGGACCCAGGCGGGCTCAATGTCTCATTGGGGACACGCGCAGATTCAAGGTTTGTCTTGCCTCGTCACAATAACGAGGCGGAACAAGGTCTCCGAGCGACTGGGGACCAAGCTCGGTCGGTCCTTTGCCGGACTTGCAAATCCTTGGTATGTAGTGACGTAGTTTTCGAAGGCTTGCGTCGGTGGATGAGGGTGGTTCAAGGCAAAGCCAAACGCTTCCGGAGCCTTGCTTCCACCGCTGACGAGTTGAAACCGTCATGGACCCGTGGGCTTGCGTGGAGAGACAAAAAGGTTCGTTTGGCAGTAAGGAATCACACCGAATCAAATCGCCGCACACCGGGAAATGGATCATGACACCACTTTGCATCACCCAAGTCGTCATCCGCACCGTGGTATTGATCGACGACGAAGTAATGCAAAGCCGCATCGTGTCCGTGGTTTATTTTGAGTCCCACGGAAGAAGTCGTCGAGCTGTGGTCCGGGCGGGGCAAGGGTCAAGACTCGTGCAGTTCTAGTGGTCGCTCAACAGCCACCGGCTCCTGGAGTCGAGCGTTCAAAAGCCCACGAGCCTGGAGGCGACTCTGTGGCGATCGATGACTGACGATGGGTTCTCCGCACCGGTGATTCCAAACCGTGCTGCTCTCGGCCCGCTAGCACCCTGTTGGTTTCGTTCATCCTGGTGGCCCACGCAATGGGGCCAAAAATAGTGAGATCATGATGATGTACGACGGGCTGCGCAGACTCGTGCAAAGTGGCATGTATGCCCGACAAATGACATGGCCCTATGCTCTCACTGGCAGTTTGCAATTTCGCAGCCGCCATCTGCTCCAGCGTTTGAACCTTTGACAACCGCGCGTCTTTTGTATTCCGCCGGCAAATTTACAGCGATTTGCACGCTCCATCAGGATCATGACCACCATGGCAACCGTACCTCGACTGTTCCAAATACACGGAACGTGCAATAACTACACGTGGGGAAAGAAAGGCCACGACTCTCTTGCGGCTAGGCTGTGCGAAAAGACACCAAACACAGGCTTCGTCATCGACGAAGACCAGCGCTACTCGGAGTTGTGGTTTGGCGACTACCCGGATTTTCCTGCAAAAGTCTTGGAGACGGGCCAGCCGCTTGCCGAGCTGCTGAATGAGCACAAAAGAGCACTGCTGGGGTCCCAAGTGGTGGAGCGTTTCGGTAATCACCTACCGTTTCTTCCCAAGGCGAGTTGGCCGCTCCGATTTGGTCCAAGATGTGCGGCTCTGACCGAGATGCCCCAGATTCTCTCAATAAGCAAGCCTCTCCCGTTGCAAATTCACCCGAATAAATCGCTTGCGGCCAGGCTCCATCAGAGGTTTCCAGAAAAGTTCCCCGACAGCAATCATAAGCCGGAAATCGCCGTCGCTCTTTCGCGCTTCGAACTATTCGCCGGATGGAGGGGGCTCGATCAAATCTCGCCCTTGTTCGACGTGCCCAGCCTGCGGCGCTTCGTCCCGGAGTCCACGGCGTCCTGGACGGACGAGACCCTGAGAGATGTCGTCCGCGGGATACTGAAGGCGGACGCGACGACCGTCGACAATATTGAGCAAGATCTGAAGCGGCACGTCGAGCAGGGCGTTCACATGCCCGGCCATCCCGGCCCCTCCATGCTCGACTTGATCCAGCGTCTGCGGTCTCACTCCTCCCCGACAGACCCGGCCATATTGGTCGCCGTTCTGTGCATGAACTATCTCGCACTGGACCCTGGCGAGGCAGTATTCATCCCAGCAGACGGTCTTCACTGCTATTTGTCCGGGGACGTGGTCGAGTGCATGGCGCGTTCGAACAACATGCTCAGTGGCGGCTTCTGTCCCGCCGCCGACCGCGACAGCATCGATCTCTTCTCCGAGACTCTGGTCATTGATAGCAGCACCCGTGCAGAAAACCTCAAGTTGCCGGCGAGACGGCTCAGAGATGCACTTGGCCGCCACACTATGGTGTACCAGCCACCGATTGGTGAATTCGACGTGATTCGAATTGACCTGCCTGCCGGGCAAGAGGAACCGCTCGGGAAACGCAAAGGTCCAACAGTCGCCATTGCGATACTTGGCCGGGGCGCCATTCTAGGGGGCGACACGGAGCTTCCCGTCGAGGAGGGGTTTATTTTCTTTCTTGCCGCAGAGACAGCCGCCATGTTGCGTGCAGACTCTGCCTTGCAGGTTCTCGCCGCAGTCATCCGGTAGATGAAGACTGTGGATGGAGTAAAAAGTCCCGACAGCATATTAGGGAAAGCCGCGATTCCAAAGGCGATGTTCTTGGGTTGCACAAACGCTGGGATTCCACCCGTCGGGGCCGTGGTAAGGGAATAAAGTAGCCTCGTCCATCAGCTGCGAAATTTCACTTGCAGTGTTGCAAAAATACTCGCTGTCTTGTTGTCTTGGCACAACTGCCGGACATGTATGTGCCCTCGTCGATGGCACCTTGTTTTCCACGGAACGAACGATACAGGTGAACTAGCTTGATGCTGTGTTTCCGCTTCGCTCGTGCTCCCAGACTCGCGACGAGCTTCGTTCCTAAGCTGGAATATCACCAAAGTTCAATTAGTAGCGAACGTCAAAGTGCTACTCGCCTTGTCTCTTCAACGCGTCACCAAGCATATCGCATGTAGGTGCATCAGCGTGGCGCTCTCAAACGGCGCCACGGTGGGCGAGTCGCTTCGACGGTACCGAGTATTACGGGGAACGTTGGGCACGCAAGGACTCACATTGCGGCGGCTGATGAAAGTTGTAAACGGGATGCCCGACGACTCATGTCAACAGCGGGTGAAGGAGCAGCCTTTCTGGTCATGGACCGCCCAACGTTGAACGGTCCCGGTGGGGCCCCGACCGGGTGGTGGGGCCGTCCGAGGTCAGCCCCGGGCCTCGCAAATTGTCCTCCGGAAGCGGCATCCGCCTCCGAGAAGCAGAAGTGCAGCATCTCCCTGTAGCTGTCTCTCACACGAGTGCGGGCTCGTTGCAGATGCCCCCCCGTCACACGATTGGTTGCGCTACACAAGGGTCTGCATCGCGAGACCTGGGCCGAAGGATGCAAGTCTGTGGGCACGAGCATTGCAGAAAAACAGCCTCGAATACTCAAGTGTGTTCTCTCAGCATGTGAAGCCCGTCGAGGTGATTGGCGAGGTGAACGGTCAGCGCCGTGTAAACAGCATGCTCTGTTCCGTCGTTGCTTTCCCAGCGAGCTGCCTCTCGTTTTTCCGAGTGCCGCCGTCATCGACATGATGTTTGGTACCCCTTTACGTCTTGCGACGCTCAAGACGGTCGTGAGCCACGGACAGATTTGAGCACTGGAATTGTTTCTTTCCGGGCCGCGAATTTGGAAGCACAGCAGTGAGCAGTGTGTGTCGCGGCTCTTGCACACCCCACCCCTCCCCTCCCAACTACGTAACCTAGCACACCGGGAAAGGGGGGACTGTCTGCGCACCGATGACGAGGGCCTGGAGCAAAAGGTTCGATTCACATGATAGATGGCCGTGTGTGGCCTTGGCCTGGATGACCGGGGCATCAAGGGTCTGTTGCTCAGGCCCCTCTGTGGCCACGAGGGCACCGCGAGGCGCTGGCCGCAAGCTGAACGTAACAGAGGTGGTGACGCATGTTGGAATGAGCGAGCAGTCGCGGGTGGATGGGTGGTGATTGTGGAGAGCAAAACGCAGGGGCTGAAAGTGTATTTACAGTGAGACGATGCCCCAACCTCATCGTCAGGGGTTGGGCAGTTGACAGGTTTTGGAAGTCTACCTACACATGTCAGCAAGCGAAGACGCCAGACGAGAACAAAAAACAAAAGCACATGACCAAGACGCTGCTCGGGGAGCCGGCGTGGCGGTCAACGTCGGTGGTGTCGAAAGACTGGCACGGAGCAAACGTCGAAAACACACCCATTCAGGCCCTTTGCTCTGGGGGACACCAGAGCGATGGGCAGACCGAAACACGTGCGGGCGGGAGGAGAGCCGGCCATCCCCTTTGGCGTGACAAGTCGACGAAACGACCAAGTCTCGACACGGCAGGCGCCAAGATGAAGGGTAGATGCTACGGGGAATCCGTGCGCCCCCCTCTTGATCCCTCTTGATGTTGAGAGCTGGCTCTTGGTGCCAGGTGGTGACCGCTGACTGGCAGTGAGTGGTGAGTCGGGAGTCGTGAGTTGGCTCCCCCAGGGCCTCAGGTCGTGGTTGGACGACACGACTCGACGCACGTGACCTGGCCCAGACGGTGGAAATGGTAACTACGTGGCGGTTGGCTCGTTGGGAGCGTGGGAGCCCCGACCCAACGCCTCCGACGGAGAGCGCGCGGGGAAGGCATGACCGATGCGGGGCGCCCGGTCCAGGGGAGTCCAGGGGCTGGGGACGAATCAACGTCATTGGCCCAAAGCCACTTGATGTAAAGTTTTTGCCCCTCGTCGCATTAAAAAAACTTTAAACTTGCACTGTAAATCACATGCTGTTCGCATGGCAAAATTGGTCCGTCCGTCCGTCCGGCCCTGGCCCCACGTGCGCCCCGAAGTCGAGCTGGATCAGTCAACAGAAGTCATGGACGGTATAAGATAAAACGGTGTTCCCGGGAGCCGTCTTGCCAGCCTGGACCGAAGAGAGGGGAAAGAGTGAAAAAAAAAATAAAAAAATTATATATACATACAATTCCTTGGCCCGCCCCGACTACAACTCTGGCACACCCTCTATCTGAATCCTGGTTTTTCTCCTCGTCTCCCCCTCGTCCACAGGGAACGTCGTCACAAGTCTGCCAGCCGTCGTCGCAAACCACCATGTCCGAGACGAAAATCATACCCAAGCACTCTATGAAGTCTACGTGGCGGACCCAGGAGCGCCGGCAATGGGGCCTCGCCCACTGGTTCTTCGACGTGCTCGGAGTGCTTCCCACCAGCCTCGACCGGCATGTGCCCGTCCACCAAAAGTCGGAAAAGACGCCGTACCTGTCGGACTGGCAGCTGCACCGCTGGGCCATGTTCCACACGGCCATCCCGCTCATCGTGCACCAGCTGTACGCCCAGTACGCGGGGACCAACCTGAGCAAGCCGCAGGCAGCGCTCTTCTACGGGTCGGCCATGCTGCTCACCAGCATCCGCGAGCTACACGTGCTGCGCGAGATGGGCCACCGGCACGGCTTCCTCGACGGCGACACCCACGAGCGGGACGGCGTCCCGGACGGCGGCGTGTGGAAGGTCATCGTCTCGCTCCTGTCGACCGTCTCGTTCCGCACCCTGCTCTTCGTCCTGCTCGCCTACCGCACCGCCGAGACGCCCGCCGACGTCAACTGGCCGTGGCTGCCGTTCGAGGTCGGCCTCTACGCCATCGTCCTCGACTTCTGGTTCTACTGGTACCACCGCCTGATGCACGAGATGCCCGGCCTGTGGCGGTTCCACCGCACCCACCACCTCACCAAGCACCCCAACCCGCTGCTGACCCTGTACGCCGACGCCGTGCAGGAGGTGCTCGACATTGTCGGCATGCCGCTCCTCACCTACTCCTCCATGAAGCTGGCCGGCATGCCCATGGGCTTCTACGAGCTGTGGATCAGCGGCGCCTACGTCGTCTTCACCGAGCTCATGGGCCACAGCGGCCTGCGCGTGTGCGGCTCGACCCCCAACATGTTCAACTCCATCCTGCGCCTCGTCGGCGCCGAGCTCACCATCGAGGACCACGACCTGCACCACCGCAAGGGCTGGAGGGTCAGCGGCAACTACGGCAAGCAGACCTTCCTGTGGGACCGCATCTTCGGCACCTGCAAGGACAGGATGGAGACTCGCCCGGCAAACGTCGACTACGCGAACCGCATCACCATGCCGATTTTCATCACCAAGACGACGGCCGCATGAGCGCGCCCCCCCCCCTGCACAAGGGAAGGGAAGGGGCATGATGGATCCGGAAGCCGGGTGAGGGCGAGGAACGGGAGTGCAGCAGCTAGACTTTGTCGTCGACCATCCTGTACCTTGGTTGGGCAACGTGTGCCGCGGACGGGCTGTGCTTTTTTTTTTTTTTTTTTTTTTTTTTTTTTTTTTTTTTTTTCGCCTACGCGTCGTTGCTTTAGTGTTTCGCCAGCAAGACACTCACTGCCCGTCACGGGACTCACGACACGTAAAGATGGACGGCGGCGATAAAGTACCTAGTAATAAAGTGTGTATGAGAGCGTTGCGGCCGCGCACACCCGTGACTAGATGTTTCCATGGCCCGTATCCCATGTTGACGGATGCACGCCCTCCCGGGCAGCAGGCACACGGAGCACCACTCTGCAAGGTACGAGGCTATATACGGAGGACGAGTGGCCGTTGGCGGTGCGAGGCTCTCAGAGCACCAGGGCGGCGAATCCGGCGGCGGCGGCGGCGGCGGCGGCAAGGACGGCGCTCGGGTGGCCGACGCCGACGCCGGCACCGGCCACGGCGACGTGAGTGCCGGCGGCGGGCTGGGCCTGGCTGCCGTCGCTAGCGTCGCTGCCGCAGTCCTCTCCGCTGCACTCGCGGCCCGCGCCGTTGCTCCCGTCGCCGCTACAGTCCTCCCCGTCGCACTCGTGGCCGCCGCGCGCGCAGTCCTCCGCGCCGGGCGGGCACCCCGGCCGAGCGGTAGCCGTGGGCTCGTGCCGGCCGGACTCGGTGAGCACGCAGGGACAGTCTGCGACACGATTCAGCGCCTCGGCCTCGAGAAAGACGCGGGCAAGAAATAAACAAAGCAGGACAAACAGCCACGTACCGGTGATGGTGAGCGTGGTAGCCTCGCGGACAGTGTAGGTCGCGTTGCCGATGGAAATCGTCGTCGGCCCCTGCCCCGGGACCAACCCCCACGTCAGCTCAGAGTCGGCACGGCGCGCCAAGACGGCGCCTCTCTCGCGCCGGGACAACATACGGGACAGTAGGTGGTGTAGGCGGTGTTGGTGACGGTCACCACCTCGGTGCGGTTCGAGGCCTTCCCGGGCGCGAGGAGGGCGCCGGCGGCGAAAGCCAGAGACGCCGCCCTCATGGTCGACGGGCGTCGGGTACAGAGTCCAGACGACGAGGGATTCGCAAGTGTCGTGCCGTGGGGGGGACGGAAAGAGAAATTACAACACAGCAGTGCCGGGCCGGCTTCACTTGAGCGAGTGTGTACGAGTTGGACGGGCTGCGAGGACTGCGAGGCGTCGATGGCCGCCGCCGTGCCGCCATTATATAGAGCCGTTTTTGGGGAACATGACAACAGAAAACAGTCGCCGACGGTCACGGCGACCGGTGCCCGGGATGAGCTCCCACGAAGGAATGCCCAGAGGCGGAGGGGGGTTGGTCTACACGTGGACACTGGAGACGAGGAGGATGAGCATCCCCGACACATGGATCCGCCGCGGCGCAGGCGAGGACGCGCCGGAGCGGGATGCGTGGGCTGACGGTGATGTTTGCGACGCCGATGTCGCGAATGGCAATGGCTCCGTGGGACCTCGCTTTCCGGACGGGCCCAATGTGTGACGGATGGGGTGCGGTGCACACGATGGATGACGATGCTGCTCGAGGATGCGTGGTCGCAAGACGGCTTCTGGAAGGGTGGAAACCCGGCATTGCCTCGTCGAGAGCCAAGCGCTCGTCGAGAAGCAGGAACCGAAAGTTGCCCGCATGGATGGATGCACAACGGCAGCACGAGCACGACACGACGGGCAGTACAGTGCATGTGAGACCCGACTCGGGACGACGCACGGCGCAGCGTCGTCTGAAAGGACAGCCTGTCGTTGGTTGCACCAGGTGTCACGGTTTCCCCCTGTCCTGCTGAAGGACGTGTCCTGATTGGGCTGCGGGCTCCACCGGACCCGAGCTCAGCCACCAGGCCGGGCTCCACCATCTGCCTATCCGTCTGTATCAATTCATGTGCATCGCATTGTGCGACCAGGTACCTGCTTCCTTCACATGCAGGTTCCTTGCACCTGGCCCACTGAGAGGGAAAAAAAAAGAAAAGAAAAGAAAAGAAGAGAGAGAAGGAGAGAGAGTCCAGGACGTCAGACGTCAATGGCCTTGCGCGCAGCCGTAAAGGGCCCATTCCCAGCGACTGTTGACGCAAAGAACTCGCCCGTGACAAGGACCGCCCGTCCCCGTCCCCGTCCCTGTCCCCTGCCTCCTCTGTTCCTGTAAGGCAAAAAAAAAAAAAATGTACAGCCAAGAAACACTACAGAGTAGCATTAAAAACGTAGCAAAACCAAAGACGCACCCCCAACAACTCAAAGTTCAACTTCCAAGGCACGACGACGCAGCACAGTGGAGCCGCGCAGGACCAGCAGCCCCCCGGCGGGCTCCGCACCAAATGCAACGCAACCTCGTCCGTCGAGACAAATCGCTCCTCTCCCGATCCTTTTTTTCCCTCCACCTCTTCCCACCTCCGCTTCTTGAATTCCTTCCTTCCCCATCCCACCCGTCGCATCATGATGGGTTCACCGGCGAGCGGGTAACCTTCTTTTTTTGCCCTCCAAATACTGGTCTTTTCCACCCCCTTATATCCGGACCGATCGCAGGCAGGGAAAAAAAACACCACCTCCTTGCTTCGCCCGACGCCGTACGCCGTGTGCCTGCCGACATGGTGACTCCCCGGCTGCCGCTGATGAGCAGCTTGGCGCTGCTGCACGCGGCGTCGAGCGCGGCACAGACCCTGTGCGCCGACATCAACACGTCTCCTGATGGCCCAAGTGAGAAGGACATTCCACCACCGCCTTCCCCTGCCCCCCGTTCCTTGCCCAGCCAGAACACTGCACTCCCTCTTTGTCGTTGGCATCCTAGATGCTCGGCAAGGAGGCGAGACCGCCGTCACTTTGCCGAATGAAGCAGTCCGTACTAACCGGCTGGGCGTTGCGACAGGAGCGGATGTATACCAGAGCGTGGGAAAGTGCACGTCGACGTGCGGTGGCCAGTTTGCCCTCGTGGTGATGCAGTCGAGCAACTGCTGGTGCACAAACTACATGCCCGACGCGGCCTCTCAAAAGGACGGCTGCAGCTTCCCCTGCCCGGGGTACCCCGACGACACGTGCGGCGGCAAAGGCAGATACAGCTACGTCTTGGTGAATGCGGACCTGGTGGCCGGCACCAGGGGCGGCGGCAACAGCGACAGCAGCAGCAGCAGCAGCAGCAGCAGCAGCAGCAGCACGACGCCGTCGGCGACGTCGTCCTCCCCGAGCGATACGGCCACGGTCAAATCGAACCCGGCGCCGGTCGTACCTCCGCAGGTCATGACGGTGGATGGCGCCGTGCGGACCGTCACCGTGGCGCCGAGCCCCACGGAGGCGTCCGATGGTGGTGGTGGTGGTGGTGGCGGCGGCGGCATCAAGGTCGGCACCCTGCTGGGCATCGTCTTCGGGTCCATCGCCGCCGTCGCGGCCGTCGCCATAGGCACCATATGGTTCGCGTACCGGCGCAAACAGGACGACGGGGCCGGCAACAGCGACGGCGCCAGCAGCCCCGGCCATTCGAGCAAGACGTCGAGGAGCTCCCTCGGCAACGTTTCCAACCCCTTCTCCGACACGAGGTCCCACGGCCTGTACTCGTGGCGGAACAGGTCCGGCAGCCTGGAGTATCTGCCCGAGAAGGAGACGACGCTGCGTGTGGCGAACCCCGACCGCACCTAGGAGGAGCACTAGACGTAATGAATAATGACGCGCCGTGTGTTGGTATTGCGTTTTGTTTAAATTTTTTTTTTAATCTTGACATCACAGTTCTCCTTGCTTGTACGAAGCATATCACCGTGGCTGATAGACGGAGCACGTAATGTCGGAATTTAATAAGACAAATTGTATATTCCTCGCGTCGCAGCAGACTCTGCAGACTCCGGGCCGTCAACAGGTCCAAATATGCCCCGTGGATGGCGGTCATTTGCGACGGCAGTATTTCCGTTGTCTCCTAGGTCCTTGACATGTGACGAGCGCATATGACGTACGCGGGGTCAGCTACTTGACCACGCAACCGGCAACCGGCAATCGCCGTGCTTCCTTCCAAGGGCCGAACGGAGCCCGGCGGCCCCACTCCGGCCCCCTCCCCTCGTCCAGACCCGCCGGGGACGCGTCCGCCGTCACCGTCCACGATGTCGTGCTCCAGCATGGCCTTCAGGGCGCCCAGCACAAAGGTGAAGCCGGCCGTGGAGTCGAGCGCCCGCCGGACCCGGGCGTCAGCGTCGCCCCTGAAGCCCGTCGGCGGGTTCTCCCTGTCCCGACGACCGCGTGCACCGGATGCGCGTGGCCGCGCCCGGGTCGGGTCGACGAGGGCCTCCGGATGAGCATGCCCACGCTGACCGGCGGCGCTTGCGGCGTCTGCGTCGTCGTGCTCAGCATTGTTTCAAACACTGGCTGGCTGGTCTCGAGACGCGGCGCTGGCTGGGTCTTGGTGAGGGATGCGCAAGTGACGCACGGTGGCGTTGGGGGAGGGCCGCCCGCCTCTCACTCATCCCATCTCCCTCGCTTGGCGTGGCTGGGCGTTTGCGAAAAGTATATCCATCTGCCGGCCGTTGGTGCCGTGGACCTTGCTTGGGAGCTTGGGAGGTCACATCGGGGGCTGGCCGGCGCACCGACCGCGGGTGGGTCCACGGTGGGCACGGATTGACGCTCGGGCAGGAAGACCTGGTCCGACTTCTCGTTCACAATGATGCAAGCATGTACGTACATGCACCGCTGTACCCATGCCAACTCAGGTACAGCAACTCGACCAGACGTTCCCCGTGCGGAGTACTTGCAATTGATTGCTGCTGACCATGACTGACGCTCTCGGACACGGTTTTCGTCACCGTGATTGCAGCGCCGGACTCACCGGGGTGCCACACGTGCCGTCTCGAGAAACAAGCCTGTCCCTTTCCCTTTCCCTTGCCGGAACACGAGAACACGGTGTGGTGCCGGAGTCCCGGGCTGTGCTGGCCGACTCAAGGGGCCTTGTTTAACCAGACCTTGGCCGTTGACGGGATTCGCCGCCTGCCTCTGCGCTGTGATGCCGCGCTCTTCAACGCTCCTGCATGAATGGTCCCCGCGCCGCCCCTCGGCAAGCATCGTGCTGGCGCTCGGAGATGCACGCGGACGGAACGCGAGTTGCTGCTCGACGTGCCTTGGGGCCAGCGCGCACATCCGTTGCATGTAGATGGGCACGACTGGCAACAGCCGGCGAACATCAACGCGAGCTTCAGGCAGGTCGACCCGTTCAACGAATGAAGGGGAGGGGATGCCGCAAAGCACTAGTTGCACCGCATCTCTCCGGCCAAGGCGCCCTAGTCCAAGTCGATGGGAGCAGGCATCGCGACCCTCATCGCGATGCGCTTCCAAAGAAACTCGTAATCTTCCGCGACCGCGGCTCCCTCGCCTCCTTGGGGCTCCTGTGCTCGTTCCGGGTCGCGCTCAGCTTTGCCTTTTCCGAGGCCAATTTCTTCGCCGGGCGGCCAGCGCCCGTCGTCGGCGGCGGCGGCTGCTTGCGCTTCTCGCGCGCGTGCCCGGCGGGCTCCTCGTCCTTGACGGCTGCGGCTGCAGCGGCGGACGTCGGCTCCGTCTCTTTGCCGACCCCGGTCTGCGCCCCGGAGAAGAAGTTTGCAATGTTGGACTTGTTCTCCTTGCTGTCGAGCGGGACGACAAACGACGGCGAGTTGTTGCCGACCTTGCCGACGTCCTTTGTGACGGGGTACACTTGCAGCTCGCCGTCGTACGGCCTCAGCAGGGACTGCAGCTCGCGCGACCACTCGCACCGCGCCGGGTCGAGCCACTGCTTGACCTCGTCGGAGCCCGGGCTGAAGATGACGGGCATCCGGTCATGCAGAAAGCGGAGCTGCGCGTTGGAGTCGGTCGTGATGATGGTGTACGTGTAGAGCTTCTCGTCGGAGCCTGCAGCGCGTCGGGTTAGGCCTGCCAATGCATGCATGCGTGCGTGGGCGTCCCGGGGGAGCGGGCGCGCGCACCTTGGTACTGGACGCAGTCCCACAGTCCGGCGAAGCACATGAGGCGGCCGTCTCTCCGCCTCACAAAGTGCGGCAGCTTGTCCTTGGGCCCGGTCCTGAGCCACTCGAAGAAGCCCTGGGCGATGACCACGCAGCGCTTCCTGCTCTTCATGGACGCCCACATGCCGCCGGGGGTGCTGAGCGAGTCCTCGCGGCAGTTGATGGTCCTCATGATGGTCTGGTAGTCGGGGTTCCGCTTGGTCCAGAACGGGACGAGACCCCATTTCATGGACTGCAGCTTGTACCGGACTTGGCTGGCGCCGACAGCGGCGGCATCGTCGCCGCCCTGCTCCTCGCCCCCGTGAGATTGGGGTCGGGGGCCCGCGCCCCAGTCCGGCGTCTCGGCTCTGTAGACGACGCCGTGGTATCCGGGCGCAAAGTTGTACGACTGCCGGGGAGCGCCGGGGCCGTCCTCGTCGTGCACTGCGCAGTCCACGGGCATGCCGTCGTCCTGCAGCATCTGGCGTATTTGAGAGGCGCGCTGGTTCCGTCAGTTGGGCTGTGTCTGTCTGTGTGCGACGAGGGCTTCGTGAGTTGACTTACGAGCGCCAGCGCGTATCGGCCACACATTTCGCGGGGGGCAGCAGATGAGCGAGGAGGGATGACGGGATGGTGGGATTGTCGAGTCCGGCTGAGCCAAGTTCATCATGACGACAGCGCCGTCACGTGCGGGGCTCACGACTTCACCGCTGGAAACATGCGCTTTGGTTTTGGGGCATCCGGGCGATATTTCTTTTTCTTTTTCTTTTTGCAGCACATCTCCGCGGCAATAGTTGCTAGGTACCGACTGGTGCCCCCAGGTAATACTGTAGACCATGCAACCCTGGCGGACCTGACCCATCGACGGGCAATCAAAGGCTCCAGGCGCAGACTCGCCGCATCTGCACAGAGCGGCCGGGCAGTGCGAACATCGGCCCCGGCAGGCAATCAAACAATGGCATTCAAGGCCCTGAGGAAAAGAGGACGGCCACAATCTCGTGGATCTCATGCTCCATGAGGCGCTCACCCAGTTGCACCCAGCCGGTGAGGGCCGCGGCCGGCATCATGGTCGTGAGTCGCGACATGGCAGGTAGTCGCACGCACACACCTTGGTCCCTCCACACACAGGTTGGTTGGGGTTGGGGGACACTCCCAACAGGCATCTCGCACACACGGCAAACACGCACCTGCATCGCATCGAGAAACGAGAGCAAAGTCACAAACCACCCATACATCCAGCCGTGCTCTTGCGCGTGGCCACGCAGAACCCACACGACTACCAACTTGCCAGCTCGGCCCGCGTGAATCAACCACCAGCCAGCCATGCCCGGATGCCACACCGCTCCGTCTCCATGACCAAACCGTCAACCCGAAATGCCTCCCAAAATCGTCCTCATCCGCCACGCCCAAGGCTACCACAATGTAGACAATAAGTCTTCCCCCTCCCCCCTTCCCCCCTTCCCCAACAAACCATACTGACCGCGTCCCTCCCACAAGACTTCAGCTTGCCCGACCCCAAGCTCACCCCGCTAGGCGAGTCGCAATGCCTCACGCTGCGCGAGTCCCTCCGCCAGCGATTCGACGCCGTCCCAGCGCAGGACGTTGCCGTCGTCGTCAGCCCCATGGTCCGCACGCTGCAGACCGCCTCCCTCGCGCTCGACTGGCTGGCAGCAAAGGGCGTCGTGTTTGAAGCAAACGCCAACTGGCAGGGTGAGTCGCCCAGCCCAGCCCGGGACCAAACCGCCCCCTCGCTAATGCAGACATGTGCCGTAGAAGTCTCGTCCGATCCATGCGACGTGGGCACGCCGCTGGCCCTGCACCCCGCGTGGCCGCCAATCTTCACCTTTGACCACCTGGATCCCGTGTGGCCGGACAAGACGTCCCCTGCCGCCACGCGGTACGCGCCCTCGCGGGCTGCCGTCGTCGAGCGCGGCCGCCGGTGCCTGGAGGACCTGTACCGCCGGCCCGAGAAGCTCGTCTTTGTCGTGTCGCACTCGGCGTTCCTGAGGGCAGGCTGCGTGGGCTGGTGGTTCTTCAACGGCGACTATAGGATCTTCGAGTTTGAACAAGGCGCGCGCCAGGACGGGAGCCGACGCGTCCTCGTCCAGGACGAGAGCACCATCAGTGGCGGCCTGGGACTTTCCCGGACGTGCCGAGTCCCGCTTGGAGATGGGCTGCCTGATTTGAGCAACTGACCTTTGCCTTTTTTTTTCCCCTCGTTGCGCAAGAAACGTGCCCCTTGGTGAGCCCTTTTTCCTCGCGGGAATCCATGCACGGCTTCGATGGGCGGTTCTGCGGCCTCGTTCTCTTTTTTAAAAACACAAAATGAAATGAAATCTTTCGCATGTCTTGTACAGGGTATTTACCATAATCTAGCAAAATACTACATGGTAGTCACAGGTTGCTTTACTTGGACAAGAAGCTCTGGAAGGCCTCCTGGTCGATGACGACGTTGCCGACGGCCCGTAGCCTCTTCCTGCCCTCCTTTTGCTTCTCCAGCAACTTTCTGCGCCGCGTAATGTCACTGGCGTGCAGTTTGGCGAGGACGTCCTTGCGGAAGGGCTTGATGGTCTCGCGGGCTATGATCTTGTTGCCGACCGCAGCTTGGATGACCACCTCTGCCGTGTCCGCTTGTTAGCCTTTGAGCAAACTCTGGATCCGGCGGGCCAGTGGGAGCGGTGCATACCAAACATTTGCCTGTCAACGTGCTGCTTGAACTTGGTGACCCATTGCCTGCCGATGCGGTCGGCCTGTGAGCCGTGCACAACACGGCAGATTGCGTCGACAGGCTGCTTGTTGACGAGCAGCTGGATCTTGGCTAGTTTGCTCTCGCGCCAGCCCGCGTCTTCGTAGTCCAGCGTGGCATATCCCTTGCTGCCGCGAGTTAGTATGACCAGTTTGCAGGACCGCCTCCAAGTCTCCACACATACGTAGCGCCTTTGAGCTTGCCAAAGAAATCCTCCACCAGTTGCGCGGATGGTATGTCGTACACCAAGATGACCTGGGTTGTGTGGAAGAATTCCAAGCTCTGCTGTTCGCCGCGATTCGCTTCACAGAGTTCAATCACTCGCCCGAGATATTCTTGCGGGAGCGTCATGGTCGCCCTGACATATCTAAACTTGCTGTGAGCTTCCCTTCGCCCGGCCCCGGTACCGCCGTGGAGAATGAATCATACGTACGGTTCGAGTGTTTGCGACATTCGAATGCGATGGTCGGTTGCGTCTGGGAACAAGGCTGGGTTCTGAATAACCTCTTCCGATCCATCTGGCCAAATGACCTTGGTTGGGACAGTGGGCTCGGTAATAATGATGCTTCGGCCGTGCTCCTGCTTCAGACGATCCTGAAACACTGAACAGTGTAAGCTGCCGAGAAATCCTAGGCGCCAACCAGAGCCCAGAGCCTCCGAGAAGTCCTTTTGTAACGTGACACTTCGATCGTTCAGCACGAGCTGGTTGATGCTGTCTGCCAAACGCGTATAGTCACTTTGGTCGGTAGGAAACGCCGCCACAAACACCATGGGCTTTGGCTCTTCGAAGCCCGGACAGGGTTCAACAGCCTGTTCGCAGCCCACCGTCGTAAAGGTGTCGCCAAGCTTGGCGTCCTGTATCCTCTTCATGCCCGGGTTAAAATACACGTAGCCAACCTGACCAGCTCGCATGACCTTTTGTGGCGTAGCTTCGGGGTGCTGTATGCCGACCTGTCCAACTGTGTACTTCATGCCAGTGCCCATGGAAACTACGTGATCCCCAGCTCGTACCGTGCCGTCAAATACTCGTACCAGGAGAACTACGCCTCGGAAATTGTCGTACCACGAATCCACGAGTAGAAACTTGAGCGGTTTATTTTCGTCCCCGACAGGATGGGATATCTTTTCAATGACAGCTGGCAGGATTCCTGGAACGCCCTCCCCCGTCTTGGCACTGACAAGTACAGCATCCTTGGGATCCAATTCGAAGCTGGTTTCCATCTGGTTCAAGACTCGAGGAACGTCTGCGGAAGGCATGTCGATCTTATTAATCACAGGAACGAGAGCCAGGTCCTGCGCAAAAGCAAGGTGGAAATTCGACACCGTCTGCGCTTGAACACCCTGGCTTGCATCAATCAGGAGCAGCGCCCCGCCACAACTAGCATACGACCGGGTCACTTCGGCGCGGAAATCAACGTGACCGGGCGTATCGACCAAATGAAGCAAATAGTCTTCCCCCCGATGTTCGTAAAGCATTGTGCACGTTTGCGCCTTGACCGTGATTCCGCGCTCGCGTTCGACGTCTAGTTTGTCCTGGATTTGGCCCAATTAGCAACTGCCTCGGCCGACTGCCTGTCAACAGGTTCCCATCTCAACGCACCAAAATCTGCTTATTTGCATCGCTTGCCGAGATTGTGCCCGTATGCTCCAACAATCGATCACTCAGCGTGCTCTTCCCATGGTCAATGTGTGCAACAATACAAAAGTTTCGATACCGCTCAATGGGAATCGCCGCAATTCGTGCTTCAAGCTCTGCCGGCGTTGGTTTTGCTGTCGATGCAAATGCGCGGCGACAGACGGGGTGTTGCTTGAAGGGGACGGATCTTGCTGGCGGGAGGCATTGTCGCGCCCAGACTCTTCCAGCTCTCCACGCCCAGCTCATCTAGGAAATCGGAAATGCGGACGCATGGGTGGTGAATTGGCTGTTGACGGATGCCGAAAAATGGAAAGAAAAAAAGGAAGGGGAAAAATACAGTGGAGTGTCAAGCAAAAGATGCCGGTGACGGGCCTGGCTTCATGATGCAGGGTCTGGAAACTTGCTTACCTAACCATGACCGGGACTAGCAGACAAGGATCATGGACATCAACAACAAGAATTGATCTGGAGAGTCCAAACTCGGAACCGAGAGAGCAGAATCGCCAGTGAGATGGGGATGCGGCACCTAAAAATGCAGCATGGCAAGTATCACTGCGCGGGGGAACGAGGCGGTGCCCTCACAGACCCGAAAACGTCAGCTAATGCCTCGCATCAAATCCTCCCCACAGAGGACGAAGGGCGAGATTTCTGCAAAGGACCTCCCGGGATGTATGCGAGGACCGATACACCCACATCTTGCATTCGACAACATCTTGGGCTGAGTGCCATTCGAGGCTCCAGAGGTAGACGCCGCAATACTGTGGTATCGTGAATTATAGCTTGAGCTGTGCCTTGCGCTATAATCTCGAACAACACATCAAGCATTATCCATCCTGGAACGGATCCAAGGGCTGGTACTGTATTCAGCCATGTAGCTGTATTCAACAAGAATATCTCACCAGCGCTTCCTTCTCAGCTGATGAAAGGCTAACCTCGACCGTAACAGTTCCCATCAATGATCCGACTTTTCACTTGTTGCGCTTTAGATACTTCTGCCTGTGGAAAGTCGTCAATCAACCTAAACTATACCTTCACATGACGAAAGACATCTGTGTGACTGGGATGTATAATTGGCAGAGCCTCGTCAGAATCCTGCATATTTTCCCGCAATATATCTATCATTCATACAAAGCCCAAGCATGCCTTCATCGCCGACGCTCCAAAATGCCAGTGCATCAGTATAGTCGAGTTAAAAATAGATAAGCCGCCGCCTGTGTATGCCGTAATTGGTAATAACGATAGCAAGACCTATAATGACGGTAATGCTGTAGTTTCATGCCCCAACAAAACCTCTGTAGCTGTTTCCGTGCAAATGTGCACATTGCCTCAAGACCCAAAACATCTGTCGCTAAGTGAACAAACAATGCACCTCATGCGAGCACCCATTCACTCCCTCTCTTGATAAATTTGTCCAGCAACATCCCCAGGTCCGTGAGGACAAACCTGCAAATATAAAAGCCGAAAAACTCAGCGGCATGTCGGGTGCAAAGTTCGAGTCCCACCTGCGTCTTATCTGCATGTCTCAGTCCCGGGTCGTCAACCTGCCGCGCAATTTGATCTGCCCAGTGGTGTCAGTATTCGCATAGTTAGAGCGTCGTCAGGTGGATGGATTGTGACATGTGTTCTTACCAACAGCTTGGGCCGCATCAAACAGACGTGCGAGCGAGCCCATGTAATGCGCGTTCGGGCCGAAGAACTGGGCCTGGCTGGGGTCACGCTTTGGAGGCCGGCTTGTAGGCTGCGGTGTCATGGGGAGGGTTGGCATCGTTGCCGATTCTTTATTTCCTTCTACTCCGTTCATCCGGCTGTTGTAGGCTCCACCTAATCCCATATTTGAGTTCTTGGATCGAAGTCGTCTCCAAGAAAAGGATGATGACTTGGCCGACACGCTCGCAGTCCTTGGCACAGATGATGCTCCGTCCCCTTCGACGACATTTGAGGCTTCTTTGAACAACACCCCCGAGCCCTGCACACCTACTTCGTTTCCGAGTTTGCGGGCGAGCGCGGTCTGTACCTGTTCCAGGACGCCTTCCAGTGATTGCATCTCGTCTAGTACGGCATCGGCATCGCATGTGTCTACCTTTGCAAGTTTCAGGAGGGCGGCCGTGAGGTAGTCGCAATTTGATATCTTGTCCTCAACGTTCTTCAGCTTAGCTCCCTTCACTTTCCAAACGTCGCGGGGAACAAATAGCTTCGTGCTCAGGTAGCCTCCTCGCGGGTGCGCCAACGTCTGATAAAGACAGCGCATGAGCCAGAATGGTCGCAGCATGACATCATTTGGACAGGGTTCTAGTGCCACGGGAGGATCCGAGACCATCGGGTTAGGCAATCCAGGGGTAGCTGGCAAGTGAATGTTGTCTTCGAAGAGGCGCAACCCCCCCGACGAGGCCAATTCCATTTGCTCGCGCAAGGATATCGCGAGCGACGCTGGAAAAGCAGGCATGGCAGGGGCCCTCCCAAAGTGGTTGCTTGAGGGGGTTCCGGGGGACATGTCGGATCCGTCATCGGCATTAGAAAACGACATGTTGCGACCCTTCAGGCTGCGCAAGCTCGAAGAGGAAAAGTTCTTCCGAAGCTTGCTTACAGTCGGGGAGCCGGACAGAGCAGTAATGTTTTCATCAACATCTGCCTGGCCACGCTGGCGAGGTGGCGATCCGAACATCCTGGGCTCGATCGCTTGTACGTCTCCACCAGGTGGTGTGAGTTTTCTAGCCGATCGACTGGTTTGAGGTCTCTCCGTGAGAGTTGCTTGGGGGGGGAAGTCGGGCGCCGAGGTCGGCTTCAGCTGTGACGAGTCACCCAAGCTGGTAGCGGTCGATGGTCGGAGCTGCGTCGTCTGGATCTTTAGCTGCTTGGGGTTCTGACCGGAGAGTCTGCGATTGCGAACGGTCTGCCCAGGAGATTGTGCTCTGACCAGTGGCAGATCAGGCAATGATTGCTTCGGCGGCGGCGCAGACGGTTGCAAACTTTTGGGGGCTGGATGCGACGGCGAAACGTCCGATCTGTCTACGGTGGCAGCCAAGGATCGTGTGTTTGGCACTTTGGTCTTCTCGCTCTCCTTGTCCCAGCCTCGCGGATGCTGTCCGCGAGGATCCCCTGGACGCTGCGTCGCGTTCGGTTTCTGTCCTTCGTTCATCATAAAATCTTCAATATTGTAGTCACGGGTCATTTCTTCCAAAAGTCGTTCCTCCTCGTCTGAAGACAAATCTTCATAAAACCCGCCAGAGGTCCCCTGGCCTAACTTGCCAGCTGACTGCAATTTAGGCTCATTTGGGTATGCTTCTCGTTCCGTTTGTCTGACGCGCTCTCGGGCAGCCTCAACTTTCTGGAGCGCCTTGGTTACAATCTCCTCGGAGCGGTCATTGCCATCATACTGTGTCGGCTCCATGGGCTCATATCCGTCGTCATATGCAGCTTCAATCGCCGCATCCAAGGCCGTGTCAAACTCAGCCTCTGTGTTGCCGCTGATGCTCCGAGCATGGCCTCGACGAAATACAAACGAGCCTCTGGAGTGCAGTGACGATGCCCTTCCGGTCGACCCCCCCGACTCGCCAATAGGATCCAACCATGAGGTCTGACTTTCATTCCTGTAGTGCCCAGTACCGCCGTCTCTCGAGCCATTCCATGATCCGGAATGGTAAGAATCAGTGCCTCGATCGTCCGAATTATGACTCTCATGCTGCGGCTTCGTTGGTGATGCAGGGCGACGTGCTGCCGACGGCTGTGTTGTGCGAGTGGGCTCCGTGGTATATTCATCCGTGGCTCGAGGCCTCGCCGGTGATCGTGAGGAGCGTGAGAATGTTGAGTGTAGAAAAGGCTGCTCTGTTGTCAATCTCGCTGATCGTGACGTTTCTGGAGAGCTATCTCTAGAATATTTTGAGTCTTGGCGTTGCTGCTGCTGCTGCTGCTGCTGCTGCTGCTGCTGCTGAAGGCTATCGCCGTCTTCTTTGACATGCGTCACTCTGTTTGTGGGCGCTACTTCCACCCCCTCGTCTTGGCCGTCTGCACTGCTTGGCCGAGCTGGCAACTCCTTGTTTTTCGCAGCTTGCCATGGGGCCATTTGGTCCAACTCCTCAATGCGTCCGACATAGGTTCGTCGCTATAGATATTAGGGTCAGTTCAATCGTTTGGGACAGATGACCATGATCGCTGGCACTCACAATCGCCTCCAACTTATTTTTGTCTTCATCCGCAGTTGTTTTCAGTAGCACGTGCTGTAAAAGCTCGCATGCTTCAGTGTATGATTCCCTGGCCCCTTCGAAATTCTGCGCATTGTCGAGTTGGACAGCTGTGTTTGCCTTCTGCAATGCCTGGGACAGCATCGCCTTTTGTGAGGACGGTTTTACCGCGCGAGGCTTGGCCAGATCTGCGCTGAGTTTTCCACTTCGACTCCGCGAGTGACCACGGGCGGAGGGGGCCCAGGGCTCCCTGGCAGTTTCGTAGGGCATCTTTGGCAAGGAGCCAGAGGAAACAGTGCTTTCGCTCTTCGCAGGCGAGGTTCCCGTGACATCAACGTCGATCGCGTCGCCACCGGGTAGAACTTCCAAGCTTGGTGGCCGGGCTTGAAATGTCTCGACAAGCGGGCCCAGCGGTAGGATGGGTGGCAGTGTTAGCACCGGCAGCTCGACCTTGGAGCTAAAAGTCCGTGGTCTCGTCTTGGAGTCGTGGTCGGGCTCGTTGGGCGGTGTTGCGGGCAGGATATCTGGGGGGGAGGAATACTCGCGGTCCAGAGAGGGGCCTTCACCAAGAGAATATGCTGGGCTCGAGTTTGTTGTTGTCGTTGCTGCAGCCGCTACAGAAGGTTGCGGCGGCAGCAACGACGATACTCGTGGCAGTCGCGCGGCGGCGGCGGCGGCGGTTGATTGCGGCAACTTTCGGAACCGTGGAGGGCTCGTACCGGCGAGTGGTGGATGCACAGCCGGATACAGCGTAGTGGCGATGGCGGGTGGTTGGAGAGACGCAACAGATGAGGCGTGGTGAGATCCGAGCTCGGCAGAGTCGCCAAAGATATGCCCCCGGTGCATGCTCCTTCAACACACACGATACCGATGGGGATGGGAAGGTATCAGGCAGTCCGCAATGGCCGTCTCAAGCTCGGTGGTTTCTTGTATGGCTGCAGAGGCGCAGTCTCGCTTTGTCTGGCGAGTGCGGCGTAGGGAATGCTAAGATTCGGCGGGGGGGCGAGATTAGTGTCGATTAGATGGGAGGCGAAGCGGTGCCGCCGACGGAACTATTCCATATCGCCGCTCGTTTAGACAGGCAAGGTTCGTGTTGAGACAAGGCCGAAGTTGCAGACGACGCGACGCAATTCATGCGACCAACTCGACGACTGCAAGATGAGGGCGGATGAAGACGGCCGAGGGTCCGCGGGGGGGGGTCTGCAATTGACACGTCGGAGTCGGACTTGAATGTCTGGCGGCAGGCGTCCAGGGGCTTGGAGAGTCCAGTCCAGGCTTAAGCAAGCACGGCTCGTGCCCGGGTAAGGAGGGCGGCGTACCTCGTACTGACCGGCTCTCTGTGCCGGCTGTGAGATGAATGGACGGATGATGGCGTGAACCTTGAGGAACGGTGGGAGGGGGGGCGAAGTCAAAAGGAGTCGAGCAGCCCGGGCAGAGAGCAGACAGCCAGACGCCGACAAAGTGGAGATGAGATGGAGAGGAAGGAGGCCGAGGATGAGGGACAAAATGGGGGTACGGAGTACTCCGTACCCGGTAACGTTATCGGCCTTTACCCAAGTACCACTTCGTAGCCGTGGCCTTTGGACAACTTTTTTCTGGGGACTGCAACAAATGACGAGGGCTCGAGGATAAAGGGAAATGCTGGGTCAATTGACCAGTTGATTGATTGCTTGGCTGCGCAAGGGACCATCAGTTGATGAGAGCATCCATGTCGGAGATTGGTGCCAAGTCGACGCCCCTTGTTTTCCCTCCTCCTGGGGTTCGTCAATGCCATTTTTCTGGCCGCATGAGACATCTAGAATCCGCCTGGCCAGTCACGCCACGCTTTGCTCTTCGGGCCAGGCGCCTGTGGGTCCAGAGTCAGGGGTTCGATGTCTTGATTTGACGGCGGTCCAGGCATTCAGCCTTCCTTGGCCATCTTCAGTTTGCCATTTCGTGCCTCGTCTCGGCCAGCCGGGTGAGTTTCACCAAACCACACATCCAGATGCTCGAGTGGTTCTGCTCAGTCAGCGCTGGTCTTCCTTTGTATTGCACGCATCGACATAGTACCCTGGCGCTCAAGTAGTCGTTATCACGCAGTCACTCCACCCCGTAAGCCTGCGTTGCACATGTCGAACGCACGCACCGCTGACCAGCCACGTGCCCGCACCGGCCATCCGCCTGTCGCGGGCTCCACAATTTCATCCATGCCAACCGCCAAGCGCGTGCCGCTGGAACCTCGCGACTCGAAGTCGAAGCTTGTTGCCAAGCTCGTGATATCGTTGCTCGATGCCGAACACACGCCATGGCCAGCGTTGACGATATATTCAAGGTACCTCGACGTGAACCCGCCCTCCCGCCATCCCCCTCCTTCACTCAAACACTAAACCGCCGCAGAACTCTGGTGTCCCCAGCAAGAGGAAGCTCGAAGCCATTAAACATCCAAGTCAGTCCCACGACCCGTCGCCTCACTGACTATTCGACTTGAGCGGCCTCTAGCTAACCAATGGCAACCGCACAGATGAAATCTACAAAGTCAGCAAACTCAGCGTCGAAGATGCAGGCCGCGGCGCCCACGTCCGCGCCCAGCCCGGCGACGACCAAGATTTCGGCCCCGCCATGCCGCCAGACGACGAGGACGAAGCCGGCGATGACGAGGAAGGCCGCTTCTTCGGCGGCGGCATAAGCAAACAAGAGTCACAGATCCTCGACTTCGTCGACGAGGCAGGCGATGCGGCCCGGGCCCCAGACAAGGTTGACGCGACGTGGTTGCGCAAGACGGTCCTCAACTTTGAAAAGCACATCACCAAAAACGCCGAACTGCGAGCCAAACACGCGGGCGACCCGCAAAAGTTCATCAGCAGCGAGGCCGATCTCGACGCCGACATCAAGAGCCTGTCCATCCTGTCAGAGCACCCAGAGCTGTACCCGGACTTTGTGAAGCTAGGCTCCGTCAACAGCCTCGTTGGCCTGCTGGCCCACGAAAACACAGACATCGCCATAGACTCTATAGAAATCATCGGCGAACTCACCGACGAGGACGTGTCGGCCGAAGACGACCAATGGAACGCCCTGGTGGACGCACTGATCGAGGCAGACCTCGTGGGGCTCCTCGTCTCCAATTTCTCACGGCTCGACGAAGACGACGAAGCAGACCGCAACGGCGTATACTATGCCCTCGGGGTAATCGAAAACCTCTGCTCCCGGACCGCCACCGCTACGCGGATATGCCAGGAGGACAGTCTGCCGGAATGGCTTCTGCGACGAGCCCAGCGCCAGGAGCCCGTCGTCACTCAAAACAAGCAGTATGCTGCTGAAATCCTCGCCATACTAGCTCAAGCGTCTCCGGAAAACTGTCTACAGCTATCCAAGCTCGACACAATCGACAACCTCCTCCAGCTAGTGGCTGCCTACAGAAGGCGAGACCCCGACAAGGGTGGCGAGGAGGAGGAATTCATGGAGAACCTCTTTGAGGCATTGACATGTCTCGTCGACCAGCCCTCGGGCAAGACCAAATTTCTAGCCGCGGAAGGCGTAGAGCTATGTTTAATCATGCTGAAAGACGGCAAGATGAGCAAAGCGCCCGCACTACGACTACTAGACCATGCCGCCGGGGGTGCAACCGGCGCCGAAGTGTGTCTCAAGATTGTGGAAGCAGGCGGTCTGAAGGGTGTGTTCACATTGTTCAACAAGACCAAGGACCATCGGCTGCTAGCCCACCTGATGAGCATGTTTGCATCCATGCTGCGCCTGCTACCCGCTTCGTCGGCCGAGAGGATACGCACGCTGGCCAAGTTTGTGGAAAAGGACTACGAAAAGACGGCCAAGATGGTCAGATTGCACAGGGAGTACCTGTTGCGGGTGAGGCGGGCCGAGGATGGGTTCGCGCGACAAGACGCAACGGATGAGGAGGAGGCCGAGATTGCGCTGCTCTCTCACAGACTAGACGCGGGCTTGCACACCTTGCAGCAGATTGACGCCGTGCTCGCATGGCTGGTGGCCGAGGACGCGGGCGCATCCAGAAAGATCAGGCAGCTCCTCGCCGAGCAGGACGAGGACTTCCCCGTCCTCGCGGGCATCCTGTCCGAACAACAGCGCGGGCTTGACACCTCGGCAGAGGACAGCAAGGACCTCAGCGACATGCTAGGGACGCTCATCCAATTCCTGCAAATTCAGAATGCCAACGCGCCCGGGCCAGTAGTGTAGAAGCAAACGTAAACAAATGTAATTCCCACACGCGCACATCTATGCTGTGCGCGCGACGGGGTCCAAGAATATACACCCTCTCTCCCTCACTGCCGAGTCCGCACCAGCCAACATGACGTACGCAACAGCCCAGCTGCGCTACGCCTTCTCGGGCGCAACGGGATGCACTTCAAACACAGCGCTGAGGAGGCTCTTCACCACGCCCTCCTGCCCCCTGGACCCGGCCTCCCTGATATTCTTGATCTCCTTGTCCGCCTCCTTTGAGGCTTCCTCCTCGGCCTGCTGGTTTCCCCTGCTATGCTGCGCCCGTCAGCTCGTCCCCCCAGCTGGGGGTCGACGGGGCCCCACGAGACAAAACGCACCTCGGCTTGGAACTTCTTAAACTCCTCCTCCTTGGAAGCCTTGTAGTCGGCAATCTCCTTCTTTGCGTCGTCACGAGCCTCACGGACACGCTTGGTGCGGACTGGTCCGTCTTGTTTCAACATCCCGCAGGTTTCGGCGTTGACATCGCGGCTGGCAGCTACTCACATTCCCGTGCTGCGACGGGGTCAGCGCACCGCCGGCACATCCGCGACGCCAAAGGGGATACTTGCCTTTCTGCACAATCTTGGATGCCTCCCGCTCGGCCTGCCACTGGTTAGATCACTCACGACACGAGAGAGGGCAGGCACGGGGCCGCCATACATCAAGCAGGGTCTGGATGCCCGCCGAGTTCTGGGCCGACTAGGACACACGCACGTCAGCCTTGTCCGGACGCCCTGGGCGGAAAGAGAGCAGGGAGATACCATGGTGGGCGAGTGTCGAGCGTCTGGGACGGGCGAGAAGGGGGAGATGCGGCGAAAATACAGGGCGTCGCGATGGATTCTCGACGGCCGGATGGAGGGAGGTTGAAGGCGAGAAGCACGAAGCATTCGTCAATGGGGAAAGGTCACGCCAACTGGTTGGTTGGTTGGTCGTGTGGTGCCCACCAGACCCGGCAAGACGGCCCCCACAGGACGGAACGCATGGCTGCAGGAACCACGCACCACGCACCAGAGCTTCAGCTTTCCGGCTTCCAAGTTCCGACTCCTCGACTTGCCGCCCGAGTCCTGACAGCAGCAACCCGGCGCACCAGAGCGCCAGACCAACGACATTTTCGGCTCCCGCAGCAGCCATGTCGCGCGCATCCAAGCTCGCGCTGGCGGGCACGTCGCTCTTCGCCGCCTGCACCATCGTCTTTGTGCACTTCCAGCAGAGGTGGGAGAAGGAGGTTGGCCGAAACCCGTCCCGCCGCCGTGGGCCGTGGTCGAGCGGCCGACGAGAAGCTGACCATGTTTGCAACAGGCCATGCACCAGGGAGTCGTCCGCGACATGGAGCAGCAGCGCATCAAGCGCGAGCGACAGCTCGACTTTGACATGCAGAGGGCGCTCGAGGCAGAGTACAAGCAGCACCAGACGGTGCGCGACTCGACACCGGATGTGGACGCAAACGGCGCGCCGCCGAGATGATACTACGCAAAATACCAGACTTCGGGGGGCGTGGGAGAGAGGAGACTCGGCAGTCGGTCGGACGGACGGAATGGAATCACTCGTGTGCATAGCCTGTACAATATACCACAATTTGCGTCGTTTTACATCTGCATGTTATCCTATGTTGGTACAACCTCTGCTGCGGGAGCAGTACAAATGCATCCGCTCAAACATCTCGACTCAACTTCACCGCACTGGCAAAACAGGTGAGCGGCTCTGTGAGTCATGATGCATTCGTCCCTATTTTTCTTCCTTGCATGTAATCAACTCCCCGCACGGAAAGGACTCGACAAGGAGATCCGATATGCGTGAGCCGGATAACCCACTGCTTCTCTTTTTGTCTCGGCGAACTTTTTCCCTTCTTCCTCTTGTGCATTTCTCTCGTCGTGAATAAATGCCCGTTGGCGCTCTTTTGAATGCCGCTCATCGAATGCTTGCGCCGGATCTGTTGGTAAACATTCTTGCTGCAATGTTCATGGACTGGAGTTCCTGGAACAGCAGCTTGGCAGCGTAGGGAATGTGGATCTGGGCAATCTTGGTCTTGTTCTTGCACGGTCGGCATTCAAACGATTGCTTTGATAGGTTTCTGTGCACATGTTAGCAAATTCACCCCCACTCTGACATGTAAAGCGTCACTCACGCAATTGGCGTCATCAGCCCGCAAATTTCACAAATGTGAACTCGGAAGGCGTCCGACACTTCGAACAATCGCTCCTTCAAGAAGGCAGCTGCGCCGTGAGCAATCATACAGTCACGCTCCATTTCTCCAAACCGGAGACCACCGTCTCTAGCACGACCCTCGACAGGCTGGCGTGTCATGATTTGTACCGGTCCACGAGCACGCGCGTGGATCTTGTCGTCGACCATGTGACGAAGTCGCTGGTAATACGTAGGCCCAAAGAACACCTGCGCCCTCAGCTTCTTGCCAGTATGGCCGTTGTACATGATCTCGAAACCCCTGGACTGGTAACCGTGTTTGCGCAACAATTCGGACACAGAGTCCACCGTTACATCCGTGAACGGTGTGGCGTCACCCTCCATGCCTTCCAACGTCGACACCTTGCTCAGCAGGCACTCGATCAAGTGAGCAATCGTCATTCGGGATGGAATGGCGTGCGGGTTGATAATGATGTCTGGCGTAACGCCTTCCCTTGTAAAAGGCATGTCCTCCTGTCGGTAGGTGACGCCAATAGTTCCCTTTTGACCGTGACGGGAAGCAAACTTGTCGCCGATTTGCGGGACCTTTGTTGTTCGGACGCGAACCTTGACATACTTGACATTGTCGGCGTTGACTGTGAGAATGACCGAGTCCACAATGCCGTTCTCGGTGCTTCTCAGCGGGGTGGAGATATCACGCCTCTGGTGAACGCTGGTTCTGGTTCCCAGATCCTGACTCTCTTGGTCGATAGGCGCCGTCTTGCCAATGATGATGTCCTCCCCTGATACACGCACGCCCGGTGCAACAATGCCATCATCGTCAAGCTTATCATATGTTCCATGCTTCATACGAAGGGTACTCTGATGGAATGGCTTCTCAAACACTTCCGTGTAGTTCAAGCCGACCTTCTTTTCCTGATCGGAGTATGAGCGGAAGAACAAACTTCGGAACAAACCTCTGTCAATACTGCTCTGGTTCATGATGACGGAATCCTCCTGGTTGTAGCCAGAATAACAGGCAATAGCAACGATGGCATTCTGGCCAGCAGGCAACTCGCGAAACTTGAGAAATTCCATCGATCGCGTGGTGGCCAGAGGTTTCTGGGGATAGTAGAGAATATTTGCCATGGTGTCCATGCGGCGAGAGTAATTAGTGAGGAAGAAACCCATCGCCTGCTTACCCATGGCGGATTGATAGGTGTTACGAGGGGACTAGACGAACCGGTCAGTAGAGCAAACGACGATGCCTGGCAAGGGTGCTTACCTGATTGTGGTCGGGGAACGGAATGATGCTGGCGCAAATGCCAAGAATCATGCTGGGGTGGATTTCGCAATGTGTGTACGTGTGAGTTGTGGGGTTGGTCTTGGTCTTGAGACGCTTGTTCAGGTCATCTCCAATGTCATCTTCGAGGGCAACGCCAGCTTTCTGCAGACGATACAGCTCAAGGTCTTCCGGCGTCATGCAGATCATCGACGTCTCTTCTTCTTCGGCATCGAGATACTCGACAGCACCGGCACGAATAAGTCCCTCCCAGCCAATCTTCTCGCTTGGGTCCTCGGGCGGTTCAGCTTGTTCTTTGGCAAGCCTGTTGACCAACTCCTTGGTCAGGACCAAATGGCCCTTTTCAATGCCCGTCTCAGGGTCGTCTTCCTGCTGCACAGTGAATACTGGTCTCATAACCCGACCAGCATCGGAGAAAATCTTGAACTCTTGATCCCTGATTTCTCGCACCAGAGACACCTCGTACTGCAGATACGACTTTCGTCTGGTATCCAAGACTTGACTGACAAGGTGCTTGGGATCTTGGTGTACACCCACCCAAACCCCATTGACGAAAATCTTGGTGGCGTGAGGATATCTCAGCGGCTCATACTCTTCCACCACCTCCATGCCACGGTTGATCATGAATTCGATCAACGGCTCAGCCGGTGAGCCCACACTGACATAACACATCAATGACAAATTCTTGACCAGACCACAAGCCTGACCTTCTGGCGTTTCGGCAGGACAGACCAAGCCCCAATGTGTATTGTGCAGCTGGCGCGGCTTGGCGAGTTTTCCGTCTCTACCAATAGGTGTGTTGGTTCGCCGCAAGTGAGAGAGGGTTGACGCAAAAGTATATCTATTCAGCACTTGGGACACGCCAGCGGTCGAACTCATGGCCTTCTTCTGATCTCCCCAGTTACCAGTGGCAAGAGAATATTTCAGACCGTTGGAGAGAGTTCCGGGCTTGATACCAACCGCCAGATTGAAGTGCCGGTTGCCCTCGACGCATCTTCGCAGATAATTTGATAATTCTGTATTCATTCTGCGAATGATGCCACGGAAGAGCTTGGCCAATAGGGGACCAGCCAGGTCCAACCGCTTCTTGCCAAAGTGATCACGGTCGTCAGGCTCACGTCGTCCAAGAGCGCATTGGAGGAGTTTATGGACCATGTAGCCCAGGAAAAAGGCCTTTCTCGTCTCGCTGCCTTCGGTTTGGGAGATGTGAGGAAGTGTCTCCTTCTGCAAAATGTCCTTGGCAACGCGAACACGTTTGTCTCTGCCCAAGCCAGCCTGATCTCGGTTGCCTCGCTTGCCGATGAAGTCAAGGGCGACTTCTCTGTCCTGGACGCAAAAGGCCTCTTCGATACATGGTCGAAGCATTTCCAGCATTTGGCTGTCCTTTCTGTCGTAGCAGATGTGGTTGAGAATGTCCTCATCGGACACAACACCCAGGGCGCGAAAGACGATGGCAATCGGAAGATCGGACTTGACAAAAGGAAGGGTTGTGTGAATAGTCTGACCGAAGCCACCACGAGCAGAGTCGCCCTTGCCATATAGCTTTAGTGTCAAACTCGAAATAAGTCGCGAGCCCTTCTCCAAGGCACTTCTGATCTCAGCAGTGTACGTGTACGGGCTAGGCTGGGCCTTTTTGAAAACCTGAACGATGTTGGCAGCAGAGCGCTCCTGCGCAATAAGGACCTTTTCGCTGCCATTGATGACAAAGTAGCCACCCTGATCGTAGGGGCATTCATTGACCATGAACAAGCTGTCCTCCTGCTCGCGACTCAAGTGGCAAATCTTGGACTTGACCATGATGGGTAGTTTCCCAACAAATACCATGTTCTTCCAGTCCTCAGACTTGCCGGGGTCGTCGTCCTCGGCGGATTCCTCCAGTTCCCAGACAAGTTTTGTGGGCATTTCACCGGTCCTCTTGAGTTCTTCACGTTGGGCATCATCCAACTCTTTGTAGGCCAAATCTTGCTCCACAGCCCTGGAGACCTTCTTCGTGATGTTGATGTAGAGCGGACTTGCATAAGTCAAGTTTCGGTCACGGCATTCGTACGGTAGGAGCGACGTTACAGTTCCGTCAGTCTCGCTGATGGTCGGACGGGAGACCATGACAGTTCCGAATTTGATCTCATATCGTCGAAGAGCAACCTTTTCCCCGGCGGCTGATGGAGGGTTCGGTTGGTCAAGAGTGATGGTGGAATATTCGTTTACCAGGTCCTGTATCGTCGTTTGCGTAAACTCGTCAAAGGAGTCAGTCTGCTGCGAAACGAGACCCTTGGTATCGAAAAAAGAGGAAATGACGGTCCAGCAATCCTCGGGGGTGATGCCCTCATCATCATCGGCGTAGTTCTCATAGTCGTAGTCCTCCTCGTAGTCCGCCATGTCGTCGGCGGAGACCAGTAGGGCTAGGATTCTGGACACTCGACGCTGGCTTGGTCGACCGACGCAATACCGCAGCTTGGTCTTGATATTTTTTCGGCTGCCGATTCTGCCCTACGCCTCCCGGGGATCAAAACCGGTCGAAGTGGTAGTGGGAGTTGCAAACCAGATGGCGATCGATGGGGATCAGTGCTGCGCCTGGCGCCTCTGGCACCGCGAGTGCCGCTTGGAGCGCAATCCAAAAGATCCGTGGCGCGTGATATTTTATTTGCGTAGAGGGTAGCGAGGGCCAGCCGATGGATCGGGGTGCTGGAGACTTGGTTGATGATTTGAATTTGAATAAATCATTAAAATGCCCAGGCGCCACGAGAAGGGCCCTTTCTTTGCCTCGACGCGCCGACGCTAGAGCTAGACCCAAAGTATGCAGGTTCCGCTTTAAAGATGACTAAGGTAAGAGGCCAGTAGGTTCCACAAGGAGCTCCAGAGCAAGACTGTCGCCATGCCATCTCTGAGTCGGTTGAGGTGACAAACCTTGGTGGGCAGATGAAATAGTTACGTATTCAACTGGCTTGTCAGAGCGCCATTTTTTTCCAAGTTCTACGAAGAGCAAGCCGGCAATGGCGACAAAGCCAGCAGTGATGAACTAGAATTGAACGAAACGCTTACTTGCTTAAAGTGACTAGGTGGGTAACTTACTTCATACCGCGCATGCAAGTAGGCACGTATCGCTCAACGACCTCGGTAGACAGATACACCTACCCTATAGTTGTCGACCATTTGCAGCCAAGCCGAGTCGCCGCTCTTAGCTGGCATAGAACTCCCTACTTGCTTGGTAGATAGTCACTAAGTAGATAGCATACCTAGATATATTCATTGCAGTCTGGTCAACTTGAACACCGGCCCCAATGCTGGATACCCTAGTTACCTAAGTAGCTTCAAGCAGCCGCCAGACGCCGACCAACACCGTCCCTCGGACGACAGCAACAAAACAAAGCATGAGAAATTGACGGCACAATGTGACTGAACCTTTGCCGAAGAGGCTTTTCGCGACATTTTTAATGCATCCGGGATTCCACCGTGGCCATTTGCATCAAGGCCACGGCCGGCACGGCGCATTGCGCAGTTCCATAAGATTCCGGGAGACACTTTGACGAGACGGTCGATACGGTAAAAAAGTGACGCCATGTCGCGTAGTTTGTAATTTGCTCGTCTCGAATATCATGGTTTGTGAAACGGCCTCTCCGTCATCTCCCGACTGCATCCATTCGATGTCGGGACTCGGGACCAGCGCATCACGTCAACTGCTACCATTTGGCATCGCCCAAGTTGCCACCCTCCCCGCCCCTCCCCTCCCTTCCGGTTCAGCTCCTCTCGAGCCCGAGTCCCAACCATCATCGTATCTGACCAGTTGACATCTCGTCAAGGATATCCAGCGCTCTCGCTGGCTCGACAACTGTTGGGTCCCGACGGGCCAGGTGGCACGTATTTTCAGACGCTCTTCATCCCCGGCGTACCGCAGGATCAGCACGATGGATTCCTTCCCGGGCAGCGGCAGCAACACAGCCCGACTGTCCACCGATTCAGCCCGGCCTCCCGGGGATGCCCTCTTGGTCTGCTTGCCGTCCTCGCCGGAAGAGTACTTCGCCGTGGAGAAGGCCTTGATACGTCGAATCGACTGGACGTTGATGCCCGTCATGGTTTCCATGATAGTTTTGAAGTTGGTTCCACGAGCACGGGCGAGAACATGCCCTGGTCAAGGGACGAGTCAAAGACTCCAAGCCCAAAGGCTCCGTCCCGCCGCCTCGTCCACAATCTCATCTGAGACTGCATAATCATCAGTCTTCATCTGGCTGACCGCATCTGCAGCTATCTCGATCGCAATGCGTTGCCCAATGCGCGCATCCAAGGCATTGAAAAGGACCTCAACCTGCAAGGGAACCAGTTCAATATCTGCATATCGGTCCTCTTTGCGGGCTACCTGACTCTCCAAATCCCTTCCAATCTCCTCCTCACCAGAGTCAGGCCAAGCATCTATCTCCCCACCTGCATGGCCATCTGGGGCGTCGTCTCGACATCCACAGCGGCGGTACACGACTTCAAGGGTCTCGTCGCATGCCGTTTCCTTCTGGGATTCATGGAGGCCCCCTTCTTTCCCGGCGCACTGTTCATGCTGTCGAGCTGGTACACGCCGCGGGAGCTGGCCACGCGAACCGCCGTCATGTACACCGGGAGCCTGCTCTCGAGCGCCTTTGGCGGCCTGATTGGCGCCGGTGTGCAATACGGTCTCGACGGCGCTGGCGGACTGCACGCATGGCAATGGATGTTTGTCATTGAAGGCGCCGCCACTGTAGTCGTGTCCCTGGCATCCATCTTTATCCTTCCAGATTTCCCAGCCACCACCGCGTGGCTCTCCGACCAGGAGAAGGCGGTGGCCATTCACCGACTGCACGTACACAGCGGCAGCCTCGACGAAGAAACGGGCTCTGTTCTGCAAGGCCTCCAGATGGCGCTTTTGGACTACAAGGTCTGGCTGCTGACGCTGATTGTGATCCTCAAGACTTCTGCCAGCGCTGTCACGCCCTTTATTCCCACCCTGGTGGCTACCTTTCGGTTCGGCAAGATCGAATCGCTGCTCATGACGGCCCCGCCGTATGTGTTTGCCGCCGTGGTAGCCATGGTGGTCTCCATGTCGAGCGACAGGCTGGAGGAGCGGTACTGGCACATCGTTTGCCCGCTGGCATTTGGCATGGCTGGCTTCGTTGTGGCCGCGTGTACGCATTCGTTGGCGCCGCGATACTTTTCTCTGTTCCTCATGCTGGGTGGCGTGTATGGATGTTTCGACATTGCTTATGCTTGGCTCTCATCGACGGTAAGCGCTGTCGTCTGCTTTTTGAAAGCCGTGTATGCTGTTTTCCAGAAATCCATTTGCTCAACTGCTTCTCTCGCAGCTACCCCGGCCGCTGGAGAAGCGCTCGGCAGCCTTTGCCATCGCCAACATGGTCGGCAATATCGCCCAGGTGTACTCACCCTACCTGTACGATAAATCGACCGGACCACAATACCTGCCAGCCATGATTGCCAATAGCGCGTTTGTATTCGGATCTATAGTCGCTGCTACCACTTTGCTCTTCTGCCTGAAATGGGAAAATCGCAAGCTTGACGAGGCTGAGGCTCTTATTCGCGAGCCGCCCCGGCGAGACGACGCTGCTGCGACCAAGAATAGCAACATCGTGGAGTCCAGGTTTGAAGGAACTGTCAGGTTGAATAGAGGCTTTAGATATATGCTTTAGCAGCTCTATATCGTACATGTTTTACATTTTCTTATTGGACTAGTTCGGCTGGTTGCACTGGCTGTGAAAAACACCGACGGTAATGACGTCCAGGACTATCTTGGAAGACAATCGTAGGTTGCCGTGCGATACTAGTCAAACAGTACTCTCCAACAGAGAACTTGAGGGAGATTCTCCTGGAAGATCAGACGGGATGCCGCGTCCGAAATGTGAACTTGCCTGACCTTTACCCAAAACGCCCGCCTAGACCTGCTTTTCCTGTCATCTCTGTTTCCCTATCCTACTACTACCTTAGCTCTCTGTCCTAGCTTTCTACTCTAATACTAAGGCAGCCAATTTGCAAGCAATGACTTTACGATACTGCGCGAGACTTTTTAAATTACCTTCATCACTCCTCACAAATCTGCTGTCCTTAACTTGCAAGTAGCGCGAGTAGTTATACCTTAGATTCCTACAACTTTGTTAGGAGGTAGGTAGAGTCTGTAACCTTGCTGTTAGGACATATAGACTAAGCAACTTTATGTGCCTTCACCTCTATAGCTTTAACCTCACAGACTTTCTAGAAGCCTGTTAAGGACTGGCCTTACAGGCTACTGCGTGTAAGCGTTACTAGTATTAACTATAAACTTAAGGAGAGAAAAGAGGGAAAGGAGAAGCTCTCTATCCCCCCTTTTCTGCCTATTATATATATATAGATTTAATGTATATTTAAAGCGTATTTAATAAAGCACTAGTATAGTGCTTTATACCTACTTAAGCCTACAGCTTAAGTCTATTATATACCCTCCTTCTAGCAGGTTTGTCTATATTGCTGCTGTACAGTAAGAGCAGATTGTAACAGTAGCTTAAGTTCTAAGTTACAGTAGGTCTGTTTCTTAGAAAGTAAGTTAGGTTAAGCGTTACTAAGTAATAATATAAGTAGTATAATAAGGCTGTTAAGAGTATAACTCTTAATAGTAAAACTATTACTTAGATTAATTAATAGAGAACTAAACTATTTACTACAGCAGAATACCTTCTTCTTAAGTACTTATTTATCTCTCTACTATAGACTAAATTAACTAGCTTATTTATTAATTTCTTTAAGCTTTAATTAAATAGCTTAACTATTAATTCTCTTAAGTTTTATTCTAAATTATTAGCTTAAAGCCTTAAGCCTTTAATTCCCTTATAAGTTATATAATATATTATATACTACTATTCTCTTTCTATATGCTCTACTATTATACTTTATTCTAGTAGTATAGTTTTATTCTATGTTTTTTATAGTAATATTTATAATATTATACTTCTTCTCTATTAGTCTTATTCTTAAGGCTATTAATTAAGCTGTCTAAAGTTTAAAGTGTTTTTTCTTCTATATTATTATATACTATTATACCTACTAATTATATTATTAAGTAAAAGTTAAAAATATAATCTAAGAAGTCTAAGTAGTATAAAGCTTTATTATATTTAATTCTTTTCTATTTATTAATTATAGAAAAGGCTTTTTATTTTTATTATAAGAAAAAAAGTATTACTTTCTATTAATTATTTTTCTCTAATTTCTCTTGCTATACTTAGTATATAATAAATTATTAATTCTATTATAATATCTAAAGTATCTTACTAACTTAACTCTACTATATAGCTAATTACTATATATATTTTAAAAAAGAACTTAAGTTAGCTAAAGATAAGTATTATTTAATAAATATAAAGATAGAATAT